AAATCGGCTATTTGTAGTGGTTGTGGGACAAAGAGTATGGTTTTATAGTTGGTAGGAACCTGGAAGATACTGTAGTAGGCGGTAATTGGCTTGAAAAATCAACGGGCGAGGGTCAGCGAGCCAACTCCGCTCGTGAGATGTATTTCGCTTGTCTACCTGGAGGAAGTTCAACCTATGGACAGCATGGTCTCCTGTAGTGGTCCGGCTCCCAATAGGTACCGCTTAAGCAGTACAGAGGTCCAAACTGTATGTACGTAGAGCCGAGTGGATGAAGCTCCGGGCCGTCGTGCCTGATGTTGAGACCTGGGAGCCCAGCCATGTCCCGGTCAGCAGTTCCCCGATGGAAGCTCCATGGAAGCTGAGGTGACATTCCTCGCACATGATTGGCCGGCGAAATTTCAGTGGTTCACCGAAGTCTGCAGTTTAAGGGGGGTTTGGCCACTCTCAGTGATACCGGTACCTCAAGGGTCACAACTGCACTGGACCCTGCGTTGCCCTGGGAGTTGTGTGGGCTTTGCTGACATGGCAGGACCAACGAAACACAACAGGATGCCGTGGGACATGATATTATAGCCCTTTGCATTGATCGAGCCGGATGCCCGCAGCAGAGGATCAGAGGTATCTACATGAGCGTTGGTAAGGCTCGGTACTCTACCTGAAGTATCCCGTCAGGAATGGCACCAGGTTCATAGAGTCCTGTCGGTTACATACCTGGAGTGGTCCCACCCAACCTATGGGAGAGTGTTGTGGTGTTGCTCATCGAGTTGCGACAAGCCAGCGAAGCCACAGGACACAGGTGGAAATGGGCTGGTGAACATAATTCTACGGCTTTCTGAATGCTCTGCAACACCCCGGACTACCGAGAGCAACCAGCATACAAACGTCTTCAAGACCTTCTCACCATCCACACCCTGTTCTTGGCGCAACCTCGAGCCAAGGAGTTGAAAGTGGAAGGGTGCAGCACATTGCAAGCCCAGATCCATCTCGTTTTAGTTTGTCCCTAATCAGGTCTTATTGCAACCTAATACCGCAGGAACCAGTTCCCCCGGCTTTAAGCATCAGCCAATCTCAATTGCGGTGCCATTCTCGGGATGTCTTTTTTTTTTCTTTTCGTCGCGCCCCTGAACACGGTGCAATCCCTTTCTTGTGCCCCTCAAATTGCCTGAACGGCTCTGCATTGCCAGCTTGTCGTCAAGTTTTGCCAGGCTGCACCGACATCTTGCCCTTTGTCTTCACTCTTTATGTTCCTTTCTGTTGTTTGAAACATTCTACCTCGGCCGCCCTGCCGTGGCTTCGCGTGAGCCACAAGTCCCCACCTCGCAGCGCGCGTGCAACCTAACACGTATCCGCGCCATCAGAGCTCAGTGAAAGCTCGGGTTGTGGTGGTGAGGCTTCTGAGTAGGTCCATTTTCTGTGTTAATGGCGATGGTCTTCTCGATCTTGAAAATCCTGTCTCTGCCAATGGCATTTCTCGGAGCGCATTCGTGGCATGGGGGAAAACAGGGAGCTCCTACCGACTTGAGGAGTATTCCAAACGACGGCAACGGCGCATCCACCACCAATGGCTGGGTAGATATGGTTTCGCGACACCGTCCCCAGGCGGCACTATTGCAAATCCAGTGAATTGGTGATAGGGGTGTGACAAGGGGCTCATATTGACGATGGAAATGCACTCCAGGAGGATTTGACTGACGCGGCGTCTTGACCTAGAAGCTCCCTTGCGACCTGCCGGAATCACAAGCGATTGCTTTCTTCCATTCGAATTCGTCACGCTCGCTCCCGGCCGAAACTCCGCATTTCCTGCAACTCTTCGGGTGCTTCGAGGTACTTACTCCTACGTTGGCCACAACATAAACCGAGGCTTGTTGTTTTTTGCGACTTGGCATGGTTTAGATCGCTGAGGGCTGATGGTTAAGCCGACCTAGCATTCGCAAGTTGTAGAAGGCGCCGCCTACCAACCCCTCTTTCGTGGACACCTTTGTGCACGCTCTTGTTCACGCCTTTCCAATCCAATTCCCGGAACGCTGCGCCTTCCCAGGCTCACTTCCACGCCAACCGAGTTCATTCCAGTTGAGCAATGACCACGCCGCCCCGTCGCTCTAGCCTCGGAATGTTGCTGCGACGAAGCAAAAGCGCCGACTTGAAGAAGCAGCGAGCTGCAAAGGAGCAGGAGCTCCAACGCCAGCGCGATGCCGTCTCCAAGTCGCCGCCCCGCCTGCCCGTTCTTTACAACGGGGCCCCCGCTCCACAACTAGGACTCGGCAGCGAGAACCGTCCTGATTCCCTCGCGATTGTTTCTGGCAGAGCCGAGTACATGGCACAATCCGCCCCGCGGCCCTCAATGGAACCATCGCGCTCCGTCATCAGTGTACCTCCCCCCATCCCCAACGGTGGCTTTGACCCTTACGCCGGCACCGGCAGCATGGCACACCGTGGCCGCTACAGCTATGCCAGCAGCGCCATCAGCACCATCAATAACCCTAGAAGGGTCCGGAGAAGAAAGGATCCCACACCCTTCAAGTAAGTTGCTTGCATTCTCAATCTCAATGGTTGGGCCTCGCTCATCTGTGGTCAGTATCCTGATTGTCGGGACCACCAATTCCGGTAAAACCTCGTTCCTCGAATTCCTAAAGACAGCGCTTGAATTGCCCGCCAAGAAGCGTTCCAAGAGCGTTATCGACCTGGACGATCTCCCCAAGCCGCCTCCCTCTGGCAACTTCATTCCCCACTACCTCGAAACCGAGGTTGACGGCGAACGTATCGGCCTGACACTGTGGGATTCTGAGGGATTGGAAAAGAATGTTGTGGATCTGCAGCTTCGGGAAATGTCCAGTTTCGTCGAAAGCAAGTTCGAGGACACATTCAATGAGGAGATGAAGGTTGTACGGTCGCCTGGAGTACAGGATACTCACATCCACGCCGTCTTCCTCGTTCTCGACCCAGCCCGCCTAGACCGGAACATCGCAGCCGCCAAGGCCGCGAGCGCAAATGGCCAACACAACGGTGGGAAGCACTATCCGCACGCTCGGATCCTGGGTGGCCTGGATGAGGATCTTGATCTCCAGGTCCTGCGGACGTTGCAGGGAAAGACGACCGTCATTCCCGTCATCTCAAAAGCCGACACCATCACCACCAAGCACATGAACGCGCTCAAGAAAACAGTTGCAGATAGCTTGAAGAAGGCTAATCTCGACCCCTTGGAAGCCCTGGGTTTGGATGACGATGACACCAGCAGCCCGGATTCCAGCAAGATCGTGGAGGAGGACGAGGACCAACAGCAAGAAGAGGGCGAAGTGGAGGCGAGCGCCGACGATCAGGAGCTGCCCGCTCAGGCCCAGGGCTCCAATCCGCCATTTGACCGATCTTCCACTGGCTCTGTCCGCCGTCGCAGGGTCTCAGAGGAGAAGGAGGGCGGCAAAGAGGATGATGTACCTTTCCTCCCCATGTCAATTCTGAGCCCAGACATCTACGAGCCCGGCGTGATCGGCCGACAGTTCCCTTGGGGCTTCGCCGATCCGTACAACGAAGAGCACTGCGACTTTCTCCGCCTCAAGGACACCGTCTTCAGCGAATGGCGAGGAGAGTTGCGCGAGCTCAGCAGGGAGCAATGGTACGAGGGCTGGAGAACTAGCAGGCTCAAGCAACATGGTGGGAAATCGCGCCGGTAAAGTTGGGCAGAGGACCTGGGGCATCCTCAACTAGTCTGTGCTTCAGAATGACGTTTCCCGCCCCGAATCCGCCTGGTGATGGTTGTCCCCACAATGGGGGTGGACCTAGCATTTCTCCTGGCACTACATGCCTCTGCCTTTCTTCCCCTGGTTGCGGCGCCATTGGCACCAACTTGGAGCACTGCAAGCTCCCTTCTCAGTGTTGAGCGCGCGTGAACTGCAGCCGTGGTCGCCCCGTACCTGATCCAATTTTCTTCTCGCCAGCACCTGTCAGTCTTCTCGGCTTATGATCTTGACCAATTACGAATTTTAAGTCTCGGAGCTGCGGTGGATAGGCCAATGCCACCGAACTTTTGGCTACGAGAACACAAATTCTCGAGCAAAGGGGCCTTGATGCTTCCCCGCCAGCTCTTCGGATTATACCAACTTTGTCTTCTCTTATGTACCATGTTTTTATCATCATGCGACCTGACATGGAATACCCTTTTTTTCCTTTGCCCGTCTGTCTTTTATCTTTTCTTTCCTCTCTCTTCTGGACAGACTTCTGAAGAGGAGGCAAATCCATCTATCAAATTCCGGCGATCCCCTCGCCACGGCATGTTCTTTTCTATCTGGTTAGTGGATGGAGCGGGGTGGCACTGGTGGAAGTTCAAAGGAGCGAAGCAAAAGGCGAGGCTCACAGCACAGATTAACGTCTACATAGCTGAGCTATTGGTTGGTTTCTTAGACAACTTGTTGGTTCGTCTGAGTATTGCTGGATCAAAAACCACTTTCTTTTCTGAGCTGTGGTTTCCTTTGCAGACTTGTGACCGACGATAACGAGTGAGGAGACTGTAGTGGTTGGAGCCAGTTGATGAGATTGACAGCCATAGCTTCTATCCTGACGGACGTTTATGATATAGCCTGTGGTGTCCGCAAGTTCCTCTTCCCATGCTTGACTGCCTGCCTGGCTACAGTGGCAGAGCTACCGAGATTGTGATCGCACACTGACTCAGCGCGTCAACTGCCATGACATTGCTATTGTCAACAGGCTCGTGCCGTATGCACAAATCATTGGCGACCCAGACTACATACTCTGTTCCTTAGCTTAGGTCTCGCAGTGTCACCCGGTTCCTCGCCTCCCATTCCCCAGCCGCCCGATCGAGCGATGTCGTAAGCGCACTAATATCCTTGGCGCGATATCTCCGATCACTGCCATCGTCGGCGGCCCCGTCCATGTACTCTAGCTGGCCCTCGTCGTCCACAACAAGTCCCAGCGTCTTGCGCTCCGGGAGGTGTATCTCCTCGCGGTGGCGCTGAAAGTCGGCGTCTGCGCAGGCAAGGCAGCACCATATCGTGGGCTGCGCCAGCGTGGTGAGACATTCGGTGCAGAAGCAGAGGTCGCCTGGGGCTGGCGGCGGTTCCCGCATGTGCGTGTCCCCATCGCTTTGGGCGGCTTCTCCCTGGAGAAGTTGGATACAGCGAGCGCCAGACGCGCAGGTGTGTGACTCCGCGTGGGAGGCCTGAAGCATCATAACAGAGCCCGTCAGTAAACGTAAGCCGGATTCACGGTGTGATGGGTGGGTCGTCTCTTACATGTCCCTTCTCTTCGCACCGCGGGGAGCAGAACACGGTCTGCTGCGGGACGATGCCCTTGCCGTGCAGTATCGCACAGACGCCGCAGCAGAAGAACCCGCTAGGCGCAGGCACCTCCCCGCACACGGCACACGCTGGGAGATTGTATACGTCGTCCGGGACCCTCTCCTGGGCCTGGCTCTCCCGCCTGCGCTTCTGCAGCTCGTAGGCGGCCCTCGCCCGGCGCAGGTCGTCCAGCCGCTGGCTGAGCTCCCGGACCTGGGCTCTCGCGCCCGCCGCGGCCTGCCTGTCCTCCGCGATCCGCTCCACCACCTGCTCTATGGGTAACCCTTGGCCCAGCATCTCCAGGTACTTTTTCTGATTCTCCGGCACGCCTCCGCTGCTGCTGCTCGCATCGGTCACCGTAAAACACGCCTCCCTCCAGGCCTGCACTATTTCCTCCGCATCCCCGCCCCGAAGCAACACATCCCCCAACCTCCCCGCCGCATCACGCTCCTTGTCCCTATCCGGAGAACACCCCAGGGCGTGTTGGACAAGCTGCGCAACCTCCCTTGCCAATCGAACCGGATCATCATCATCATCATCACCACCACCACCACGACCATCCGCCACCGATCCATAAGGGGGAAGAAGAAGGGCCAGCTTCTCAGCCGCGGCTTTTCTCTCCTCCACTTCGGTTACTGTTTCAGTCTCGCCTCCCTCTGCCTCAGAACCACCACCACCACCCACGGACGGAGACGGAGACGGCTGCGCCGCCGCGACAAGAAGCCGCGGCAGCGAACTGCTGCGCACCGTCTCGAGGTACCAGCGGGCGCGCTCCTCCTGCACCCGCGCGTCGATCACACCCGGTGGGACCTCGCGCGCTCTTGCGTGGTTGAGTAAGAGGGAGAGATCGGAGAGGAAGTCGCGGCGGGGGGTGAACCATTCCTTTTGTTGTTGTTGTTGTTGTTGCTGCTGCTGCTGTTGTTGTGATTGTTGTCCCGATGGTGGTGATGGTGATGGAGGTTTTGGCTGGGCCTGGGGATGGGGCTGGTCTGGGTGTTGTTGTTGTTCTTGCTGTTGATGAGGGTAGTTGGGGCCGGGTGAAGTGGTTGTGAGGGAAAAAAAGCGTACGCGTAGGGCCTCGACTAGGGCGGCGTAACAGTCTGGACAGGAGGCGATTGAGGCCGTGTCGGTGAGTTTGGCTTCATGCTCGGGCTGAGGGTGCTGTTGCTGGTGTTGCGTGAGGCAGTTGCGTCTGACCAGGGCGGCTTCGGCCGCAAGATGTTTGGATTTTGAGGCCGCTAGGGCAGATTGGAGGAGTACTTCGGCCATCTCTTCTGGACGAAGTTGGTGGTAATCATTCACAAGCAAGATCAAGGCGCTGTTCTTAATATGTGGTGGTTCATGAGTGAGTGGCGCTGTGGATTGCCAAAATTAAAAGTTCTTCCTTGCATAAGGTATATGAAACTCCGACGAAATGCTTATATATCCGTTCCGAATGCAAGCATTGCAGAAGTCTTCGCCTCGGGAGAGTATGAAAGGGATGTTGCTGTTCAGGGGATTTTGAATTTATTAGGCGTTGCACGCTCAAGACATTGTCGCGCACACCGAACAGTTGCAGCGCCAAGACACTCTATGGAGCTGTCTCACCTCGGTCAGGGTCTAGCGTGCTCTTGGCTCTTGGCACTTAACGTTACTTCGTACTGTAACGTACTTCAGGAACAAGGCCACCTTCAACCCATCTATCACTGGCCAGCAAACGACGTTTTTCAACTCATAACAAACCCAGAAAATGGTGCGCTTCGGCCTTCCCCCGCAGTTTCACTAGATACTTACCATTGCAAACACAGGCCGACAAGCTTCGCAACCAGCAAGAACTTGAGCGGCTGCAGGCCAAGTACATCGGCACCGGCCATCCCGATACTACGAGCTGGGAGTGGAAGACAAACATCCACCGCGACACGCAGTCAAGCATCGTGGGGCATCCTCCCTTGCTGTCGTATATCGCGCTGGCACAAAACGAGCCGATAGCCAAAGTGCGCACTGAGATGATTCGAGTACGTCCTCAAACATCGCCACCATCTCTCCCTTAAACACCTGCGACAATCACTGACTGCGTTCAGAAAATGATTCAGCCGATGGGGCCACCGCCGCCTCGGGAAGGCGACGAGATATTCCCGACTGGAAGGCAGGATGAAATATGACCTTAGTCAAGGTACGGGGGAAAGCAAGTCCATGGTTTAAAAATCAGGGCATCAGAGCGGACAGGGACAAGCCAAGGTTGGGATTGTGAGCGGGAAGGGGAACCGGGCCGCGGCCACGGTCCCGAAAACCCCGTGGGACATATGGCCCCAAGGCCAGGTTCACTCGATCTGTCGAGTCCATCGACTCCGCTACACACTTGGCTGCTCCATTCAATAGCGCCGAGAGGGAAGGAACGAGGATTGTCAGCCTCAACGAGAAGCGACGCGTGGAGCGTTTGGATGACCCTATCTGTAGTCATAGCACAGAAAGGAATATAACGTGGTCCATAAGGGCCATACCGCCCCTGTCACAGGCGGGTAAATCTACTCATCATCGTCTTCGTCTTCCTCTTCAGCTTCTGCCTGCCTTCTCCTTCCCCTCCGGCGATTGCTCGGCCCAGGATCGCCATCTGGCGGGGCATCCGGCGCTTCCTCAGCACCTTCCCCGAACACCTCCGGTTTCCTCTCCTTCACCTTGAGGCTGACCTGCAGTTTCTTTTCAAGCTCATCGCTGGACCCGCCGTACACATTGCGCACGAAAGCTGCAACTGCCTCCTTGTCAACTTCGATCTTGCCGCGCGGCCCGACGTACCACGTCGTGGCTTCTTCGTCCCCTGCTGTCTTTGACTCGGTCACCCTCACGAGGTACCCCTGCTTGATCATGCGCTGCAGGACCACGTCTGCTTTTTCGCTCGGGGCCGTCTCGTCATTGGGGTTCATGCTCGGCATGTTTTCGGCCAGGTTCAGCCGTGTGAGGTGTCGCCGCAGTCGCGGGTCGCTGAGTCCGCCGCCGCTGAGCGTGATTATGGCGATTATGGTTGTGTAAAGTGCAACGTAGGATGCCTCGCCTTCTGCGGACTGGACTTTGGAGGGCGTAATGATTGCCGGTACCGTGTACTGCTCAGGTAGGACAGAGACAAGGACGTAGCTATTTGAAGTTGTCGCTTGTTGACTCTGCGACTTGGCCGCTGCCAAAGAGGGTTGTGTTAGTGAGCGCGCCGTCTTAGCCCGTTAGAGAAATTTCCTACCTCTTCGTTTTTGCTCCCTGGTCATGAGGCTTCGGTCTTTTATGGGAAGTTCTACCATCTCCATGCCAAATGTTGCGCGTAACTGCTTCTGCGCACGAGCAAACACTTTCTTGAAAGATTTGCCGTTCTCTCCAAGGACTGTACAGTTTTAGCGGCATCCTCTGTGATGGCCGGGGCTGCAGCCTATACCTCTATCTCGGATACCGTCGCGCCTGATGGGCGTACGCGAGAACTCGCAGGCGAGCGCATAGCGCACCAGGCTCTTTACCGTTTGGTTGATTCTTTCCTCTTGTGCGTCGTCCTCCATCGGCGTGTTGCCGTCGTTTTCCACATCGCTATGTGCTTGTCGCATATCCTCATCTTCGTCATCTTGGACAGCCTTGCCATTATCAGTCACGCCAGTCCGCCAAAAGAAAAGACGGCCGGGCCTACCTACCTGTCGTTGCCGCCGCTGTGATACGGGCATGGTGGTTGAAGGCCTTGGGTCAGTGTCGCCTACACAAAAGAGGACCAGCTTCTCGCTGCACACGGTGCGAATGTAGAGCTCCTGCAGAACCCTACTTAATCTATGAGGGGAACCTGGAATTGAAAGAACGGAGATGTGGATGGCAAATATGTCCACCAGAAGAAAGAGCGAGCCTCGTAACTGTAACGTACAATACGTCCCAGGAATGGTAATCGAGTCAATCGACTTTGGTTTCCAGCGCGGGGCGCAACGCGTAAGACCCCTGTCAAGTCGCGTCTGCATGTGCCTCCTTGCCTGCCGGAGGATCTAGTGTAAGCCCAAGCTCCACAGACCCACCCAAAATCTCTCGTCGCAAAGATCCAAAAGTCAAACCCCTGGGGGCGATCCACAGTGATGAACCATCCGCTGTCGTGCTGGATGTGCCATTCCAGACCTCCAGTACTGGCAACTGTTGAACCGCAACTGGTGGTTTGGCAACTCAATTCTTTCCAATGCTCAGGCGCAGAGTGACGGGCAGTGCCAGCTTTGTCTGCCTGAGATGCCGCTTACAACTAGCTGAGACCGCCATGCGGCTTCCGTTTCCCGCTGCTGCTGTTGCCTCCTCACACCGTAGCCACCGACGTCGCTACGGTACCCATGGCACCGATGCCCCGGCCGCGACCGAGGAACTCGACCGGCGCCGAGCCAGCGACCATGGGAACGACGCGCCCAATCCCGAGACGTTCTACAAAGCCTTCCAAGAGCTGGAAGCCGGCGACCACAAGAAGGACAAGGAGGACAAGAAGGCCGTGTTGCCCAAAAGGCCGTTACAGGAAGCAGAAAGCGATGACCACCAGAGAGACTCTGTCTCCGGAAAGTTACGCTTCTCGCAGCAGCGACGTCCATACGAATACAAGTCCCGGGGCCGTATTTTGTCGGCGCGGCAGGAAGGTCTATCCATTGACATCTTGGGCAAGCCTGCCTCTGCAATTGTCCTGACGGAAACACCTCTCAAACGCGAATACCCAAAACTGCCACCTGACGGCAGCCATGTCGAGGTCGATCCGGCTACCCTTCTGCCGGATCAAACCAATGATGCTGCCGCCGAGGTCCTTATCCACGAGCTGAGGCCGGTTGACACATCAGTCCTCATTGAGAAGGACTTCGTTGCACTCAAGGATACTCTTGTCAAGGGCTTTACCGTTGCTCAGTTGCAAAAATACTTTCGCGAATGGCATGCGGTGAAGCGGGTTTTGCCAGAGGAGCCTGCCCCCGACGATAACTCTCATCCCTGGATTCTAGGCGCCCCTGATTGGACGCCAGTATCGGGGAATGGGACGATACGGATCCCAGATTCGAGACTTTATGGCTACGTCTTGCCAGGCATGACTGGAAAAGAGAGGCTCGCGATCCGACTGATGCGCGAATGCTGGGGTTTGTCCTCTTCCCAGGGGCCCGATCAGCAGGATGGCCGTCTCAGCGCCACGATCCGTGAACTTGAGTTCAACCTGTTATTGCGTGCGTGCTGCACATTCTACTACCTACCTTTCCGCGAGCTTACCAGTTTCATGTTACAGGAAATCAGAGACTTCTGGGAACCATAGCAAGAACGTTTCCTGAAGCGGAAATCTCGTTTATCGCAAGCACACACAATCTTGTTGTCAAGGGGCCTAAGCCCACAGCTCAGGCGGTTTTTTACAGAATCAACCAGTTCCTCAAACAAGCCCAAACCGAAGAATTTCCGGTCAGCCTTGTCTCGCCAAACCCGATCGAGCCTGCCATTCTCGATGCGGTCGGAACCCTCACCAACAGCGTGCCCCGCCTCGATCCCTCGGGGGAGAAGATTATGGTCACCTGGATTCAGCTATCAAATCGAGATATATCTTTGGAGAACTATGCCGAGACCGTTTTCCGATTTCTCCGCCATGCGTTTTTCCCAAAGTCGCCGGCGTCTCACTCTTACTCGTTGGAAGTCGTGCCGAATTCCCTCGCCCGCGGCGGCCGGTACCTCGCTGAAATCAACTGTGATCAAAAGTTGCCTTGGGAAGAGCGTTTTAACATGTGGGAGAGATGGGTTGCTTCTCTTCCTCGGTCTGATTCGCCTTCCGGAAGTCTTTTCGAGACTCATTCCTCAGGCGTCGCTTCGGCAGACAGCCTTCCGTTTCCCCTGGATCCAACGCAGGCCATCGTGGAGCCCGGGGAGCGAGTAAGCCACATGCTGGGGTGGTCTTCGGAACCGCAAACGGACACCTCTGCTGTTTTCGGGCACGTCGTCTTCGCCAGCAAGCAACGCCCTTCTGACCCGCCTCTGGAACCTGGAAGCGAGTCACAGCTGGATCTCTCCCGTCCGCGCACCTTCGTTCCGCTCCTCCCGCCCCTCGACACTCTCGACCTCCCCAGTAATCTCCACGAGACGGGTCTCTGGCACTTGACCGCCGTGGTGCGCTTCGCCCCGGATCCCACCATGTCCCCGGACCTCGTCAAGGCCGCGCCAGACCTTGAACTCTACATTGAAATGGACCACAGGGAGATCAAGCGCATCACCCACCTGCGGGCCGTCATGCACACCTCCACGCAGGATCTCCTGTTCCCCGGGTGTCCTGTCGACGCCCGCATCCTGCAGCGTCGCTACTTCACGCTCCCGGGAAGGCATATTGAGCGGTACGCCTCGCCAGTCACCGCCGATTTCATGCCACTGTGCGACCTGAAACCGAAAAACGCGCTCTTCAAAACCCCTCATTATCTTAAGGGCATCAGTCTCCCCCGCCGCCTCCTCCTGCCGAAATACGCAGAACTCTCTTCTCCCACCTTAGAAGACAACACTACGTCCCCCACTATCAACAACAACAACAACAACAATAACAATCGCGCCGGCGTCTCCGAAGACACGGTCACAGTGGACTACCGATTAGCAACCATCGAGGTCCAGCGGCAAGTCGCTGCCGAGTACGAGGGGCTGAAACTACGGTACAGTCACATCATCGCAGGCAAGCGGGGCGGGCTGCGGGCCGAGCTGTCGCTGGAGGCGGCGCATGTCGACCCGGCACACGAGGACGCGGAGCCCAAGGACGCGGCGCCAGACGGCTCATCCTTCTTCTTCCCCTCTGACTCTGAGTCACGCAGCAAACGCGGCGGCGGCCACCACTTCACGTCTCACTTCAAGAACGTTCCCAAGGAGGAAAGGGAGCCCCGCCCGCCTCCGCAGCCCGTGGACGTGCACCACTTCCTCCGGGTCGCGTCCGAGATTGCGAGTGGCGAGGGACGGATCAAGTGGTTCCAGACGTTGATTTCTCAAGACGATGATTCCTGGTCGTTGTAAGCATCATTAGCCGTGTAAAATTATCTGTAGATTATATTATAGAGTTGGACATCTACATTGTCGTCATGTGGTGTTGTATTCGACTTGATTTATTAAGACTGCTGTGATGACACCATCCGCGATGGAGGCTACATGGACAGAGACCAGTGTGGACGAACTGCACTGGATATGTCTATTACAATATCACCAAGCTACAGCATCATTCTCTGACATCCAACATGGACAATAACACTCAAGTGCAACACAGCAGCATTCATTCAGGACGGCCGACTGGGGGAATCATGACCTTCGTGATCACTTCTAAGAGACTCTATTTTGTACTAAGCACATGGCGAGAGAAGTTTTGATGCGCAGAAACCCCGACCATTCCCTCTCAAAGATGTGCCCCATAACAAAACGTTCCGAGTGCTCATGCAAAGTGAAATTCGTTAACGCCGTACCTAGATACGAGGCGCGATCTCTTCGGTGAGCCACACGACCCGGATCTCTGGAAGTGACTTTTTTATTTGCTGCATGAAGAAACCGTTTATTTCTTGGCAGCCTTGGCAGCGGACTTGGTGACCTGTTGCAATTGTTAGGGCCAATGCAAATGACGATAGTAGGAGAACATTGACATACCTTGCCGGAACCGGCGACAGCCTTCTCGACGCTCTTGATGACACCGACAGCGACGGTCTGACGCATGTCACGGACGGCGAAACGACCGAGAGGAGGATAGTCGGTGAACGACTCAACGCACATGGGCTTGGACGGAATCATCTTGACGATGGCAGCATCGCCGGACTTGATGAACTTGGGGTTCTCCTCAACAGCCTTACCGGTACGGCGGTCGATCTTGGTCTTGAGCTCGGCGAACTTGCAAGCGATGTGGGCAGTGTGGCAGTCAAGGACCGGAGCGTAGCCAGCACCAACCTGGCCGGGGTGGTTGAGAACGATGACCTGGGCTTCGAAGGAAGCGGCACCAGCGGGGGGGTCGTTCTTGGAATCACCGGCAACGTTGCCACGGCGGATTTCCTTGACGGAGACGTTCTTCACGTTGAAGCCGACGTTGTCACCCGGGACACCCTCGGCAAGCTGCTCGTGGTGCATCTCGACGGACTTGACTTCAGTGGTGACGTTGGAGGGAGCGAAGGTAACGACCATACCGGGCTTGAGGACACCAGTCTCGATACGGCCGACAGGGACAGTGCCGATACCGCCGATCTTGTACACATCCTGCAGGGGCAGACGGAGGGGCTTGTCGGTGGGGCGCTGAGGAGGCTCGATGTCGTCGATGGCCTCAAGAAGGGTCTTGCCAGTGGACTTGCCCTTCTTGGTCTCCTTCTCCCAGCCCTTGTACCACGGGCAGTTGGTGGAGACCTCAAGCATGTTGTCGCCGTTGAAGCCCGAGATGGGGACGAAGGCAACCTGCTTGGGGTTGTAGCCGACCTTCTTGATGAAGTTGGAGGTCTCCTTGATGATTTCCTCGTAACGGGCCTGAGACCAGTTGGTGGTGTCCATCTTGTTGATGGCGACGATGAGCTGCTTCACACCCAGGGTGTAGGCAAGCAGAGCGTGCTCACGGGTCTGGCCATCCTTGGAGATACCAGCCTCGAACTCACCGGTACCGGCGGCAATGATGAGAATAGCGCAGTCGGCCTGGGAGGTACCAGTAATCATGTTCTTGATGAAGTCACGATGGCCGGGGGCATCTGTGAGGAAGTGCAACCGTCAGCATGAGTGACGTGCAAGGTTCATACCGAAGGTAGAACTTACCGATGACGGTAACATAGTACTTGTTGGTCTCGAACTTCCAGAGCGCGATATCGATGGTGATACCACGCTCACGCTCGGCCTTGAGCTTGTCGAGAACCCACGCATACTTGAAGGAACCCTTGCCGAGCTCAGCAGCTTCCTGTTTCAATCCGTCAGCCCAATTCTTGGCGTGCAAGGGTCTTGCGGCGCGGTTCTCGATGAAGAGAGGGGCGTCGTGCGAAGTGGGTCCGTGCTCGAAAAATTTGCTTATCGCCGGATTTGTGTGCCCCTCCCCCGCTGAGATAAGAGAGGGGTAGCCACAAAGGCAGACTCAAGGGAAAATGGACAGAGACAGGCAGAAAATGATTATGCCGTTGGCAGTCGCTTTGGAGCGCTTTTGGAGATGGGGAAACGGGTATGAATCATGAGACTAACCTTCTCGAACTTCTCAATGGTACGCTTGTCGATACCGCCGCACTTGTAGATCAAGTGACCAGTCTATGTAATTATCAGCTTGCTGTCTGGACGATACCTTTGTCCCGTCGCAGACGAGCACCGATAGGAAGCTTACCGTCGTGGACTTGCCAGAGTCGACGTGGCTGGATCGGTAGGTGTCAGTACTGGTGCACGCAAGCAGAAGAGGTCAACGCAGGTAGACAAACCCGATGACGACGACCTAGATGCAATGTCAGTTCCAGTTCTGCAGTGATGTCGTTCTCAGCGCTCGCTAGATACTTACGTTGATATGGGTCTTGTCAGAGTCCTTGCTGTTTGAAGTCGTTAGCGATGGTTCTAAGGCAAGTCCCAAGACTCTCGCCGAATGTGAGCGTCGGCAACTTACCCCATTTTGACGGTGTTGAGAGTTGTTTTCTGAAGTGAAGATGCTGGCGACTTGCGCTGTAGAAAAGCTGCAGGGGAAAGTTAGAGAAGATGCTCTCTTCGAGATGAAGATGCTGTCGCAATGGTATACGCACTTGAAGTGGCAGGTGATTGCTTGAATCAGGTATGCCGACGAAGGAGGAAAGAGGGAAAGTAGGTCGAAGAGGTGAGGAGGGGTTGTAAGTTTTTATGGCCAGGGTGGGGAGGGGCGAGTGGCTTGGTGGGGTTAAAAGCGCAAGCACAAAAACTTTCGGAAATGTGGGGCAAGCCCTCGAAATTCGTAGTGAAACTTGAAATTTCATGCCGCACCTTGCCGCCGCGCCGTCTCTTCACTGTTTACGGTCCTTCACAGATCCAGGTCACAAGGCCTCTGTTGCACTATTCAATCTCATCTTCCACTGAGGATGACAATGGGAGTGATACACTGAATTTTGAATAGTGATTATCTGCGAAAATTGCGATTCTGCCTATTCCTCGAAGACTATGGAGTACCCTGCTGGTGAAACTGCCCCTCTCAGACACCCTAGCAACCGATTACCCCTCCATTCCCGTCCAAACGTTTGTGTTGTTATCCCCGGTATTAAGGTAGGTATTTAACATGCTAACCGTCAAGTGGGACCATTGGGCTCTTGTTTCCAGCCCAACCACGACGATGCGGCGTATCTGGAAATCCGGTATGCCTTCGGTGTGAGTCAAGCTCCTCTCATTCGCCTCTTGTTCAACAGCGGACTTGGCAAACGCAGTGAGAAGACCGGGGATGAGTTCCTATGGACCCTTCCAATTATGGCGGGGACGATTCACTCTTTGGTTGCCGCTTATTATGGAGGGATGAAAGCGGCTTGAAATGGAACGTGGCAAAGGCTTCTCTCTTCACTTGAGTGTCAAACCTGCGTTGCCCTTTTTCATTCGCTGACTGCCCCTCGTTCGGCGGCATGGATGCATCAATCCGTTTCATGAACGGTCCTAGATGGCCAATTCCAGGTTATCAATATGTCTCTCGAGATCACTACGGTATTAACTTACTAGTCTGCCATCCTATAGATGTCACCCAAGTACGGATACTGCTCTCGAATCTGCATGAGACAAACCACAGTTTCCATAGAATGGGGTTAGGGTTGAGCCGCATCCACTTCCATGAAGTTTTTAGAATCCAGACGACAGCCAAGCTTTCTGCGGGGCCGCCGCCTCCACCGCGCCGGGGAAGCGGGCCCGGTACTGTACAAGTTCGTGGGCGAGGGCTCAAATTTTCCACTCCTCAAGTCTGGGATAGCCAAGCGCAACATCTCCCAACCAATCTCGGCATTCGAACGACGAGCGAGTGGTGACGATTCATCTAGTGAGAGTTTAGGAGAACTATGCTTGAAGCCAGGCTTCGAGAGTCAACTTGGCGTATATCCATGTCACGCGAGCTACCATTGAATGCGACGCTTCCGCGAGCGCTGACGACAAGCTGACCAGATCTACCGAGCCAAAAGCGCAGTCGGAAAAATGCTCGAGTACGGGTCCACATGGAACTGAATGGTGCTGTCCTGGTCAGTGGTGGGTGAAACCCAGAACCCAAACCCCCGGCATGATGGTACTGGGCGGGCCAGGCGAGACGGCAAGTGGAGGAACGTTTTCCGATGGACAGAATCAACTGCCTGCAGCAGTAGCCTCATAGGGCTGGTATGGCATATCGGGTCAAACACTACATCCTCACGTACATACATTAGTACATATCGTCATCCCTAGTCACGATACAGTTCCTTGGTAGATATGAGCGGAGGGCTGTCCGTATCTCTCGCCGGGGAGCAGGCTTTTGGTCAACGCCGAAATCTCTAGGAATAAGCAGCTGCCTCCGCTTCGTGAAGCTCATTACACGGTGTTGTGCTTCAGATTCGAACAGGGACCTCGTAGTAATCACCCCAGTACCAGGCACCTGCTGGATGAGCTTAGCGGAAAACGACGTGTCTAGACTGCACCGACCATCTAAGACCATGCCCTTAGTTACGCAATGCTCCTGATATGCGCAGTTGGCAATGTCATTGTATGTGTGACCGTATACCTCATACATTAAATGCCCAAGATTACATGCCTTTCTAGCCTGTTGATGGCCCTCCTGACGCCCATATGGCTTATTGGAACCACACAGAGAGTAAATAGCTCTCTCTTCTAAAGCATCAAGTCAAGCAATGAGCTGCGAGACCTCCTCCTCCGAAAACCCAAACAGGAACAGCAAGTCCAGCAGGCTGTCCCCATTGAGCCGCGCATCAGCCTCCATCTGCACCCGGGGCTTGGCGTTCCACGCGACGCCCAAGCCAGCGGCGTCCATCATGAGCAGATCATTCGCCCCGTCGCCCACGGCCACAACCTGCTCCAGCGGAATGCCCTCCTTCTCCGCAATCTCCATCAGCAGCTCCCGCTTGCGCTCCTTGCCGACGATCCTTCCCTTCACCTCGCCCGTGAACCGGCCCGTGGCTTCGTCGACAACCACCTCGTTGGCGTGGGCGTAGTCAATCCCCAGCTCGCCCGCCAGCCAGCTGGTAAGGGGCAGGAAGCCTCCAGACAGGACGGCCGTCTTGACGCCGAGCCGCTTGAGGGCGCGGAGGAGTGGACGCACGCCCTTGGTCACCTGCAGCACGGACCGGAGCTCGTGGAAGATGCTGGCGGGCAGGCCGGTGAGCAGCTTGACGCGCTCGCGGAAGGCCGAGTCGAACTCGAGCTCGCCGAGCATGGCGCGGTGCGTGATGTCGGCGACGCGTGCGGCCAGGTCGGGCGGGTCCTTGATGGTGGCCGCGAGAAGGTCGATGACCTCTTGCGTGATGAGGGTGCTGTCCATGTCAAAGACCACCAGACGCGGGTACCGCCGCCAGAGCGTATCGCTCTGCAGCGCCACGTCGACGTTCCACTCGCGCTCGAACCGGTAGATGAGCTCGTGCTTGCGCAGGTCGGCGAGAGAGAGGTAGTCGAGCGACGGCGCCGGGGACACGGTCAGCTCGACCACCAGCGGGTGGCGGTCTTGGCCGCCGTCGAGCTTGAGACAGCGGTGGGCTGAGTTGTAGTCCGTAACGCCCTGTGGGAGCGGGAAAGTGGACAGGAGATGGAGGAAGGACGTGATGCACATGGACGACACGTGGGAGCCATACAGGTGGTCCAGCGGTTCAGGCTCGGCAGCAGGCGGCTCGAGCGGAAAACTGTCGAGGCTGCTGCTGGGGGCCATAGTTGGGGGGATATCAGAGTCCGCAGCTCGGACTGAAGGAGACTGTCCCCCTTGCGGCGAAGGGCCTTTCTGCGGCGAAGGGATCACATTTGAGACCCTAGGAGCAGTTGACCTGTAGAAGAGAGTCGCTACCAGCCTGTCAGTATGCCTTCCCGGCAGCGGCGTGCAGTTTGGATGCGACAGCTCATGGCTCAGCCCGCTCTCGACGATCTTCGGGGGGTTCTCGGGCGAGGGGATCCCTTTGAACGACGAAAACTCGCGAGGCGAGACTGATGCGGCCTGGAGGTCCTCAACAACCGTATCAATTCCGTAGTGATTCTCAGGCTTGTGCGGGGGCCGGTATTGCTGATGTTCCATCAGGTAGGAGCTGCTCCTCATGGAGGAGGTCAAAGACGGCCGGCCAGGCCTGGTACTAGTGGGGCTCGGTTCTGCTTGAGCCATGGTTGCTGGCTTTCAGGGGAAACACGGGAATTGGCAGGAACGACGACAATGTGAGATACAAGTGCCCTTTCCAGAACCCAGAGAGTAAGAGTATCCAAAACCAAATGCCCTCGAGGAAGATTGGTGAAGATTGCTCTCTCTGTGTAGCAACACGGCGGGAGTTTTCTCTGAAAACAGGGCAGGCGTTGAACTTGCAGAACCCCGCCTTGGCCATTCGCGGGGCTAAGGTGGGCCCACTCGATGTCCATGCTGAACTGGGCTACACCGAGGTCACCGAGGTCACCAAGCTACACCTTGTGGCCCCGGGCCATCCCGCCCTCGGTGAGCCGCAGCGAGATATGAATTCTCCGGGTCAAGCTTTTGGACCTTGGCGTTTCCATTGAGTTGGGTCAGGTTGTTGTTCCAACCCCATCTCGAACCGGGATCCCAGTGTTGAACGTTATCTTAGGGATCTTGCTAAATCAGAGACAACAACTCGCCATCTGTTGCAAACCATAGGGTACTTGTACACGTGCGTACCTAATGCTTCATGTCGTGGTTCATCCCGCTCTCGCCCACCGCCTCAAAGACGAAATAAATCACTGATAAGACGTGACGCTAGCTTTCAATCCGTCTGCTCCAGAGACACACGATGCTGTGTTGTTGAGCTACCGCAAAGCCGTCTCCCCGCATGGCAGGCGTGGGTGTTACGAAGTGTCCATGCGTGCTACATTAGTCCCTCCATCCGCTCTTACCTATACGGAGACAGGCCGGCCGCCAGTTAGCGTCAGGTTGTGCCTGAACCTAAGTAAGCCTCCTGCTTGCGACATTTCCAATCGACGTCTGCAACGTGCGATGACGCCTTTCAGTGCATCAATGACAATGGGTTTGTGACATCATGGCAGGGGAAGAAGACTGAAGATCGCAAAGCCCGATGCTGACTAACATTCCCTCTCTTCCCCAAACTGTCGAGAGTTCCAGATCAGGTCGCGGACCCTGATCGAACCACCACAGCAGCAGCCAATGCCGGTGCAGTCTTCAATCCGATCACGCAGGCCGAAGACAAATGGCAATCCCGAAGAGAAACTGTCTCTTCCCCTGGCCCTTGCCACGGGGATGGGAAGAAAGACCCTAGCGAGTAGCAAACCCCCACAGGAAACGGCCAGCAGCGGCCAATCAGAGGGCCTCCAGATGTCGTGATCAGCCTCGTCAAATACACCACCACTCTAACGAAACTTTTCCACACATCGCGCGCTATGCAATAGCCTCCACCACCTGCTGTCATGCTGACCCGGTTTACTTGTGCGAGAACCAATGCCAGTTCGTGCCTACCGTCTGGAAGCCTCCAATATGACCAGGAATAGTAGAACAAAAACATTAGTAATGTGCTTTGCCGTGGATAACTTGCTGCAATAGTTCGCCGTGTTTCCCGGAGTAGCGGATATGGCTTGCCAGACGCTGTGAAAATAGAATCCCGCCAGACCTCCTCCCGGGCCTCCTTAATACCACCGTTCCCCCATCTCTTTCTACCACACTAGGTCTTGTGCACGTTCCCCCGCTATTGTTGCGACTTTTTGATCTCTGGCAACCGTCTGTATTCACTCAACTAGCCGTTGCTGTTGATTTTCGACCATCCATTCCTCAGTCGTCTATAAATCCGAGTCTCAAGTTGCCTCTCAATCCAATTCTCTCTTCGTCCAATTCCATCCTTGTCTAGTTCCGCCTTTGTGGTCTACACCTGCTTCGTCGAAGAGCCATCTCGAACCCCCTTCTCGAAAACCCCTCTCGAAAGCCACTCTCAACATGGCTGACGATCGAACCGAGACATCCTCCCAGGTGTCATCACAAGGTGACCACGGGTCGGTGGATTCCGGGTTCGTCTCTCCGAGCTCGTCAACCGCCCACCTGCCTGCGGTATCCCTCACACCGGCACACCTGAACCACCTCAACAAGCAGCTCGAGTCGATGGACCCAATGGACATTCTCCGCTTCTGCAAGGTCTTCTTCCCCGGCCTCTACCAGTCGACGGCGTTCGGCCTGACGGGCCTCGTCACCATCGACATGCTCTCCAAGATTGACGCCGAGTCGAAGAACCCACAACCCATCGACCTCATCTTCCTCGACACGTTGTACCACTTCCAAGAGACGTATGACCTCGTGGAGCGGGTCAAGGAGCGCTACAACGTTCGCGTGCACGTCTTCAAGCCGGCCGACGTCGAGACAACCCAGGAGTTTGAGAACCTCTACGGCGAGAAGCTGTACGAGAACTCGTCAGAGCTGTACGACTGGATCGCCAAGGTGGAGCCTCTGCAGCGGGCGTATTCCGAGCTGAAGGTGGCGGCCGTGCTCACGGGGCGGCGCCGGTCGCAGGGCGGGCAGCGGGGAGACATCCCCGTTATCGAGCTGGACGAGGAGCGGGGCATCATCAAGATCAACCCGCTGGTCAACTGGTCGTTTGCGCAGGTCAAGGCCTACATTGACGAGCACAAGGTGCCCTACAATGCGCTCCTCGACAAGGGGTACAAGTCGGTCGGCGACTGGCACTCGACGGTCCCCGTCGCCGAGGGCGAGGACGAGCGCGCGGGCCGCTGGAAGGGCCAGGACAAGACCGAGTGCGGCATCCACAACAAGCAGAGCCGCTACGCCAAGTGGCTCGAGCAGACGGCGCGCCAGCAGCGGGGGCAGCAGGAGGTGCCTGCCGCATGAGCTTCAACTGAGCTCTTTTCTTCAAAGGCGCTTCTGCGGAGGAAAATGGATTAGCATTTTGGTTATTGACGATGGTAATGACGGGTTTACTTGGGAGGGGTGTCGTGTTATACGCACTCCGCACGCATGTTCGCGGCGTTCAAGGGCGTTTACGGCATTGTCTTTTCTGGGTCCTCAATGACCACAGCGGGAGGCGGGAGGCGGGCAGCGTTGCTTATCGCATGTTTTCAAAATAGGTAGCATTCCACGCCCGTTGGCACATTGCTGCCGCCAGGCTTTTAATCAGTTAGACAGACAGACAATCAAGGAAGTTTGCAAACGCACGCCCAGGCCTAGAATAGAGTTCGTCCATCAAGGTGACTGGTGACCTAAGGTTGAGAGGTGCGGGGCCTAATTTAGTTGACGCTGGGAGGTGAGGGAGGTCAGACGACCACTCGGGATCTCCAGACGATCTCCGGGTCCTCATTGGTTCGTGACGTGATGGATGCTGTGTTTCCCATGCGGTTCATCAAGCTGCGAGGCTTGTCGCCGCAAGTCACGGTAGATAGGATAAACAGTGGTAGTCTGAATTGGCTGCTGGCAGTGTAGGGTTGCAGACAAACGGACGGTGAAGATGGTGTCTTGACTTATCGATATCCCCGGATTTCTGGGTAGACATGGCGTGGTGGGTCTGACAGGCCCAAGCAGCCAATCAAGATGATGCTTGATTTGGTTCACGATTTTGTCTACGTGCAACTTTTGGAAATGGAGTACGTTTGTTACTGGGTCTAATGCGAACTATAAGGGTTTCAGAAAATGAGGTTTGTCTAAGAATGAAGGTCCTACCTACCGGAAGCACCTTACTACTGATCACCAGGTTCTTGAGAACCTTCCGTGGCATATGGATGGATGCCTTTGACGGCAGTCATGACGGCGCCATGATCTCCGGCCTCTGACACGCTGCGCGTCATGTTGCTCAGGCTAATCGTGTTACACCCAATCTCGACGCTATGATGCATCCTCCCTTGTCGATTCAGTCAGATCTCTCTAGCCTCGGAAAGCACAGCTTCCTCTTTCCGGTAACATCGGATAGATCTGGGGGATCGACACATGGGTTCGAGTCTAGACTTTTCTGCAATGTCGCGAGTCCTTCATTGGACTACGATGCCGTTCCCTTGCCTATCCCCGCTGTCTTGGGTCCCTCATCGGCATATCGTGATCTGGGTCAGGCAAAGGAACAGTTCGCGGCATGGCCAAGGCATGATGTGATCAAGCAGTCGCTTCCTGGCGCTTCCCCTATATCTTCGCCATATGTCCTCCCTCAAACCCCTTAGTCCGTCTACCCTCTGGTTTTTAAGAGAGATTATAGAAGGCTACTTGCGACCACGATGCGTCTCTTGCACTTGTTGCCCTTAGGGCTAGCAACTTGCGTTTCTGCGCAGGCTCTAACCACAGTACTGACTGAAAACAATGCCACATTGAGCACTCTGAGCAGTACGTGTTCCTCTACAGACAACCCATAGAGGCAATGTCCATGCTAACAGCGAAGGAAGCGCTCCTTGCGCTTGTGCCCGATGTTGTACAAACACTATTGGAAGCCCAGAATATCACCATCCTGGCTCCATCAAACACAGCATTTGCCAATCTAATGGCCAGGAACCCGAGGTCGGTCGAACTGATGAGCAATCCCAGGGCCCTTGCAGGGGTTCTGCAATATCATGTCTTGGCTGGGAGGTTATTGTCGAGCGGCTTCATGACGACACCAAAGTTTCCTGCCACTTTACTCATGGCGCCGTTTGCCAACGTCACCGGTGGTCAGAAGGTGGTGCTTGCGATGGTGAATGATACGGCCAGGGTGTTCTCGGGATACAAGCAGATGGCTTCGGTTGTTACCGCGGTATGTGGTGTGAGAGTGCTCGATTAGAGATGAATGCCGAACTGAGGCTTTCCCAGGATGTCCAATTCGACGGCGGCAACGTCGTGCACGTCATCGATACGGTTCTCACCGTCCCCGCAACGCCGGCACAAACGGCCATCAACACGGGGCTTACATCACTGGCTGGGGCCTTGACAAACGCCGGCCTAGTCGGTCCGGTCAACTCGCTCACCGACGCTACCATCTTTGCACCATCCAACGACGCCTTCGAGGCCATCGGTTCTGCGCTGGGGGTGATATCTCCGCAAGACCTTGCCAGTATCCTTGGATACCATGTCGTGGCGCAGCAAGTCCGGTTCAGCACCGACTTGCTGAGCGCGGACCAGATGACGCTCTCTACCTTGCAGGGACAAAACATCACGGTCCGCAGGGACGGTGGGCAGTTGTTTGTCAACTCGGCAAGAGTGCTGATTGCGGATATCTTGACCACCAACGGAGTGGTGCATGTCCTGGACAAGTGAGCCTCGTGTCAGCTGGGTGCAGCTTCCAGGGATCAAATACTTACTTTGCCCAGCGTTCTCAATCCCTCGAATACAACCGTCGTCCCGGACTCGGCTGCTGCCACACAAGCTCCGGCGTTCGCTGGTGTGTCCTCGGTGACAGAATCGCCGTTCACTTCGGGCATCACGCCTACGGCGACATTTGTTCCCGCTTCGGTGCCCTTGAATGGAGGTGCCGGCGCCCTTGCTGCTGTGCCCACCGCGGCACTTGTTCTTGCCGGCGGTGCGGCGGTGTTGGCTGCTAATCTCTAGTTTGCATGTATTTTGTGTGTCAGAACATGCATGATCATTCCCGTTTTTCTGCTCTTCAATTTTAGTGTTTGTAACGGTCTTGTTCAGAACCATATACCCTACTTTAGCATAGCAAATAATACCACTTACAGAGGTTTGCTTTCTCCAAGCGGTCTATCCGTATTTGCCTCGTAGAATTAGAATGGCCCAAGAGCCAACGATGATTCGATAGTATCCGCCAGGATAGGGGTTTACTTGACGTCCAGCAGGGGACCATAACACTGATTAGAGATCGCGAATGTCCTCCAATGCTTACAATTCAGGGGTTAGAGAAAAAGGGGCTCGTCCCCGTCGTGACATGCACGTGACCTAACCAACAATCCACTCATCCAATGACTCGTCCTCTGCAACCTACCTACGTAACCTCAAGCATTTAACAACCCAAACAAATCACCCACATGCTAGTATACTACTAGTCTTCCAGTTCACACCATGAAAATCACCGACCCGGCCGACCCGTCACCCACCAGCCAGTTTGCCCGGCGCAAACAAAAGATCCTCTCGGACCTGGCCGTGCCCGAGGACCGGTACAGCGACGCCTCACCCAAGGGTACCGTCGACGCTGGCATCCGGTCGCTGATTGACGCTATCAATGCCCGTGCGGGTCTGGTCACGACCAGCAGCTGTGCTGGCCGCGTCTCTGTGTACCTTGAAGGGGGTAAGGGGAAACGACGGACTGCTCCTCCCGTGCTCGGTCATCAGCCGGGTGTCGGTGGTGAGGGGGAGGATGGGGATGGCAATAGGAATGAAGCGACGGTGCCGGCGTCTGTGCAGGGGACTGGTGCTTCGGCCGGGGGGAAAGGCGGCGGGGAGTGGCTGTTTGTTTCCCACGATCCGGTGTCTATTGAGTCTTTGGAAAAGGAAGGGGGTTTAGGCGCTGTGCTGGGTCTGGAGTTGGAAACGGAGGTTGGTCCCGGTGCCCTGACCGGCCGGACTGAAGAGCCAGCGAGGTTGATTCACTTCAAGTTTGAACCGATGGTATCTTGCGGTTTCTCTATCTATGCCTTTCAATCCGGAGCGCCAAACTAACCAATGTTTTCAAGATCCTGCATATCTTGACCGCCTCGCTTGAACATGCCCAGCTGGTCATTCAAGCGGGCATGGAGGCGGGCTTCCGCGAGACCGGAGCCGTCAGCCTGCTCAAGCGGCAGCCAGACGAGGAAGCAACGCCCATGGTGGCTGTGCGCTGCATGGGCCTGGCCTTTGAGTCGCTTATTGGGATGGAGGTGGACGGCCTTCGTCGGTCTATCGTCTCGCCGGAGTATCTCAGAATGCTCCTCAAGATAGCAAACGAACGGTTTGTCGAGAACCAAAAGAGGATTTCCAGGTTTAGTGCGGCCCTGGAGGACGCTTTCGCCACGCCCAAGGGGAAAGAGAACTGGGAGGATGCGCAAGCAAGGAGAGAACGTAAGAGGCAAGAGGGCCTCCGGCAGAAAGACGAACTCGGAAAAGAAAAGAGACAGCCTGTAGATGAGCCTAGCCTAGACCTCATTCTACAACAACCAGACGTTCTCTAGCACACAACCTGCTTGCTTGTAAATGCCATGGTCACCCATGCTCGCCGGCTTTTGCTTGTCTATAACACGCGGAAGCCACATTAGCCTCACGGCCAAGCTCTTTTGGTATACAAGTAATACAAAGACGGCCCGGTTGAACCAATCCACCACCGCCAGCAATCCCAATCATTCCAAACCCCATAACCTAGCTGATAACCTTATCAACCCACCCCTTTTCCATTCTCCTGACCTCCTCCTTGAAAGCCTCGACCTCGCGCCAGCAGTCGAGCGGCCGCCGGTCGTTCTCGCGCAGGCACCGCACCACCTCGTTGCGCGCCTTGTCCACGCCCTCGGGCACCTCGCGCACCCTCCTGCGCTCCTCCAGCTTGACGCGTAGGTCCTCGACCGCCTTAGCGACGGCGTGTCTGCTGGGGGCCTCGCCTCCCTGCTGTAGCTCGGTAGACGGCTCGTCCGAGAGTTTTTGTCGCGCCTCTCGCAGGGCGTCAGCCTCTTGGGCGCGGAGGCGCTTCAGCTCGGCGCCTACACGCTCCTGGATCGCGAGCTCGAGGGATTGCAGGCGGGATACGTCGGTCTGTGTGGTAATTATTTGTGTTGGTTAATCGTTGCGAGTATTGGATTGGGTGGAAAGGGGGCGGCGGGCAATCCCTGACCTCATTGCTAGTCTCGAGTATCTCAGCAAGGTCTCGTGATACCCCGGGTTGGGTGGGCCTGGAGAAGTGTCAGTTGGTCGAGTCATCAGCTGCTCGGCACCGCGAGAGCTTGGTTGAGAGTTATGGCGTACCCCTTCCACACATGCGGCGCAGGGTTCGAGGGCTTGGACGAGCTCGAACCCATGATTCGGAGATGGGAGATGGGAGCCGAGAAAACAGATACGGATGTGAATTGGCGCCGGTGAGTGTGGTGACGGCAATTCCGTGTGACTGTCGCCGTCCTCGCACGAGCTCTCGGTCGATTGTCACTTGTCGCTGAAGTGAAGCTTTCCCGAAATGCTTGGCATCTTGCTTCAAGTTTCTGGTTCCTGGAAATTTCCGTCCAATGACGAGATTACAGTGCCCATAGGTACCACATAACACTGTGTCTCCATTTGAACCTGAAGCCCGAGTGACAGACGCCCGGGCCCTATCAACTCGATCAACGTTGAACATCATGTCCAAAGGAGCCAGATCTTTTTGCACATTTCACTCAGCGTTGTGCAGCACCTCCAGTTGGATCTGCACAACATTCGCAGGTGTATGCTTAACATCAATTCTTTGACATCTCGACTCCATGCTCGTGGACCCGCTGTTCCTGAAGCCTTGTCCACGAGATGACTTTGCCAACGGAGCTGTTGGTCGGCCTTGCTCTCCTGAGTCCCCTTCTCAAGTACAAATACGAGATGCCTATCCGAGCTCGAGTTGGCTCCTCCAACGAAACGAAACGCCAAGCGAGTAAGTTATGTAGGTACTGCTTGTTCCTCTCCCTTGCGGGCATCTCACCATTGCGACAACCCTGTCCTTGTCTCGCTTAACTTTTACATATTCCCCTGCGGGCAAGCGTGGAGCAGTTCGCCTCGGCTTCATACACTTGGAATAGGATATCATCTCCGTTGACGACAGCACGGACTTCACAACGTCCTCGTGCTCCCCTGGCCATAATTGCATTCGACTGCTTAGGTAGTTCCGGAGGATCGGGACCTCGACTCCAAGGAAGAACCAATATCGTCCCGTACGTGTGTATCGGGTATTCGCAGAGTTCAAGAACATAGGAGGCTGTTGATAGCCTAGCAAGGCATCTCCTGGACATCTTCTGGCCAGTTGTCTCCAGTAGCATGGTTGACGACCTCGAATAAGTCCATATAGTACAAAGGTAGTGTTTCTTTCATCAAAAACGTGGGCCAAGAGCCGACCTGACCACATCTCGGAATCCAATGCAACGAACCAATCCATCTTTGGCCTGGTCTAGGGCCCGCGGCTAGATCCGCAGCCAGGGCTAGAGCCCCTCTCATCTCGCCAGCGACGGCCCCCCACGGAATCCCTATGATATCGATCGATTTTTATCTAGCCGATCACGATTGCACCATGTATTGCGGCACGGATAGGATCATAGACGTCAAGTATGGTGTCGTGTAGTGCACGGGCAGTACAGTGAATTTAAATAGAGTACTTTTGTATGCACTATGTTGACGTAGTGTATGGTGAAGGCCATGGACACAACGGGATTGTCCCCTCGGGCTGTATCACTCAATAAGATTTGGCCTGAAACTCCAAGTGGAGCTCGTAGATCATCTCGCTACCTACACGTGGAGTCCGTAAAAAGCTTCTTCCTGGTGTCGGCCCGTCACGGTGGGATAAGCCGGGGTCGAAATCGAATGCAGTGGAAGTCGTCGGTTGGTGGCTGGATGCTCTTGGCGAAGATTGCTCGTATGGTGACCGGAATAAGAGAGTTTGAACACACCACAAACGTGGGAGCATGAAGACGAGGAATCACAAGCCATTCAACGCCTGGATTTATGTTGTTTAAGTTGTAAGCTCTGCTCGGCTCGACGGGCTCACCGAGCTGTCGGCTTGGGCGTTCGGCGTTCGTTGGAGGGGCAAACATGGTTGGGTGGCGCAAACAGGCCGCTGCGGGGCGGTGTGCACCGTGCTGGGCAGGGGCAGTGCTGAACAGGTGCCAAGAAACGCCTTGGAAAACATTGGTCCAATCAAAATCGGGCGCCCCATCAGCTGCAAGGGGTTCTGAATCCGTCATCCAAAGTCCCAACGGCTTTCACCCTATGATTTCGCTTGCTCGAGTGAGGCCACATGCTTGGTCCCCTGAACACAGCTTTTCCACTTTCCCCGAGTCTCCCGCAAAATGCGAAAACCACACGATAAACCAGACCATCGGGCGCACCACTGGTCGGACTTGGCAGGCCAGATCAAGGTCCACCGGCACCCATGCATCGCTAGTCGAGTTTTCTTTGACAGGCTGGATTCGGTGTAAGCTAGACCCGCCGGTGCGGTTGGATGACGATGGCTGGTGCCGTGCCGCAAGGGATACAATTGCACGTTCAGGGGGGAAAGGGACATGCGAGGATGGCTTGCTGCGGAGGGATCCGAAAGTGCCCACGATGGTTTCTTTTCCACTCGCTCTCTCTTAAATGCCTGGTCGGCCTGTTTACATCACGAAGTGCACCCCCCCTTCTGCACGTCTTTTGACCTCCGCCCCAATCAGTCTCTCTCTTCCAAGTTGGGACCGTCTGGCCCGGTCTGCTTGTTCAGTCCTTCGACGACGGTCGGTCTGGATCGGCCCGTAAATATTGGTTGCTGTGTTCAAGTGTGTTCGAGGATCGAAAGCGGAGAAACCTCAGATCAGCATTTCGCATATCTCATCTCATCTTCACGCGCACTTGACTTCACTCCGTGTTTTCAATTACTCAAACTCACCGCTAAGACAACCGACCCTCATCATCGCCCTCGTTGCGACTTGAATCACTCAACACGGTCTGGGAGAGCAGTCTCGTTCCTCGGTTCGCCGAAGCACACGTTCTTTTCACGTCAATATTTGAGGGAAGTTGTGACTCTCGATCATTTGGAACCACGCACAAGACCTGGCTGGTGCGGTTCATTCTGTCAAAGCCATTGTTCCCACGCGCTGTTGGCCCTCTCCTTCGCACTTCAATTCTACGGTCTTCCGTGGCCGGTCTCTTACGTCGGTCAAACCTGGCTTGCGCCGGACAACAAGACAGGTCGGCTCTCTGGCGCCACACAAGGTCGACAGCCCAGCTATTCCGGTGTTATCATCCCGGCTAAGTCTCCGTGTTCGCGCTCTCGGCATTGGAAGAGGCTGTGCGGACTGTCACCGGTTGGATTGCGTCTATTCGTTGGTCCGCATCACGAGAGAACAATCCGGATCCGCTTTGTTTTGCTATTCATTGTTCAGCAACAATTAGGATGTTCATTTCCGTCGGTTTTCCACAATAAGCCAGGCTGCCCGGCGCGACTTTGGATTTTGCCGCCGACCCTTTAAAAAGCACATCTTTGCGACTGAAGGGAAATTTGCGCTTTCACTCAAGTGATCGAACTATCCACTGGACTTCTGTCAACCGCCGCAGGATATCGTTGGATTCTGCAGCCATCACAACTCTCTCAGCCCTCCTGCTTCATCATGGACAACCCACGGCATGGGCTACCAAGCCCCGAGACAACCATTTCCAACACGCTGTTACACCTTCGAGATGCAGTCACAACAGCAACAGCGACACAAGCGGCAGCAACCCCAAATCCCACCATTGCCCCGTACAACACGGGTCTCAATGGCGTCAACCAGCCGAATAACATGTTGTTTACCTACGTCTTGTGGTGGAGTTTGGGCATTGTTGGGCTGTTGATGCTGGTGATCAGGATAGTTCAATTGGGCTGGACTCAGCTCCGACTTCTCAACGCGATGTCCCTGCCGGCGGACAAACAGGGGTACTGGAAATTGAAGCAATGGCACCGGATGCCAGGGCTGAAGCAATCTCTCCTTTACGCCCCGTTGTGGAAGAAGCGTCATAACCGCGAGATACGTCTTTCGAGCGCCATGAACATGGGAACGCTCCCTTCCAGATTTCATGCTCTTCTCCTCTTCGGTTACCTTGGCAGCAACCTGGCATACATGTTCATCCTTGACTGGAAGAACGAAAACAAGTATGCGCTCTGCGCCGAGATCCGCGGTCGTTCAGGGACCCTCTCGCTTGTGAGCATGATTCCGCTCATCATCTTTGCTGGCCGGAACAACCCCTTGATCTGGCTGCTCAACGTCAGCTTCGACACGTACAATCTGTTGCACCGTTGGATGGGCCGCGTCGTCGTCATCGAGGTCATTATCCACCTCATCGCCTGGGCCATCGTTCAAGTGGCGGATAACGGGTGGGCGGGCGTGAGCCATAAGATTCTTCACGACCCATTCATTACCTCCGGCACTGTCGGCGTGGCTGCCATGACCATCCTGCTGGTGGGGGCATTCTCCCCTGTGCGCCATGCCTTCTACGAGACGTTTCTCAACACGCACATCATCCTGGCCCTAATTGCCTTTGTCTGCACCTGGGTGCACTGCGTAACAGCAACGGTGGAGGGCGGTCTTCCGCAGACGCCCTGGATCCTGGCCATTATGATCCTCTGGCTTGCCGAGCGAACGGCGCGGTTGTTCCGTTTGGCTTACGCCAACTGGTCCTCCCGCGGCTTCACCGAAGCCTTGGTGGAGCCCATGCCGGGCGAGGCCTGCCGCGTGACGATGCACCTTCCGCGCTTCGTCAACATCAAGCCGGGACAGCACGCCTATCTCCGTTTCGGCGGGGTCAACTGCTGGGAGAACCATCCCTTTTCCATCGCATGGTACGAGCACTCTCACCAGGAGAAAACTCTCCCCGTCAGCGAGAAGGACGTCAAGGGGTTCCTAAGACCCGTCACCACCTCCGTCTCCTTCATCATCGGCGCCCACACGGGCTTCACCCGCAAGCTCTACAACCAGGCCGTCCGGGCCGGACACCGCGGCATCATGATGCGGGCCGCCTTCGAAGGGCCGTACGCGGGCCACCACAGCATGGACAGCTACGGCCACGTGGTGCTCTTCGCGGGCGCCACGGGCATTACGCACCAGCTCAGCTACCTCCGGCACCTGATCCAGGGGTACAACGACGGGACTGCGGCGACGCGGCGCGTCACGCTCGTGTGGATTGTGCGCGACTACGAGGTTCTCGAGTGGGCGCGGCCCTGGATGGACCAGATCCTGCGCATGCCCAACCGCAAGGAGGTGCTGCAGATCCGGCTGTTTGTGACGAGGCCCAAGGCCGCCAGCCAGGTCGTGTCCGCCTCCACCACGGTTCAGATGTTCCCCGGCCGGCCCAACATCCCCATGCTCCTTGCCAAAGAGGTCTACGAGCAAAAGGGCGCCATGTGCGTCTCGGTCTGCGGGCCGGGCGGCTTGGCGGATGACGTCAGGGACGCGGTCAGGAAGGTGCAGGAGGAGAGGACTGTTGTGGATTTTGTCGAGGAGAGCTTTACTTGGTGAGAGGTCGGGGTCGAACCGATGTCGCCCGTGACTTGGACCGACGGACGTACCAAGGGACGTACCGGCTTCTTGACTGCAGCCCCCGCTGCCTTCATGCTTTTTTCTTCAGTATATTCTTCTTCTTTTGCCGGGTCGACCCTGTTCTCTTCACCAGCGGACGCCCATAGACGACTATAATTACATTTCTTTCTCATTCAAGACTCTTTTCTTTCTCAGCGCTTGGTTCACCGTTCGGCGGGGATACAGGAGATTTTCCTTCACCTTGCATTTGGAGAGTCGGGTTTCCCATATCCCAGCTCTCTCTGTATATATTACTGGTTATAGGGGTCAGAACAAGTAGATAGGGGTCTGATTGGGTCGCTGCGGTCATTGACGTGAGGACAGAGCATGGCACATTGTACATAGATATACCATACGTGTCTGCTGTCTGGTTGCAAGCATGCCGTGTGCACACGGCCTGGCTGGAGTTGGAGCACGAACTGCGAAGGAATAAAAAAGTATTTTCGCTGCTTGGAGAGTGCCCCTAGTTCGTTTTCGTGTCCTGTAGAGTAGAGTATGGGAAAGGTGAGAGAGATCTAGTTGGAGATACCCAACGACAAAGAGAGTGTCAATACCTAGACTTGCTTGGAACAATGAGTACGTGTTTACAAAAGAACGGAACATCATGCCGTGTAACTTTGAGTCATGGGGGGTAACAAGGGGTTTGCTGCCTTGGTAACTAAAAGTACCTACCTGCAGAGCTATGTATGTGTGTGTGTGTGTGTGTATAATTCCATATTGCCCCCCTTTCACAAACCTGGAATGACCAGTCCTTGATGTGACATTGCGATGTCCAGGGCCATGTAGCTGGCTTCGCTGGATGGATGGATGGTAAGGCAAGCAAGGCATGGCTCATGGGACGGGAAAGGACAGACAACACCACCGCCACAGCCCTGCTCCTACAGACAGCTGAAAGAGGAGGTGGATGGCGGGTGATGATGGATGGAGAGTGGCCTTGCCCTTAGTTACGCCCTTCTTTTTACTTTTGCACTAACGTAACGTACAATACCTAGTGAGCCTAGGTAGCTTAAACTAGGTAGTTATCCGGTGTTTGGTGTCAAGCGGCCCGTGTGGAGTGCAGTGACAAAGTGACAGCTTCAGAAAGACATGAGCCAAACCTCCAACGTTGAAGTCAAGCAGCACCGAAGTAAGGTGCGGAGGTGAGGTGACTGTACTGTACAACATGGGTAGCGTGGAGGAGCCGTCCCTCCCGCTTCCGAGGGTGTGTCTCCCGGCTCCCGCAAGGCAGTCTGGAAAAGGGTTTCAACGGGGAATCATTGTTTGGAACCGCTGCAGGTTCCAGCTATCAGAATTTGGGGGAGGGTTGCAGAAGAGCAGAATCTGCAAGTCGATTCGCGAATAGCAGGATGTAGGGCCGCATATGGAGTGGGCTGCTGCGTCCAAGTGCGGGCGGGCGGAAAAGAGGGGTTGTAACCCCACCATGGGTCTTGTATGCACACTGCAATACAAACACAGTACAGTACCGTCAACCAAAAATGCAGCTTTTTGCTGTATCCGTGAAAGCACTCACAGCCGGCTTGTCTTGGTGGCGACAGATTCTCGAGATACTAGTATGTACGTACTATGTAGTGTGCTAGAGGACGGGCCGTGAAGGTGGGGCTACATTTGCTCTAAAAACGAGATTTTCTCTTAGACAAGCACTGGTGCAGGTTCAGGTCCCGGCGTTTGTTACGGCTGTCACTGGCAAGATGGGGACCGTGGCCTCGACAGTCGAAACTCCTCACTTATGACTCAGGGACGATCCCTTACCATTTATATCCGCCAGCTTCCGCCTCTAAATCAACATCTGTCGTGTACTCCTGCAGACCTCTTGTGCATATATTGTCAGCAGGTACCTAGATCTGGGCAATTGTGTCTTTGAGAACGAGCAACAGTTACTTCTGCCATCTACCTGAAGCTTGCCCCTCATTGCATCAGTTTGGAAAAAGAAAAAAGAGGGAAGGGGAAAAAAAGTAAAACACATCCAGCTTCGTATTTCTCTCCACACTTGGCCGCCATGCCTATGTGAGTATGAACCGCCTGCCAACAGCCATGTAGCTGTCTTGGTAATAGTTGAGACAACAAAACGCTTACTGACGCTTGGCTACAGGCTCAAGGATCCCTCTAAGAAGTACAAGAGGTTCCCCCCTCTTAATCTCCCAGATCGCCAATGGCCGAATAAGACCATTGACAAGGCGCCGCGGTGGCTCGCGACTGATCTTCGCGACGGCAACCAGAGTCTGGTTGACCCCATGGTATGTTTCTTATAGTCCATATACGGGATTGACCTGCGGAATAATTGACAACTCGTTCCGGCAGAATGGTGACCAAAAGTGGGAGTACTTCCGGATGCTCTGCGATCTGGGCTACAAGGAGATCGAGGTGTCATTTCCCTCAGCATCACAAACCGACTTTGATTTCACCAGACGCCTGATCGAGACGCCGGGAGCGGTACCCGACGATGTCTGGCTCCAGGTCCTGTCTCCATGCAGGGAAGACCTCATCCGTCGAACAGTACAGTCCCTAAAAGGCGCCAAGAAGGCAATTGTCCACATCTACCTCGCCACCAGCGAATGTTTCCGCAGGGTAGTATTCGGCTTCACCGAGGACGAGAGCGTCGAGCTTGCCAGCCGGTGTACGGCCCTGGTGCGGTCGCTGACCAAGGACGACCCCTCACAATCAGCTACCGAGTGGGCGTTCGAGTTCAGCCCAGAAACCTTCTCCGACACGAGCCCCGAGTTCGTCATCAGGATCTGCGAGGCGGTCAAGAAAGCATGGGAGCCCACGGTTGAGAACCCAATCATTTTCAACCTCCCTGCTACGGTAGAGATGGCCACCCCCAACGTGTACGCCGACCAGATCGAGTACTTTTGCCGCAACATCAGCGAGCGCGAGAAGATCTGTGTTTCCCTCCACCCTCACAACGACCGGGGTTGCGCGGTAGCGGCCGCCGAGCTTGCTCAGATGGCCGGCGCCGATCGAGTAGAGGGGTGCCTGTTTGGTAACGGGGAGAGAACCGGCAACGTCGACCTCGTAACCCTCGCCCTGAATCTCTACACCCAGGGCGTATCGCCCCATATTGACTTTTCAGACCTCAACAAGGTCATCAAGGTCGTCGAGAAATGCAACAAGATCGAGGTGCACCCGCGTGCGCCGTACGGTGGCTCCCTGGTCGTGTGCGCGTTCAGCGGTTCGCACCAGGACGCCATCAAAAAGGGCTTCCAGCTGCGGGAGAAGGAGGGCAAGCAGTACGACGACTACTGGCAGATCCCTTACCTCCCCCTCGACCCCAAGGACATTGGCCGGGACTACCAGGCCGTCATCCGCGTCAACTCGCAGAGCGGCAAGGGTGGCGCTGCCTGGATCGTCCAGCAGCATCTCCACCTCGACCTGCCCCGTGGCTTGCAAGTCGCCTTTGCCAAGGTGGTCCAGGATATGGCCGAGAAGAAAGGCCGAGAGCTGCTCCCCACCGAGATCACCGACCTGTTCCAACAGACCTACTCCCTCACCAAGAACCCGCGCTTCAGCATCGTCGATTACACCATCACCCCGGACCGGTCCACCTCGCCGGCACCTCCTGAACCGGGCAAGACGCAAGACACAAGGAACCTTAGGAGGGTTTTTGACGGTGTCATCTCCATCGACGGCACCGAATACAAGCTTCGTGGTCGGGGCAACGGGCCCATCTCTAGCCTCGCCAACGCCCTGCGGACCGTTGGCATCGACCTCGACGTGCAGGATTACAAGGAGCATGCAGTCGGCCGAGGGCGTGATGTCAAAGCCGCGACATTCATAGAATGCAGCGCTGCGGGCGCCGAGGACAGAGTCTGGGGTGTGGGCATCCACGAGGATGTGGTTCAGAGCTCTCTGATTGCCCTTCTGAGTGCGGCCAGCAGCGTGAGTTGTTTACTTACAAGTCCATTCCACCTGCCTGTAATTGATGACTGACTTGGCTATTGGTTTAGTTCACCCTCAGCCGGCAAGGGAGCCCCAAGATCCGCAAGACTGCCGACGGGGTTAATGGAACCGTCAAAGTCCCCGATCTCATCAACGCTCTCGAGGCGAAGGCGGATGAACTGTGATGTCAAATCGGCAGATCACTTGTGTGACCATCTTACCTCAACTTCGTTTTTATCTTGTTGAACCTGTACTTGAAATATGGCCCGGGTGAGGAGAGGAAATGAAAATAACGGCGAGAAGCGCTTGGGCTCGGAAAAGTTTGTCCGTCGATCTGCTGGGTACAAATGGGTCGTGCGGACGAGTTGATTGACGCATTTACATTGTGTTGGGCATTCATCCCCCTGGGAAGGACAGGCTGAGTGAGTTGGTGTTGGGTTCGTGGTGAGGTGAGGTGCAGGCCTGGGTAGTAGTCAAAGACAAGCTCATGAGCAAGCACAGCTGGTTGCTCCTCAGCGCAATGAGAACCGATTCTCTATAGCAGTGCGCGAATTTGTGGTTTATATGTCTTTGCTGTTGCGAGTCTTATCACCAGTGAAATCACAAAAGTAAAAGATAACGAGATACCTAGTTAAGTAGCGGTCCTTCTGAGAGCCCGTAACCGCGCCCTATGAAGCAGTCACCGCCCAGGCACAGTATGCTCGTCCTGGGTTGAGGGGATCGTCGTGGACTTCACTTATACGCACAGGGCTCAGGTGTCTGTCTTTACCTCGAGGGCTCACGTCCCAATATGTCTCCATAGTAAAAGGTATCTTGTCTGGTTCCCGATATTTGGGTGGGTGTCAGGGGGCATGAGAGTGGCACTATCCGTACAATACCTGTTGGACTTGCGGTACCTCGAGAGGCAGGACCTCTGTTAGTGTGGCCGAAATTTTGTATGCAAAAATCGTCCGCTCTACTACCCCTCTTAACAGGTGTCTTTTCTGCATTTGTATGTATCTTGTAATGTATGTAAGGTATGTACAGTACGGATATGTACTTTGGAATTACAAAGCCTCCAAACTTCAGTGAGCTTCCTGCCAGCCGTAACATTGGTTAGATCTCCTGAATTGACAATGTATCACGACTGGAAAAGTCTTGGTGGGCGAGAAAGCAGTGGAATCGCAGTTGGGCATCGTCTCGAGCTGCAGCGCCCGGTGCACCATCAAAGGCCCCTCATCCCTCCCATGGTGAGCAAGTCGCTCCGCAAGAGTCAGCCCTAAGGCGGTCACACTGTGCTGCTTGCCTGAAGTTCTGCGGATTTGAATGCAGACCCAACTGAATGTGACAGCACAGTGCGGACCCTTGGGCCTAGATAACATCCAGCCGTGCAGTCAGTGCACTGAGTGCAGTGTTTTCGTTTCCATGGCGAGGAACTGCCAACGGCCAGTGTTGGACTTGCCTCTCAACTCCGCATCATTAAATCCCAGAGAAAAGACGACTGTCCAACGCACTCGACTCGAAGTTTGAAGTAAGGAAAGGGTAGTGGAAACAGTTTCTGCTCTTGTCACTCGACGTCTTTTGTCACCGCACGCTCTGTCTCAGTGACCTAAATCTCGTTCGACACGCTCCTTTTCCGCACGCTTTTCTTAAACCACCACCAGCGCCGCCCGCACGCTGTCCTCGGCGAATCTGCTAAATCCATAGGCGTGGTGCGGCATTGGAGGCATCCACCCACCCTCAAACGGACCCGCGATTGTTGACAAAATTTCGAGCAAACACAGACCCGCTCACAGCAACTCGGGTCGCCTCTGAGCATTTCGAACCCCTCGTCTTCATTTTTGGGCGGCTTGCCACGGGTTCAGCAGGTGAAAAGAAAGGCCTGGTTTTTGTTGGTGGTCTGCATCTTTTTCCCTGCCTACGTTACCAGAGATACCGTACAAGCAGTCAGGACTCAGGACCGTCCGCCGATACGTTTCTGTGGATCCACGGCCCCGCCTGTGTTACTCGCAAACTTTAGCTGCGAACGGCAACTCTTTGACAACTCCGCCATCCTTCCCTTCTCCTGCCCTTCAAACCGCCCCCGCTTTCCATCTGCTAGGCATTTGGCGACAGGATCTAGATCGCAACCATGGAAGGCCCGCCAGACATCAATACCGTCCTTACCAACTCGCTGAGTCCCGGTGAGTACACCGCAATCCGCGTCGTGGACGCTGCCCGCACTCTTTTCGCGCCCCTGTGCTCGTGACAGTCCCTCCTCGCTGACTGCCTTCCTAGACGCGACTCTGCGACATGCGGCCGAGCAGCAACTTACACAGGCCGCCGAGACAAACTTTGTAAGTCTGCCCTTCGCGCTCAACATGCCCTGCTTCCTTTGCTAATGCGGCTTTCCCCCAAAAGTCACAATACCTCCTCACACTCGTCCAAGCCTTGGCAAATGAGAACGGCGAGGGGCACATTCGAGCCGCGGCCGGTCTTGCCTTGAAAAACGCCTTCAGTGCACGCGAGTTTGCCAGGCAAGCGGCGCTACAAGCAAAATGGCTGAACCAAACGGACCAAGAAACAAAGACACGCGTCAAGCAGCTGGCCCTCGAGACTCTGGGATCCGCTAATGCTCAAGCCGGCCAAGCAACCGCCCAGGTCGTTGCGGCCATCGCGGCCATTGAGCTTCCCCGGGATCAGTGGCCAGACCTTATGCACGCGCTGGTTCGGAACGTCAGCGAGGGCACTCAGCACCAGAAGCAAGCCTCCCTAACGGCTATAGGTTTTATCTGTGAGAGCCAGGATACCGACCTCCGGAACAGTTTGGTCAAGCATTCCAACGCTATCTTAACGGCCGTCGTGCAGGGTGCGCGCAAGGAGGAGACGAACAAGGATGTCCGCCTTGCTGCCATCACCGCCCTGGGCGATTCGCTCGAGTTTGTTGGCAACAACTTCAAGAACGAAGGCGAGCGCAACTATATCATGCAGGTCGTTTGCGAGGCCACACAGGCTGAGGATTCTCGGATACAACAGGGGGCGTTCGGCTGCCTGAACCGGATCATGGCTCTGTACTATGAGCATATGAGGTTCTACATGGAGAAGGCTCTGTTTGGTCTCACCATCTTGGGTATGAAGAGTACCGACGAGGATGTGGCTAAGCTTGCGGTTGAGTTTTGGAGCACCGTGTGCGAGGAGGAGATTGCCATTGAGGACGACAATGCCCAAGTCGAAAGCTCTGACCAGATGAGGCCCTTCTACTTCTTCAGCCGTGTCGCGACGAACGAGGTGGTACCCGTGCTTCTGGGCCTTCTGACTCAGCAAGACGAGGATGCGGCAGACGACGAGTACAACATTTCGCGCGCTGCCTACCAGTGTCTCCAGCTCTACGCGCAATCTGTCGGTGCCACCATCATCCCCCCGGTCATCCAGTTCGTCGAGGCCAATCTGCGCCACGAGAACTGGCATAACCGGGACGCTGCCGTCTCTGCCTTTGGCGCGATTATGGATGGTCCCGAAGAGAAGGTGCTCGAGCCTATCGTAAAGTCGGGCATGCAGCCACTGATAAGCATGATGGAGGATCCCTCTGTCCATGTCCGGGACTCGACAGCCTATGCACTGGGCCGGATTACAGAGACGTGCTCAGAGGCTATTGATCCGAGCCAGCACCTCGATCCCTTGATCCGTTCGCTGTTTAACGGTCTGATGAACAGCCCCAAGATGGCGGCCTCCTGCTGCTGGGCGCTGATGAATATCGCGGAGCGGTTTGCAGGCGAGCCGGGCGCGGCTCAAAACCCGCTGACGCCGCACTTCAACCAGAGTGTCACCAATCTCCTGGCGGTAACCAGCAAGCTGGATGCCGAGCCTACCGTGCGGACTGCGGCATACGAAGTCCTCAATGTCTTCGTCCAGAACGCTGCAAATGACAGTCTGCCTGCCATTGCTTCCCTCTGCACAGTTGCCCTTGAGCGTCTGGAGCAGACGATCCCCATGCAGCAGCAGGTTGTCAGCGTCGAGGATAGGATTATCCTGGAGGATATGCAGACCAGTCTCTGCACAGTCCTTCAGGCCACTATTCAACGGTTGGACAAGGAGATCACTCCACAGGGTGATCGGATCATGGAGATCCTTCTGCAGCTTCTAAACAGCGTTGGAAGCAAATCTAGCGTACCTGAGTCAGCCTTTGCGACCATCAGTAGCCTTGCGAACGCGATGGAAGAAGAGTTCATCAAGTACATGGACGCCTTCGCTCCGTTCCTCTACAATGCGCTCGGCAACCAGGAAGAGCCCAGTCTCTGCTCGATGGCTATCGGCCTCGTCAGCGACATCACGCGATCGATGGGCGAGCGCAGCCAGCCGTACTGCGACAACTTCATGAACTATCTCCTGGGCAATCTTAGGGTTTGTTGCACCCCTTTCCTTCCTATTTGTTCCAAGTCTTCACCGGCACACTGCTGGAACTACAGGGCTAATGGTACTTGTGTTTTAGAGCACTGCCCTCGCGAATCAGTTCAAGCCCGCCATTCTCCAATGCTTTGGCGATATCGCTGCGGCTATTGGAGGGCACTTTGAGACGTACCTCACGATCGTTGCCCAGGTGCTACAGCAGGCTGCTACCATCACGGCTGGCGCCGACGGCTCATACGAGATGTTCGACTACGTCATCTCCCTAAGGGAAGGTATCATGGATGCGTGGGGCGGTATCATTGGTGCTATGAAAACCAGTGGCAAGAGTATGTATTTTGTCCACGCGTGGCTGGCTTTTTGTTGTGTATCTCGGATCTAACTCGCGTCCCGCAGCCGCCATCCTCCAGCCTTATGTGCAATCGATCTTCGAGCTACTCAACAGCATTGCTAATGATGCCAATCGGAGCGAGGCTTTGATGCGGGCGTCGATGGGCGTCATTGGGTAAGATTATCCGGTCCAGGCACTAGGCATTCACATCAAGACAGCTAATCGGCAAACAGTGATCTCGCAGATGCGTATCCAAATGGGCAGCTGGCCGATGCTTTCCGGCAAGACTGGGTCACGGCGATGATCAAGGAGACGCGATCGAACCGAGAATTCCAGTCTCGCACCATCGACACTGCTCGGTGGGCGCGGGAGCAGGTTAAGCGCCAAATCGGCGGCACTCAAACCGTCATGCAGACATGATGATGTGAGCCAACTCACAGCGTGACGCTGCTGTTCTGCACCTCCCAAGACGTACTCGTCATCTCGGAGGCCATCGGCGTCACGCCCGACAAATCACTCTGGGCAAAACGCCTAGCAGAAGCATCGCCTCACTAGCGTTGCTTCCCTCAGCAGCAGACCCCATTCCCCGACAACAGGGCACGGCACAACACCCGACACCAGACACGGCACTGAGATGCACAAATGTTGTGTATATAGATCCCATGCCCCGACATCATACCCCTAGAAAGACACATCACACTATTTGAGCACTCCCCTGCGGCTGCCGGCACTGTTTTGCTTTTTCATTTTTTTCATCTTTCCATTTGCTTTTCGACACGAGTTATGGGTTGACGATAGAGCGGTCTCATGTACTGTTCCATGCTTCTAGGAACTAGAGGCTTGAGAGCAAAAGCAACGTCATGTAGAATTTCGGAGCGGATTATTCCCCCAAAAGACGGCGGTATGTATGGATAGTTGTGGCGGATCATGTAATCCTTGGGTGCAGTAAACACAGACCCAGGCTCCAGGTAGGGGGGAGGGGACGGCGGGAAAGGGGGACACCAGAAAAGTGGATGGTCGCAGTACATGGACGGAGTTCTCGAGACGGTGGAAGAAAGGGTATTACGAGTACTGGAGTGAATGCCGGGGGCTCACCATCCATCCTTCGCAAGCCTTCGCATCCCATTCCTCCCTATCCCCTCCCCCGTCCTGGCAGTTGCGCGGTTTTCTACCTCTCCTGCGCGTGCTTCCAGACGGGAATGGAGAGTGTCATCGACGTCAGCTCCTACGTACCCTACCTACATCACCCATATTTGGCTCTTGGCGGATTGGGGAGGCGCGGTCAAGTGACCGTGACCTCACTCAGGTAGTGTAGATCGGATATTTACACGTAGATGGGATCTGGTGAATCACAAAGAACCATCTCTGCCCTGTACGTGTACGCTTGTTTCTTGCCGTGGCTGGTGGCTTCCTGGGAAACCCTCTCTTCAGACGTGATGATTCTCTGCGTCCATTCAAGCGATTGCAGAGTCGGCACCTTGTCGCACAGAGAAAGCAAGGGCTACAGATCTGGAACTTTTGCTCTACCTAAGGGAGCTGCTATCTTAAACTGTTGGCTAACTGCTCAAACCATCAGCTGAACCTGGAAAGGAACCTTGATGTTCGACTGACCCGTGTCTGCCTCCTTCCATCCCAGCGCCCGTCACGGCCTTATATGGCGCCAACCGGGAATCATTCAGCACCACCTGAGAACAGAAGTTGTTGCCATGGCCTATTGGCATTGACTCCCAGTCACCTACCAGAGGTGACGGGCTCAATTCCTATGACGGCGTTTATTCTGGGGGATCTGGGATCTATTGCTACCAGGAAACTTGCCCCCATACTGGTTAAATTCCGATGACGGCGTTCATTTCGGGATATACAGCTACCAGGGAGTTGGTCCCATTGGAACTCTAGTACAGCGTCTTGGTAGTTCTTGCTGATAGTCAACTGCTCTGTTCAATTTTTTTTATCTTCCATTTTCCCCCTTTGACGGTCAGGCAGCTCAAGGTGGTTGGTTGACAATTTACAATTGACATAGCGATGGTGCGTTGAAGTTGACAGCCTCGCGAATCTTGTCCAACTCATGCAGAGCCAATGGAAAGTCGTTGCCCATTGCCTGTTCCGTGGACAAGACAAAACCACAAGCTTTCGAGTGTCTTCCCTCCCGGTCCTCTTTGGCCAGCAGAGTCAGGCCCCAGGGTCTTGGGCGTCGATCAGAGATGGAGCAGTCCTTGGCTGGACGGTTGGGTTGGACCTGCAGAAACGCAGCTCAGACTGAACTTGGTGAAGTAGTCCGTACAATTCAAACTATCTATGAATTATGGCGGTGAGTGGTTTGTCTGTATCGACAGGCCGCCTGATGGATCGAGACCTCATCCAGAGAGGGAGGTCTCTGTGTGTCAGTTATAGCACGTATGCTTGCCGTCAATCTTGACAGCCTCGTCGTTCCACTGCCTGTCTGAGTTGTGGTACTTCGACCAGGAAGGGAATCTATTAGTGTGGCGCAATTTGTGTATGCAAAAATCGTCCTCTCTACGGAGGTACCCTCTTAACAAGCCTCCAATCTGCGTTCGTACTGTACATACATACAGGACCGATGAGTCGAATTATATACCTGGAAATTCCAGAGTCTCCAAACTTCCAGTGAACCATTGAACTTCGTACTCGGCAGCACGTCCTCCTCGATCATGACCCTACTAGGCATCCGTACTCAAGATAGTATGGCAGCGGTGATGCCACACTCCTCCAGAGTTCAAGTTATGAAGAAGTCAAGACACACACTGTGCACCCGCACGGTTGTGAGAGATGGGGTCCCGCGCTGACCAGGGGCTGATGGAGGGCCTGTGGCTGCACGCCCCGCCATTCTCTGCTCAATCGGGAGCTGTTCCGGATGCAGCAGGTCGCGACAGCAGTCGGCGGGGCTGGCAGGGTCCAGAGGGCTGACCTGGGGAAGGAGGAACTCGCGGCAAGCTCGATGGGGATGCACAAAAAGCAAGATAGAAGCTGTGCTCAGGGGATTATAACGTTTGGCCTTCCAGAGTCAAGGCCGTCAAGGGAAAGCCTCCTTCGCAATGTCATCAGTAACGGAATTAATACCTTACAGTAACCTTGTCACGTGTGGACAGGCCCTTTTCTTTGCCCTCCTTCTGTGAAAATGATTTTCTCTGCAGAGCATAACGTTACGTGTACTTCGTGTTTGGCCTCGTTGCAATTTCCTCAACAATAACATTCACGTTGTTAACCGGCAAGGCACTCGGACAAAAGGCCCCAGGATTCATTCCAAATCTCGAGCTGCGGCTGGCAACGCCCCGCCTTGCCGTCGAGCAGTCAACCTGGCAATTGACGGCATCAGATTGGGCGTGAATTGCCCTGCCGGCAACCAGAAGCCAGGTCTGCCCCACTCAAGCTTTGCCCTGGGGTGCTGTTCCGGCAAGAAAACAACATCCAACCCACACGAAAAGAAAAAAGCACAACAGTTGCGGGATCCAGGACAAGCAACCAGGACGGCTCTGCCACGAGCCGCCGTCGTCTCGACGGGGACGGGTGCCGAGGATGGACGTCGAGATGAAGCCGCCGACCGAGGCCGTGCCGATGCAGGTGCCGCTGCCGGTGCCGACAACGCCGGCTCTCCAACAACCACCAGACCTGACTGCCGCCGGCGGCCAGATGCAACCCGGAGCAGCAGCGCCAGAGCCAGCGCCGCCTGTTGTTGTCAGGCGTCGGGCCCCCATCGCATGCCGAAGGTGCGTGCCGTTGTGTTGCTCAATTCCAAGTTTCCAGATTTGCCCTGCCGGATTGCGGCCCCGTCACCCCTTTCCCCTTTCATAATTGGGGGTTTGTCCTCTCAACAGAGCCGTCCAAAGCATCTTTCCTTCCCTGCCCATGACCTGCCGTGTGTGCGTGTGTATACGAGCAAACAGAATAAGGGAGGTTGTTGGTCCTGACGCAAAACTTTATGCCAGATGCCGTCGTATGAGAAGCAAATGTCTGCACGAAAAAGCTAAGCCACCGTGCCGAGCATGTCTTGATGCCGGCCTTGGTCCCGCCGACTGGTGAGAATGCCCTCTCCGCTTCCCAGGCCTCTAGGGGCACCCGGGGGATTATCCATCCCCGGCCCGGTGCTGTAGCCTTTCTCTTCTCCGTAGAAAACGCCGTCGGTTTGCTGATGGTTGTCTGTTTTACTCCGCAAAAGTGTGTTTCCGGTCCGCGGTCAGCCCGACCAGGACCGCGAGTACCGCCACCCCCGGGTGAGATTGGACAAGAACAGGAAGCGGGACGCTGCTACCAAGGTCCGCCGTGATGTGCTGGACGGCGGTGGCCCGGCACCGCTCCGCGCCGCCACCGCCATCTCCGTGATGCCCGGTGGCCTCGCCGCCAAGCCGACTGACGATTGGGAACTCTTGCCCCCACTGCCCGACATTATCGAGGCCGTCAACAAGTTCACGAGCCAGTACTTCCAGCTGGGCTTCATCCCGAAACAGCTGTTTCCGGAGCGGCTGCGGACTCAAGCCCGCTCTGTCAGCGTCTTCTTCCTGCTAGGCATCCTGAGCGTCTCGGCGCGGCTGACGCCCGGTCTGGCTGAGCGCTATGGGAATGGGAGCGGCGTCAAGGCTTCGGAGGTCTTCATGGAGCGTGCGTCGACCGTGGCGCAGACGGAACTCTACAGAGAGCCGAGCCTCGAGAGGTGCCAGGGCTTTTATCTCCTCAGCATCGCACAGCAGGGAAGTGGCATGAGACACAAGAGCTCAGTGAGTTTGACTTGGCGGTATATGCCAATGGCATACTACGGCGGGTGTACTGACAGAAGATAAGATCAACCTGGCCATTGCGATGCGGATGGCAACCCTGATGCAGTTGCATAGAGAAGAGACCTATGCCTTGCCAAACAAAACGAAGGAGCTCATTATTCGAGCTGAATCTGCACGAAGAACTCTAGTATGTTATGCAGTCGAACTTGCTGGGGGTAGCTCAAATGCTGACTGCTTGTCGCAGTGGATGTTGCACAGCCAGGACAACCTGCATTCGGGACCGAGGTCCCCTGTACTACTGTCGGCGAGCGACATTACGGCCCTGCTGCCGAGCAGCGAGAAGGACTTTGCTCACGCCATAGAACCAAAGTCGCGGGCGGCGCTTGAAGACACGGTGCCGGCCATCGACAACCCTGCCCTGATTTCTGATGAAGGGAGGTCCCTGTTTGCTGTCCTTATCCAGGCACATTACTTCTGGGGCGCCATATCCCGACGCGCTATGAACAACAGCAAAGATTTACGGCCATGGGACGCGGCGAGTGTGTACGCCCAAATGGAGAGGCGCCTTGCTGAATGGGAGAGAGGGCTGCCTCATGACCACCGATGGAGCAGTCTCCTTCTCAAAGGTTACAAGCAAGAAGGCCAGGACCTGGTATGTCTATTTCCCTTGCGCCCTCTTCGTGCGCCTCCCCGTACACTGCGTAATTCACCGCTCATGTCCGCGGCAGGCATATCTCGGGGTGACCATGACAACCCGTCTGTGCAACATCGTTATCCGGAAAGCATATCTGCACGAGTAGGAGACGAATGCCTATGACATCTCTGTGAGCTGAATAACTGACCGCGATCTATCAGAATGATTTCCTACGATAAGTCGGACCCTAAACTGACAGCATTCTGGTCCAACATGGCGCTCGAGCTGTTTAGAAACGTAAACATGCTGTATGAGCAGATAGAGGCACACCACGCCGACAGAGCCCCAGAAGAGGGTCCTGGTGCCCAGATGGCGGTAGGCACAGCTAGCGAAGCAACGACATGGGGCCAAAAGACACTGACAGTTTGTTGGCAGGCCTTTTGTGTTTACAGCTGCGGCTTCTTGGCGTGTTATCCGTGCAAGTTCCCAAGCAGTAAGTGCTGCTTGCTATTTGACACGAGCTTAACGGTTAACAGTCGTTTCACTGCATAGTCTGCCCGGACCCGTCGATAACCCGCAATGCTCCAATGATGGTCCAGCGCATTCTCAGCATCCTCGCCGAAAGCCGAAATGTCTGGCCGCTCGCATCACGGTGGTACGACCATCTAGAGAAGTTCTACCGTATCCCGAATGGTGTTACGCTCGAGACAGAGGGTAGTATGGTCGGTATGGCCGACAGCGTGAGTTCTCCCCGCAACCCCCGTATTACCCGCGGCTAGGCCTAACCCTTTTTTGCGTCCTAGCAAGAGCAAATACCCCATGTCCTACATGTATCCTCCTCCACCCGCCCAGCGATTAAGCCGATCCAACCACGGATGTCGGCACCAGCGCCGTCTGCTGTCGCCACGAAGGAAAAGAACGGCATCCCGCCGCCTCCGAGTCCCAACCTGCCCATCCTCATTCTCCCTGAACAGCCACCGAGCGCCGTCGCGGCGCAGGCGTTGTACGCCGCCACCGATCCTAGCATGCGCCTCCCGGTCCCGCAAGCACCTGCCCAGGGTCACCACCACCTGCCGATGCAGCAGCAGCAGCCCCAAGCCCACCTCACAAGACAGGCCCCGTCCGCTACCACCACCACCACCACCACCACCACAGACGGACTGGGCCTGCTGATCGAGGCGTTTGATACGCACCATCAGACGGCGGCCGGTTCCCCTGCGCCGGCTCCTCCACAACCACCGCCGTCAGCTCAAGGGGCGGTGGGTATGCCCTATGATTCCCAGCCGCAGCAGCAGCATCAACAGCAACAACGGGCGCAGCAGCAGCCGCAGCCGCAAACTCAACAGCAGCATCACCAGTTCTATACCCATGAGGCGCTGGCCATGAATGATGGGTATGAGCATGAGTTGGGATATTACATGTCTGACGGGTTCGGGGCCGGGCCCCAGGCTATGCAGACTTGGTATGTAGGGCCATGATGGTAATGCAGTTGTATGATGGTGATTGGCCGGGGGAGCAGAGGCGGGTTGGGTTGTTCATGTATGCTTGGTTTCGGCTCTCAAGGGGTGTGTCTGTCTGTCTGTCTGTCTGTCTAGAGGGTTGAAAACCGTTACGGAGTACTTGCTTACCTGCCTGACTGGACGGGACCGTAATTGCTATGGGCATTCTGGCTGCTTGGATATGTCAAAACGTTCAACTTCTTTTGGGGCTGCTGGCATGGGGGCTTTGGTATTTGGTTGACTTGGGCTGCTAGGACGGGAGGGGGCGTCTATGTGTATGGGTATTGGTAGAGCAGATGGACGGAGTCCATGGTAATACATGCTAATATAAGGTGATGTTGGTTGTCTCTGGATGAACAGGTACCTATTAGGTGCTCCCGTCCGATTACATTCAGAGTTATGTATGTTTTTCCGCCTTGGGTACCAATTCTAGCTAGCCCCAACTTCCGCTCCCGCCTTGCGGCAATCATCATCACCTTACAGAATCCCGTCATCATGGTACCCCAAGCGACCACGCTGGAAGACTTGACATTCCTCCACGAGCAATATGACGAGGAAACCGGCAAATAAATCTCACACAACCTTCGCACTTTTCGACAAAGATGACATCGCCTACTTCGGCAATTTGAATATTCCCAAATGCGATATCAATCTTGAGCAAATCGCATTTGCCCTCACTCCCGTCCCTGATGAGGATATCTTCCCAGAGTGGACATGCTCTGGCGAGGGGCTCACCAGAGCCCCGGAAACGCTACCATCCAACATCTACGTTAAACGTCCAAACATGAGTCTATATGATGTCTTCCAAAAACATAACGTCCTCAAGCTAATCCCCAAAGGCCTACTGGAGGAGGCCAAAGCGATGGAGATGCTCTCTCAGCACCCACACCCCCACATTATCCGCTACCACGGCTGCTACGTTCGCCGAGGCCGCATCGTCGGCCTCATCCTCGATCGACACCCTTGTACGTTGGCCGACTACCTGAGAAACAAGGCCGGATCCGTGGATAAGGAGCGATTCATGAAAGCCCTCGAATCGGCCATCGGCCACCTGCACTCGCTTAACTGGGCTCACAACGATCTCAACCCAAGCAACATCCTAGTTAACGAGGCGGGTATGCCGGTGCTGATCGATTTTGGGTCTGCACAAGAGATTGGCGCGGCACTAGGGAGTAGCCGGGGGACTCAGGGGTGGATTGACGGAGAGATGAAGGATTACGACACATCGGACAGTGGCCACGACTTGTTCGCTCTGGAGAAGATTCGGGCGTGGTTCGACTCACCGACATTTGATGATTAGAATGTACCTACGGATAGGTACATGCAATGGCAACCCCACCACCTTTCAGCTAGAAAAGGCAGCCTCGAGGTCCGAGGCAGCTTTATCTGTAACCTCGAAGCGAAGCCATTCTTCACCTCAGTATTCTAGCTCCTTGGTCGTTGCCATGGACGAGACATCCTGGGCTCAGCAGGCTGTTGATCGCTTTTTCGAGGGCCGCAAATGCCCGACCAATCCCAGTGCGACCAGATTGCGCGATCCATCTCGGGTGCTTCCAACGTCTACAATGTCGACACGCCAGGCTCGATGAGCTATACTGTCGTCTGCAAACTTCAAGACGATCAGGGAACAGCGAAACAGGGTACTGTAGTGTCCTTCCGAGAGCCACAAGCTCACCTCGACCAGAGCATGGTAGAGTTGGCACAGGCGATCCACGGGCCCCTGGTGCCCAAGGTATCGCAACACGGCCCGGTAGATGGTGCCGACCCCCCCTTGGCCATTCATACCATGCCGTACCTGCCGGGAATCTCGTGCCTTGATGCTCTTGACTGCCAGGTTGACATGGACGACGTGACCGAGGCTAAACATGTTTGTTTTGTTCGGCACCTTGCCAGGTTCGTTAGCTACCTTGGCTACAAGAGCACATGTCGCCTGCCACCTAGGCCGATGCTTACCGTCCTAGGTATTGCTGCTTATATGTGTCAAACAGGTACTTTGCTCGATGTTGGTTCAAGCCGCAACACGTAGCAGCCGAAGTACGAGCGGAAAACCTAAACAGGATTCAATCCAGATTCGCTCTGCTGAAGGCGTCACCATCGATTCTCAGCACCCCGGTGGTATCGGAGTTGGCACCTAGACTCCCCGCACTCTTCGCGCAGGAATATCCACAAGTCCTTACGCACGGCGACCTCTCTAGAACCAACATCTTAGTTGACGAGGACACCTTTGAAATCACAGGGATCATCGACTGGTCACTTGCGGCGATCCTGCCCTTCGGCATGGAGCTGGATACCCTGTACCTGACAACGGGGTACATGAACCTTGGTGGCTGGCATGACTATGCCTGCCGCTCGCGGCTGCATCAGGCGTTCTGGAACGAGTTCTGATCCGCTTCGGGAATTGGAGATGATGGTGATTATGATGACGGCCGGCGGGCCAAAATCCGCGACATGGCTGAGCAGGCGGCCAGGATTGGCGCCATTCTCCGTTACGCCTTCCAGCGCAATGCCGATGGCTCGCCTTCTGAGACGCTGGTTGACGACGGGGCTGTGACGCTGAGGTATCTCCAGGCATGGCTTGCCACTTAGCTCCCCGAATTGGCGATGTAGTGTAGAGAAGGTAGGCGCTTGTTGAGCTCTGAAACCGGGCGGGCCGTAATTAGAGAGGAAGAGGAAAAGGAACGGGGATCGGGGAAGATATGGAGTAAAGGACAAGCCTATGATAAAACGGTATGAGTATAGGCGTTTGCTTCACGTTTTGTTTTATCGGCAAGAGATGCGTGTTACTCGGGCTGACACGGAGTAAGGGGGAGGGTCCTTGATATAGGGTATGCACACATTGCACAGTGAATGTAAACACAAATAGATATGCACTTACAGAGGCGCCATGTCAAGGCTGAGGTCTGTGCAACTGCAACACCAACATTCTGCTGTTATCGTTATATCCGACCGTCCTATCTCCGATAAAGTCGCGGCGCATTTCGTCATCGCAAATTCCCGGCCCCAAGGTTAAGGGTCTATCTACACTATCTTACAAGACGAATTGAACCTAGGCGGCGACTTTTACATCTCACCCACGTTCCGCTCCCCTTGCAGCCACCACGACCACCACACGCAAGAGAACAAAATCTCGTCTCACTCTCCGAGATGTCTGCTTTGCAGACGGCCGCTCGACCGGAATCGGCGCAGAAGGTGCTGTCGCTGGTATGTCCGAACCCATATCCGATCCTCCGGCAGGACTCTTTGCTTTTGCTTTCTCCCGTTTCCCCTGTGGTGCTTGTGCTCGCTTTGGGATCTATAAGCCGTTGATGGGGTTGAACATCCTCTGCATGAGGTCACCGTGACTGACGCCTCCAACAGTACCGACAGCTCCTCCGCCAGGGAAACCAGTTCGCCGCCTACAACTTTAGGGAATACGCCAAGCGCCGCACGAGGGATGCCTTCCGAGAGAACAAGAGTGTTGAGGACCCGCGCAGGATCCAGGAATTGATGCAGAAGGGGCTGCAGGATTTGCAGATGCTCAAGGTGTGTGCTCCCACGCTGCTTTGGTTGCCAATGGGACCTGTGGAGTTGGGTTATGCTGAGGCTGATGCTTGGTATGCAACAGCGCCAGACAATGATCAGCCAGTTCTATCAGCAGGATCGGCTTGTGGTAGAAGGAGGGATATCGGTACGTTTTGCGCGCCGCGGCCGTATGGCAGGAAGGGTAGGAAGTGGCAAAGGCTGATTGGGCGTGCAGGGCAAGGATCAAGAAGGGCACGGCGAGATCACCAGGCAGAAGGATACCGGGTGAGTGATTCTAATCACACCAGTTTTGCTGGCCTGGAAGGGTTCAGTACTGACCGGAGAGCAGCTGGGACTGAGTGTGCCCCTGGCCGCGGAACCCCCGCCCCCCTCCCCCTTCTCAATTACGCTGCGGCTGCCGCCTGGCGCCACAGTCTGTAGACTACGGAACGGCGTCTTTTTGGCACATACGCTTTGCACTGGGTAGATGCAAGCATACTCGGCTTTCGCTGGAGATGCGGCAAGCGGGTATCTATGGAGTTGTGGCGCTGGAAAGAGACTGACTACGCAAGATGCCTGCCTGGCCGAGCCGCCTCAGTATTAGCTATAATCGGCAGCCATTGCAATCAAGGGAGGATTCGTCCCCTGCTTCATTGGGAGACGAGGCTATGTTATGTATGTACAGTGAATCCACAATTTCACATGTGAGTTGGTGGAGTATTTGGCCTTTGTGAGATATCGTTGTAAGCGAACCACGATTCGCCGAGAATGGTAACGATACGAATGCATCGAATCGCGGCAGGACGAACGTGTGCTTTTTGATCAACACATCCTCGCGCCTCGATATCAATTTACAACATCAATTGGCTTGCTTGTGTTACATACTGCTATCCGCTTTCATCCTATTGCAAAGCGCTGTCAAGGCACCTCTGACCTCCTGATCATTGGCTCCAACCCACCGAAGGCCGCCGGCGACACCTTGTCGCGCGCTAGTTTTGGATATACACGAGAGAGACGATAGCGGGACGGTCGGCGAGCGTCACCGTTCCCACGGCCGCCCAGAGTACTGCAGCATCTATTGACCTAGGTGGAGGCACAAGAAGCTGAAATTCGAGGACGCGACACTCTCCACTCGTCTCAATGGCGCCGACGGTAAGTCGCAAGGCCAAGTCCGCCGAATGCGGCAGAACTGCGACAAGATTTCCTGACAGTGTGGTCGCAATGGCAGCAATACAGGACCGCGACGCAAACGCGCCGCGGCAATCGTGCCGGTTTTCCAGAGCCCGATGACTTTGAAGGTGTGTCCTGGGCCGATTCCACGCTCAACAGTGCCTAGAGTGGCTGACCCGTGCCTCTCCGTTGTCGACAGGCCTTCCCGTGCGGCAATGGCGTCAGGAATTGGTGCCCGCCACGACGTCGTCGATGCAGCAGGAAATGACCCAGCAGAGCGACCGATGGGCCGTCGAGCTCCCGTTTGGTATGCCCAGGGACACACACCTCCTCCCGCCGCACAGCCAGGAACTACTTCGCGCCGCCCGATCCGGTCGATTGTACAAGCGACCCGCGCCTGTGGAAGAGGAGGAGGCCGAGGCCGAAGCCGACCCTGTCAAAGGAGAAAAGAAAGAGTGGGACACGTCCAACAACGAAGGGTTCATGGTCAAGATGTGGAGGCAGGTGCCGCGGAACGCCGAGACTCCCATCACGTCCCATCTAGCGAAGCGCCACAAGAACACTGTGACGCTAGCCTCCAAGGCCGCGGCCACCCAGCTTGCGGGGCCCACCGTCATCAGAGCCACCGTGCGCCGGATCGACGCGGCGGGCAACCCCTACGAACAGACCGTCACCCTCACCGAAGGGCAGCAGGTGGACGGCGAGGTTATTTCTACAACGGTCGTGCCGGCGCCATCAGCAAACCAGGGAGAGTTGGCGCCTCAACAAGCGACGCCAGTCAGGAGACGGCCGCCGCCTCCAAAGAGAAAGGCGAAGGGCATTGGGCGGGGCCGCAGGAAGGGCAGACTGCCCCTGCCGTTACCCGCGACGCGCTCGTCGCAACCCTCGGCAACGACAGGCGCAAGTTTGTCCGTTAAACCTGAGGGTGTCGGTGCAGATGTAAGCTTACATGTTAGCTCAAGCAGTCGAAAACGCAACCGTTTGCTAACAACGGGCCATGAGCAGGGGATTAAGATTGAGGACGCCGAAGACAGCGGAAACCAAGACAGTGAGATGGCGGATATGTCAGGCCTGCCCTCCGAAGAAGAGGAAGCTGGCGATGGCGACGAAGGCGACGAAGGAGAGGAGGAGGGCGGCGAGGATGAAGCCGGCGAGACACCGGACGTCGGGAGCCCCAACGGGGATACGCAGGGCCTGGAGACGGAGGACTCAGAGATGTCCGAGGCCATTCAGCCGAGCTCGGTCGAAGAGGCCGACGACGTCCGCCCTGCTCCCTCCGAAGAGGAGGAAGTCACAATCCCGAAGGCCCGTTCTCACCCGCCGAGTCTCTCTAACCTCCCGCCGCACCTGGCTTCTCCCAAAGGCAGCCCGTTGAAAAACGTCATGATCCAGTCGCCCACCGAGCCGGCGCCGCACTCCGCATCAGGCTATCTAGACGTCCGCTCTCGCACCATGGCCACGACACTCAGCTCAGGGACCACAACCACCGTCAGCCAGACCCTTGTCGCAGAGACTACAGTCCAAGGCGTCTCTGACGGCGCCGGAGCGGGGCAGACTGCGGCGGAATCAACCACCACTACAGAAGCAACATCGACCACCGCCGCAGCAGTAGCAGCAGCAGCGACTAGCGGGGCTACCGAGCAAATATCCGAACCCTCAAACCCTCTCTCAGCAGCAGCACAAGTAGAACCACCACCACCAACGAAAGAAGAGAAAGCAGAAGAAGACCCCCAACCCCCTGACTCCCCCGCCCTCCTGCCGACGGCGGTGGCTGAGGACGAGGACGACGGCTCGCTTAACCTGCTTGGCAGCCTCGAGAGAGAACTCGATCGCCAGGAAGAGGGGTTAAGCAGTAGCAGGAGCAGGAGCAGGAGTGGGGAAGGGGCTGACGAGGAGGGGAACGGGACGGGGAAGGGTGCTGCTACGTCCACGGATGAAGGTGGTGGAGGTGAAGGTGATGATGGCGTTGCTGGGGATGCTGCTAAGGGTGGCTTGGCGGACGTGGAGGTACAGATGGACGAAGACAAGAATAATCAGGATGGGGATAAGAACAAGGAGGGGCGGGATAGCGGTACAGAGCAGGCCAAGGGGGAGGAGGGCGCAGGCTTGTCATCGGCTTGATTATTCATTCTGGTCCTCATTGTTGATTAGAAGAGCTCCCTCCTCCTGGGCTGGGTTTCGGGTTGGTTGGTACGGGGCGGTGTAGTTCCTTTACATACGCCGTATGGTTCGTTCGACCCTCGTTATTATTCTCAGGGTGTTACTGTACGGTAGGATAATTACTCTGCGATCCTGGGTAGAAAAGTTGGGACTTGTATCATCTATCTTTCTATCTGTTGAATCATAGTGGCCTGGTTTGGTTTGGCCTGGTTGAATTTGGATTTGTTCGATTAACCCCTAGCGGCGGCGGCAGGCATGTAATACAGACAGAAATACGGACATGGTTACAATAGAATACAGTATATGTAGCGTACAATCTGTACAAACCAGCGTAGAGATGGGCTAGAGGGAGGTTGCCAATGGAGGGGGAGGGACGGCTAGAAACAGAGTAAACCCTGTATAATCCTTTCATCAACTCAAATTGACTCCTACTCTGTCTCTGGATAGGGAAGCGACGGGGAACCTGATACCCATCAGGAGGCGGAAGAAGTGGCGTATGCGAAGAAAGGAACAAGAATTGACCGTTTGGTTTGGTTTGGTTGGACTGGCCGCGAGCTTAGGACCTTATTCCCATTTGCTTCTATTCTTGCTTCTCAGATGTGGTATGCTTAACCGTGAGTCGCTTAGAGGCGGGGAGAGTGGTATATATCCATGAACATGCCAAGTACACCGCGTTGTCCAGTGCTCCTTGGAGCCAACCGCCCTGTTCTGGTGTGTATATACACGCTCTCCTATTCGAACTTCTGTCCCTTGCCCATATTTGCCCCTGTTTTGTCAGTTTTTGATACCATTCAAATTCTTGATGTTCAGGCTTGGTAGATACCTCGGCGAATCTCTTTCCAAATAGGGAGCGGTTAAAGATATATGGGTTTATTGTCAAGATCGCTACCATGATGACAGGCAGAGCGCGGATAGATGTCGGTGAATCCTGGCCGCATCCCCCTATACTCCGAGAGCCAAACCCAGATCTGGACTGAATGACTGTAAATCCGGCCAATACAATGATGGCCACAAAAGCTGAAGGGAATACTATTCAAACCCCACTCATTACATACAGTACTTTGGAACAATATACATACATACATGCGGCAGGTCTAATCGCCCTGGAATCCTGGTTACAATTCGTCATACACGTCTGGAAACGCCACGCTGAGACCCATACCCGGTCGGTCTTCGAAAGACAAAAAGAAAAGAAGGCAGCGTCGTGAGAAAGAGATTAAAGAAATATAATTGGCGGAACAAGTAGCATAAAACATCGAAAAGGACGGAATGGAGCCGTCATACGCCGGTCTCCGCTGCCGCCGGGCGTGCCGCATCCCGCAGAGACGATGGCCCCGAAAACCCCTGTTGGGGCGGGGCCACTTTAACGTCCTGCATTTCCACGCCGTCAGAGTCCGGGCGGGACCGGTGCTGCTGCTGATCTCTTCGGTAAGCTCTTAGCCGCTGGTCGCCCTCGCCGTACTTCTTCTTGAACGAGTAGTACGACGGCGGCCGGGGACGGCACAGGACAACGACCCAGTTCTTGAACCAGCTGTCCTGTGTGAAGGCGCGGTACCGGTCCTTCTTGAGGAACTTTTGCGAGTTGAGGTACTCGCGCGTCGTCTCGCCCCTGGCCATGAGGAACACGTGGTAGCCCATCAGCGCGCCGGGGTACGTGAAGGCGATGAAGCCGTAGATGACCATGGCAAAGGGCACGCGGAAGCGGCCGATGGAATCGCCAAAGGAGACGTCTTGGCGGTTCATGTAGACTAGGATTTGCGCCAGCGAAGCTCCGGAGAGGTAGAGTGCGAGGAATGTGGCTGTGGTGATGAAGGTGAAGAAGTAGCGGTAGTTGCGCCGGCCGACACAGTTATTCAACCACACGCAATGGTGGTCTTGCGTTTCGACGCAGTTGTCGCACAGCCGGCAGTGATGGGCACGCGGGGGCCGCCAGATGTTGCATGTTTTGCAATACTTGGTAGGAACCTCCATTGCCGCCGTGTTTTTTTCCGAGGACTTGATCAACGCCCACTCCGTTGTTGGAGGGCCAAGCCTCAACGGGTCCTCGTTTTCGTCTACCGGCGGGAACCGGTGCACGTTTCGGGGCAGGATCTAATGACCGAGTCAGTTCAAAAACCCATGGAGACTATCACTATGGGAAACTTACGCCAGGGTCAGAGGCGGACGCATGGAGAAACGAAGACATGCAGATAAAAAACAGATAAGCGAAGGTGATGGGTATCGCTGGTGATATGTTGTTCCATATCCAGGGGGCGGAGAAGATGAAGAAGAGGACACCCGGGATAACGATACAGGAGCCGGTTGCTATGTTCACGGGACGGTGCCTGGTGTTTTGTAGCCGGCCCCCAATGCAAAAGACGGTGTTACCCTGGAAGTACTCGTAATTGCGACCTAGCTCCGCCTTGATCTTGTCCTTGGTTGGTGGTGCTTTCCCGTTCCCGTCTGCAGGCGAGACTCGAGGGGACGAGGCGACGGATTCTAACTTCTCGCCGCCCTGCATTTCGCGGTTGCCGCTGCCGGACTCAGCTCTCGGCATCAGGAAACTGGATCGCAGGGAACGGGGTGTGCGGACAGGAGTCGCGGTCTTCGCTCCAGGCTGATATGTTTTCTTCACGTCAAGCGTTAGCGTTCTTGCTGCTTCTGGCTTTCTCTGAAGCGGCCGCACGCTATCTGCCATGCTCGAAGTTGCCTGATGGCCGTGCGTCGGGCTGGTGTTGGCTGTGATGCGATCAAAAGGCTCCTGCTCGGTGAACTCTGTGCCTCTGGAGGGCGGCGGCCGCATGTCGCCCTCATCACCAGACTGGCTCGCTAGCTGAGGGGCAGGATTCGAAATTAGACTGTCCCGATTCGTGTCGACACCGTCGCCATGAGACGTCATCTGACGGTTCATGGTCGTTGGCCTCGTGATTGCCCGCTGAGCTTGCAGCTTCTGCGAACTCATGGGTCGGAAAAAAGCATGCGATGTGAGAGTGGGAACATGGCTTCTGCTCGTTGAACTCGCTGGTCGAACTCCCATCGACGAACTGGCAACACTGCCTGCGATGCTCCCCCGCTTCCCGGACAAGCCGCGGCGGAGAGGCGTTGCCTGGCCCCAAGGCCCTTTCTGAGAGATGCCAGTCCTTGCAGTTCCCGGACGGGATGCGGCATCCGAATAGAGGCCACTCCTTCTCTGGCTTCCAGCCGCACGCTGTGTCTCCGAGTCCCCGCCGTCGTCAGTCATGATATCTGTCATGCGTGAAGAGATGATGCTTGGGGGGCCGGGCATCTCGGAGCGGGGAAATTGCGGGAAGCTGTCATCGTTGCTGGCCGTGGGAGAGAGCGCCCGTGGCGCTCCCTCTGGGGAAACCATCGTATAGACGGAGTGGAAGTCTCTCGGGCTCGACGATCACAGATTCATGTATCCAGGCTTAAGACGGTGATCGATCCCTATCATGACATGATGATTATTGGTACGGTAGAATCGAGATCGAGGCGAAGCTGAGTAAGACCAGGCGCCGAGGTTGGATGCGACAAAACGGCGAAAACGAATAGGGTCCGGGCGCGTCACAAACAGCTCGATGACGGAGGCTTTGAAGAGATTACTCCACCAGACGAAGGACTGGTGTAATCGAAGCCGATGTCGAGTGTGGCGTTAACAGGTAAGCAGTACAGCAGGTGAAAAAGGCATAAGGAGCGGCAGAAGTGAAGTCAGCGTAAAGAGTGACGGAGGTTAGGGAGAGACCGAGCGCTGGCAACGCAAACTGATCGCCAACTTTGGTCTTGGGGGTTGATGAAAACGGACCGCGCAATGGAACCTTACCAAGCGGGTGGGTTGCTTTTTTGGCGATGGGGGAGCCCACTGGCTGGACCAAACCTGGCATCAGCTTGGCGCTCTTTTCTAGTTCGCTGGGGGGCTGCATCGCACGGGCCATTTTACCCCTGAGTGTGACCTGTTATGCACCTTGAATGCTCAGTCGGCTCCCCCCTTTAACACACTTACACAGTACCTGACGAGCAGAATCTGTACATACACGACGAAGTAGGCGACGTACGAATAGATATGCAACGTTAGGATAGATGTCATGGCCTCGAAGAAAAGATATCAGGGCTGTCATTGGCGGCTCAGATAGGGTAAGCTACTCCTTTGCTCTGTTGCGACCAATCGTGCCTATACACATCTACGCAGCAGGACAAGATCTTTTTTCCTTAAGGGCCTGCCAGGAGTTGGAACTTGGACCTGCTGGACTTGGGTAACTAATTGACTATGGCAGTGATTCGGGACTTCCGAGAGGGCGATGAGCTCATCAGACCGCTTGGTAGGCTAGGCGTAACTAAGGTATACATTACTTCTCCAGTATTGACAGTCACCCGGCATAGCGTTTACCCATTAGATCATGAAGCCTTCCTGGATGGCATATTCCACATTGATTCCGCCATCCTCAGCAGCGACCTTGGCTGCCTGATCAGCCTCGGCATTCCAAGCTCTCGGGACCCGCCAGAAGCTGACCTCGCAGCCGCCCTCCACAAAACTTCCCATCCTCTCACTTAACCGCTCCCACAAATCTTGATTTTGCACTCGCGAACCCCCCGATGTGCGCCAGCCCCGCGCTGCCCAGGTTTTCAGCCATGCCGTTACGCCGTACGCGACACACTCCGAGTCTGTGGCGATCACGATGCGCTGGAACCCTTCACCCCACCACTGGCGGAACTCGAGCGTGGCGATGACGGCACGTAGCTCAGCGCGGTTGCTTGTTGCTCTGTGCAGCTCGCCGTCTGGACCCTTCTGCTCGAGTACTCCGCTCACAGCACCCGCGGACCCAGGCTTGAAGATAAAGGCCCATCCAGCACGAGCGTCCGCCGCACCGTTGGCAAGGCATGCGCCGTCGGTATAGATGAGCATCGTTTTAAGCCCACCGATATGAGGCACGTACCGACGGCGGAGGACGTAACGCTGCACGTTTCGGCGTGGCGATCCTGTGTTGATGTACCGAGGCGCGAACATGGACGCGGGGGATGCACCGGGCACTGGAGTGAATACGGTTCCCGCCCAGACACCGTTGGTGCCGTTTCCCATCGCCGCCTGAACGCGCTGGACGACTGCGGGGGAGGGAACGGGGCGTATCGCCATGATTCCCGTTGAGGGAATCATATTTCCGTTCTTATCTTGCACCATCGGGCGGAACTCGTGGAGCTTGAAGGTGATGCTCGGCTTCATATCGGGGACGGTGAAGTCGCCGTCCGTATCGAGGACGCGTCGCGGCTTGTCCTCGGATTCAGAATCGTAGTGCAGCATCATGATAGAGGACGGGTGCGGCATTATGGACGAGGACAGGTTGCCGACAGAGGGCTAGTCAAGAGTTTCCGTGTGGAAACCAAGAACTGCAGGCGAAAATATTGTAAATTGGGCTTATGGGGAGGAAACGGTTGTTGTTGAGAAGAGGGAAGATGAGGCCAAGGCGCGCCTGCTGATACACAAACACTCGATCGATCAGACTTACGATGGAAGAGTTCATTATGTGAGTGGCCAAGCCCACAGCTCTGACTAGCTTCCATTATGTATCTGCCCGGCGAGTGGTGAGCTCTTCACCTTACCAGTATGCACCCTGCGATGTGCCTTCCTCATACTATCGCCTTTGCGTGGAAGGACTTCACTTGCAGGATGACTTAAGGAAACCGCCCAATTCCTATAAACTTGCCAGGAAGTTGCGAATGTCATAAGCCCCCTCAGGAGCAGGAGGACCGTTTGCGAGAACGCTTGCGACTGCCTCTCTCCGGGATGGACTTCGTAGGCAGCTGCTCTTACCAAACAAATCGCAACTTCACGCCGCTGGTTCCTTCAAACCGTCTTTGAAGGGGGCCATCGAGAAAATGACGATGTAGATGACTCTGTCAACCGCAAACATCTGGAGTGAGAAATGGATATATGTATCCCCTAAGTAACGCCAAGTTTCAGTAATCCTAGTGGTGCTTCCCAGTTCCCACAAGCTCTTCATCTAACAAGGCAGCTGGCGAACAGCTGGCCGCGCCGCCAAGTTCATTACATAAGGTGCCAAGCCTGGATTGGAGCTTCCGTCTTGACGAAACGCATCGTATGACGGCAGGCAGGATCCAAGCTTGTCAAAGCAACCGTCGAGCTCTCGCAACAGCAATTGCACCTCCCTGCCGCCAATCCCCGCCATAGGCACAGCAACAATGGCTTCTCTCATTGCCCGCAGAGCTTTTTCCACCACCGCCCGCCGGTTGGCCGGGACAGGGGAGGAAGCGCTCAAGACCGAGTCCAAGAAGAACCCCGAGATCATGGTGCGTCAAAATTCCCACGACACCCGGACCTGCCCCGGCAATCTTCCGACGTTCCTGGGCTTCCAGACTCGACAGCGTATATATGGCATGGGGGTGGAATTGAAAGAAACACACACAAGGCTGACTTTAAAACTTGCGCCGTCTAGATCCTCGGTGGTGTCGTGGTCTGCGCCCTAACCGGCGCCGGCTTCTACTTCGGTCAGTCGTCTTCCGCCCTTCCGTTGTCATCTTCGAATTTGAGCCCTTCAAGCTCGGGTGACGCGCGGAGCTCACCGATAGCGAAACGCTAACCAACCGTTTTCCCCCTTGCTGCAGGCCGCTCCCCGACCAAGTCGACGTCCGAGAACAGCGTCCCTCTCGCTAAGAACAGCATGCCGTGGGAGACGGGTTCGACCCAGGGCAAGTATCAGTACCAACCCGGTGGCGACCCCAGCGCGACACCCAAGGATGCGCCTAGTGCCGTCAACGTCGTCGTTATTCCCGACGTGAACCTCCCCAAGGTAAGGCCTTAGATGTCTTTCGCTTGGGCTGTTCTCGACGGGTTGGACTCTGGCGAAGCTAATGTGTGTCTGTGTAGCACCTCCACGACAAGTACAACAAGTGGGGTAAGGATGGCTACTAAACTCCCCTGGTTTTGAAGAGCGAGCTGGTGGCGCAAGCACTGGATGCGCGGTCTTTCTTGGGGCCATGCTATGGGCTGTACATAACCTGGGAAACGGAAGTTGGTAGTTAGCGGCGGTACCAATAGAGGCTGTATTATCCTAAACTCTTAAATTTCTGGTTTCAAAGTAGGGGCAACTGATGGCTGCTTCTCCAACCTGTTCACCCTTAGCGTGCGACTCGGGCACGTTGGAGCAGAGGTCTGTTCATGCTGCACGAACTGCCGGCCAGAACCCACGCTCACTCATGCGGTGCCTCTAAGTCTTCGGTGTATTTTGTCGAAGGCGGTTTTCATCATCCTGCCTGAACCTGGTGAAACTCATGGCAGAGGTCTCCTATCTATACCAAACCGCCACAGCATCTAGCTACCTCGCTCAAACGCCAAGTGATGCAGTGTCATTCCCCAGCAACGACAGACCCTCCGATTTCGCCAGACTCCTAAATAACGCGGACAGCCGTTGTCCTTTGTTGCGCAGGCAACTTTGGCTGATATGGCTCCTCTCAATTATGCCTCGCAGCGGCGGCGGCAAACTGTTCCTGCTGCAATCGCTCAAGCTCCTCGAGCGTCATGCCGCTCTGCTCAAGTTTGTTCGCCTTCTTCTCGCGACCCTGTTTTCATACGTCAGCGTTAAGCGGCAGCCATAGAGAACCGTTGGGCGCTCACCTTTTGCACTTCTTTGTGTTCCGCGGCGGCCTCCAACACTGCTGGCACATAATCGGGGAAGCCGAGCTGGTCGAGCGCCTTCACGATGTGATCGCAGGCAATCGTCTTCTTGGCCTCTTTCTCCGATATCTCGTTCGCCTCAGAGCTGACGAGGGTTATAAACTCGACGCAGCATTCAATGAGGAGATCACGAGCTTCCTTGGAGAAAGCGATGCCAGACGACGACGCGAGTATCTCGCCAACGATCTTTTGGACAGTTGCTTGTGTGGGGTCAGCCGTCGTCCATAAAAACACAGAAGACTCCATGCACTTGACACTGCAGCATGGAGGTCGAGCAGGGAGTCTTCTAGCCAGGCCGAGCAACAGAGCCGGCAAGAAGATGGATCCAGCCCGGGCATCCTTCAAGCCATGGGCTGCCGCATCTCATCCTGCAAGCTAAACAGGAGCTACAATGACTTCAGCCGCCGATATATAAAACCAACAGCGAGGGACTGTAGACCTGGTAGGAGACTCTGGCATTTTGGGGTGGCTCGGTTACATACCCTTGGGCAAGGAGAGGTCGTCGTTGCCTAGATGAAGTCAGCATTTCGCGAAAATAACGAATGCGCGATGCTGAAAGCAAGACAAAGGAAGGTCTTAGGATTCCATAGCCGACTTAGTGGTAGTCCAGCTCAGAGAGGCTAAGATATCCGACCATTTGGACCTATGGTCGGCATAACAGACCAAAGGCCATGGCACAAAACGAATCAATGTTGAATGGACAAGTGTGAAGTTTTATCTTGAAATTATTTGAGACTTCAGACGGTCGGGGTGTTGATGTAACATCGATAGATATATCGACACAGCTCACGCCCACTGGCCTGTAGTGGCCGGCCCAGATGAGCGCTGCACACCGGCGATTCGCTTGAACCCGCGGCTGCAGAAGTCGCATCGTTGAAGATGATCATGATTCAAATGAATATTATCTACGAACCTCCAAACTCATGGTCCGACATGATGATTTTGGGAATTTCGAGGAAGGAGGGAGCCTGCCCCTCAGTGACGGCTAGATGTCACCAGGCGGACGGTATTCCGGCCGATCGCAAATGGCGGAGACAGGCGCGCAGTTCGTATCAAATTGGTGACGGAAGCACTTTCACCAGTGCGTGAGCTGCTTCGATGTCTTGGGCAGATGGAAAAACATTGTGAGTTGCGGAGCCGAGAGTCGGGCCCCTTGACCTTGGAGTAGGTGTGCAGGTCTTTATACCTACTTTGCCGTGCTTTGAACGGGTTGCTGATGCCAATGCCAACCGTCACTCAGGTTGTGGCTTGGCTCCATGGATGTCGCTTTGGGCTTTGTAGCATCAGCCACAGGCCCCACAAGACCCGCCGCAGGAGTTTACGGCGGAGCTCTGGAAAAATTTACTGGTGCCGGGACAGCTCCATCAAAAGATTTCTTCCGATGCTGATTGAAAAGGAATCACCGCGAGACCGATTCTTGACGATTTCGTCCATCCATTCTTTTCTTTCGACATGACACGCTAATCCTCCCCCTCAATAATGCATTCTTTCAGGAATGATCACTGTAAGGTAAGCATGCACGCCTCTTCTCAACACAACTTGCGAATCTCAATGATGAAATACCTTCGTGTCGCCCCAATCTTACTTCACCATGGTGATTGACACTGTCGAGCCAAACGACATTCCTGAGCCCCTTACCGATCTAGCACGCGCGCATACACCGTATCCTCTTTCTCGAGTTATGCTAACGATGGCGAAGTTGGCACAGCATTGCCACTCGATGGCCCCAAATACGACGCAAGTCCATGATGCCCAAATATGTACTATCCAATTCCGATAAATTATGACGGAAACCTATCACCTGATTCATCACGTCGACTCGAATTCAGGAAGACCATCCGTCCCTTCGAAAGGGTGCTAACGATACGGTCCACAGATGTCTCGAACATTGGCACTCGGTCAGTAGAGGGACTGTAATGGTAGGTGCTTTTCAATGCTACAAAAGACTGCCTATGTTGTGATGAACAACTTTATATTCCATGCTAATACTGAAATTTCATCTGTGGAGAACTATAAAGCCTTCTTTTTGTATCTGATTGCGAACCTGCTGCTCACTTCGTTATGGTTATTTCATATGGTTCACCGCTAACCATCAAGTAGATGACTACTCTATCTAACCTCACTGGCGGTACTCTGCCAGCTCAGGCGCATCCCACCTGCAATGATTAGTGACTGGATATGAGGTTGGGGTCCCCGATACGTACTTGAAGTATTTTCCAGAAAGCCCCGGTTTAGCGTCGACGGAGAGCCTGGCAATGACGCCTCCGGACTGCTCAGGTCTAACCAGCTTGCCTTCCTCAAAAGCCGCCTTGAAATCCTCGTAGTCCTTCTTCAACATGGCCGTCCCTTTCTCCCGGATCTCCTTTTGCATGTCGGTATCAACTCGACCCGGGCTGACCGCAACCGCCGTGATGTCCGGCTCCTCGACAGCAATGTGCTGAGAGAGTGAGTTCAGGGCAGCCTTTGAGGATCCATATGCCCCCCAGGAGGTATAGGCCTTCGTTGCCGCACCCGACGAGGTGAAGATGACGCGACCCTTGGCAGCACGCAGGTGCGGAATCGTGTGCTTTACCTTGTAGACAGTCAGCGCTGGCTCTAACCCTCGAGCTCTTTATGGGCACGCAGCATCCAACTCACAAGGGCAAGTGCACTAAAGAAGTTGGCGTCGTAGAGCTGCTTCCACTCTTCAAGCGAAGCATCTGCAATGCGGGCCATGGGCGAGAGGACACCATGGTTGACCACAACTCCATCGATCCTGCCGAACTTGAGGATAGCGAGTTCCGTTACCCTCCAGGCTGTCTTTACTCAGATCAGCGACATATTCTTCGTCCAAGACTTGCGACCAATGACTGAGAGTGGAGAAGCGAGCCTCGTTGCATGTCACCTACATCGGCAACGGTAATGTCAGCAGCGAGGTATGCGACCTGAGAAGGAAATTGCTTCTTTAAAGCCTGAAGCGGCTCAGCTGATCTGGAGACGAGAACAACGTTGTGGGATGCAGCCAGCAGGCATTGCGCCACAGCAAGGCCAATGCCACGGCTGGCACCGGTCACGATAATGACCTTGGTTGCCATCTCTATCTATGACTGGCGATGTCTCAGTGGCCGACAGTTCAAGGGGCGTCTTGGCAGAATCTAGGTTATTGTGCAATGATCACGCTTTTTTCTTTCTGGACCCGAGATTTCACCCAACTAACCCCTCCATGTGGGGAGCGGGGCAATATTGTTAACCTTAAGGGCGCGGAACATGTATCCAGTTCGCTATTGTCTCGACGGCGCTTCAATATCGTCTCCATATGCCCCGTTCGAACGGATGGCTCTCAGGTGGAGTATGTAGGAAGCCGAATCTTCAGACCTCCTCATATATAGGGCCATTCCCTCGATGCCCCTGGTTCACTGTCCCCTACTTCAGGTTTGTTCAAGTACTATATACGCGTCTTCAGTCAGCGACGTAACACAGCGATCATGTCTGCCGAAACCGTTATCCTCGGCGCGGGTATCATCGGCGTCTCCACCGCCTACTATCTCTCACAGCATCAGGACCCATCAAGCATCCACCTTGTTGACCCGTCGCCGGAGCTCTTCTCATCCGCCTCGGGATACGCAGGCGGTTTCCTGGCCAAGGACTGGTTCGGCCCCGCCCTAGCCCCCCTCGGCGCTCTGAGCTTCGAAGAACATCGCCGCCTCGCCGAAGAGCACGGAGGGAGAGAGAAATGGGGCTACTCGCCCGCGACATGCTTCAGCTATGCGGCGTCAGCGGCCGCGCGCGAGTCGGCGAAGCGGGGCGACGACTGGCTGCGCGACGGGACTAGCCGCGCCGACGCGGCTCCCTTGGCGTTCGACGACGCCGGCTCCGGCAAGACGCCCACCTGGCTCCGGCGCGTCGACGGCGACCACCTCGAGCTTATCAGCGACGAGGGCACCACCGCCCAGGTCGACCCGCTCCGGCTCTGCCAGTTCCTGCTGCGGGAATGCCTCGCGCGCGGCGTCAAGCTGTACCACCCTGCCAAGCCGGCATCGGTGGTCACCCATGACTTTGGTAATGGCGATGAGTTGATTGGTGTCAACATCGATCGGCTGGAAGCCGGCGAGCCCCTGACCGAGAGCTTGCTGCTGCCTTGCACAAGACTCATCATCACGGCCGGGTCCTGGACTGGGCAGGTGTTCCGGACGCTGTTCCCCTGGTCACGGCTGGAGATACCGATCCGCAGCCTGGCGGGCCACTCGCTGGTTCTCAAATCGCCCCGGTGGCATGCCGGGCTAGAGGGCAACGGGTGCCATGCCATCTTCACGACGCACGACGGCGGGTTTTGCCCAGAGATGTTCTCCCGCATCGGCGGCCACATCTACTTTGCCGGGTTGAACTCGTCCAGCCTTCCGCTGCCGGATGCGGAGAAGGGGAAGGCGACGCCGTACGACGAGAGTCTCGCCCAGCTCAGGGAGGCGGCGCGGCAGACTCTTGGCCCGGCCGGCGGTGGTGGTGGTGTCGCTGCTGCGGACGACGACAACGACTTGGAGATTGTCCGCGAGGGCTTGTGCTTCCGGCCCGTGACCGACTGGGGCAAGCCCATTATCGCCAGAATACCGGACGAGGAGATCGGGGCCGGCATCGTGACCAGGGCCGGGGCCAACGGCGGGGTGTTTGTTGCGGCTGGCCACGGGCCGTGGGGGATTGCCATGAGTCTTGGCACTGGTATCGTGCTGGCCGAGATGGTGCAGGGCCGGAAGACCAGCGCTAATGTCAGTGGCCTTGCATTTTTCGGTTGAAACTGAATGATGCGGCCGAGTCTTACTTACTAGGTGTATGTACTCGTTACACAGCTGTGTGCAGTATATAGCAGGCTGAGGTTTCAGCTGCGTTAAAATAAAAATCGTGCATATGGAATTGTTTTAGAAACATCGCCATGCAGTATCCGTGTTTCGATCGAGCAGATCGTAGCCAACAGCAGTGCCCGGGCCGCGCTTCCACCGCAAGGACCTCACCGTGCCAGGTCAATGCGGCGGGACGTTCCGTGTCATCATTATCATGTAACTTTCAAGTTGTGTAGGGCATTTCGTCGACCACCATCCATCATCATGCCCCTTTTGCAACCCTAGATAACCCCTTTACGGTTCCCGTTGATGGAACTGAAAAATTTTGTAGATCTTCGATTAGCGGCCGGGCGTGATGATGAACATCGGCGCTTCTCAGCACACAATCCACTACTACCCAGCACGACGCTGTGCAATTCACCAGGCGGTTACACATGAGAGACGGCAGACCCAACGAGCCGGAGCCGGCTAAAGAGGCTGATTTGTGGAAAGGCCAGGTTGAACAAACTTGAGGATGCTGCTAACTACGAAGTACAAGATATCCGTATTCAGCGTTTTGATTGGGGAGGGTTCCTGCAGGCTGGCAACTGCTTCGGTCCTTCTAGAAGTGGTCAACCTCTCACCTGCGTCTACACTTGCTGTGCGATATTACTTGAGCTTCAGTACCGCTACTTCCTTAGTATTTTGCAGGGTGCGGAAGTTCCCAGAATGTCGCTGCGTTGCGATTGCATAGCGAAAAGGACGATCCGAATTGCGGGAAGCCGGCGACGGAGTTGAAAGAAAACGGAGCTCACCGGCAGCCAATCAGCGAGCGGGTGTTGCCGCCCAGGCCCACGCCTTCCCCTGACACCGTCCTTTGTCTGCTTTTGGGTTGGCAGCGTCGCTCCCGAATGCCCCACATCGGTTTGTTCACCCTTCCCGGAACGTCCAACAACAGGCTGTCACTGGCATCTCATTCGTTGGCCGTCGACTTGACCATCACCCCAATGCTCGAATACGATTTGATGCTTGCCTTCAGGCCCCCAAAGAATCACAAATTCACCATGTCGGCTCGCATGGTGCTTCCACGGCCGCCCACGATACGTCCCCTCGCTTGTGGGGAATGCAGGATCCCAATTCGCGTCCTGCACGCAAGACAAGCATGGTCACCGTGACGGTCGCTTTGAGCACACGTACATACGTACATGGACGGATCGGAGCCAGTGCAATTGTGTCTTCTCACTGGACGATATCCCTGGGGCAGACGATTAGGTTCAGGCAACGACAGGGGTGAGTGCTACGGTACCGCTGCTGGGGGGGTTCAGCACGCTGAAAGTGCGTGATTCCGCAACCCGATGTATCCGGTCATCTTTCAGGCGGCCTTCTCGCAAGTTCGCAACATGATCTTTGCTCAGGTAGCAGGCCGTCTGGACACCCACCCTCAAAAGGCACCGTACCTTCATCTTGCGCGCACGTTGCTAGCTGCCTGTGTCTCCCAGTTTGCTTGTGGAACGGTCACATTGCCTCCCTCCGAGTTACCACAGTCAGCCCCCAGAGCCTGCGATAACAGCTGCCGAGAACTCGCAGATTAGGTGCTGAGAGGCGGGTTCCCCGCCCCGAACACACACACAAGGCCCGAGACCTAGCGCCCGCTCGTGCAGGGGCTGCCGAGTAGGGCCTAAGTTTACCGACTCGTCGAGACTATCTACCGTGTGATATGCAGTGTGCTGCTGCGGGCTGCCCACCAAGAACGCATACCCTATCCAATATCAGAGCCGACTCAACCGCTGGACCTTGGTGTGAGCAATTCTTGCCTGCAAACCAGATTACGGTCTTCCCGTTCCTCATTGCCTACACTAGGTTCGACAAAATCACCTCGGACGAGTACCGCGCGGGGGGAACCATTGAGCCCGACAACTGCGGCTTACACCCATTGATTGTGACGGGATTGCAGCGTACCAGGCGCGACCACTCAACATTACCGATTCTGGATGGAGAGAGAGCCAAGCACAGCTTACACCCTTAGACACACCACAACCCTTGACAGCGTGTGTCGGTCTTTGTATATCTCTAATCCCCTCCTCTCCTGCGCGCCATAACCCCGCGCTCTTGGCTCCTTCCCGACTCGCCGCCCCACGCTTCACAATCGCTTGCTCTCTCCTCAATGGCCTTCCTCGGTGTCATTCATGGTCTTTAGCCTTACTCGGATCGGGGAGCTTGGAATTGCTCATCCCCTCCCGCGACAGCATCGGCTTCCCGCGGTCTGCGGCGCGTATGATCAGTGTCGCGGCGGTGGTGTTTGAATTGGAACTGAATCTGTTCAACGGCGCAACGACCATCTCATTCGTGTTGGCGCACAAGCAGGCGGACCGATGGCCTCACTTGCGCAACCAGCGCTGCGGAGCGCGGCAGACGCGCCCACGCTGTCGCTAACAGGACTCGCCAAGCGCATCAATATCCCTCTCGAGCCGAACAGTCCTGCCGGTCTAGTGCAGGCCTTGACAGAAGACCCGTGGTCGCAATCCGGCAAATATGGGTTGGGCTGGACGTACTTTGCGCTCTGCCTGGGGGCATGCGCGGTATTCGTGAGGATATGGCATTACTGGCAGGACAAGATTCGGCAGGCCATCTATAAGCAGGAGATGGAACAGCACTTTCAGAGTCTATATTCGATGAGTCCGGATTGGGACAGATCGGCTGCATTGGCCACGGGCGTCACAGCGGCGGAATCAAGGCGACACTTCTTCCCTGACGATCCGCCGATCGAGGAAAAGCATTTCAGACCAAAGGCGCACTTTTCGTCTGTCACCTTCGTCAACGACACGCTGGCGCTCTTCCGCTGGGTGTTCTACCGCCCGATCCCGGACATCGTGTGGAGAAAACACCGGTTCACCTTCTCCTCCATTGCCGTGCTGGGCTGCGTCTTCATTGCCCTTGCATTCGTGACGGTGTATTGCTTCCTACAGCAGCCACTGTACTGGCAAAGCATACGCTTCGGGTCGCCGCCGTTGGCCATTCGCTCCGGCATGATGGCCGTTGCCATGACGCCTTGGATCTTTGCCACGGCGACCAAGGCAAACATTCTCACTCTTATTACAGGCATTGGCCCGGAGCGCCTCAACGTCTTTCATCGCTGGTTGGGCTATCTGTGCCTGTTCCTCTCCCTCGTCCACACCGTTCCTTTTTACATTCAACCGGTCTGGGAGGACGGTGGCATGGAGGTATTCGAGGTGCTGTTCCCTCCCGGAAGTGGAATCATCTATGGATCTGGGATCGCTTGCCTCGTGCCTCTGGGTTGGCTTTGCGTGGGTTCCTTACCCATCATCCGCAGGAAAGCGTACGAGCTCTTCTCCCTCCTGCATGCCCCTGTTGGCTATGTTTACCTCGCCGTGCTCTTTTGGCACACTAAGAACTTTCTTATGTCGTGGGGGTATCTGTGGGCTTCGATCGGCATCATCGTATTCTGCAACGTCCTGCGGCTTTTCAAGCTGAACTGGGCTAAACCATGGCGCATGGCCTGGCTGGTCGGAGACGAGGCCGCTATCAATATCATGACCGAGGACGCGATAAAAATCACCATTCCGACACAGATGCGCTGGAAGCCCGGCCAGTACGTCTATCTACGCATGCCGGGCATCTCTCTCTTCGAAAACCATCCTTTCACCATCTCATCTCTCTGCAGCGAGGACTTCCCTTCCGAGTACGGCGAGCAGTACCGAGACTGCGTGCTCGTCTTCCGCCCATACGGTGGTTTCACACGCAAGGTGCTCGAGACGGCCATCGACAAGGGGCCCTTCCATACTTATCGTGCATTCCTCGATGGCCCTTACGGCGGGATGCGGCGCGAACTGGCCGCTTTCGACACGTGTATCTTGATTGCGGGCGGCAGCGGCATCACTTCCCTCATGTCACAACTCCTGAACCTCATCAAGCGCATGCGCGACGGCAAGGCCATCACCAAAAAGATCGTGGTAGTGTGGGCGCTGAAGCGCCTTGAAGCGATGGACTGGTTCCGTGAGGAGCTGCGCATTTGCCGCGAGGCCGCGCCCCCGGAGAGTGTTACCTGCAAGTTCTTTGTTACTGCAGCAGTGAGGAAACAGGACAACGCCCATCACGGCCGCGTGCCGAGGCCGCTGAGCAATCTGTTCCATGACAAGTTGGACGGTTTCGTGGCGGGCATCGCCAGTAAGCGCAACAGCGCATTGATCATGGCTGAGGCGCAAGGGGACCCGGAGAGGGAACGAGAACTACGCGCCGAGGACGAGGATCGCATCACCGCTTTGCCGCAGCAGAAATACCTCCAACCCCATACCTTCCCACCTCCTCCTCCCGGCCCACCGCCGAATGCTCCGCACAAGAATAAGGCGTCGGTCGCGGAGGAGACGCTCCGCAAGCTCGAGGGCCGCAGCAGCGAGTCCGGTTCCGCCGAACGAGCCAATAGCGATGGCAAGGCTGAGAGTACCAGCAGCGGGAGGAAGGACGGCGAGTTCCACTTCCGGCCGGTGGTGCCACGGGGCGACAAGACGCCTCATTTTAACTACGCCCCACCGGCAGCAAGACAACGGTACAGCCAGATTCTGGCCGAAGCGGACCCGCGTCCAAGCCAAGCGGGCAGCGCAGTAACCGATGGTGCTAGAGAACAGCAAGGAGTCGGAAGCACCGGCGGGCCTTCCTCATCAGCATCAGCATCGGTCCCAGGACCATCCTCAGCCCCGGTCCCGATCCACCCTCCCGAGCTGGCCCACCTCCGCACCACCGACTTGGGCGGACCCAGCCGGCCAAGACCCACCAGCACGTTTGGCCCGCCATCAGGATTCGACTTTGGGTTTCCCGAGACGCCGACCGAATTCCAGCGGTCTCTGATGCGCTTCGCATTTCCCATACCGCATGAGATCGACGGCGGATGGAGCGTGGAATACGGGCGGCCGGATCTGGGATACATGCTCAGGGAGTGGGCTACGGGGGGCCCCGACGGGAGAGGCGTCCTCGGCAGGAGGACTGCCGTGTTTGTGTGCGGGCCGCCGTCGATGCGGGAGGGCGTCGCGAATACAGTGGCGCGGCTGCAGGCTGAGATTTGGGGGGATGATATGCTCGAGGAGATCTTTTTGCATACGGAGAACTATGCACTGTAAACTAACGGGACGGGAAAGAGAAGGGTGGCGCGGCGTTTGGTGCGGTAGGATACCATATGTGTTTGCTTGGTCGCACATGTTGATGCGAGCGGCTTGGTTGGCTGCGCTGTGTACGGCATACCTGCCTACGTATGTACATTTTTATTACCATCAGTGAAGCCCGTATATATAGGGTCTAGTTGTTATGTTGGGACCTGCCTATGATGGTGGCGTCTTTGATCTAATCGATATATAAATGCACGCATGTATGTAATCCTGGCTTTTTGAGATGATGTTTTTCGTTCCTCTGCCTTGGCCAAACCCTTGTTCCAGCAATCTCTATCGCAAATACTCAAATCAAGATGCCCGGCTGTTTCCACTGCGTCACAGAGAGATTTCGAGCGAAACGAAAACCCCAAAGAAGGATTCCAGCTACGGCCAGATCCTGGATTGCAGCTGCCGCCGGATCCTGCCTGGCTCCTAGATCATCGAGCAGAGCGCGTGGGCAAGATTGCCTTGACCAAAGGCGCGACGCCGACGGCATCGCTGTACCGGATGTATGAATACCTGGTGATTGGCTACAACATAGGCCTGCGAAGCGAAATCGTATACTTCTTTAACCACGCATCGTGGGCCGTGGCTGCCATCCCGGACCCGGCAGACCCGGACCCGGCTCGATACGCCATCCTCGCCGCCCTGCCGCACTACCTGGTTCGGACCGTAAACCGACTGGTTCAAGACGGCTTGCCACGCGGCCGTCCAGCCATCATCGGGCCCAAAGAGGAGGCAGAGCTGCGGAGTCGCCCGATTGTCGTCGAGGAGGAACCGCCCTGGGCGGCCAAGGTTCCGGCCTTGGCAAAAACGCTTGTGATTCCCGGCCCGGATGGCAATGCGCCGGGTGCGGATTGCAAGAGCGCGCGGTTGTTGGAGATGAATATCGTGGCGGAGGAGCCACATGTGCTGTTTGTCTAGGCAGCAGTAGGGTTGGCGGCAATAGGCAGCGACAGATGCATCGACCAACTAGATGTCTTTAAACATCAACCCAATTCGATGTTTCGATACTTCAACGCCAACTCAACCAAACCCTTTTCCGCAAGCATCATCCGTCCTAGGCCAGGACAATGTCCAGAGATCTGGACCACCTCCTGCGCCGGCCTCGGCCAAGCACCTGGTCTCAATTCCTTCAGGCGCCATGCGTTTTCCTCGCACGCCAACTCTTTTCATACCACACCCGACGACACATCAATCCCCGACTACCGCCAATAACCCACGGCGATGATGCCGCCACCGTCAGCATCGTGTGCATCTCAGACACGCACAACACCCAGCCCCCACTACCCGCAGGCGACATCCTCATCCACGCCGGCGACCTGACCCAGTCCGGCTCACAAACCGAACTGCAATCCGCCCTGGCATGGCTCCGCGCGCAGCCGCACAAGCACAAGATCGTCATCGCGGGGAATCACGACCAGCTGCTCGACCCGGCGCGGGACCGCGGAGGGAGTGGGAGTGGTGATGAATCCTCGGCCCGTGAGGCGCTTGATTGGGGCGATATCATCTACCTGCAGGACTCATCTACCATACTCAACCTGCCCCGGGGGAGGGTACTCCGCGTCTATGGCAGCCCGCGCTCGCCACGGCATGGGAATTGGGCGTTTCAGTACCCGCGTTCTGACGAGGTGGATGTTTGGGGAGGTGTGGTGCCCGAGGACACGGACGTGCTGGTCACGCACGCGCCGCCGCGGGCGCATCTGGACCATTCCCCGGGTAACTTGCCCCTGGGGTGTGCACACCTCCTGCGAGAGCTCTGGCGGGTTAGACCGAGGGTGCATGTCTTTGGGCATGTGCATGAGGGGTATGGCTCGGAGTGGGTTGCGTTTGATGAAGTCCAGGAGGCGTATGAGAGGGTTATGCTTGCGGGTGGAGGGGTGGGGAATTTGTTTAGGTTGGTTAAGGAGGTGGTTGTGGCAGGAGTGTTGGGGTGGTGGAGGGAGACGGGGAGTAGGGCGGTGGGCTCGGATGGGAATCAAGGGAAAGGGAGGTGTTTGCTGGTTAATGCGGCCATGGTGGGCGGATTAAGAGATGACCAGGTGAGGAAGGCTGTGGTGGTGTATATCTGAATCTGATTGCTATTTCATCTTGAACACCTTACAAAGTCATGCAGGGACCTGTCCAAACCTATACTGCCCCCACGCGAAGCACGCCTCATGCATAGTCCAGATCTGCTGTCCCGGATCGTCCCCCGCCGCCCCCGCCGCCACGTACACGGGCATGAGGTGGTCCATCCACGGATGGGCGTGCCTAGCATCGGGCCGCTTGGCCACAGCCGCCATGCGTTCCTGTCGCACCGCCGGATCGGCCTCGACGGCCTCTTTCAGGGCCTCGTCGAACGAGACGGCGTAGGGCAGCGGTTCAGAGTTCCTCATGAGGAACCTCATGTCGCGCAGGTTGTGCACCGTCATGCCCGTGCCGATGATGACGACATTGTCGTCGCGCAGGGACGACACGGCGCGTCCCAGGGCGTAGTGCGCGTTGGCGTCCTCGCTGTTGAAGAGTGATACTTGTACGAGCGGGCAGCGCAAAGGGTTCGAGGTCGGGTCGAAGGCCACGTTGAACCCGGAGAACACGCCGTGGTCTAGTCCTCGTTTTACGCCACGCGCCTTGATACCCGCGGAGGAAAGCAATGAGAGGATGTGGGAGGCGAGTTGGGGGCTGCCCTTGCTGGGGAAGGTGGCGCGGTAGTATTCCGGGGGGAAGCCGTAGAAGCTGTGGAGTGTTAGATTGCCACGTGAAGAGCACGAGGGAGCATATGTGGAATAACCCACTCGTAGATCAGATCGGTCTCCTCGGCGTTGTTGAGCTGGATCTCATCGGGCTCGGCCTGCCAGTGGGCCGAGAACACCACGACAGCCTTGGGTTTGACCTTTTGAGTGATCTCCTTGCCGATCGACTGCAGGACGGGGTAGACGGGGTGGGTCTTGTTGTATTGGACGTCAGGCTGGGAACGGTATGTTAGTCAGGCTCTTGTGTTTACTTTAAAAAGGGGGGAACTGGCAAGTGAAAGATGTCACTTGCCCCTCCGTGGCTGAAGAAATAGACTGGTGCCTTGGGCATGATGCTGGGTGGTGACACGGACGGCTTAAGCAGAGTCGAGAACCCCTTGATCTTGGTCAGAGAGGACAGGCCGCGTGCTGATGAGGACCACGGGCTCAGGATGGAAGCCAGGACGACTACGAGACAGGGCAGGACTAGGACGGTAGGGTGTCTTAATGCCCACTGTCCCAACATTGGGATTGTTCTATATGTCTTTTGTGTACAATACGTATTTCAGCTGATCCTGTAATCACTTGGGGTTGGCTATATAGCATTTACTTACATTTCCTATCGGGCTACTCTCCTCGCCCTCGCCCTTTCGGCATTCAATTCAGTTTGTTGCCATGCCTGTTTTGGGTAAGCATTTCTAATGATTCGTAAGATTCCATCGTCTAATAGTTGGGGAGATGGGTACGTACAGGCAGCCCCACCTTCGACACGGAGCCGAACCGAACCGAATCTTGAACCCGAGAATTGGATTCCGTCTTCACCCCACTGTCCCGGCAATTCACCTGCACCACTCTCCACAAGTCCAGGGCGACGCTCCAACATGTCGTCGTCAATCACACGGCTGCCGCCCCTCTTGTTCCCGGCGACCGCCAGGCACACGGCCACGGTCATCTTCATCCACGGGCTTGGCGACACGGGCCATGGCTGGGCCGGCGCCGTCGAGAACTGGCGCCGGCGGCAGCGCCTCGACGAGGTCAAGTTTATTCTGCCGCATGCGCCGGCAATTCCAATAACCTGCAACTGGGGGATGAAAATGCCGGGGTGGTATGATATTGTGAGTTGCCCATCACGACCCAGGAAGTATTGTTTCCATTTATGCTTACAAGAAGCGCATCCAGCACACAATCGACGGCACCCCCGAGTCGCTACGCAAGCACGAGGACGAAGCCGGCATTCTGGCCAGCCAGGCCTACTTCCACGACCTGATCCAGAAGGAAATCGACTCGGGCATCCCCGCCGACCGCATCGTCATCGGCGGCTTCAGCCAGGGCGGCGCCATGAGCATCTTTAGCGGGCTGACGGCAAAAGTCAAGCTTGCGGGCATTGTGGCCCTCTCGTCGTACCTGGTGCTGAGCGCCAAGTTTGCCGACTTCGTGCCCAAGCCCGACGTGAACAGGCAGACGCCCGTCTTCATGGCCCATGGCGATTCCGACCAGGTGGTCAACATTGCGCTGGGAAAGACGTCGTTTGACCTGCTCAAGGGCATGGGGTACAATGCGGAGTTCAAGGTTTACAAGTAGGTTTTGAGCTGAACTGTCGCGTCACGCATGGATCCGCTGACTGTTCCCAGGGGCATGGAACATTCTGCGAGTCTGGAGGAATTGGATGACGTTGAGGCGTTCCTGCGGGAGAGGTTACCGGCGCTGGGGGACAACGAGGGCAAGTCGGAGTTGTGATCTCCTCCATGTTAAGGGTTGTGTACGGATTTTGCGGGGCGCTTTGGGTGTTTTACACGACTGTGATATGCTGCTATAGACCATGATACCTAACATTCCACCCTTTCAACTAGCACAATTCAATTGCCCATCCGCAGTGTCATGAGACTGATCTGCGCCTGGATCTGGAATTGTCCAGAAGAAACGTGGAATTCAGGGGTTCTGTACCCCGCCTCGCCCGCCTCGCCCGCCAACCGGATATGGTCAGTGCTCTTATCTTATCAACACCCTTACTTTGCGACCAGCTGTTGGCCTGCTTGCATCACCTGGACGCGAGCCATGAATCTTTCGTCAGAAGCGATCGCGGTAGCTGATGCAAGAAAGAATCTACCTTTCACCAAAAACCGCAGAAGTACTGGGCATATTCTAATCCCAACAGAACTGTCAAGACTTTGAGAACTTGCTATCTTAGCTGTATCGTCGGAGGAGTGCGACAAGTGGGGAGCTCTTGCTCTTTTAACAGTCACCTACAAAGTAAACAAAACGACCTTAACCAGATTTCCATCTGACTGTTCGCCTCCACCGTTTAACAAGACATCGGTCGATCCGCCCGCGCCAGCAAGCCATGGCGGGAAACTCGCCTCCCTCGCCGTCGCACTCGCAGCTCCCGCCCGTGCCGTCAAGCCCAACATTCTCGTACGCCTCGACCGCGAACCCGCTGTCGCAGTACAGCCTCCCGCTCCCACCCCCGCCACGCCCGGCCCACCCCGTGCTCACCAAGGCCGACCTGGAGCAGTCGCAAACTGCCTACGCCGATCTCCTCGCCAGCGCCAAAGCCTACCGCCTCGCCCTCGCTGCCCTGTCAACCGCCGCCTCAGCCTTTGGCGCCGCGCTAGAAGCCTGCGCCCGCCTGAAGGAGGCCCGCGCCGAAATCATCCACAGCCCCCCGCCGCCGCCGCCGGCCGCACCAGGAGCCGACCCTTTGATAGGCAACAATTCCAACCCCGCGCCGGCAACAACTACCACAACTACAGCAGCACCAGCACCAGCAGCAAACCGCCCCGGCGCCGGCGAAAGCTGCACAGCGGACACCCTCCTAACCGCCGCAGGCCTGCACCACCTGGTCGCCAACCACCAGCACATCCTCTCCGAAACAGTTTACCGCTCCTTCGAAGTACCCCTGCTGCACGAGCTCGACAAGTGGCGGGCGGCCGTCGAGGACGAGGAGGAGAGATACACACGCGAGGTGTCGACGCGCAGCGCCGAGATCCGCCGCCTCGAAAAGGACGGGCTTAAGCAGCTGCAGCGGCAGGGCCGGCGGCGCGATGTCGCGCGGTTTCGGGCGCATTTGGTGGAGTTGACCGCCCGGTTGGATGGGTTGACGGCGCTGCATGCCATGCATGCGACTACCTTGTTGAGGGAGAGTCAGGATACGAGTTTGAGGATTTTGGATGCTAGCTGTAGTCTGGTCAGGGCGGAGGTGGATATTTTTGAGAGCTTGGCCCGGAAGGGGTGGTCGGGGGGTGGGTTGGAGGATGTGCTTGAGAAGGGGGTGGATTTGTTTGCGGCTGAGATGGACCCTCTCCTTGCTGGGACGGGAAGGGGTGGTGCCGGGGTTGGGGATGGTGGCGGTGTGGGCGGGGAGGGGCCGAAGCTGTTCAGCATCCTCCCGCCGAGGAGCATACTCGCCGATACGGCCGGGCCGGGGGCGGACCAGCGGAGCCACGCGCGCTCGGACAGCCTGCTGGTAGGGGTGGATGCGGAAAACCGCTACCAGAGCCTGGTTGGCGCCGTGGGGGGGAGAGAAAGGGATCGTGACGCAGAGAGCGTCTTTTCTGATTTCAACCGGTCGCGGAACGTGCGGCCTTTTTCGCCGCAGCCGCAGCCGTTGAAGTTGAACCCGGAGGATCTGATTGGGAGTTTGGAAGAAGACGCTATGGAGCCAGAGAAGGGAAAGCAGCAGCAGCAAAACACCAAACTGTTGCATGGCCATGACCGGCAGGAAGACACTGACGAAGGGTGTCCCGTGGAGGACAGTCGGGGGGACGACAACGAGGAGGAACATCCCTGGCGTGACGAGGGGCTACGGCGCCGGACGCTGTCGGGAGATGAAGAAGAGCAAGAACGAGTTGGCGCAAGCCTAGGGGATCCGATGCACGCACGAGAGGAGAGCTGGAGCGTCGCGAGTGTTAATACATGATGCCGTGTTTTTAACGGTCTGAGTCAGGTACTTTGGGAGGCTAGGTGCCTTGTTAGTGCAGCCAAGATTTTCCACGTAAAAATCATCCTCTCGACTACCCCTTCTAACAGAACCAGCGGGTGGCAGAAGTACCGAACATGTTCTGAGCAATTTGTACAAGTACTAGTACATACAGCTGGAGCATCTTAAGTATACCCTCAATTCACATTCTCACAGGCCATGTACGCCTAGAGTTGATGGATCTGGATGATGTTGGTGATTACAGAGACGATAGAAATATCTGCAGTTTGTGATAACGAGTTGTATAACGCCCCGTTGCCAGCAAGTCTCGAGTTCTGCGTGAGCGGCCTTATGCACATCTTGACCACCATCCCTTGCAGTCTGTGAGGCACAGTTCCTGCCTCTCGCATCTCCCAAGCGTAAAATCGTTATGTACTCCGTAAACACCATGCCGCCAGCCAAGCAAAACTCAATTTCGTCCTCAGTCGTCCTTATCCGCATCTCGAATCTCCCCACCAAACAACCCCAGCAAGAAATCCAGCCACCACATAAGCTTCCAGTACAAGCTCGCCTTGTTCCAGTCAAACTCGCCCGTCTCAGTGCGCGGCACTTCGCTTCCAATCATGGCGCCATTGAACCACTTTAGAAACGGGATATGATTCGTGGCGCGCTGCGTCCACGACTGACCTGGCAGCAGCGCCGACTCGGGGGGAAGGATCTTAGCCTTCCGCACCGTCGGGATGGCGCGGCAAAACTCGTTGTCCGGCTGATGAGCCGGCGCCGTGCCCGCCGCGGGAACCATGCCGTGGCCACCCGCTGCCACCTGCTGCTGCTGCTGCCCGGTGACGGTGCTTGACGAGGTGGTGCTTGTCCCGGCCCCGTTGGAGGAGCCCACCGTCATGGTGTCGGCCGTGGGAGTTGACGAGATCTGCGAGTGTGGTGGCGACCAGTTAGTGTTGTCGAGGTCCTCCCAGGGATTCTGGCCGGCCCGAGGGGTGGGGTTTCTTGGTTGACTGCCCCTCCTGCGGAATGACGACGATGGAGTCCGCTGATGCGGCTGCGGCACGCTGGCGAAGGACAAGGCCGGGTCCGGGATGGCCTCGTCGCGGGACGGGGGAATGCCTTGGTAGGGCTCGGCGTAGACCAGGTGGCCGAGGATGGTTTGCGGGGATGAGAAGATGGCGGCTTCGGCGGCCTCGGCCGACTCGAACGTCACTTTGACCCAGTGCTGGCCGCTGTCGGCCCGGTTGACCTTGGCCCGCTCCTCCGGGGTGAGGGCGCGCCGCCGGACCAGGGCCGGGTCGCGCAACTCTGACTTGTACCGTCTGCTCTCGGCCGGCGGGTCGCGCGAGTAGTCTTCGCATATCCTGCCGGCGAGCTGTTCGTAGTGGTTGATGGCGGCGTATTGCTGTGCCGCGGACCGGTAGCCGCGCAGTATGACTTCGGTCGGCTCGCGTTGCTTGAAGAAGCGCGCTTGCGACGGGTTGCTGCTCTCGTCCAGGGTCTGCTGGGAGGAGGTGGACGGGACTAAGGTTGGTAGGGTTGGTTTCCGTTGTCCCTGGGCGGGCGCACTTGTCTGCTGCGCGTTTTGGGCTTGGCTAGCGATCCAACTGCTGAAGATCTTGTCGGCGGCTGCTATCGTGGGGTCCTCCCTCTTTGCGGGCGTGGCGGTTTTGGACCTCGATCGCCTCGTTGACTTGCCAAAGGAGCCCGTCTCGTGCGTCATTTTCCTCGATCGGAGCGAGCCGTCCTGGCTGCTGCAGAGTCAGTCGCGTTGCTGCTTTGTCGCGGAAGTGTGATGGGGAAAATGCATACTGCGGAAAGACCATTGCATAAGGCCTTTGTACTCCGTCGTCACCGACATACAACTCATCGTCGGGCACATTGTGCAGAATTAAGGGAGCCATTGCAGATATGCCGCTCGCCGCTGGCCAATGGATATCTGGGTGCTGTTTTTAAAAGTAGGGCGTGAAATGCCAACACTGAACGAATGGGATGTTCAAATGTAATGTACTTTGCACTTGCAAGCATGGAAATGCGACGCGATTTTTGGTTGGAATCTGCCCAGCAACGGAGCAACCAGCTAGCGAAGACCGTGAAGTGATGCAGCCCGCTTAATTGCATAGGTACCTGGGTACCTCCGTACCTAACGCTAACAATTCACTTAGCATGTGCGCGTTGACACCGTATTTACTGTGAACGCCAATGGCGAGAACCTTGCAGGCCGATAAGATAAAGGGCTGCTGGTTGCTCTTTAAGCAATCGTCTCAGGCTTCCCGCCTGCTGCATTTACAGACCTCGGACCTCTGTATCTCTACCTTGCATCTTCATCATGGAACCCAGACCCAAAACAGAAAACAACGAAATGGAGAGACGAAACAGGCCCGCAAAGGCCGCCAAAGAACGTCGGGAACCCAGATACCACGTCTATGTCCGGCTGCCCTTCAACCGAGGAACATTCGTCGAGCCTGGTACAGTAAGTTTTGCACTGTGCTATTCATGGGCCCGAAGCTGACCTTCCATCAAGGTGGATTGGGACGAGAAGAAGTCCGAGGCGCTATGGAGCGTCCTGTCTGATTCTTCGCTCGCCGATGTTGACTGTAAGTTCTATCCTGTCTTGCTCGCATCCCATCCGCTGTTTTGCTGACGGAGGCGAACAGGGACCAAGCTGTGAGTCTGTATGAAGACAGGCCCATGAGTACCAACTAACACTGTGCAAGAGCAACGCAGTTCGAGGTGACCGTTGATTTCCTCCTCCAGATGGCCAACTACCTGTCGGAGCGCCACGCCGCCCAGCTCAGGGCGCAGATGTTGAAGGCGGCCGCGGCCAGGGGCTCCAACGCCCCCTCTCCGGTCCCCGGCGCCGAGCCTGCCCACCACGAGAAGACGAGACGGAGCTCAGGCGGCGGTGCCCGCGCTCCGTCGGCGCTCTCAGTCCGCAGGGATGCTGCCACCCCGGTCCCGAGGAATGACAATGAGGAACACGGCAGTCGTGCTCTCCCCTCGCGACCACGTCCCTCGCGCAACTCGTCCGGCTCCAATGTCACCGCCGCTGTCCCCTCCTCCCAAACACCCCAGCCCGCCACCACCTCCTCCTCCAGGCCCGCCACAGCCACCCGTCTAAGCGATCCTCAACAACAACAACGGCGCCGCTTCTCATACTTACCCGCCCAGCAACAACAACAACCGCATACAGGAGAAGACGCAGAAATGGCCGCCCCGTCCAGCCCGGCGCCTTCCTCTTCCTCCACCTCCACCACCACCTCTTCTTCATCCTCGTCCTCCTCAGATGACGATAGCATCGTGCAGAGCAGGATTATCCGCCGCCCGCCGCGCTTCGGCTCCAAAGACGCCACCGCAAATGCAACCGCCAGGGGGGGCAACCCCAACCGGAAAAAAAACAAGACCAAGCCTAGGGGTTTGTATAACGACGACGACAGCGGCGGCGGCGGGGTGGGGTTTGGGTACGACGACGACGACGATGACGACGATGATGATGATGACGCAGAGCCTGCTTTTCTCCCCTTCAAACGTACGACAACAACAACAACATCAGTCACCCCCACAGCTAGCAGCGGCGGTGGTGGTGGTAGTAGTGCTAACAGGGGTGGAACTAATGCGGGGAGTATGGGGTCGGACCTCGGGGCGACTCTGCGCGGCGACAGGGGTGGTGCTGGTTTGCAACGGCGTGGAGAGGCGGGGGATGTCGGCCCGTCGTTGTCGTCGTTACAGAAGCCCGAGTTGTCATCATCGGCAGCGGTGGCTGTTGCTTCCAGGCGGCAGCATCAGGGTACCGGGACCGCGGGCGCGGGCGCGGGAGGACGGAGGGGGCTACCTGCTCCTGCTATCAACACCCCTGCTGCTGGCCAGGCGCCTCCTGGCTATGGTGGCCCGCTGTCGCCGAGGAGGGCGGCCGAGCTCGCGGGCAGGGGGTATCATCATCAAGGGTCTGTGAGTAGTAGAGGGAAGGGCGCCTCAAGGGAAGGGAGTGACGGGACGCCTAGTATGGGGAGCAGCTTTAGTGATTTGGACGGCAAGTCTCGTGATGCAACCTTTTACATTTTCCATGGTTATTGCTGACAATGCTTTGGGGTTAGATGCTTCGGTCACGCAATCGGCCTTGGAGGAGGCTCTGGCCAGTCGAATGCAGGACGGGACCATCGGAAGCCGGATGAGTGTCATTGGGCAGGCGATTCGGAGCCGGTACTTGCCCAAGGCGAATCGGTAGTTGTTAGTTAGGTTGGGTTGAGCGTGGTGTGGCTACTAGCAATCCTGGGCATCAAGTTCACTATGTAGACTGTGGCGTTAAGAGGTTGGGTTGGATTTGAGGTTGGGTTAGTCTGGCGTCGGAGAGATTGGCCTTGTGCGATTCACTGTGGTTATGCAAGGGGTTTTGTGGTGTAGCGTCTCTTCACAGTAGTTTGTGTACCTGGTGAGACAATTTGGATTGTACAGGCAGGTGTAATGTAAGTTTGATGGAGACAGGCTAGGTTTCATTGATATCCGAGAGACCATCTTGGATAACTTATTCAGGGGCTATTCTCATGTGCAGATATGAATAGTTTTCCCTTCCCCGATGTCTAGACTGCCGTCACCAGGAGATCGATGCTTAGTACCGTCAACGACCTAGAGGGAATATATCCGAAGCTCGGCAAAGTGAACTCCTGCTATATTGGGCTTTTCTGGCTCAACTACAGCTTCACTCACCGGCTGCGTGTATCAATCTTGAACATAGCGACCAACCAACACCATGAACACCGCGGATTGCCAACCGATCTTATCCCCTTACCAAATATGAGGAAACCGATGGGCCGGTCTCATGAACATTACTTATGCATAAAGGCCACAGCCTGACAGATTGCTGCGACGAGGGCTCATGATGGTGGACTATATACCTATATCACTGTAGACGAATCCACCGCCACCTTGCCTCACCTCACCTATCACAGAGCACCTGCGCGACCACAAATCCTGGGCCCCAAGATACAGGCATATCAACCAATGCCGAACCAGTGCCATGAACATCCTGGCCCTGCTCCTGAAGAGCTGCTCCTTGTCCACTTTGAGACCATACCAACTCACCTGAAGTCAAGCACCATATGATACCAATATCTGCATATCCTGCCGTTCAAGGGCTCTCCTTATCCTCCCGGGCCAGTCGGCGAGAACATCCATGATGAACATGCACCCTCGCCCGATCAGCGGCTCACGCACGTGTCACACTAACCAAACAACCATACGGAAAAGAAGCTGTCAAGTTGGTCTGGGCAAGCAGCGGGCCCGAGTCCCGGGCCTCAATGGCCCGGAAGGCCCTGAAGAACTTGAACAGCGTGTAGGCGATCTGGGTGAGGGCGAACTGTTGGCCAAGGCAGATGCGTGGGCCTCCGCTGAAGGGTAAGTACTCCCAGCTGGTGACAAACCAGGGAGTGAGTGAGGCAGATGGTCAGCCGGTTGTTCCTAGAATACTTCCTATACGCAGGGTAGGGGTCGGCCGGTAGGGTAGGTATGTAGATTTGTGTATCAGCAAGCAAAAGGGGGGGGGGGAGGATAAGGAAATGACTTACCCAACCCGAAGATCCGACTCCCACCGTTCGGGCCGGAACTCGTCCGCGTCCGGTCCATATATCTCTTTGTTGCGGTGCAGCCCGTGAACTGACCAGCGGACCGGCGTCCCCTTGGGCACGAGGATGGGCTGTTTCCCGCTTGGCCCGCCGCCGCGGGGGAGTACGGTCTCCTTGCTCGCCGCTCGCGAGTTTGTGGACACGGGCGAAAAGAGACGCAGGGCTGCGTGTGATATGAATAATAGGTTCAGACATAGTTACGTGCATTTTATGATCAAACCATTGTCGAGGTTTAGTAGTAGAGAGTTAGGTGGACCAACTCACCTTCCTTGATGACATTATTCAGATACTTCAACCGCTTCAACTGCTCCCAGGTTGGGTGGTCATCCAGATCCGGAGCGCACACCTCGCAGCGCAGCCTCTCGACCGCGGCCGGGTGACGCGCCAAAAAGTAGAAAGCCGCCGTGATCGCGGATGCGGTCGTGTCCCGACCGGCAATTAGGATGGACAGGATCTGGTCCACGGCGTAGTCCTCAGGTGGGTTTGCCTTGAGCAGCTCATCGAGGAACACATAGCCGCGCTCTTTCTCCTTTGTTTCTGCCTCCGCCGCCGTCTTCTTGATGTAGAAGCGCACGTACTCGCGCAGCCGGCGGACCGCCTCCGTCAGCTCGCGGTGCGGGAGCATGAACAGCACCTGCCCGAGGCGGGATTTCTTTGCGCTCTCGCGGCTGGCGTACTCAAAGTCCTGAACAAACTGCAGCGCCTCGGGACTGGGCGCCGTCGTCAGCGTGTTGGTCGAGTAGCCCATCAGAAAGTCGGTCGACGCGTCCATGGTCATGTCGAGCAGCAGCGCCTGCATGTCGAACGTTTTGCCGTCGTCCGCAGGGATCGCGGCCAGCAGGTTGGCGATGTGCCGGTCGAAGCAGGCGAGGTCGGCGACCTGGTCTCGCACAAACGCCGGCCGCATCATGACGCGCGCCTTGTGCCAAGCCGCGCCGTTGCTGGTAAAGATGCTGTCCGGGCCGAGCACGGCCAGCACAGCGAGCTGCCGTGGGCCGGCGATGGGCCAGTCGTCGATCCGGGTCAGGATTGTCTTGACGTTCTCAACCTCGTTGGTCATGAGCACCCAGCTGCCCAGCGTGTTGGTGTAGTGGGTGGTGCCGCACGACGCGAACCGCTTGGCGTACATGTCGAGTAGCCTGTGGCTGTTGAAGGCGCGCAGCCCCTCGCTGAACGAGTCGAGTCCGAGGATTGGATCCTTGTGCGGGTACACGGCTACGGTTCCGCAGCCGAGAGCGCGGGCACGGCGGTAGAATAGATATTTCCTGACAAGCGAGAGGTTGAGCTGGACGGCGATGGCGGCAAGGGCCAGCAGGACGAGATACGAAGAGGCCGTGACATGGCTGCTGTTGATGATGAAGTGCGAACATGCACGCTGCAGCGCCCATGCTGAGAGGGGCACGCTGGCCACGGCGAGAGCAAGAAACTGCATGTCTGAGTGTGTGTGCGCTTTTGACGATGTTGTAGAGAACAGAGGGAGGCCGAATGCAATGCGTCTTGACCGACTTCCAATTGACAGCTTTGTCCAATTGTAGCTGACAAGCCCACTGCAGCTCTTTGTCGTCGGCGTCCCTGAGTACGTCCTCTTGGTTGCATATAAGTAGTCGTGTCCGGTAGGATCGCCACATTCATCACACCTCATCTCTTGACATGAGTGAGATGAGATCCCAATCCTTCGGGAAGAAGAGGCGGATAATAGTCGACTTATGTCCGTTGTATGGAGGAATGTATCCCTGGGGGATGTAGATCATCTCACGATGCAACCCCGCCCGGAGTTGCTGCAACGAAAGGCAGGTGAGACGGTGCGAGCTCTTCTATCTTCACTTCCATTGGAAATGTGAGACTGGTTGGCTCGTTAGATGGGCATGCGCTTACGGAGGTACATCTCCACCGAATGGACATGTTCACCTTATCATTTTTCTCTTTTGACATCAGAATCCTCGCCCCGTCTTCAGCTCCGCCCTGGCACCACCAGCAGGACACGAAACCCGATGGCTCTGGGTACTTATCGGCCAACCTGATTCCTGGCCTCAGAAGGATCGATCCATACCGGAAGAAATGCAGGCTGCTCCTCCTGGCTGAGTCCGTGGCCTTCCGGCGCCCTATCACTCATCTCTGCTTTGGTCCAGCTCCAAATCCGGCGTTGCAGCAATCCTTTTAGAGCACCAACAAGACCGCCGATGGTGTCCAGCGCCGCCGTTTTTGGACACAGATTCACGAGCCCTTCCAGGACGGATCCGTCATTGGCTGTATCCCTTATAAGACACGGCCAATGCTCGCCATCCGAAGCACCCTTCCCCGTCGCGAGGTAGCCGACGCTGGTTCCCTCGTTGCCGCCGGTTACGGCAAGAGGACTGGGCGTTCCATCGCGGTCTAGTCCTCTATGGCTGCTACCCCCAGCAGAAATGCGTCGGGATAATAGCCATTCCTAGAGGGTGGCGCCACCTTTTGGTGACGTCCAGCCACGCTATACAAGCACCTTTCAGACATCTCTGAGCTGCCATGACTCTTGGTCACCGTCCTTCCCGCGCAATGTGAAGGAGAGACACATGTTGAGCTCATACTCTGGGTGCTGCGGTGAATCCGTCAGTAAGGTAACTCAGACGCAGGGAAAAGTTGGGGTTGATTCCTTACCTACTACCAAGGACGCCTGCTTGTTGCTGCTATACGAAATTTGCGCGGAGGACGCTCGATATTTTGTAGAGTAGGACCTACTCTAACCCAACATGATGTAGCCTGCTGCTGACTTCAAATGGTTTGGTGGAGCTCCTGGAGTTCTGGAGGATCTGGCAAGTTCGCTCCGTTGTAGCTGCCGTCTCTACCTACACCATGAGGTTCCCATACAACGGGCGTCGGTAGCTACCTGATCTCCGTAAGCACTTTCCCCAGTCGACGAGCAGGCCCTCATCTTCAGCGAAATGCGATCTTATTGCCGCGGTACTATGTTACCTTTCATGTTCTTGGCCTGGTTTAGCTTTTGCTACCATCGCAAACTTCGATTTCAATGGCGGTTTTTCTCACCTCAGATTCTTCTCAACCAGCGACATTCTGAGCTGGAAGTGCCGAGACCAAGAATTTCATAGAACCCACCTTACTCACGATAATCGTTGTCATCTCGAGTGCTTATTGTGGATTTTATAAGTTCCTGTCTTCAACCCAAGTGCTTACTGCTTGGTAACTGGTCAGGGTTGTTCCCAGCCGTTTCCAGGTCACTCCGTCCATGAGCCATGGACGGAAATGGGAGATATTGGGGATTCTGGTAGTTAGGTTGCTTGGCGGTGATCGAAGCCGAACGACTTTCAAGCCACTCTCGATGTAACCCCACACGGTCTACACCTAATCCGTCGACCACAGCAACGCCACTACCGCATGGGGGATGCCGCGATCCCCGCTGGACTTTTTCGGTCTGTACTGTAGCTTCTTAGACTCCTCCCGATAGAACGAAAGTGCGGAAGGTCAACCTCTAATCGGTTTATCCTACCCGCCTGGCCTACGGTCACAACCCCTTTTCCTTCACGAAGTTCATTTATCACTGCAGGGCCGTAGCCAGCTCATCTGCGTGTGGTACCTGAGACCTGACCGTTTTAGATCCCACCCGATCTTACCCTCAAACAATGGCAACCACAGGAGACATTTCCAGCTCACAGGACAAGGGCATTATCCACCATCGGCCTCCTAGTGTAATAGAAGCAATCGAAGTTGACGACACTGTAATGCGTTCCCTTGGCTAAGCTCTCTGCTGTGAAGACTCGTCTAACGATCCGGCTGACAGTTGGAAGATGACGATCTGGACGCTACGTAAAATAGACTCTAACCCCTTGAACTTTTGATGTTGATGGGTTTAACACAGCAGCTGTCATGTAGGGGCGAGTCGAGCTATGCCACTTCGCTAGCTTCAAGTGTCGTCGACTATCCAGTAGAACATGGCCGGCGTTACCACGCTTATCGGGACGGCAGTACGTAGGCTTATCCTCCGGTGCTCAGTTTGGTACTGACATGATTCTCGTAGAATATTCACGACCGAATGACGAGGTAACTCTGATACCAGTATTTCATCGCACAGTCCAACATCTGACATGGTCCCCTTGTTACTAGCAAGAGATGGACCGCCTGCTACTTCTTCATGAGATTATGACCCGTGTCCAAGGCGGCCTCTATTCTGCCCCCGTCGAGAAGGAGAAGATCAAGCGCATTCTCGATATTGGCACCGGGACTGGCGTCTGTAAGAACCCCTTGACTAGATCGTAAATGCCGGCACAGGGTGTGGTACTAGTGCTGATTTTCCCAAAAGGGGCGATTTCCATCGGCGATGAGTTTCCCGAAGCCACGGTGAGTGCCATTCATGCCTTTGGCAGGGCCAACATTTCTGACTTAGAGTCGCAAGGTGATCGGTAACGACTTGAGCGCCACCCAACCCACCTTCGTGCCTCCCAACGTCCGCTTCGAGATCGACGACGTTGAAGACCCATGGGTCAACGATCACAAGTATAGCTGGATTTTCTGCCGCTACATGGCCGCCAGCATCTACGACTGGCCAAAGCTGGTGGCCAACATTTACGAGTTTGACCCCTCTCTCACCTTCCCCCCTTCTTTCCTCTGACATAATGGCTGTGATAGGAACCTAGAACCTGGCGGATGGTGTGAATTCCAGGACTTCGACCTGCAGTACTACTCCGATGACGGGTCGCTGAAGCAAGATGACGCGCTGCTAGTCTGGATCTCGACGCTGCTCGACGCGGCGCGGTCGCTTGGGCGAGACCCAAATCCCGGCTCCAAGCTCGAAGGGTGGGTGAAAGAAGCCGGGTTCGTGAACGTCGTCCACAAGCGGTACAAGATCCCCATTGGGCCGTGGGCTCGGGACCCGCTGTTGAAGGAGATTGGCACCTACAATTACAAGCAGGTGGACGGCGGAGTGGAGGGTCTGTCGATGAGGCTGTTTACTCGAGTGCTGAAATGGGAGGAACAGGAGATCAAGGCGCTGGCGGCCCGGGTGAGGAAGGACCTGGCGAATCCAAGGATCCATGCCTTGTTTGACTTGTAAGTCGTGGTTTCCCGGCGTCAAACTTCAGAGAAGGGTGCAGGCTGATTGAAGTTGTTAGTCATGTTGTTTACGGCCAGAAACCGGAATGATGACTACCAGTGGATAGCGGGGATGGCGAAGGGAGTTCTGTCCGTCGACTTGCACCTGCACCGAACTCTGTTAGGAGGCCGAGACCAAAAAGGCGCCTAATATGCACAGAAGGGGTTACACGAGATATGACGAGAAGGTACTACACTGCAGTTCCATCTCAAAGGGGGTTGCACCAACGTACCTCGCTTCTTTGAGTCGTTTCTGTGAGGGGCTGGAAATCTTTGGTGGAATTTTGATTTCTCTAACACTAGTTTGGGAGAAGACCTGCTCAAGCCTTGTCTGAGCACAGGAAACAGCAAGGCTGACCTTTATTAGTATGATGACAAAGAGAGCGGGCCATTTTGCAGAAGCACAAAGCATGTAAGCCGTCTTCTGCACCTGCAATGAATTCGTCAAAAACAACCTGGAACGATTCACACTTTCACAGTCTCCCAGATCCAGATCTAGCGTTATCTCCACACTCCGCCAAGCCAAGGAACAAAGATCTGGGATCGGCAACTTCCCGCTCCTGATCCCTGTTGCCCCAGTCTTTTCCGCTTTTCCGCCCTCCGCCGTTGGCCCATTCGGCCCCCAACCCGGCCAAGGAGGGCCAAGGATTACGTAAATTGAAAGGCCCCCGGACGCGGACTCACGATGCCCATCCTCCGCTTTAGCTCGGCCAGCATCTCTCCGCCGCCGCCGCGACAGCAGCGCACCATGGCTGCCTCGGGGATTGTAGACCCCACCAAGCCGGGGAAATACCCCGTGATCCTCAGCGATGCTCTGCTGGGCAAGCCCTCCAAGGAGGCATACACGGCGATACGGTGTAAGCCCGCTAAAGACGGTGTCGCTTTACGGCTGTGCTCACTAACATAACCCACTACCTTGCAACAGACAATCACCGCCCAACTCTCTCGTCAGAAACCGCTCCAAACACTGCGCGGCTAAAGAAGTCCGGCAACGACGGTTCTTACAACCTCGGCTTCGATGACCAAGGCAACAAATACCAATACAATGGCGCCCGCACCACCGACGACGGCAACTACGCCCTCATCTTCGACCCGGCCCGCAAGGCCTTCGTGCTGCACCGCATCGACTCTACCTTCCACATGAACCTGACGCGCACCCCGACGGAAACCAACGCTGAGAGTCTGCGCAAGCAGTTCCCCCAGCTCGAGGTCAAGACGGGCACAAGCAGCAAGCCCCAGAAAGGCAAGGGCACCACCGCCGCCGCAGAGAAGTCACAAGCCGGCAGCGGCAGCAGCAAAGCAACCCCCGCCAACAAAGCCACCAGCAACACGTCCAAAGCGACAACCAAGAGCGGCACGGGCAAGACCGACAACAGCAGCAGCAAACCCGACAACAAGACTAAGCAAACCAAGTCCATCAGCAAGAGCGTGGCCTTGACCCTCCCGTCGGCTCCACCTCCACAACAACAACAACAGCAACAACAACAAAAACAACAACAAAAACGGGCACAAGGCTCAGACGACGAAGATGAGGATGACGACGACGACGCCGACGACGTGCTCACGGTCGAGTACCCCGGCGGCAACCCATCATCCTTCCAGCCACCCGTCAGCCGTGCCCCGCCCGTGGCAGTTACCCGGCGGTGGTCCGAGTTTGCGCGGGAAATGCAGAGTGAGACCGACGATGAGGGCGACGAGATGATGGCTGATGCCGATGCCTCTGTGGGTCTTGGGCTGGGGCTTGGGATTGGGGCTGGGGCTGGGCGAGAGGCGGAGGAGGAAGGCTATGGCGGGGAGGAGGAGGGGTATGAGGAGGAGGGGTATGAGGAGGAGGGGTATGAGGAGGAGGAAGAGGAGGAGGAGGAGGAGGATGATGAGGGGCAGCAGGGGCAGGGGCAGGGGATGAGGGGGTTGCACGGATTTGGTGGTTCTGCCGCTGCTGCTGCTGCTAATCCTGTCGCGGTTGAGCCTGAGGTGTATACCTTTGATGCTGGGTCTGAGGATGGGGAGGGGGCTGAAGGGGATGAGGACTTTGGGGATCTGGAGGCTGATTTGGAGGCGGAGATGCTAAAGGAGTTTGATAAAGTCCAGGATGAAGGGCATGAGAGCGAGGTGAGCGAGGAGGAGTGATGCTGTCATGCCGGGCGGGCTTGGTCTGATGTTGATATGGAAGAGGGGGTTTGCACTTTGCACTTGGGTGGGCAGCGTTGGGATTACCGTTTCTTCTCTGGTTTGCGGATGCTTTTGGCTTAGCCTGGGTAGTTGTAAGGCGTTCTGGGGCATGGGGTGGTGTCGTTCGTTCTACTTTATCACGGAGGGTTTGCAATTGACTTGGGTTTTCTTTCCGAACTTATGGCACAATGCTGTACTGTACTTGCCTGTCTTTACATATGCTGGGTGGGCGGGTATCCATTGGTATCGAGTTAAGGGGCGGATCGTGCATGACACAGTTCAATTAGTGAGTCTTCCGATGATCTGTAACCTCTCTCTCTTACTCCGGTCCCGTCAATATTGCCGTTCTATGACACATCTTTGCCCCAGATCCGTGTCTTACAGGCACCCCCAAACCCAGTATAGCAGGCATATGGCATGCATTTCCCATCAAAGACATTAATGCTCCAAGGCAGTGATCACATGATGGCCGAGCACGAACCGTACCCAAATGCCCGTTTCAAACACGCCCTCCAAGGCCACACCATTTTCCATCAGGATTAAATGAAATGACGAACACGACCTCACCTCCCTGATCCACGCCCACCGCCGGTGATTACCAACCCTCACCCGCCAGTTCTGGTAGTTCTCTCAGGAGAATCAAACACAGCGTCAATCCGACAACTCCTAAGGATTGTCCGCTGAACCTCCCCCGAGCGCGGCCTGGTTGATATCGTCGCCGCTGTCTCCGGTCAGATCCACCACGTTTGCATAATCCAGGGCTGGTCTGTCATCTTGGGCGAAGTCATCCTCAGCGCGGAGCGTCTCGCTCCTGTCTGACCTTGCGTCATCATCCTCCTCAGGTTCATCGCTGCGCGGCCGTCTCCTCCCCAGTGGAAAGGCAGACGAGGACCGCCGCTTGCGTTTTCCGAGGTAGACAACCTCCTCCCTCCCCGCCTCTCTTTGTTGGCCACCAGCATGGTTATCTCCATCCCTTCTGTCTTCCACATCCAGGTCAATAACACCCGGCGGCGGCAGGTTTCCGCGACCCCGCACCACAGCAGCTGGATCGAACCCGTCCTGCTCGAGCAGCCAACGGACAAGATGCTCATAGAAGACGCGCACAACCGACGGCGCAAAGGCGTTGCCGATCTGTTTCTTGATGTAGCTGCCGCGAAACCGGTGCCAGGTCGGAAACCCTTGCAGCACGGCGTACTCGAGCAGGGTGAAATCACGCTTGCCGGACCAGTGGTAGTTTTGCCCGCCATTGCATGTAATTGTCTTGGCCAGCCGGTTCGGGTCCCAGGGCGGTTTCGGCGGGTTCCACTGCCGGCAGCGGTCCGGCTGGTGGAGTGCGTGGTGGTGGTTGCGGCCATCTCGGAACATGCGCTCCAGTGGAGCAAGCGCTGCCTTGGGCGTCATCCAGGGTTTGAGTCCGCCCGTGCCGTTCTTGCTGTGTGTAGGGGGTGGTAGTGGCGGGAGTTTCTCACCGGGAGCGGAGCCGACCATGAGCAGCCGTCGTCGCTTTTGCGGGACGCCGTAGTTCGCTAAGGGCGTTACCTTCCAGCGTACAGAGTATCCATGCCTTGTGAATCCGTCCATTAGCATGTTGAAATAATTGCTGAACTTTGGGCTAAGGATCCCAAAAGTTTGCTCCAACGTAAAGAGTCTTGGACGGAACTTGTTTATGAGGTCGGTGCAGGAAAAGAGCACGGCGATGTTGTCATCGTCATTTCTGCCTGCCACGGTGTGGGCCGGTGACCAGAACTGGCAGGGAGGCGAGAGGTGCAACATGTCCACGTTGTGGTGGATATCTTTGTCTTGGATGAAGTCGGTTACCTCCATCTGGTAGATTCTACTGTCGGGGAAATTGCTCTCTAGCGACTCGACCGCGTTGGCCCAGTGGTCGACGGCGAAAAGAAGCTTCACCCCAGCCCGCTCGATACCCCTCGAAGCACCACCCGCACCAGCAAACACGTCCCCCGCAGTGTATTTCTGCCCGGGGAAAAGCATCAACGGCCGAGCACTTCCGGGAGATTGACTGCCCTCGGCGTTCAACGCCGGACGACCTGGTCCCTGGGGGTTGTGTGACCCTCCTGGGATCTTTCCCCCCCTCCAACAGTTGAGAACATGTTCGTCCTCCATCCGGTATTCCATGTCGGCATCCCTCTGGTCGACACGCTCTAGTGCCCATTCACATGGCTTTGGGCAGTCACCGTTGTAGTGGACGAGATACCGGTATCGGCATACAAGGTGCCCGTGCTGTTCTATCCAAGCCTTTCCCATCTCGGCGTAATCGGTGGCATCAAAACGATGCTCCGGAAACGGAGCATTCGTTACTCGCAACTGCCTTATTGACTTGACCAGTCCCACTGGCGCATTTACCAGGGCCTGCTCTTTAGACGGCCTTGGATCCGAGTTGGATATTTCGGCGATTTGCACCAATTCGTTCAGCCTGCATGGCAGCATGCCGTTCAACTGCCGAGTCCGTGAGTAGCCGTAACCCCAGATCTGAACTTCGCTGCTGGATTCGGGTTGAAGGAGACGCTCAATCCTCAGAAAGGTTATCCTGAATCTCCCAAGCGGTTGCTCCAGCTCAACGGTTGTTCCAGGCCTTAACCGTAAGCCACTATCCAATGTGAGACTCGGAATCTCTGTTCCGACGACCTGGGCTCTTGGGAGTGGAAGGTTTGCATTTGAGATAGGATCATCGTCGCCGGTTAGATCGATTATCTCAGCGATGTCGTCACCGAGAAAGTCCTCGATAAAATTTTCAATGACATCCGCCCGATCATTGTCGCTGGAAGGAGTAGATTGTACACTTTGACTTTCGTCGCGATGGAGATCTCTCTGAGCGAGCCAGTTCTCGAACTCCCGGGCGTCCCCGGCTTCCTCTCGGACACGCCTGATTCTGGTGCTGTAATCTTCAACACCATCATCGTCGTCGTCGACAATTAGTGGATTTGATAAGGTTCCAGCAAGGGAACGGCGCTTAGCGCTTTCCATTATAGCTGGATTGCAGGGAGTAGAAGTGAAATCGAAAAACAGACCTAGACAAGAGAAAAGAACGAAGCAGCACGGTGGCACTACTAGGTCTTATATGTGGGCAGAAGGGTTATGATTGTCTGTACTTTGAAGGCTTGCACAATACAGTTTGTTGGGTGAGTTACTGAAAGGCGGATTGACTCACGAAACTGTACAGTGGTTGAAGTTAGAAACGAAAGAGGAGGACGGCAAACTCTTGTAGAAATAGATGAGAACAATGTGGTGAAACCGCTCCGAATATAAATGGAAGGGCAAACAGCCAATAACAGAAGATGGCAACATCTGTAATCGAGCTTGCTGGTTCTTGGAGTGGTTTGTCCAAGTGAGTGAGGATTATGGTGGGAAATTTGACTTTCCCACGACTATCCGCTCCTTTTTCCACGAGGATGGTTTCTGGAAGCTGCGCAAGAGAATTCTGTCGCTAGATAAGCAGAGTACTGTAACAAGAGAGGGGGTTCAGAAAACCGTAATACGGGGTATCTTCCATCTGACTTTGGTGGGGTTTAACCTGACTTGTTATCCGTGGATAGATCTGCCAAATCAGAACTCATTTTCCTCTCTCTACTCCTATCTTTCCACAAGCCATGCTTAAGGATGATGCTAGAATAACGACAAGGACAACCAGCCCTGTGATAGAACAATGGCTACTGCAAGGATAAGGTTCAAGTTAAATCCTGTTGCCCCTACTAATAAAACAACTATCTCTAGGAAATACGATTCTTGTTAAGAGGAAGGTCCCTTATATAGACAGCTCTTCAGGTCTCAATGCATGTAACAGACGAGAGTATGGACTAGAGGTATGAGTGCCACTGATGGCATTCTGGTAGCTCAGTAGCCAAAGAGCCAAACATCACAGTACCTATCCAACCGCCTTTATATATCTTCTCTATCAAAATGAGGCAGATGGGGCCTGGTCATAAGGCCAGATGTGACTCAGGGTGAGATGTTGGATTGGATTGAATTGTGTTCACTCTATCTCGGACAAATGTTATTGACTACCCCAAGCGTGAGCGGAAGTTACAAGTACTTTAAACAAACAGGACAGAAAGCGAGACAACGCCTTTGACTGCCTTACTTGTTTCATCTAAGTCCGAGTCATTTTCTGGTTTCATTTCCAAGTTTTCATTCACTTGCCCTTTATAGACCAGGTAAATGCAGAGAGTACACTACATGCAATTTCTACTTCCTCATGAGTGACTTCAACTTGGAGTGCTGCACTGAGTGGTTTTCGGCTTGTCAGGGGGTTTCAGGGGCTTTGGTCTCCACAAAAACAGCCATGGCGTTGGAACGGCAACCAACGTTAAGGGTTAGGGTTACCGGAGGAACTGTCTTCCGGCCCCGGACGCTCAGGTTATCCCCGGGCCACGGGCACAGCAGCAAGTTTGTTTTAACTTTTCCTCCGACAACCGTCCATATCCATTGTCTTGTCCACAGACTTCCCATACCTCGTGCTGAGGACAACAGGCAGGCTCCTTAGGCTAGGCTGCTCAAGATAAAGCGCCTGAGGTAAGTCAAACCGGGTTTTTACATCTTCGTCTGTTTTCTGATGACTTTTCTATTTGACAAAACCTTGACTGCTGAGATTGTCGCTGAGGAGAGAAACATGTCCTGATTTATATTGGATCTGTAACAAATTGCGTGCATACATACAATATTGCAGTCTGACTGACAGTTTGTATGTGTATTAGGGCCTCTTGTATCTTGTCCCGCTTACCAGCCTGGCGGCGCATTGTGTGCTCCTTTGCTTTCTTCGCTTGCTTTTGGCTTGGAATCCTGTACTTTGTTATCATTCGGCCAAACAACGACAGGGTTACTCAGACACATCTAGTCGACCATTGCTTGGTCTTCCAAGTCTTTTTTTGCTCCTTTGTTCGCACTAGCAGGCCTTCTCACTCTCTTGTAATCACGAGCTCCTTTCCCACCGTAATGATTCTCAAAAATGAGATGAGATCGATATGACGCAACACATTTGCCGGTTCGCATCTGACATTGTTTCTTAGCTTTCTCTAGTGCCTGCAGTAATCGGTGGTGTCCTGGAACCCATAGCTGACCGATGGAAAGCTTGAAGACCTAGAGAATCTTGCCTACCTATCTAGGTCCAGTACCTAGCATGCCAGGTGCCCATAGATGCCGTCTTCCAGTGTTCTGAGCTCAAGCTGGCCCTGAACTTCAGACGCACCTTCCTACTTGCACACTCATCAGCTTCATCGGCTGAACTGTCCCACCTGCTGCATTGGAACCCCTGAATCGGGGGACGCTCTTGCCATTTACAACCAAACCTTAACATGGAAGGGTGTTATCTGGAACTTGAAGCCTACCTGATCAAGTATTCTCCCTTATTCTAAAGATTTGCCTGTCGATAAGTTCCTGATTAGCGGGTGCTTGGAGTACGGACCTACAGTATGGTGTACTAACTGTGCCTGTTTGAATCCTGATGCCTCGAACACGGTGAAAGGATCGAACGAAACCTTGAGCCTACAGTAGCACGGTCGAACCTGCCACATTTCTACAGGATATATACGATGAAATAGATCAGCACATCAGTGGGAGTTCGTTTCTCAGATCTGAAAGCAAGACCCTTGGGCAACTCACAAAGTATAACTGAACCCTTCCCGACGCGAGTACCCCGCGAAATCTCTACACCTGTAGCTACAACACGACCAAAAGCGATACCACACTGGAAATCATTTAGCTTCGAGCGCTCCCGGTCGTCACGCATCTCGAATCACAACTCATTCCCCACATCGTTCTTTTTACTGGTTCTCACTCGTTTGACTTGTCTCGTCAGCCCACAGCTCATCGCTATCTCGCGCAGTGGCCGCTGACCCTGCGGTGAGGGAAGGACTGCTTGAGGTCCATTCAGACACCAGACACCGAACATCGGTCCCGCAAACTCTGAGGAAGATCATTCAGTTGCAGGGAAACATCGGCCTTGCCGTGAAGACCACCGGAAAGCGCTACTAGTTACGAATCCAGGCTCCTCATGATGCAGACCCGCGGGGCAGCCAGAAGGTTGGCGGAAGCAGCGGCGACAGCCGGCGTGCTGCGAGTTGCGGCAGCAGCTTCAATGGATGGTTCCCAGGCTCAAACACCCGTCGGAACGACAGAGCCAACAGTCAGCCATGACACGCAAAGCAAGAAAGCTGGTTCAAAGCGCAAACGTACAGCGAAGCAGGCGCAACCCCTTAAGGGTGGCTGGGTTTTGCCACACGGAATGGGCATTGGCTTCGCCAATGCGACGACGTCAAGCGACCATGAACCATCAGCCAGTCAAGGGGGCACAGCTCCCAATTCCGCTCTCACAGGTGTTTCACAGCCTGGTGAGAAGAACACCATCCCGACGCAGAAGAAGCAGACGCGGATCACTCTCCGGGTCACTAAGCCTGGAGTCAAGGTCCAAATGGGTGGCCAGCAACTGCAAGACCCGGCTGTAAAGCTGGAAGAGCCAATCGGCGAATCTGGAGGTCTCATCATCCAAACGACTGAGCGCCCCGTCAAGCGTGCGCGGACAAGTTCATCAGCTCATGAAGCGGATAACCTGACAACGACAAAGGGTCCACTAGAACGTGTCCAGGTTAAGGAAGAAGAGGCGGAAGTCATTAAAAGGCAGGTTCTCAGAAAACTGGTCATCATCAAAGGCATCACGCTCAAGGACAACGCTATCGTTAAGACCTTGGACAAGATCATCATTGATGCTACGCAACTGCTAGACCCCAACTATCGGATCATGGTTAAAAGGGGCAAGGAAAACCCGTACGGACTGACACCGGGATACTCGCCATATCCATATAGGCGGGTTCCCACTCCGGAGGCTTGCGAAGAGGTGCACAGAATTCTAACTGAAATGCACGGCGAAGTCAAGCAGCCCGACAAGATACCGGTAGCGTCTCTTGAAGTGGCTGGCTGTGGCGAGGTGCCTTGTGTTCTTGACGCGCTCCTCAGAACGCTTATTAGCGGAAACACTTTGATGGCACTCGCGGACGCCGCCATCAAGAATCTGGCTCAGCACTACGGCACACGTCAAGGAGGTACTGGAGCTGGAAGTATCGACTGGGACAAGGTCCGGCTTTCGTCACATCAGGAGCTTGTGCAAGTCATCAGGGCGGCTGGGAATGGACCCAAAAAAGCCCAACACATCAAGCAGATTCTCGACATGGTTTATGAAGAGAATCTCAAAAAGGCCAAGGAGCAGACGGCAGCTGCCGGAGTAGACTCGACGGGGACTGCTGATCAGGATCTGCTCTCTCTCGACTACATGCATGGCTTGAGCAAGGACGAGGCCATGGCGAAGTTTGTGAGCTACCCAGGAATTGGCATAAAAACGGCTGCGTGCGTCACCTTGTTCTGCCTCCGGATGCCTTGCTTTGCTGTGGACACCCATGTCCACAAGTTTTGCCGCTGGTTGGCCTGGATTCCAGAAAGGGCCGACCCGGACAACTGCTTCAGGCACGGAGAGGTTATGGTGCCCGACCACTTGAAGTACGGTCTGCATCAGCTGTTCATACGGCACGGCCAGCAGTGCTTTAAGTGCAGGAAGGCCACTAAGCCCGGCACCAAGGACTGGAATGAGGCGCCGCAGTGCCCACTGGAGCATTTGCTTGATCGAAGCAAGGACGAGGCTGCGTCTGGTCCCAAGCCGAAGAAGAAACAAGTACAGGAAGATGAGGACTCTGAAGAAGATGGGAACGGGGTTTTGGCTGGAAAGGTGGGTGCGGGTGAGGAGAGTGAGGGGCTTGGGGAGAGCGAGGTCAAGGAGGAGGAGGATGATGAGGAGTAGTCATGCAAGATGCGTGCTTCTGGCAAGCTTAGCTTGATATCGTAGTTGACTTGCTCAATACCGGCAGAGCTATGGGAGGAAGCAAACTCAACAATACTTGCACTGTTGCAGAGCAGAAGGTACAATAGCAATCAAACGTTATCTATCGCCTTCTATTGAGGTGATTCAGGAGTGAAAGCTTGGCGTGGCAGGGGGTCTTTGAATTGCGGGCCACTTAAAATAGCCCCACAAGGCGGGCGGCATGCCACGCGCTGCGGACCCACGTCAGTGATCTTTCGCGTCTTGATTAGCGCTTTGCATGCACGTAGTAGGGAGCACCTTTTGCTCGACACTTCAAGCGTTCAACGTCAACCCGGGTCCTTCGTGATCCGCCACGGCGCCGACTTGCAGGATTCCGGGCTGGTTGCTCTATTCTTCTTCGCCAACGATCTGGGCTCAATAATTTCAGCTGCTGGGTTTTCTTCCATTCCTTTTAATCGCACGTGCCGCACCTCAAATTCGTGGGGTTTCATCTTTTGCTCTTCTCAACACCTCAGGTTCAGCTTCCTCGATCAACCCATCTTTATCAGAGTCTCTGGACGTGGCACGCTTCCTCCCAAATATCCAAACCTTCTAGAGGAATGGTCAGGTTCTCCGCCGAGTTCCCAACCATTTCCACCCGACTCGGCGCGCACCAAGCGGCCTTCGCTCTTGGCTTGTACTCGCCATGGATTCCAACGACATATACCAGGCGGCCATTCAATGGCACCGCGCCTTCGAAGACCGACCTCCCGATGCGCACGTTTGCTGCCCCAAGATTGACGACGACGATGTCACCAACTACGACGAGCCCGATATTCCAGACGAGGGAGGGGCAGCTGTCGAGGAGAAGGCGCGCCGCATCAAGGAGTACGAGCAGAGATTCGACGTCACATACAACCTTAGCATTTTGATCGGTCTCGGCAAGGAGACGGCAGGTCCGTGGCTCGACAATTGGGTACAGGCCGTTGAGGACTGCCTCACAAGGTGCGATGCGTGTGTGAGGAACTGGCATCGGCGTCGTGACGCCTATCTGAAGGGCCTGTAAGTCCACATTTGCTTATGTGAGTATGGAGACTCGGTACATGGCACTGATACACCTTGATGAATCTCGCAGCCACCTCTCGCCGGAACATGTTGACTACATGCAGAAGAAGCTCGACGAGTTCGACAAACAGCGTATAGACAGGGGGCTCAAAAGCGCCCGAGCAATTCTTGAAAAAAACGGCCCTATGACCACGGCCAAGTTGGCTGACCATGACATGTCTGCTGTTTTGGCCCTATTCGAAGCCCTCTGCTGCATGGCATACCTCGCTCTCCCTGAAAACAGGCAGGATTTCAACTATGTCTTCGAAAACACACAGCGTAAGAGGCCGCTTAGAATGCAAGGAGGTCTCATACCCACAATGACCTTCTTTCTCTTTGATGAGATGCCAGTCAGGCAAAGGTTTGCGGAATGCGCGTGGGAGAAGCGGACGCCTGGGTCTATCACGGACCAGGAATGGGACTGGGCCATCTCTCCCCACCTGACCGACGCTATCTTGAAGGTATCAATCTCGAGAGGAGTTCCACCTCCGGAAAAGATTTGTAGATTCTGGCGTGGCTTTCTGTTCATCCTCCATTGCCTGAACGAGAAACAAATCATCAACTCGCTCCGCGCGATGGAAGTAACGCCCAGCGTCTACTTCCTCGCTCTCGAGCACTTGGCCACAGATTCGGATGAGGCACTTGCCATGGTCCTGAAGGGTCTACGGGCGCTCATGGAGAAATCGCCGACTGCTTTCTGGGCTGCCTTTGACCAAGTCACTCCCAGCCAGCTTGTCGAGGAGATTTTCAAATGCCCAGCATTCCGCAGGTTCCTGAACAAGTCTCTGATGTCAGACATGATGGTAACCGAAGGGGGTAGCCAGGTGCCAGCCTTGGCTGCTTGGATGAGGGCATTCATCCGTTCTCTGCCTTCCACTCGGCGTTCCGATGCTTGCGAATCGCTTCTTCGGCACCTCTTTGACACCTTCCGCCGAGATCCCACTTGCGACCGAGCCGCTCAAGCCACCTGCACTCTCGCGGGCCTCGTCACCCTGAGCGAGTCCCTGGATGGTTTCCTCCACCAAGAGACGCCCTTCGACACAGGAACCGCCCTCATCATGGTCAATCAATTACTCAACAGGGTCGTGCAGTACAGTGACGTGATCATTTCCGCGGCTAGTCTCAGGCCTGGAGACACGTTCAATGTCGGGCTCTCCCAAGCAGCCATGTCTATTACGCACTCTGCGCTTGCGCTGGACGCCAGAGCCACCGAGATTGAGTGGAGAGCCTTGATCGAGGAGACTCCAGTCCAGGACGCCGTGAACAGGGATTCAGGGGCGCTTTGGGAATGTTTCCTCGAGATGCTCTGGTACGGCCAGCTTGGGCATGTCGAGCTCGCTAAATCTATGCTGATGGCCACCCTGCGGCTGAGGAATATTGAACAGTTCATTCCGAAGCGGAAGGAGACCTTGAAAAGGGAGCAGGAAAAGTTCAACCAAAGGTATCAGCAACAGACGGTGGCAATAGGGAAGATGCTGGGCCGCCTCTCCGACTTCAAACGGGAAGAGCTGAAAAAGTTCTGCTCTGAGCGCCAAAGCCCGACGATACACCCCATAGTATCGTCGCTGATCCACGGCGAAGATGCGATCCGTGAAGCTGGTTTCGAACTGGTCAAAGCCATCACAGGCGAAGACTTACCCTCGGACGCGGTGAACAAGATGCTGGAGGACTACTTCAGCCCCTTCCTGGATGCCTTCTCGGAGGCGGTAAACAAGGTCACGGCTATCAAGGATATCAGCAGTCCTTGGAGCCACATGATTCCCATCCTAAAGTGCAGCGAGTTCGTTCTCAACGGCCTATGCGATCCTTCTGTAGGCCAGCTAAGGCGGAAGGCTCTCACCACGGAAGAGTACACCGCAGTTAAGCGCTGGTGGGAGTGCGTATGGCATGCGGTCGACCACTCCTTCAGAATGATGCGAGTCTGGCACATTAAGGTTGACAAGAAGATCATGGAGGATTTCTGCCGCGACGTCATGGAGCTGGCCAACAAGCTCCTGGCTCAAGACGGTGTGATGGCCTCCGCTCTAAGCCAGCACAGCAGCAACAGCACTGCGCCAAACGGGGATTCCACGACGAATGCTATGAGAGGCGTCTTGGAGCCTCCCGGGAAGCACTCGTTCGCTCTCGCTGACATGCTGCAGCTCAGAGACAAGTATCTCATCATGGGCATCATCGAGGTCATTAAGAAACTCCTAGCAAGGTTGAAGCAGCACGACATGGATCTGCCCCCAAAGACCCTGGCCCATCTGGGGAACATGCTCAAGAAGAGGAGGCTCGCTGATGGAAGGATAGACTATGCCCAGAAAACCAACCTGACCAATGAGCAACGGATCGAGCTGCTCAAAGCCCTTGGGGAGGATGCAGTGATTGAGGAGCAATTCATGGGCGGCCGACCTGGCGAGAAGGAAGCAAAGGAAAAGAAGCAGAGCAGGCTCGACTTCTCCAAGGCGGGCTTGAATTTGTCCGCCGCCGTGAAAGATCATATTTCCGAGATCACGCCAAACTTCGAGAAGCGCAAGCCGAGTCTTCTATCATCTCTCAAGGAGGAAGGCTTGAAGGCCAAACAACCGGTCAAGTTAAGTGAGAAGGCGATCCTCGCGACCCAGATGTCTATCAAGGAAGCTCGAGCCCGGGAGAAGGCTGAGAAAGCAAAAAGAGACGCCGAGGCTATTGCCAAAGCGAAGGCTTTAAGGGCACCCAAGACCGTCCCTGGGGAGGGATCTGGCCTACAGGGCATCGCTGGTGTCCGGGGCAAAGACCATGCTCCGGCCCTGAAGGATGAGATAATGGTTGGCTCTTCCGAAGAGGAAGAGGAATCGGACGACGACGAAGACGAGCTTATAGCACTCAAAGCAAAGGAAAAAGCCAAGACCCTGAACGACGCTGACCGTCGTCGTATGCTCCTACTGGCCGAGAAGCGTGGGCCCGTGAAGAAGGTGAAGCAACAGAGGTCCGCGAAGGATATGCGGGCACGCCTGATTCCACCGATGGATGTACTACACCAGGCCATATTAGAATGGGACATTTTCCACGAGGGCAACGACCCGCCCAACGGCTATCGTTGCGAGAACGTCTCCAACACCTATACCGACCCTCACAGCTACAAGCAGACCTTCTTCCCGCTGCTCGTCAACGAAGCGTGGCGTTCCTTCGTGACTGCGAAAGACGAAGCTACTTCCAAGCCCTTTGGCATCAAGGTGCTCAACCGCATGACGGTGGACAAGTTCATGGAGGTTACCGCGTCAGTGCCAGCCGCTGTCAACAAAGATCGAGGCCTGTCAGAAGGCGACATCGTGATTGTATCTCAAGGGGAAGATCCGTTGAACCAGCCGTCCGAACTACATTGTCTCTCGCGGATATGGAAAACAACCTACAAGAAGGATATTGTCGAGGTTGTCTACCGCCTGAATGCCAGAGGAAACCAGATCTTACCGGCTCTACTGCCGGGCGCCGAGTTTCAAGTTGTCAAAATCACGAACATGACGACAATCGAGCGAGAGTACGCAGCCTTGGAGAGCTTGCAGTACTATGATCTGATGGGCGAAGTGTTGAGGGCCGAACCATCGCCGATGCTGACGTTTGGCGACGAGGCGGTCAAGGGGGTAATGGAGAACTACCAACTCAACCCGGGTCAAGCGCGTGCCATTCTGAATGCCAAGGAGAACGATGGCTTCACTCTGATTCAGGGCCCGCCTGGCACTGGCAAAACCAAAACCATTGTCGCCATGGTCGGCTGTCTTCTTACCGGTGTTCTCAAGTCATCTAACGGTGCTGTGCCGATTGCTAGACCCGGTGCCGCCACCTCGAATGGGCAAGCTACCTCCAAGAAGCTGCTCGTGTGCGCTCCCAGCAACGCCGCTGTTGATGAGTTGGTACTGCGTTTGAAGGCTGGTGTGAAGACGATGAACGGCACGTTCCACAAAATCAATGTACTGCGTCTCGGCCGTAGCGATGCCATCAACGCAGCCGTCAAAGATGTCACACTAGATGAGCTAGTCAAGGCTCGTATGGATGCCGAACTCAATAACGGCGGGCCCAGCGACCGGGAGACGCTGCACAAGGAGGCTGGCGAGATCAAGAACAAAATTGCCGAACTGCGGCCACAGCTGGAGGCGGCTCGAGAGGGAAATGACCGGGCTTTCACCATGAAGTTACAGCGAGAGTTTGACGAGCTCAAACGTCGCCAGGCGCACATTGGGGCCAAGATCGATGCTGACAAGAGCGGAGGGAATACGCTAGCCCGTGAGACTGAAATAAAGCGCCGGCAGATCCAGCAAGAGATACTTGACAAGGCGCAGGTCTTGTGCGCAACTCTGAGCGGCAGTGGGCATGAGATGTTCAAGAACCTTAACGTCGAATTCGAAACGGTCATCATTGACGAAGCTGCTCAGTGTGTGGAGCTGAGCGCCCTTATCCCGCTTAAGTACGGCTGCACGAAGTGCATCCTTGTCGGAGATCCCAAGCAGCTCCCCCCGACGGTCCTGTCACAGTCGGCTGCAAGATACGGCTACGACCAGAGTTTATTCGTCCGAATGCAGAGAAACCACGCTAAGGACGTGCATCTGCTCGACATGCAATACCGTATGCATCCGGAGATCAGCATGTTCCCCAGCAAGGAGTTTTACGAAGGGCTGCTCCAAGACGGCGCCGACATGGCAAGGCTGCGGCTTCAGCCCTGGCATCAAAGCGTTCTGCTCGGTCCTTACCGATTTTTCGACGTAAAGGGCTCGCAGTCACGGGGCCCCAAAAACCAGTCCCTGGTGAACGAGGAAGAGCTCAAAGTGGCGATGCAGCTGTATCGCCGTTTCCGCACAGACTATAGTAATGTCGACTTGAAGGGCAAGATTGGCATCATAACCCCGTACAAGGCGCAGTTGTTCCGGCTGCGGCAGAGATTCACGGAGGTGTACGGCGAGGGGATCAAGGAGGAGATTGAGTTCAACACGACCGACGCATTCCAGGGCCGCGAGTGCGAGATTATCATTTTTTCGTGCGTCCGAGCAAGCCCGACTGGCGGTATCGGTTTCATGACGGATATCCGCCGTATGAACGTCGGTCTGACGCGTGCCAAATCGTCGTTGTGGATCCTGGGCGATTCGAGGGCGCTGGTGCAGGGCGAGTTCTGGGCCAAGCTGATTGAGGATGCAAAACAGCGCGACCGGTATACGAACGGAAACATCATGGCCTTGCTGAGCCAGCCGGGTCAGAAGTTGTCGTCTTCGGCCTTTGCATCGCTTGGTGCAGCTCCCACGGCGATGAGACATGACGCTGTGCAAAGCGATGGGGATGTGGATATGCCTGACGCCGCGGAGCCACAACAATACCTCCAACAGCGGGTAGCCCAGGTAACGAAACCAAATGAAGACCGGGACGTGGTGACACCTCCGGCGCAGCCTTACCGTGGCGCAGGTATCGGCGGCCTCAATGAAAGGGGAGAGGTTATCTCAACGGCACCGCGAGGCGGGGGACTGCCAATTATCCAATCCACTGCTGGAGCTGGCGGCAAGAAACGGCGTCGCGATAGCGACGCCAGCAGCCGCTCAAGCATCGCAAAGAAGGTAGGGCGATTCCTGCCAGCCAGCTGCACGAGGAAACTCTGATTGACCGCACCAGGCGCATCACACCGAAGAAAACAAGAATCAGTCCAACAAGACGGCTGCTGCGACGCACCATAAACAGCAGCAGTCGAAAGCGCCGCCGGTGGATCCCTCGGCGATGGAAGTCCTGGGCTTGGTTCCGCCCACGCGAGCACCTCCTCCTAATGCTACTCAGCCGCCGCAGCCTCAGTCGAGACCCCCTCCTCCGCAGCCACACATCCGGCCCCCTGGGGGTAATGGACCTCCTAAGCCGCCGAAGGTGAGTGTGACGTTGCTAGCTACACATCGTCATTGTTTGATGCTGATGTCCCCTTAGCCCCCTGGTGGTCCGGTGACACTTCCCAAGAGGTCAACGGCGGATCCGTTCATCAGACGGAAGCCGCACAAGCGTTGATACATACGGATAAGGTGAATGAGATCTTGTATTAGGTACCTATTGTTTGTTTACCGGTCCTTTTTTCCCCCTCTTCCTTCATGGGGAAGGATGGGTGGGGGTCACCACCCATCGGTCTTACCCCCCGATATGATCCTTTCTTCCTTTGGCGCCGTACGGGATGCGTCGATTTCGAGCGGCATATATACCGGTACACATTGCACGGTAGAGGCGTTTCAAAAAGACAAGGCATGGGGCCATTTGCCGGGTTTCTGTATAGGCATCTGTCTGCACTTTATGCGGAGAGGGTAGGTTGCGGTTAGAAGCTGGTGGATAGGAAAAGGTTTCCAGGTTCCAGGTTGATTTGGGCTTGCACTTCATGGTTGAACCGCTTCCAAGGACCTTAGCGCGGGTTGTCAGGGCTTGTCATCGTCTTTTCTATGAAGCACCTACGCGTAGGTAGGTGGATACTGCTGCGTGGAATTGGGCCGTTCGGGTTGCTTCAGCAACTTCTTTCGGGCTCCCTCCCTCAGTGAGAGTAAGCGGTGGTTAATGCAGGGGTTTGACCGTGGTTTGGGGAGGGGGAGAGAGAGAGGAGTGAAGGGACGCTACCCTATACCAGCTGCATTCTCCCGTATCTACTGCCATGACGGAGGGAGAGAGACTGGCGTTTAGGTTTGCTCGCCTGTCGAGGGAAACGATCTAGGAGAAACGGAAACGTCAGTCGCGGAGTTGAGGAGGGTGCGAGAACCCGAGCGAAACCTCGAGTGTTAGCGGTCCTCTCGGTGCAAGTAAATCGCGGTATTCTGGAACGGTGCGAGGTCCCGCTTCAACCTCAACAACGGCACTGGACTGAAGATGCGAGCAGAACTTCAGTTTCTCGTTGAAGTCTACTGCAGTTCAAGTTCAAGTTCATCCTGCACAGTACGTATGTTATCATATACTGTGCTGTTCCCGTGCCGCTGCCGGTCGATGTCGATCCCGACGGCAGTTGCTGCTCACGGAAGCAGACATGACTGGCCTAAATTCTCCGAGCTGCAACGGCACGCTTCGACTTCAACCGAACTCATTCCAGTGCACCTGCACGTTCTCCTCCTTAGCAGATGTTCCTACACGGCCAATTTACCTGGAACGATGCGCCATCGCAGTCAATGGCATTCTTCCGGGCACAGGTCAATTGGGCTGGATCCAAGGTTCAATACGGGATGTTGTGTGGCTCTTTCAGGACTTGAGGTATTCTGGCCAAAATGGCGTCTGGGAGATATGTACTCTGCCCGTGTGCCGAGGTTGCCATACTCGCACCGCAAGCAAGTGCACGGTTCTTTCCTCTGCCGACATCATCGCTCCGTCGCGATTCCTCATATCGTCCACGTGTGAGCTTGTCGCTGCCTTCTGAAACTGCCCAAGCTGCCCTAACCAGTAGCGCGCTGCAGGAGACAGTGCCGCAAACCTTCTAAGATGGCTCTCTCTGGTTTCTGCTTGCTGTTCCTGCACCAGTTCCTGGTCCTTGGTGCTGGCCTGGCTCGTTTGTCCTTATATCCCTGTTTTGCACACACAGCACATGGCAAGCTCGACCGGATAGACTCTCGCACGGTGCCCGGATCGCCACCATCAGGTCACTGCTGCGCGCCTTGCCTAGTGGAAACCATCACCATCTTAACTCTGCACTAGCCAACTGCTTCCTCCTATTACGGTATGGAGGGTGGACGAAATGGCCCGTCGCTTGCTTGACCACTCCCTCTAGTCGACAATGGCATCTCACATGTTCCATCTTCGAACGCCACACCTGCCCTTCTCTGATCCAGGACGAACCACTGGACACTCTGGCTCATCCTCTCTGTTTCCAAATTGACCTGCCCTGCCCATTACGGAGCGGGCTGGGGACTCTCAGATGAGCGCTTGGAGGGACCTGGAGATGAGGATCACGCAGATATACCCATAGTCATCATACCATCCAAGGCTCACGGTCCTGCCGAGTGGCCGATGGGGTCATGTCTTCCCAAGCAGACCCCCTCAGAACGGGTATCCATGTTGTTCGTGAGACCATGGTATCAGTGGAGGACGGCGGTCATCAAGCCCACAGCCGGACAGCTTCGTCCACCACGACAATCAGATCAGGGGAGCCCGAATCCCTACCACAACAAGACAGCCGCCAGAGGCAACTCCACATGTCGGGTGCACCAAAACTCTACAACGATGACCTTCTAGGTCAGGACAGTGACGAGCAGATTCAAACCTGGAGAAGCAGTCCAAGCGAACGGGAGACGTTAAGAGATCTGATTGATTTCTTGCGCAACACATCCCCGCCACCTGGCACATCAAGCTCTTCTGACCGGAAGCGCCAGAAGGATAACAAGCGGCGCCTTTTTTGGCCGTTCCGGAAGAAGTCAAAGAGCGGAGCCGACGGGGCGGAGGGAGCCTCTGGTCTCATAAAGTTGCCAGACTCAGCGGTCGCCGGGCGGACTATTGGAGGGCACCGCCACATTGCAATATCAATACCCATCGAGTATGCTCATCTGGAGCCCACAAGCGGTAGCCCCGTGTCCACCCCAGACGAACCATGGAGGTTACCTCTTTCCATCCTGCAGCCGGTTGAGGAGACGCGAGAGTCCCTGGATAGCCAGACTCAGGGCAAGAGGCCCCATGCAGCTCTGGGAAGCAACGATCTCTTTTCTCTCTTTTCTCGGCAGGACGACAGTCCCGGACAGAATGTTGAGGCGGAAACAGAGCAAAGGGGCCTTGGGCGGACAAGCTCTCCAACTGCAGACACCTCGGTCGGTGCCCACAACACCGCCACCCTTCCCCCTGAGCTGACAGCGCTCCAAGAAAACTCCATTTCTCCCATTGTTTCAGTAACAAATGGCCCACATCACCAAGTGCACCGCGTGCATAGCCAAGGCAGTCTCCGCCAAGACGCCTCAAGGAGCACTGGCCAATCCAAAGCCCCAGTCCGCCGGTCACTGGACCCGGAATCTCTACGCAACGGTCAATCCCCGGCCAGCAGTTTTTACTCGGCCAGCAGCGCGCCTACTCCTACGGATGTGGTGACGGTGCAGATCCCTTCGCCCCGGCTCGCAGCTGAATTATCAGGCTATCTGCGGGCGGTGGACGCTGATGGTGAACTCGTCAACGGCCTGTCCGGGGTTGATGAATCTCCCCGTTCAACTTTCGGCCCTGGGACTGCAGGGAAAAGCGAATATTCTGAGGGCAGACCGCTCCAGCTCACCTTTTCACTGCTGGAGGACCGGCTCCTGGACCCCATCTGGGAAACCAGAGAGTCTTCGGACCCGTCATGTACTCCCGATCATTCTCAAACCCAATCACATCCCACTGCAAGTCTAAACTCGCACGAATCACTGCCCTCGGCGCAGGAGGCCAGTTTCCGCATTACGCCCGTTATGACCGTGGCAGACGTCCGTCCGTCCCCAGCCGAGAGCCCCCGGTCTCTCCGGCGCAGAGCCACCCTGGGCTTGTTCCCAACCGGCTATATGATGCACTCGGACATCGTCATCCCCAGCAGCTTCCCCTCACGCACCCCACCGCCCTCGCGTTCCGAACAGTCACAGTCACAGTCACAGCCACAGTCACAGCCACAGTCACAACCACAGCGACATCGACAGCCCCGACCACTGTCAAGCATCACAAACTTCAAGACGCTCAAGCGCCTGTTGGAAGCCACGCAACAAAGCCCTAACGAGGCGGAGGGAGGGCAAGGGCAGGCAGAAGCAGACAGATCCCTTCGTCCCAACACCTCTACTACTACCACCACTACAACAACAACAGCAGAGAGATATGCACAAGAGCAGCAGCAGGGGGACGGCCAAAGCCAGAGAGGACGCCCCACATCAGTCACGCGCTCCGAGTCGCACCAGGACCTCATACGTCGCTACGATGACCTGCGCCAGACGCGTGAGCGCGAGCTCTCTGTGCTCATCGAGCGCCTCGACCGCCTGGAGAGCTCCAACGACCGCTGGCTCAACGTTCTCGTGCCTGTTCTGGAGCGTGCCCTAGTCATGGGAGCTCCAAGATCCCGGTACACAGGGGTTCAGTACACGAACGGAACTCACAGGGAAGGAGATGAAGAGGAGGAGCTGGTGGAAGGTGACGAGGATAGCTTTGACTGGGACCGGGTAAGAGTTCCTGGCTCTCCTCAGGAGGAGCAGGGCAAGGGGAAGGGGAAAGCGCCAGGTGCTAGGCCGCCGGGGGTGCTGAGGAGGAACTCGATGGGGTGGGGGACCCTGGAGCCGCTGATGCGGGAGCTTGTGGAGGGAGCAGGAGGGAAAGAGGATGCCAGTGAAGCTGAGGGGAGAGCGTTGGTGGAGGATGCGCTGGCGCTGCTTGATGGGAGGAGCCGCGGCGGTGTGGCTACTCGGACGGACTTGTAGAGTGGCAAGTTGAGTTTGGTTGTAAGTCTCTGTCAAGCAGTCAGGGGTGATAAGGGGGCTAAAGGAGGGCTGGCAGTGGATTACGTAACTTGGGTCGGATAACACGAGGCCCATCCGCGAAGCTCCATTAAAACCTATCTACGCGCATCGTAGCTAGCGAGGGTCAGCATGCGCAACCGGAGCGGGCTCCGGCCCTGCGCGGTGGCTATGTCGTTTCTATATCTCTTGCAATCCGCCTGGTCATTCAGCGACTTGTTTGACGCTCGAGACGCTACTATCGACAGCGTGCACAATGCTGTCTTCGCTCGCGGTATAACCTGCCGCGAGATCGTGTCTTCTTTCCTTGCGCGCATCGAAGAGCTCAACCCAATTATCAATGCCATCATCTCACTCAACCCCAACGCTCTTACCGACGCGGACGACCTGGACGACTGGGTCGCGTCCGGGAACCTGAACGCGACGGGCACGCCCCTCTTCTGCGTCCCCGTCCTCCTCAAGGACAATTTCGATGCAGCCGGGATAAACACGACGGCCGGGTGCCTCGCGTTGGCGGGGAACCGGGCTCTCGCCGATGCGCCCACCGTTGAGGTGCTGAAGGAGGCCGGGGCCGTCATCCTCGGCAAGACTAACCTGCACGAAATGGCCCTTGAGGGGTTGACCGCCTCGTCTTTTGGCGGGCAGACGGTCAATCCATACGATCTGATACGGACTCCCGGGGGTAGTAGTGGTGGCTCGGGTGCTGCGGTGGCCGCGGGGTTTGCCGTGCTTGCCACGGGGACTGATACGGTTAATTCCCTCCGCAATCCGGCCAGTGCTAACGCGCTGTTCAGTATCCGGCCTACTAGGGGACTGATCTCGCGCCGGGGGGTTGTGCCGGTTGGTTCTACGCAGGATGCTGTGGGTGTCATGGCAAGGGATGTAAGGGATCTTGCTGTTGGGTTGTCGGTCATGGCTAATGTGCCGGGGGATGATGATGTGCGGGAGAATGTCAGGGCTGGTGGGGTTTTGGCTCACCCAGGGGCGGTACGGCACCGGGACTATACCACGTTTTTGACGGGCGGCTGTAGCCTCAAGGGTGTGCGCTTCGGTCTGGTGAAGGGCTTCTTCAACCATTCCTCCAAGGTCCCGCCCGATAGTGAGACCACGCCGGTCAACGACATCATGTCCCGCATGGTGTCCACACTCACCGCGGCCGGGGCCGTCGTGGTGAACATCACCGAGCCGGTCTACGACGCGCTCGCCATCGCAGCGACGCTCGACGTGCAAGCATTTGAGTTCCGGGAGGCACTGAATGCCTACCTAGCCGAACACAGAACCGACAATGAGACTCATGAGACGCCGGGGAGTTTTGAAACCCTCTATTCCCGCCGCAACACCACTGATTTCCTTGTCATCCCGGCACAGTCCGAGTTCATCCGTCGCGCATGGCACTCCTCAACGTCCGACCCCGCCTACGCAACTCGCCTATCCGGCATCCGGAATCTGACCCAAACCCTCGCGGCCACGTTCGCCACACACAACCTCGACGCGTTGATCTACCCGCAGCAAAAGAACCTTGTGGTGAAGGTCGGCGCGCCCTCCCAGCACGGCCGCAACGGCATTCTCGCCGCCCTGACGGGATACCCTTCGCTGTGCATGCCCGCAGGGTTTTCTCCGCCGTCGGCTGATGCTCCTCGGGGTGTTCCCGTTGGCATGGAGATCCTCGGGCGGCCGTGGAGTGAAGGGTTGCTGCTGAGCATTGCGAGCCGGATTGCTGAGCTTGGTGTCAGGAGGAGGAGGAGGATGCCCGCTTTTGCGGACAGGTTCGTCGAGCCCAAGTGCTACGACGCCGTGCCCGTTATCACGCCCAACTCGGGTAATTTGCCTGGGGAATATCCACTGGGTATCTTCTGAGGGTGTTGGTTAGCAAAGCCCGACTTGGATTGTTTCGGTTTGGGAAACACTGCATGTCTCTCACCATCAGGGGAGTACAATGTCTTTTTCTTCCACAGCTATAGTTACCAGTTGATGGCAGAGGAAGCAAGAGTATGCCGTGTACTACATGCGGACAGCTGGCTATCTTTCCTTCACCTGCCTGTGCCCATAACCGCCTGCCGCCTCTTCTCATCTGTCAATACCGCGTAGTGGCTAGGGGAAGGTGCCTATCGATGGGTACATGCGGCTGAGCAGTAAGCATGACCGGTTACGAGAGATGTTTGAGCTTACCTTAGTAAGAGCGTGATTAGGGTAGGAGCATTAGGTTGACTTTACCAACTGATTCTACAAAAGTGCGACGTGACCCTCCAACGTGGGTGCTCGTGATGATTCTCACTTCTCAGACATAGCCTAGCTGTTGAATCCGACTTTCCGGCTGAGAATCGGCCAACCAGAGTAAGCGAGCAATCTAGGCTATGCGTTGTCTCGCTCTTTGGAAAGCTTCAAGGTTCCTCCGTTGAGGCCTTGTCTATCATTAAGCGTTTGTAGTGATAGTGATGTTAGTCTACCACGGTGGTTTCTGATTGACAATAGAAATGCTTCACTTGTTGCACGGTGGTGATGAACCATGATAGGTACAATGCAGGCTCGAGGAACCACACGCTGGATTGGACATATAATTCAAGTCCCCTTTCCTACTTTCACCCCCTCCCACAGGGAGAAGTGGCAAAGTGGTAGTACGCAAACTCCATCCCCAACTTGCCGAGGTTCCCAGTTCGATTCATATCTTCGCTTGATTCCTTCGAAGTAGGTACAGTGGTCAGGTGTGCGTGAATCTGTGTGTGGGTTGGCCACAACATGAAGAAACCCCTCCCCGTCCCTAAAAGGTATGAAGCCGGTGTAGGGGGTCCGTCTTCATCCATGCTGTCAGTCCTTGGAGGCGATACATCATTTTCGCCCTCGTCCTCGACGTCCTCATCAACTTCAACATCTGCTGAAATGTCGATCGGATGCAATCATCATCCTCATAGTCGTCGTCGCCAGCATCGTCAATTGGTAGTTGTTGCGAAGAGGGGCGTCTCTCTCATCTGTTGTTTTGTGAAGTTCTATCCACATTAGCAGTTAGCAAAGCGATTGACATAGAGTGAGTCTCACTATGAGGTTCTGGATGCATCTATGTTGCCATGTGTTTGCTTGGCCGAAGATGCGGAAACTACGAGATGTCTACGAACGGCGATCGTCGCTTGATTCCTTCGAAGTAGGTACGGTAAAGGTCGTTAGAGCTGATACTGTTGAAAACGACATTGGCCTCGATTGATCTGACGCCATGGTCGAACTCTTACCGTGTTAGGCCGTGCTTTGATGCAATGGATCCCGCCACAAGGTTGAAGGTGATCATAGTAAATGTCCGTGATCATCTTGGTACCGAAGCCGAAGTGGGCATGCGTGTACCCCGTCATGTCGATCTGGAAGGCGCCCTGAGCGAGATAATCTCGGGTCAGGCCACAGCCTCAAAGTAGGCAATCTTGGTGGCGCCGGTGCCAGACCATGAACCCTCCTCCAGCGCCGGAGACGTTGGCAGCGGTGAGAAGGGGTCCGGCGGATCGAGATTGTCGAATCCTAACGGGTTGGTGAATCGAACACGGAACTTCCTCCAGCGCCGGAGACGTTGGCAGCGGTGAGAAGGGGTCCGGCGGATCGAGATTGTCGAATCCTAACGGGTTGGTGAATCGAACACGGAACTTCCGTCGAGATTGAAAGGGACTAGTACTGCCTAGAAACCCGACGTCGATACAATGGTGGCCCTTTTTGAACGTCTTGTCAACATCCCCCCGGGGGTGGGGGAGGGGGGCGGTTGCTGCCTGAGGAATGCGACATACCTGAGACGGAGACGCCCATGTCCGTAATAGTACTGGATCCAATGTATAGGGAAGTCTGACAGCCTTCCTTCTCCAAGAGAACTCGTAGACTGTCCACCGCTTGACCTGGCACCTCCCAGGGGTTAGCAGTTGTGGCTGGTATGCTTATCGACCAACGGGTTGGATTAAATTACCTCAGGAGGTGTATCGGGGGTGCGAGGTTGTTAGACACAAGGGAGGTGCAGATAGGCAAATTGAAGGTGAGGTGAGATTCGGTGAATTGTTCTCTTGATGAGATTGCTCGACAGAGATTGATAGGGAGAGATCTTGCCAATTAATGGGCCTGGGAGCAGATGGCGGGCCGGGAGCAACTTCCCCTGAGACAGGGAGGCTCACGACTACCGTACGAGGACACTGACAAATAGCGTCCAGGCAACGATGGACACAAGTCAGTCACGACCCAATGTGTCGGGGCCATGTCCGCTCACGTCAAAACCTGCATAGGCAGACAAGACGTTCAAGGAATGATGATCAGGGGAGTGCGACATAACCGCACGAGTCGATGTACGCATGTGAGGTATCCAAAAGCCTCAAGTATCATATTGCAGCTTGGTGTTATCACACACATCCAGTTGTCTGGTAGACGTACATCAACCACATATAGCCACTCACCAACCGATTTCACTACTGAAGCATACGTATTTGGCATCGTGCAAACGAACAAGTCCAAGTACAGAAATGTTACAATCTCCATCGGAAGAGACAGACCACTTACTCAACCAACGTCCCTCCTCCATCCGGAATAAATCAATTCATCAAACGAGCTATCACGCCAACTACAATTTCGCCGCCGGCTTGGGACTTCCCGCAGAAGTAATCTCATTATACAGCAGCCTGTTCCGTAACATCACATAACCAGTCAGCCTCAATCCTGGTGACAAACCAAACTCACACATCATCCTCAAACAATGAGAAGAGGTGTACTCACGAAGTCAAGAAATCAGCATAATCCTCGCCCGTGACCTGCCCAGCAAAGTACTGCGCGGCAAGGTGGAATTTATTCCCCTTGGGCGCCTTGTTGGCAAGTTGCTGGGTCTGCTCCTTTAGGAGCTTGAGCGCGTAGGCCTTATCAACACGCTTGCCCTCGGCCGTGGTCACGCCGTGGCGTACCCACTGCCAAAGCTGGCTGCGCGAGACCTCGGCCGTGGCGGCATCCTCCCTATCTCAAATGTTAGCACAAAGCAGATCTGGAGCAAGGAAACCAGAGTAGAGGAAAAGAGAAAGGGAACAAACATGAGGTAATTGATGGGCACGCATCCGATGCCACGGATCCAAGCCTCCATGTACCCAAGACCAATGTTGAGGTTCTTGCGGATTCCCTCCTCGGTAACCTTGCCCGGCACGTTCATGTTGAGGAGGTCGTTCTGGGTGACGGTGACGTCCTCGCGGCGGACAAACAGCTGGTTCGGGGTGGGCATGTGCTTGTTGAAGATCTCGGTAGCAATAGACGCCAGGGCCGGGTGGGCGACCCAGGTGCCGTCGTGGCCGGCACGGACCTCGCGGAGCTTGTCGGCTCGGACGCCCTCCATGGCCTTTCCGTTGGCCGCCGGGTCGTCCTTGATGGGGATCTGAGCCGCCATGCCGCCCATGGCGTGCACCCCGCGCTTGTGGCACGTCTGGATGAGCAGCTTGACGTAGGCGTCCATGAAGGGCACCGTCATGGTCACGCAGTTGCGGTCGGGCAGCACAAAGTTGGAGTTTTGCCGGAACTTCTTGATGACGCTGAAGATGTAGTCCCAGCGTCCGCAGTTGAGCCCGGAACTGTGGTCGCGCAGCTCGTAAATGATCTCGTCCATCTCGAAGGCGGCCAGGATGGTCTCGATCAGCACGGTGCCCCGGATCGTGCCGCGCGGCATGCCGATGTAGTCCTGGGCAAGGTTGAAGACGTCGTTCCACAGCCGGGCCTCAAGATGGGACTCCATCTTGGGCAGGTAGAAGTACGGGCCGAAGCCGCGCTTGACCGTCTCGAAAGCGTTGTGGTAAAAGTACAGGCCAAAGTCGAAGAGGGAGCCGCTCATGGGCTCGCCGTCGACCGTCACGTGCTTCTCCTCAAGGTGCCATCCACGCGGCCGCACGATGAGAGTCGGCAGCGTCCTGTCTGTCCGCAGCTTGTACTCCTTCTGTCCGATTTTGAAGTCGACCTGGCGCCGGACAGCGTCGTACAGGTTGACCTGGCCGTTCACCATGTTGTCCCATGTCGGGGCACTCGAGTCTGCGGTCCATGTTAGCTGGGAGCTTGCTCAGGTCGGAAGTGGACTGTATCGCCTCAGGAAACCCAAGTGCCCACCTTCAAAGTCAGCCATGTAGGTCCATACATCGGAGTTCAGCGCATTGACCACCATCTTGCGGTCGGTCGGGCCCGTGATCTCGACGCGGCGGTCGACCAGACCCGGGGCGGGTGGGGCGCCCTTCCATGTCGGGTTCTCGCGAATGTGTCTGGTCTCGGGCAGGAAGTCTGGCAGGGCACCCTTATCGAGCTCGGCCTGGCGGATCTTGCGGCGCTCGAGAAGGGCCTTGCGGGTAGGGTTGAAGGAGCGGTGCAGCAGCGCCAGGAAGGCGAGGGCCTGGGGAGTCAGGATCTTGCGCTGCGACTCCTCGATGGGGCCAAGCACGTTGACGCCGTGGAGGATAGTCTCGGTGCTGGCCATGATGTCGTTCTCGTTTGGTATGAGGCTTAGGGGTGAATTTGATAACAGTCAGAAGCTGTTGTCGGCAGTTGTAATTCTGGCCCCAGATCTTGGGTCAGCTTGCGATGGTTCACCTCTTTGGGCCAAAGACGAAGTCGTGAGTTCAAACAATGGCGATGAGAGACCGGAGAAGGAATGCCGATAAGAGCCGTGGATAGGTGCAATTGGCAAACAGAAAATGGAGGCGGGTATTTGGAGGAGGATCGGGAACAAAAAGGACAATGCCACGAGGGACTCGAGGTTAAAGACAATGGATGGACGGGAATAGCCAGCCCAAGTCAAATCCCTGACTCACCGGTGCGACGGATCCCCGTGTTGTTCCCCTTCTCCCTTCGTTCCAGCTTGTACGCACAGTGCCGGACCGCATGCGGCGATGGAAGCGACATTGGGGAAGAATGACGAAAAAGATCAGGGCCTAGGCCGCCGACATTCGGCAACAAGGACTCCCACCCAAGTCACCAATTGTCCCTACCATAACATGTGGTTGGCGGATTCGAACGGATTACCGTAGTCCCTGCGATCCTTCCCTCGTTCGGCTGTTCGGGGCGAGGGGAAAGGGCGCCATTGGATGCCCATTGCCATTGAATTGCGGGGAGGTGCTGGTTCTTCTCCAGACTTTACATGTGACTCTTGGTGGTATAATGGCGTAGGACAAGTAACGGCCTAGAGGAAGTGAGGTCATCGGAGCTTGGCCCCGCCAATTCCAAATGCCCAGATGCCGATGCCAATCCCCGCTGAAGCGGTTTGGTATCAGGATGGGCAATAGGTATCCAAGTACACCCGACGCCTCATCTCTGGTTTTCCAATCCGCATCGTGTCTGCAATGAGAAAGCAACATGACCATTGGCATTTTCACCCAATGACCAGAGACAGCCAGCTTCGCCGATATCGTTCTTTCAACTCTCCACTGCATCCCATCAAGCGAGGTCTTATCGAGGCCCTGGTCAAAGGGTCCAGGAACGGCTTGGCTTGTGCTCGCCAAGTCCGGGAGCTTGGGCCCCTTCATCGGCCAAGCTCCGGTCTGCCGTCCCAGAGCCGAGGTCGTTTTCAGCTAAAGCAGCCGAGTGGGTCCCTGATTTGCCGGTTGAACCTCACTTTGCCGATACTTCCCGACGCACCTTGGGGATCATGGTGAATTGGTGATGATGTTGGTGTGAGTATGGCTTGCTTGCCATACGGATAGGTATCATATCGTTATGTACTACGTCTGACTTTTCATGGCTTCTTCTGTCGCGGGGTTGACTCTCCGCAGATGAGGGCGATGCTACATTGAATTAGAGCACATAGCGACTCTACTGTACAATACAGCATGACTGATCAAATAGATATCTTTTTGTTACACATAAGCACAGCAAGCGAGAAGATTTCGGTATCGCTGCTTTTCGGGAAGAACTTGCCAGCTCATCGTCCGCCATCCCCAAAGTCGGGCCCCATAAACAGAGGGCAGACGACTTCATAAGCTTCCAGCAAAATGTCCTACCGCTCTTGGTTTGCGTCTACCACGCGGGGTCCGTTCGAATCTAGCCCTTGTATGGCTTGGGGCCGACCATGAGCTCCGGTCTCACCAGCGCATCAAACTCCTCCTCAGTGAGCGCCTTGAGCTCCATGGCGCTCTCCTTGAGCGTCAGGCCTTTCTTATGAGCGTTCTTGGCGACCTTGCTGGCCATGTCATAGCCAATCTTGGGGTTAAGGCAGGTAACCAGCATGAGCCTGCGCTTGTCATTAGCAAATACTGTTGCAATGAATGCATTTCGGCCAGAACTTACGACTCCTTCATGATGCTTGAAATTTTGGCCTCGTTAGCCTGCAGACCCACAACCAGGTTCTTCTCAAAGCTGCGCATGCCGTCCGCCAGCAGTCGGATGCTATGGAGCAGGTTGCGGATAATCAGGGGCTTGTAGACGTTGAGCTCAAACTGGCCGTTCATGCCGCCAATCGTGCAGGCGACGTGGTTGCCCATGACCTGAGCGCAAACCATGGTGAGCGCCTCGCACTGCGTAGGGTTGACCTTTCCGGGCATGATGGAGCTGCCGGGTTCGTTCTCGGGCAGCACCAGCTCGCCGAGGCCGCACCGCGGCCCGCTACCAAGGTACCGGATGTCCTGCGCGATCTTTGTGAGCGACGCGGCGACCGTGTTGAGGCTGCCGTGCGCCTGTACGACGGCGTCGTGGGCTGCCAGCGCCTCGAACTTGTTGGGCGCCGTCTTAAACTCGGTGCCCGTCATCTTGCTAACCTCCTCCGCGATGGCCTCGGCGAAGCCCTCAAACGTGTTGATGCCCGTGCCCACGGCCGTCCCGCCCTGGGCCAGCAGGCGCAGGTCCGGCAGGGTGCTTTCCACCCGCTTGATGCCAAAATCGAGCTGCGCGACGTAGCCGCTAAACTCCTGGGCGAGCGTGAGCGGCGTGGCGTCCTGCAGATGGGTGCGGCCAATCTTGATGATCTTCTTCGCCTCGAACTCGTCCACCTTGGCCTGCAGAGCCGCCCGCAGGCTACGAAGAGCCGGGAGCAGCTCGCCCTCAATCTCCAGCACGGCAGCGATGTGCATGACGGTCGGGAAGGTATCGTTGGACGAGGCGGAGCGGTTGACGTGGTCATTGGGGTGCACCGGCTTCTTGGTGCCCATGGTGCCGCCCAGGATCTCGATGGCCCGGTTGCTAATGACCTCGTTGGCGTTCATGTTCGATTGCGTGCCGGAACCCGTCTGCCAAACCACGAGGGGAAAGTGATCCAGGAGCTTGAGGTCCGCAACCTCCTTTGCCGCCTGCTGGATGGCTTTGCCGATGGTGGGATCTAGAGAGAGCCAGACCGATGGCGAGGTTAGCTACTGCGAATAGGACGGCTGGGGCGTGCTGAGCATCTTTCTTGGGAGGGGCGCGGATTACCCAGGCCATAGCGCATGTTCACTGTCGCCGCCGCGCCCTTCAGAATGCCGAATGCCTTGATGATTGGCGGGGGCATGCGGTCCTGGGGCTGGTTGATGCGGAAGTTGGACAGCGAGCGCTGCGTCTGGGCTCCCCAGTACTTGTCCGCCTCGACCTCGATCTCGCCGAACGCATCACTCTCGGTTCTGGTTTTCGCCGCCATTCTCGTCGCACTGCTGTGGAAATATCTTTGGTGCCGAGTCACGGGCGTTGTGGATTGGCGTGTGAATGGTGACGGGACGGAAACATTGGATGCACTAGTCGCGGCTTTCAGACATGTGCTCAGCGGCCTGCTGGCTGTCCTCGGCAAGCCGAGGCTGCTACGGGCTGCGGGCCCGGCTATGCGAACCGATCGGAGCATGCTGATGGAATGGAAGTCGCCTGACAGCAGAAATACGTCAGTGCCCAGTGTGGAAGGTGATTAGGCGTTACAAAGGTGAAAGAGCGCTATAAATTTTGGGAATTAGGCCATACAATGCGAGATGTAGAACTGACAACCAGTTGATCAACCCAGGGATAGCTTTCCGGAGTGAAGGATGACAGGTCGATGGCGATTGCGCAGAAAACAACCTCAAAAACACTCTCTTTCCGGTTACAGCCAAATATCGGCATTCACTTGTATCATGTACCTTGTCTTCCACCAGCTTCTTCGGCTGGACCAAGGGCAACTTCCCGGACTGGTCCGGAAGATCCCGAGTCCATATCGATAAGCCCGGCGCTTCACCAAATTCGTGGTGCCGTGGCAACAGCCCCGCCGAGTTCTGAAAAGGGGCTCAACAAAACACCTTGCAAGAAACGTGCCACAAAGTCGAGAATGAGATACTAAATGCTGCGATGCAGCTTCATCTTTTGCTATCGATTATATACCCTACAAAGAATGAAAGAATGACCTGCATGGTATCTGCTTCAGCATCTGCCCGGTCAACAACGTTATCTCGGTTCCCGAGAAAAAAATTCGCCCCTGATTTTTGCAATTGTCCATGATTAAATGGACCCTTAACCCAACACCATGTCTGTAACCAGGATCAGCTGTCTTAACGCCGCCGTATCATTGTGCTCGTGTTCCCAAGACTCCCTTCGGCTGGGCAATACCCAACACTAGATTGGGGCTTGGTAACAAAGCTCAACGACGTGAACACACGGTAAGCCAGACTGCCTGAATCCAGGTTGAAGCCGAACCATGTGCAACCAACACAAATCCATGAACCACTCAAGCTGTTGCAGTACCACCGCTTTTCTGTCTCCTCTTTTTTTTTTTTTTTTTTCCTCATGATCTCGTGACAAAGGAGCTCAGTCGAGCGAAAGTGCTCCACACATTCCCGTCGTTCAAGAATTGAGAGTCTTGATCATCATACTGACCTTGCGCTTGTCGGAGACCAGGAGGCCACGGTTTGTAAACACAGAGTGGATCGTATCCACAACCTTGTGAAAGCTGCTGGCCGCGCCTTTCTCCTGAGTGAAGCGCGCGATACAGAGATGGTTTCGCTTGCCGTGTTCAATGACTGTCATCAGCTCGATAGCAAACGAGACTTCCTTCAGGTTTAGATCTATTGGATGTTAGTTGTCAATTACACCATACATTACGAGATGCTCTTGGAAACTCACAGTTATCCGCGGCCACGCGTCCGAAGATAATACTACGCTGCTTGTCGACCTCGATGTCTGCCATGCCATACTTGCGCCACTCGCGAAGTAGGATGGCGACTTCCTGTCGGGCGCGCCGCTTGGTGATGCTGAAACAGACATAGCGTCTCGCTGGCTTGACACGGAAGAGACGAGCCAACCAATTCTGTTGAACCTCAATCTTCCGAACACTACCATCACTGTCGTCGGACCAGTGAGTGGGCTCTGTGCCACTCATGAATTTGGATACCCGTTTGCGCATCTTCTTTTTCGATTTCTCCCTGTCATGCTTGTCTGTGGCGTCAAGATCCGCTCCTGTTGGTGACACTGCATTAGACAAGAAGACAAGACAGGACCCTGAAAATAAAGCGGCAATCAGTCTACTTACCTGCAATCGACATCTTTGGTTCGTTCTTTATCCTCTTCCAGAATGAGAAGGCAAAAGGTTTCTTCTCTTGGGTACGGAAAGCAGAAGGCACACCGCTCGATTGCGAAACGCTCTGATTCAGACCGCTAGCGTTCGGGTCAGGAGAATTATCCTTGGACTGGACACGGCTCTCTGGCATAGTGGAAACGTTCGAGCTGCTTGCCTCCTCTTTAGACAAGCGCTTGAACCAAGAAGCCACTCTGTTCTTGGGCGGGCCACTGACATGACTGTCACGGCCGTCCGCCGATTGGTTCTGCTCAGGCGACCCAACACCCGTGTTTCCTGCGAAAGATGGCAATGGCGGCTTGGCTATATCGGTGTTGCCAAATACCTTACGGATCTTGAGTGGTTCAGGAGCCCTCATAGGGTCTTCCCCACCTGCAGCAGTAGGCGAATGGACAACAACGCGGATAGTGTTTCCAACTCTCGCCAGGTAATCCAATCCCTTGCCCTTAGGACGGGTTGGCGTGTTCAGCGGGGCTGGGGTCAAGTGTTGCGTGCTGAGATTGCGTCTCGTCCAGTTCTCAGATGTGTCCTCATTGATCGATGGCAAAAAACGTGCGCCCTTGGTATGACGGTTGTACACTGACTCGGAAACAGTACGGCGCTCAGGGGGCTGGGCGCCGAAGTTGGAGTCGGTTTTGGACACCGTCTTTGCGTGCGAGGCAATCCCAACATTCAGGCCGGTATTACGGACTGACAAAGGCGACACCGTTTCACGGGAAGGAATTGGGGGGAGCGGCCTGTTGTCCCATGGCCGTGCCTCAGTGGGCTTTTCCTTGGTGGGAGCCAAGCCCACTGAAAGCCGCACTGCCGAAAGGTCTCCGAGTGACAGATTGAATGGGCTTTCCTCGCGCGAATCAGCTCCTTCTTCGTTAGGATCTGGCAAGAGGAGGGAGCTCCCAAAAGCCTCATCGCAATCTTGGGCAATCCGGTGGGTGAATTGCTCCAACTCTTCGTTCCAGATAAGACTACCATCAGCATCCGCCATCGATCTTGCATTCGATAGTCTTTGTGTCTTTGGCTTCTTGGGACTCGAAGGCGACAAGGCGTCCCGGTCGTACGTTGTGCTATCTCCTGCGATGCTGGCCGGGGCTGGCCGAGAACGCTGGCGGTCCTTGTGGGAATGGTGGTTGGGTTTGCGAACCCTGGAGAAATCGACATTACGTTTTGATCGGTTTTTTGCACGCACATGCGAGATGCTCTGGTAGCTGCGGATTGAGCTCACTGAACTCAGAGGTGGCAGATAGCCCCGGGCACTAGAGCGCTGCGAGGCAACTCGCTGCTGTCGTCGAAATGAGCCGGTTGCCGACTCGTACGAGCGGTACGAATGGGAGACGGAAGTAGGAGAGGGTCCAACACCGTCCTTAGAGCCATTGCGATGGACAATGATCTTGGCATGGCTGGCCTGATGAACAGAAGGCTGCAGAACAAGGGACGAGTTGTAGGGATCGTAGCTTCGAATTGTTCCAGCATCGTCCAGTTCAGGGACATTAGAAATCACGGTGAACCGGGACACGCTCCGGCCCTGTCCATTTCGGCCCTTCTGGGTGAACTTGCAGGTTGAGATGCGCTTGCACCAGTTCGGAGGCTTGAGATGGTGGATGTCACTCTTTGAAATTGGAACATTGTTGTTGTAGTTCTCCAATTGAGCTTCTCGGTGGTTGTAGAGCAGCCAGTAGAACAGCTGCTGATCATTTGGCCTAAAAGTCCTGTTAGCAGTCAATCACGGACGCAGCAAGGCGGTTGCAGCTCACTTCTTTTGTCGGAGCTTTTCTTTGAGATCGTGTTCCGAAAAAGAATGCCAGAGGGCCTTAAGCTGTCTCAATATCTGGATGTCGACATCTTGTTCGGGAATAGGTGCAACGTCACGGTGGCGCAAAGATGTGTCTTGCTGCTCTGCCCACTCATAGTATTGGTCGAGATAGTCGTACTTTTTGAGGAGGGCATGATTCCACATCTGCTCCATGGTTATACGCTGCGCCGGCTGGTGCACCAGGATCCTGCGAATAAGATCAGCAGCCTCGCCGCTGAGGTGTTCCGGCATCTTGTATTCAGCGCGCTTGGCCTTGGACAACATCACACCCATGTCTTCATCGTCGAAGGGAAGACGCCCGGAGAGCATTGCAAACAGAATTACCCCCATGCTCCAGATGTCCGCGGCCGAGCCTTTGTAGAATTGATGGCGTAGCAGCTCAGGCGCAGCATAGTGAGGGCTCCCGCAAGCCGTGCGCAACTGGTGATTCGGCCCCTGGTGCAAAGCCGCCATTCCGAAGTCGGCAATCTTGATTTGCCCATTTGATTTCAACAGGATATTCTCCGGTTTGAGATCACGATGACAAATGTTGAAAGAGTGGCAGTACTCAAGGGCACTCATGATCTGGCGATAGTAGAAGATGGCCTCTTCTTCCCTGAGCGGGCCGTTGCAGTTGATGAATTCAAACATATCTCCCTGCTCGACGTATTCGGTGACCAGATAGCTACATTCGGGATTAGCTAGACTCTGGAGCAAGGAATTTTGAGGGCATCATTGCGCTTACATTTCTGAGCGATTCTCCCAGATATCGAGGAGCTGAATGATATTCGGGTGCCCGATGAGCTTGAGAATTGCCACCTCTCTCTCAATCGCCAGTGGCATACGACGAAGGCCGATATTGGAATTGGTGGTTGCTTTTGCCTCATCGATCTGGTCGAGATTGGCAAGGCTACCAGCCTGAGTCAGGTGGACGGTGGTCTTGGCCACGATCTTGACTGCCACCAGTTCACGAGAGACTTGGTGACGGCCAAGGCGGACGCGGGCCGATGAGCCCTTTCCAAGCGTCTTGCCCAGTTCCCACGGACCAATTTGGGCTTTGGATTGACGCGCGTCGGATGGGTTTGAAGGAACATTTGAGGTCTGAGAAACACGCCGAGCGTCGGCTGCACCGCGAGTTTCCAGGGCAGTTGCAGGAGCTCGCGGATTGGCCAACGCACTTGGCTCTGTAGTTGTTGGAGCGGGGGCCCGGGGTCCATGGTGCTCTGCGGAGGGCTGGTTAACAGTGACAACCGGGTCATAGCAACCTCGGGCAACGTTCTGTGACTTCACAGAGAGGTGATTCTCGTCATCGCCAAGTCCATGCCGAGACGTGACACTTCCAACTGTAGCCTGGTTAAGTCGATTGGTTGCGTCGCCGAGAGGCTGGCGTGGAACCGTACCGCGATCTGAATTCATGGTCGGATCCTCGGCGACCGTACTAACTGAAGGAAAATTCAATGCAGCATAATAGCGGCACAGAAACAATGCAGAATTACAAGGTGAAGATTAAAGAAGGTCGATGTGATCTGAGGAGCTGAAGAGAAACAATTGTGATCGAAACAGTGGTTTGGGAAAGGAAAGAGAGCGACGCGCCAGAGTTGTGGCGGGACGAAAAGCTCAAAGGTGAACGTTGAGTGGGTGGGATAGTGAGGAAGAGAGATTGGGCGGGCAAAAACCTGGGAGGAAATTGCTAGAAAGGAAGGAGAGGAGGGCAGCGTACGCGAGAATCAAAACATTTGAACGCGCTGGCTGGATGGGACTGTGGAGGGCTGGAAGGAAACTGGCAAGAATCCAAGTGCCCAAGCGCCAGACGCGGTCGGGTCCGATGTGAACTAAATATGAGAAGCGGCAGATGTTGAATATTATCATTGCCTTGCCTCTGCAGAGAAATGAATGGTTGATAAGACACACGATAAGAGATGCCCCTTTGTTCTACGCTGCTGAGACCGTGATGGGAGAGTTAGAAGCTCGTCGGTGTTGATGGCTATAACAACCGCCTACCCTGCTCAACTATGCCCATAAGCTAGAAGCGAACTATTGATCAACATAGATGGTCTATAGGAACAAGTAACTCAAAGACACACCAAGCATAGGCAAAGAAACATTGCTAGGAGAACGAGGGATGCCCCGTGTAATTCATTTCAGGAGTCAGGTATAGACAAGCAGTTGGTTTCCCACAGCCAATCTTCACTCCAGATTCTGGATTTCAGAATACGTGACAAAGGCATGGTGAGAGATGGCCATTGTCCTTTCTAACCTAGATTTGCCACGGAATGGACGTGAATCGCTTGACTGGCACGAAGCTTCATGCCATCGCGTCTAGGTGAGCGTGACCCGGGTTTCTCATTCCAATGGAGCTCGCGGGAAACGAAAGCCGGTGGAACCTATAAGGGCGTTGGAGAAGAGGTATTTAACATGAAGCGGGATCCAGAGAGACATGAAAATCATGCTATAATCTTGCTTGTTGTCGCTGTTGTGAGGACTGAGAGCATGAGAGAAGGGACGACGTTGACCTCAGTCGGTGGGGCATGGTCCGGACTCTTGGCCCCACCAACCTTACCGGACGGGTGGTACCCCAAAAAGCCGGGGTGAAAGCGGGACCTGCGCGTGTGGAGATCCATGGATGCTGTCTGTTAGTAGCAGACTTGTGTGGTGTTACTCAGATTCACCGCTCTCATTGCAGGATCTAGCATTTCAAAGCTATTAGACATTGAAAGATACTTCTTAATGGTGTTTAGTCCAAGTTATCTGCCAATACCAGAGTTTCTGGAGTGAAAATGGGCGCCGTCTCTTTACAGCACCTTGGTTTTGCACTAACACACCAGTGGAACGAATTTAGTGGACCACAGAGACGCGTCGCGTTTCCATCACCAATTTACTCCGTACCATGCACTTTCCTTTGTGCCAGCCTCGACCACTGCCAATTTCGACTACACCATCATTCTTCCTGACAACAGACCTTCTGAGCGCCCTGCTGCCTGCTGCAAGAACAATGAGCATTTAACCATCAGATAAGAAACATTGGGGCGTTCAATTTATCGTGGAAGTTTAAATGCCTTCTTCTGCCGGCCTCGAAAAGCCTGACCAGAACCCCGACAGCGAACCACTCTTTGGTGATGGCGGGCCACCGCGCGGTTCGAACGCTGATTCCGACCCCTTTAGATTCCTTCAATTGAGGGGCGGAGATGGTTCACGCACCTTCGATCAAGATGAGGATGAGAATGAGGCCTCATCTGACTACGACATGGTTCAGCCCCCAGCCCGGCAACCAGCTCTATCCCGGCTAGGAAATAGCGTCTCGAGTTCTGAGTTTCAGCCTGGCTCCATCGTCCGCGTCAAGGTCCGGAACTTTGTAACCTACGAGGAGGCCGAGTTTTTTCTCGGCCCGAACCTGAACATGGTCATCGGACCCAATGGCACGGGAAAGAGCTCTCTCGTTTGCGCCATATGCCTAGGGCTAGGGTATTCATCGAGTGTTCTGGGTCGGGCTAGCGCGTTTGGGGAATTCGTCAAGCACGGTAAGGACGAAGCCGAAATCGAGGTGGAGCTGCAAAAGAAACCCGAGGACGCCGAAAACTATGTTGTCGGCCTCTGCATTAAACGAGAGGACAACAGCAGGAAGTTCACGCTAAACGGACAGAGGGTTCCGCACAAGGAGGTACAGAAGCTTATGCGGTCACTCCGAATCCAAATCGACAACCTGTGTCAGTTCCTCCCTCAGGACAAGGTTGCAGAATTTGCCGGGCTCAGTCCTGTTGAGCTTCTGGAGAAGACTCTCCATGCGGCTGCGCCTGAAGAGATGATTGACTGGCAGCTCCAATTGAAAGAAGACTACAAACTGCAGAGAGACTTGCAAAAGAACGCCGAGAAGATACGCGAAGAATTGCGGAAGATGGAGGCTCGCCAGCAAGTCCTCCAGGCGGACGTCGAGAAGCTCCGCGAGAGGAAAGCGATCCAGGAGGAGATTGAGCACCTGACCAAGCTGCGGGTGGTGGTGAGATACAAAGAATCTCGAGAGAATCTCAAGGCAGCAAAGAGGCGGAAAACCGAAGCGGAGCGTTTTCTCAAAAGGTTGCAAGACAGCGTTGCTCCTGCGCTTCAAGCGGTCAACAAGAAGCAGGAGTATCACTCCAAGATCAAGTCCGTCCTTAATAACAGACAGCAGCGCCTGCAGGCCGCCCAAGCCGCTGCTGATTCGGCGGTTGGCCAAGTTGAGGCTGCCGAATCGAAATGTCAAGAATTGTCAACCAAGAAAGAGGCAGAGAAGGGCACGTTTGCTACCAAAAGGAAGGAGCTGAGCCGTCTTCGAAAGACAATCACCGATCTGGAGGCGTCATATCGACAGGCTCCGAAAGAGTTTGACGCGGCGGATTGGAACAGGAGAATTGTATGTGTGCCCGGGTACTCCTGCATCTGGTGAATTGCCGCACTAACTGACTGAATAAAGCGAGAACAAGAACATCAGCTCCGCGACGCGGAAAGGAACGCTAAAGAGATTGATGATGAATGGACTCAACTGCGGAACCAAGGGCACGAGAATCGTAACAAGATTGGAAGATTGAGGAGCAGTCTGGAAGGGCTAGAATCCCAACGAGGCCAACTCCTGACCCAGTTGAAGAGGTTCAACGCTGATGCAGCCAAGGGTTGGGAATGGCTGGCCGAAAATCAAGAAGGGTTTCGGCAGGAAGTCTTCGGGCCTCCTATGCTATCATGCTCTGTCAAGAATTCTGCCTACACCGACCTCGTTCAGTCGATGCTGCAACAAGACGACTTTCTATGTTTTACAGCGCAAAATAAGGACGATCACAAAAAGTTGAGCGACCAATTTTACGGCAAGATGGGTCTATCTGTCACGATCCGCACCTGCTTCACTCCATATAGCTCATTCAAGTCGCCTCTCCCCAAGGAGCAGTTGGAGAGCCTTGGTTTTGACGGCTATGTCAAGGACTATCTTGAAGGGCCGGAGCCGGTACTTGCCATGCTCTGTTCCGAGAAGAAACTGCACACATCCGCGGTCGCGCTGAAAGATATATCAGACGAGCAGTTCGAACGCATCCAGCAAATGGAGCATCCATCCCAGTTTGCTGCTGGGAAGACACTCTATCGCATCATACGCAGGCGAGAATACGGCCCCTCGGCTGTATCTACGCGCGTGCAGCAGGTCGGCAAAGGCCGGTTCTGGACCGACCAGCCGGTGGACGCGGCCGAAAGGGAAGCAATCGAACGTCAGATCCAGGAACTGGAGAGGCAGAGAGCAGAATTAACCAAGAGATACAACGCCGTGAACATGCGAAAGACGGAAGTACGAGAGGAAATTGAGGAGATGGAAAAGAAGAAAGTATGTGTCTCCTCTTGCCTCTATCAGGCAGACAACCTTGCTGACTGAATGTAGAGGGCTTTGGAGAAAGCAAAGCATGAGCTTCAGAAACAGTTCATGATGTGGCAGTCCCTTCCGAACAAGATAGGTAGGAGGGCTCGCATGAAGCAACAAGCTCTATAGTCGGCTGATTTGAGTTTCAGAGTCCGAAAAGAGGTCGCTGCAGCAGACGGAAGAGGCCATGTCCGAACTCAGGGGCAAGATATCGGAACTGGACAAGCTTCATGACCAGGAAGTTCTGGATAAAGCCAGAGCTGTTCTTCACCATCACAAACAGATTGACGGCATTCGAAATGCGCGCCAAGCACTATTGGAAGCCCAGGTTCTCCTGTTGGAGGCGGAGTCTGACGTGGCGATACTCAAAGACAGGAACTCGGAGATCACGCAACAGCTCGAGGAGGGCAAAAGGTCGCTGCAAGAGATTACGCGTGAAGTGGCGGAGCTGCGAGAGGCTACGGTCCAGGCGTTGAAAGAGGCCGAGAGCGTCATGGCTCCAGAAAAAGACGATTCACTGTCGGTCAAAGCCGTAGGGCAGACGGTTGAGTTAGTCGACCAAGCGATTTCGGTGGAGAGAGCAAAACTCGAGGTCATCCACGCTAGTAACCCGGCTGCCCTCGAAGAGTATGAGCGCTATGCAGCCAAGATCGAGAGAGAGCGAGCCAATCAGGCGAACCAGGAGAGCAAGCTCGCCGAGCTCAACGAAAGGATTAAGCACATCAAGGGGCAGTGGGAACCCAGGCTGGACAGGCTTGTGGGCCAGATCAACGAGGCTTTCAGCTACAACTTTGAGCAAATCAGTTGTGCCGGGGAGGTAGGGGTGCACAAGGACGAAGATTTTGACAAATGGGCCATCGAAGTCAAAGTCAAATTCCGGTAAGTTTCTGAGCTCGGCCGTCTTGACTTGGAGGATTCTAATCGCGTCTGATACAGCGAGAACGAGACGCTCCAACGGCTCGACCAGCACCGGCAGTCTGGCGGCGAGAGGGCAGTCTCGACCATCTTTTACCTGATGGCTCTCCAATCTATGGCCCAGGCACCGTTCCGGGTGGTTGATGAAATCAACCAAGGTATGGATCCGAGGAACGAGCGCATGGTACACGAGCGGATGGTTGAGGTTGCGTGCCGCGAGCACACGAGCCAGTACTTCCTCATCACGCCCAAGTTGTTGTCGGGCTTGCGATACGACGAGCGCATGCGCGTGCACACAATTGTCAGCGGCGAGCACGTCGACGAAAAGGGCACCGAGATGATGAACTTTGCAAATTTTGTGAAGATACAGCGGAGGTTGACGGGGCGTTGATAGGAGAGATGGAAAAGGGATCTCATCTTTTGCGCTTCAGGGTAACATTGTACGACGGGATGATTGATGATACTGTAGACACCAGCCACTCACTGCCCAGCAATATTGGCAACAGATTCGTCGTACCTTTGATAGATACAATACGTTAATTACCAGCAGTCCAACGGTCGTCAGGGCTTCTATGCGCATCAGCCACAGCTCTTGCAACAACCGGCTTGTCTTTCACCCAGAGATGGCTGTGGTCGGGTAGAGCAGTTCTGCTTGTGTACATAGATAAAGACCATTAATGACGTCATAGCAAACGCCTGTCTCGACTTTCCGAGACTTGTCATATCCGCCTGTTCTCGCCGCCTGCCGGTAGTCAACGTTATCTTGGGGTACACTATTGTAGTATGGCACATTGGCATTCCCTTTACTGGCCGTCGCTGTGCATCATTGCGTATGGAAACAAGCCGGGCGCGGCGCAGACGTATCCGACATCATAGGTGCCAGGGCGAGGCGGCCATGCACCTTACCGGGTATGTGACATGCACCAGCCACGACGAGGAACCAGTAATAATGCTACAAACTGTGGAAGATAGTACGCTTCTACACTAAATACGAGTCTTGTTTAGGTGAAAGATCGGCGAACCCTGGCGCATCCAAGCGACCAAAACGGGAAAGCACCCTCGAACTGCGAGTGACGTCATGGCCACTTACACTGCGACCTGGGCACTGCGGGTGATGGCGATGATGATGATGATGATGATGATGATCAGTGAAGGCCACGAGACTTGACAAACCTGTCATTGTAGAGCAGCTTGGCCAGCCAATACTCGATACATATATTCCCCTCTGCCACTCACCTTTTCTCCCTCGCCATCATCATCACAATCATCACCTGCCAACCAGAACATCAACAAATAAGAAGCATTCACACGTGCAACAAACTCCATCACAAATCACAAATTACAGACCACAACACTCAAACAAGACACAACAACATACCAAACCATCCAAAATGGGCGCCGTCGTCTCCTGCGTAAGCAACGCCTCCATCTCTCCCGACCCGGATCACAAACCGCCTGCCATCCTTTGTTGGCAAAAGCCTGCACCGAGCACACAGACATAGTCGATATACTAACCTGGGTGTACTATAGCTTCAATCCGCGCTGCGCACCATCGGGCGCACAATCATGGCCATCATCAACGGCATCGGCGGCATCATCATGGCCATTGTCAACGGCATCGTCAACTTCCTCGACATCATTGTCGGCTGCCTGACATGCAACCGCGCCGGCGGTCGGCGCCACCGCAGCCACGCCGGCGGCGTGTCGACGGGTCGGTCTAGGGGATTCGGCAGAAGAAGGCATGTTGGGGGTACTAGTACCATCTAAACTTCAACACGACTTCTTCCTTGGAAGGAGGATGAAAGAGAAGGGAGCATGGAGGTGTACGATGGGGGATTTCTTTTCGTGATGGGTAACCCGGTTTCCTTTTGATGGCTTTCTGCAGTTTTTGCGATATCAGATGGATGGCGAGATTATGAGATACCCAAGCAAGCTATGTTCACACTGTTGGGGAGGCTAAGAGGAGAGAGAGGGTTATGGTCCGTCATACCGTTTATAGCCAGTCAGTCAGACGCAAAGCGTGCTCTTTTGTCAGCATTTCTACTTATCAACACTCCAACAAAAACGACCCAAATATGGTGTGTGCTATTGACCCCCATACTCGTCCTCGAGAAGATCCTTGGCAAAGAAGCCGTAAATCTTGCGCGCCGCCTCCTTGCCAACCAACGGCTCCAGCTCCTCGACCGTCATGTTGGCCACCTCCTTGATGTTTTCCGTCTTGAGCGTAATATTGATCAGATTCTTTGGCGTCACCCCAGGCACCGCAGCCAGCATCTCCTGCGGCTCCGCATTGAACGTCTGTTCCTCGGCCGGCGCGTCCTGATCCAGCCCCGCCCTCACGGCAGCGATTGGGTCCGGCTCCGCCTCCTGCGCTTTGAGCCGCTCAAAAATCTCGGCCGTCTCGTACGGCGACGAGGACCAGATAATCCTCAGTTTTGGGAACGCCAGCGTGAGCAGCACAATCTTGCTCTGCAGGTCGTTCGCGCCCGCGTTGGCGGCGCTCACGCTCGACATGCTACCCGAGAGGTCTGCAAAGGGCTCCAGAGTAAAACTCTTGTTCTGGTCAAACTCGATCAGCAGCATCGGGTTCTTGTAGTGCTGGAACATGGTCTCGCACTGGCTGTACAGGCGGCCGTCTTTGAACGAGCTGATGAGGTCGCTAACGCTCTTGCGCTCGACGCATATGGTCGGGCTGAGGATGTAGTCGCCCACCGTCAGCATGCAGGGCACAATGATCATGGCCCGCCCGTGCAGCAGTGACGGGAGGGAGGAGCGGAACTCTCGCACGTCGACGACGACGCGCGGCGGTTGCGCCGTGGCTGCGAGCCTGCCGCCACCGGCGATGCGCGTGTTGATGGTGCGGAGGAACGCCTCCTGTGGGTCTTCGACGCCCTGCAGATCTGTTGTCAAGACGACCGACATGCTGGCGCGCTCCTTGATGAGCTTGGTAAAAGCGTCCTTCTCGCGGCGAACGGTCGACAGGTAGCGCTGTTCCTCAACCGACCCGCCGTAGTACAGAAAGTACACCCTGACGTTCCTGTCGTTGTGGGAAGAACGGTACACTTCCACCCGCCGGATAAAGGACGCGTCGGGCTCGTACATGACGATGTATCTTGGCTTGACCTCCTCTAGTACATGCTCGTCCTGGTCTCCGTCGTACGCATGGATTACCACGAGGTCCTGCATGTCGTACAGCTGATAGTAATCGTCCATGTCCTCCAAGGGATCGGCGGTTATTTCCTCCTTTTGTTGTGCTTCTTCCTCGGTGGGTTCGACCTCGGCCATCAGCTCCGCGACTTCGCCGGGTTTCTCAAAATACTGCGCTATACTTCCATTCTCGAGGCGGCCCGGGCCTGTGCCTACAGATCCGCCGCCCCGAACCCTCCGCCTCTTGTTTGGAGGCGCCCTGCCTTTCGACTGGGCGAGACGTGGATCCACTGCGCCATTGATCGCCTTTTGGTTCTCTGAGAAGAGAGTCGCGCTGACCTGGGCGAACTCGCGCTTCCATTTGAGGTAGTTACGCATTTTTCTCCTCAACATAAAAGCAGCAGATGGCTTGTCCTCCTCTGGGTCGTAGATTTCCTCGACTTTCTTTTGCGTCCTCGGCTTCACGTTCATCGTTTGAAGATAGTCGCGGAGCTGTCGGCACGTATTTGTGTCTGAGCACATGATCAAGATGGTGCCGTTGGAGTCATCGCGGACAGCGGGCTCAAAGTAGATATCTCGATCAATTTCTTCTAGTACTTCTGCCAAGACGGCCCATTTGGGCTGTTCTTCCAGCACCGGTCGCAGTTCGTCAATGTTAGTGTCCGGTCCTGCTTTCTTGGTGCTGGAGTAGACACGCCTCTTTGCCGTGTCGAAAATGGTCTGCGCGGCGTCGAGAAAGAGCCACGGAGATTGCGTCTGCCTTGTCGACCCAGGGGGTGGCGAATGGGCGGCATGGATGGTGTCGAGTTGCTGGAGGAACGAGACGGCATCCAAGGCCAAGACGGACTGAAGCATGCCTCGAAGTACGGTCAAATCGTTCACGATCTGCTTCGTCTTCCAGCTGACTCGGTGCCAATTGGGATCGAGCTGACGACGGACCATGACATCGAAATTCTTGAGCAGGGCGCTGTCAAGGTTCCAGTCATCCATTTCCAGTCCCGTATTGTTCTTTTTGAGCTCGTGGATGCTGACCTCAACGCACTCCATGACAGCATTCTGGATCTCGCGCATTGCATCTGTCATTGGGACTTCCAGCTCGATGACTTCGGCCTTTTTTTTCCCCTCGAGTGCCTGGGCAACATGGACATGGAAGCGTGGCCAGAGCGATACTTTCCGGACAAACATATTCCTCATCATGGTGGCCAGAGGTGAGAAGCCCGTTGTAAAGGGATCCGGGTTGTCTGAGAAGGCCTTGAGGAAGCCGACCTTGTTCTTTTGACGGTAGATCCTCAGGATAAAAGCCTCCAGGGATGTGGCAACAATCCGGTCTGCATGGAGAACAATCAGGCCCGTAATTGTTTCGGGATTTAGTAGGCCGGTCAGCATATCGACAATCAGGATGCGGGACGTGATGCTGAAGATGCCACCGGCGGCGTACAACTTCTCGCGGGCTGCCACGCTGGTGAAGTCGGTGTTGACCACGGTCAACCCCCTGGCCCGGGGCGACATGCTAATAGCAGCATGCTCTGCAAGGGCCTCGCCAATCCAAGCGTTTTCCCTGTCCTCTGCACTGACGATGACAATCAAGTTGTTGCCGGCCGCATCATACGAGTGAAGCAGGTTGGTGACGAGACGGATGAGCCCCAAGCCCCGCGCCAAGATGACGAGCTCATCTTCTTTTCGCAGTTCCTCGAAGAGCTTCTGCTGGTAGACCTGCGACGACCTAGTTTGAGCAATTGATCACAAAGGTAATGAGGACACGCTGAGGGCAAGGCAGCAGGTAATTATCGGTCAGCATACAAGAGGAAGTGAAAGCTTTACGGGCTGCACAGACTGCGAGGTGGCGGCAGCCGCCATCCGGGGCGCGTGGTTCAGGTGCCCGTCTCGATGAACCAGATAGGAACCTATCGATCAGAGGTGACACGCAGCGTCCATGTCGTTGTCGTCGTCGTCGTTGCTTGGTATGGATCGTGTAATACATTACAGGTTACGATTACAATTACGCGGATGAGGTGGAGCCTGTCAGCCGGAGGCAACACCGCAGCGACGGAACTGCCCAACCAAACCCACTTCAGGATCCCGTGGACGAGATTACCAGCAGGTACCCCTTAGCACCGACGTCATTGTCCTCCCACCTGCTCAGATGTGCATTACCAGCTCAACGGCTTTGTCAAGAGAACAAGGCTGAGGATTTAAATGCCAACTGCTCTCGTTTCTCCTTTCTCATCGAGTTTCTCAGAGGATATCAAAACCCAACCAACATAGAACAAGAGAAAGCCTCGAGAAAGTACGGAGTACATAACCTACTTGACCCACTTCCACTGAAACCCAAATCACCATGGACTCTTCCAAGACAACCCAACAGCAACAGAAGGACACCAACCAGCCGGTAAGTCTCACGAGTCTGAGTGAAGTTGTACTTACCGCTTACACAGCATGTTCTATGCAAGACCGAAGGCAGCGGGCTGAACAAGGTGACCGACAAGGTCAAGGCTGCCTTCCAAGCTCACTCGGCAAACCCCGGCCCCGTCATTCATGACGACTTCAAGGCCCAAGAGGAAGGGACGAAGGAGGAGCGCATGGCCAAGGCACGAGAGATGAACAAATAAGCAATGAGCAGGCTATGATAGAGCCAGGGCGATTTCATAATGATTATGATGGTTTCCGAGGAATGTCACAGCCAACATTGACTTTCTTTTACTGAGGAGACCTTATGTACTGTACGAAGATGATAATGAAGGCAAGCGGTAATTTTTGATTATGACAAGATGCAGTGACAATACGTAATAATACCAGATCTTGCGTGGCTGCTCTGCGGCTGTGCTAACATTACCTAATTAGTGAAGTTACTCCGTATCCCACCAACACAACACAGCTTGGTCCCTGAATCCTTCGATCTTCCATCACGGTGATGAAAGCCAAAGCAAACTCTGATATTCCAGTCACGACACTCTGTTGAGGTCGCCCGTTTGACTCGCCCGTGCCATCGTCTCCTTACCGATTCTGGCTCTGGCTCTCACCGCTGGCCCTTTTGCCAGCAAAACGCCGAGTCGCCGACTTCGCACTGCGGCGCCGGGCCGTGACCACAAATTAGCGCCTTCATTCACCACATACGCCTCTCTCGACAAAGGTGACGACCAGTCGACCCTGCGAGATAACACCTCGCCGCCCGCCCAGAAAGCGTCGCTTCGTCCTACACGGATTCTCTCGATCTATGCGTACCTGGCTCTTGACACTCTGACGGACGTAACAACAGGCAGTTACGTATTCCGGGGCCGACCCCTCTCCTGATTCGAAATGCCGTCAATCTTGAGCGACGACGACAAGGAGACTGTCAAGCGCTTCGTGCCCAAGAAAACCAACAAGATCCATGCTGTTGCCGTTGCCAGGCTCTACATAGCCTATCCCAACAGGTCAAAATGGACATACACCGGCCTGCAAGGCGCCGTCGTGCTGGCCAATGACCTTGTCGGCAACACGTTCTGGATCAAGATGGTGGATATTTCGGTAACGCTCTCGAGTCAAATACGTTGGATGCACCATTGCTGACAAAGGGATAGCCCGGGAACCGAGGAGTAATATGGGATCAGGAGATTTTCGAGAATTGGAGGTACAGCCAGGATCGCGTCTTCTTCCACACTTTTGAGTTGGAAGAGTGCCTCGCTGGATTGTCGTTTGTGGATGAGAAGGAAGCGAAGCAGTTCCTGAAGAAGATGAACGAGCGGGAGGAGAATGCAAGCAAGGCCACCAAGAAAACACGCTTCGGGGGCCCGGCACCCGGCGCCAGTCACCACAAGCACCATGGAATACTCGGCGGCATATTCGGAGGCCATCGACATTCGTCAGCCCCCACGCCACCCGAGTCACCGCGTGCGTCCGCCCCGGTAAGGGACAGCCGTTCCGGTAGCATCAATGGCCATCATAACAGAGCATCGCAATCAGATTTCGCTGAACTGGATGCCTTTGATCCTCAGTGGAGGGAGAATTTCGGAGACGACCTGAAATCCAAGGGCTTGACTGATGACTTTATTCGCGACAACCAAGATTTCATTATCAGTTTCCTCAAGGAGCAGCAGGAATTGCAGAGCAAGCAGGCTGTGTCAGCGCCTCACCCACCACCCCCTCCACCTCCGGTCAATGGATCCAGCCCAGCACTGAGAGCACCCCCGCCTCCACCACCGGCGGCAGCTCAGCGTTCAGTTTCCGAGACAATAGCGGCACCTCCGCCTCCAAAGAGAGGGCCAGCTCCTCCGCCACCCCCAGCCCCGAGGAGGTCTGCCAGGTCCGAGACGCCGGAACACCGCGAACCGACACCGCCCCGAGACTCTCCACCCCCTCCTGCCCGGCCTCGATTCGCTGTTCCTCCACCCATTGCTGATGCCGGCAAATTCGCACGGGCCGAGCCTTCTCGCGCGGCACCGTCGACCTCCGCAGCCGGGCCACCGCCCCCGCCCCGGCCGCCAAAGACGCCGATCGATGATGCGGAGCCCGCTCAAAAGTATGGTGTGCCCCCGCCCTTTACCGGCCAACGCAGCGTGCCTCCCCCACCGCCTAGCCGCGGTCATGCTCCTCCTCCACCACCGTCTAGGCAGCCAGCGCAAACACACGCCCCAGCTGCAGCACCACCTCCGCTGCCTCCCAAGGCCCCGGTATCGAGCGCTCCGCCAATTCCGCCGATGAGCTCTCGGCCGCCTCCTACTCTACCAGTTAGGAGTCCCGCTGCTGCTCCGCCGCCGCCGCCCCCATTGCCATCCTCTCACGCACCCCCCGCTCCACCATTACCCTCATCCAGCGGGCCGCCGCCTCCACCACTCCCCGCTTCCAGCGCTCCGCCTCCTCCTCCGCCGGCCCCGCCGCTGCCAACAGCGAGCGCGCCTCCCCCTCCGCCGCCTCTCCCTCCAGTTTCGGGCGGCGGCGCACCACCACCTGCCCCGCCCCCGCCGCCACCCCCTCCGGGTCCCGGGGGGATCAGCGGCATCCCGCCTCCGCCTCCGCCTCCCCCTCTGCCGGGAGTTGGAGCAGCAGGCATGCCACCCCCGCCGCCACCACCGCCTCCCCCGAACCGCGACTCGGGCTACTCATCCAGCGCGCCTGCGGCGGCTGCTGCCATTCCATCAATCGATCCCGGCCGTGCCGCCGTGCTGGATAGCATCCGTGGAGCGGGGGGCATCGCGGCGCTCAAAAAGGTCGACCGTAGCCAGATCCGCGACCGCAGCGCTGCCCTTGTTCCAGGCGGCGGGGGAGGAAGCGATACAGGTCCGCACGGCAGCGGCCTGCCGCCTGCGGGCGTCGCGCCCTCTGGAGGAGGAGGCATGGCGGATGCGCTGGCTGCTGCGTTGCAGAAGAGGAAGGAGAAAGTTAGTGGTAGTGGTAAGTCTTTCTTTTTCTTTTCTTTCCCTCTTTCTGTTTTGCTGGTTCGATGTCTTGTCTGTGGTCGACTAACGTTGTGCTGCAGATGATGAGGACGATGACGACGATTGGTGATTTTTATATTCGCTGTTCCAGTTGATTCGAATCGAGAATTCAAGCTTCTGTTCGAAATCGAACTGGTTGGGTGGGTTATGGATTATGGTATGGTTGGTATGGTTGGTATGGTTGGTATGATATGGTAAAGTTGGGGGGGTGTTGTCTGTTGGTGTGGCCTGTTGAGGGAGGATTGGTAACAGTCGGCAAGTAACCTGACAAGAGTTTCTGGGGCTACGAGTGCATGTGGCGAGAGCCAGGGGCTATCTGGTCATGGGATGGATAGCTCGAATTAGGAAGAGAGAAGGGGGAAAGGTGGGACTGACGAGAGAGACAGGTGGAACAGGTGAGAAGAGAGGTAGGAAGTCGGGCAGGCAGTTTGGTTTTGGAAACATCATTGTCTTACCCCGGCATTGCGTATCAGTTATCTTTACGCAAGCAAACCAGCTATCCTGCTACTGTAGGTGGTTTATCTGGCTGGGAGGCAAAAGTTCACTGTTGAACATCAAAGCGCGATCACTTTTGGGAGGTCTAGTAGTTCGTATAGAGTAGCAGAGTCACGAGAAATAGAAGCAGAATGAGTACTGTGAATAGGGAAAAAAAAAAAAAAAAACTTCAGAATTTGTAGGTCTGTACAGTTCTTTAGCCATACGTGATAGTCATCATACTGGAGACCGAAGGAAAGGAAAGTGCACTCATTCCACTAAGCAACCAACCCTCCAACCAGGAGACGAACCACGGCGATGACGTCTCTCCCATCACGGCCGCAGCCCTCTCCCTTTTTTCCATCCCCAGTGCGTCACTTGACATCCTGAACGAGCTAACCCACCAACTGTCGGGGACCTAGGGTTGAACATCCGCAGACATACCAATCAGAGGTTTGAGAGAGAAGACAGTTTTGTGCTTTCCACGCCTCGGAAAATCTTCCCTGGCCTCGGCCACACCAACTCGGCTAGTGGGCAACGAGGTAAAAAAAAAGAAATAACGAGGTAGGAAAGGGTGGGTCACGCCCCGAAGGGAAGTGAGCACATCCACACAAGCCCCAACAACAACGTCAGACACGAAAATAGCTGGGAGCTTAGATGTCCTCAATATCGATCTCCTTGCTCCCACCGGCATTGCCGCCGGTATCGCTTTCGCTATCGCGGTCCTCGTCAAACTCGAAGCCGCAGTCGCCGTCCTCGCCAGGGCCGAATGTGTCTGTCTCATTGATCTTGGCCGTGTCTGGGAGTTCGCCGTATGCCTTCCTAAAAACGGTGGGAGCGCGGTTAGCAATGTTATTGTGAAAGGACAATGGCAGCGGCGGGGTGGGGTATGTAGAAAAGGGGTCGGGTCGGGTCGACACACAAAGAGCGGGCCTCGTCGGCAGAGTACTTGAGAATCACGTCGCCCTTCTCGTCTTGGTACTCGCGCAGCGAGACAAGGATGATGTCGCCGTTGTTGATCCAGATCTTTTTCCGCAGCTTGCCGCGGATGAGACCGAGGCGCTTGACGCCGTCGAAGCACTGAATTTTGTGTTAATATTTACTTTGCCCACTATTCCCCGCCAAGTGTGGCGGGCAAAACAGGGAGAGCGCAGCATACCATGGCCTCGAGTCTACCGTTCCCCAGCATCTTCAATACCTGCGCATATTCTTGGCCATCTTCCTTGAATGTGAGCTCGCGTTTCTCGTTGCTGTAATTCACCACAAGTCAGCAATTGTGGTTTTGCGGCTATGAAAACGGACGGCGTAAAGGACGCACTCATTCTCGTTCTTTCCCCTGCGGCGGTTTTTGCCGCCCTTTCCCTTGTTCTTGGGCATTCTAACAGGACTCGCTCAGGCGATTATCGTCGGGAAGAGTTTCTTTTGTATTTGCGTGTTCGAGACTCAAGTAACAAGGTCCCGCCTGCTGTATCGTTCGACGAGTCTGTCGTCTTGCCGGTGTGATGCCGATTTGAGTGGAAAGGAAAAGCGGTTGGAGAGGGGCCGGTGTGCTAGCGCTTTATATGGAATGACTCTTTCGTGGGGCGACCGGGGGGGTGTTGGGTTTCGCCTTGCGCTGGTGGGGTAAAGCGGGCAGTGGCGGGGTGGAGCCCAGCACAGCTCGTTCAAAGAATCCCCGGTACGTTCCAATTCCTTGGCCCGAGCTCCCCGAACAGGCTTTCATCAACTTCAGTTTTCACCTTCGAGTCTTCCGCCTGATCAGGTTGATAAAACAGGCGATTCCAGAACAAGCGATGTGGCAACCAAAAACGCAGTAGGAATTAACGCAGAGGGAAATAGGCAAGAGACTCACCCTGCGATTGTTCACCATGATCCGGGGCTTGCGGCCGTGTCTCAGGCCAACACGACTCGCCCACACGTCTGCTCATTCAGCAACTCACCTTAAGCGGCCGCCGGCCCCTGATTTGGCCGACCACTCCAGCCCAAGTAGCCCGCCGCCCATCACCCCATTGATCATCACGCAGCAGGGATTAGAAGGATTTTGGCCGAGCAAAGAAGTCCGGCAATTCTCAGCCCAGTACCAAGTCGTATTCCCGACCGCACTGAGAGGACTGGCGAAGGAGCAGTTCAAAGAGTTCGGGGTACGGATTTTGGTGTGCAACAAGCACGTCTTCTCCCTCCATCACTACAAGTATCTCAGCGTCTTCGGACATGTCCTCGCCGAGAAGATTCTCGAGTCGTACAGGCAAAAAAAGTCGAGACCGCTTTGGATTTATGCGCAGACGGCCTCGGTCTCAGACGGCAGCAACTGCGTAGTGCAAACCACGGCCAAGAGAATGGTTTGGAAAGCGCTGCTCACCGCTCTGCGCGCGGTCGGCTACGACGAGACGGGCAGGAGCTTAGATGGGGAGAGCCAACGAGTCTTGCAAGGGACGATTCGCGTGGCGATTTCGGCCCCCAAGACTATTCTGAAATCCGACTTTGATGCTTTTGTGAAGCATCTTATCACGGTTCTTAAGGAGCAGGTTATCTCTCGTCTCGACTTCTCCCAGGGATCTCGTTCATAAACCTTCGAGATCCCATCGAGTTGTGTGCCGCCGCTTGTTCTCTGCCACAATCCGTTCAGCTAAGCAGCTAGAACGATAGGGGCATCAAGAGTACAGCGGCAAACAACCCGTTGGCCGATCACCCGTCATCTACCGAACAATCCTGCTTCTTTTCGTGTCCCCTGAAGAGGGAATGATAGAAGCCCGACCTTCGCCGTGAGGTACAGCAACCCAACTGAGCATACCTAGGTCACTCATCCGAACACCGGCACCCAGGTCTATCCGTTGCCCATCCGCCACAGGAGGAAGTACAGCGTGCCGTTAGACCCCGTCTACAGCCTGCCCGCAGCCTAGAGCCGCATCATCTAGGTTCATTACAACCGAGAAGGCTCTCACAGGTCTCCCCTAGCTTATAAGTCGACAGATGTGAGAAGAGTAGGGATTTAGCCGCCCCATAGGGTAGGCAACGTGGTGGCCCAGACAGTGACCACAGGCGGTCACGCAGAGGGTTATTTTATCATTATGTGAGGGTCAGCAAAGGAGTAGACGCGTGGAAGGCCGATCCTCCGTTGCGTTAACTAGGCTAGGGATAAGAGGATGCTTGTCCTGCTATCCCATGAGATGAGGGCATTGCAAGAATGTACGGACAAAATCAAGACGTATATTCTGAAGTGCCACAGGGCTCTGGTCGCTATCGGGGTGCTGATCTAATCTATGCAAAAGAGAAAACAATACAAAAATCCCAAACCAACGCTGAGTTTCCTCTCATGCTCGCGCCTTCTCCTCAAAGGTATGGATGTACTTGGAGTGCAATTCCTGCACCGCCGGAATGATGAGGCTCTCAATTTCAACCTCGGGCTCGCCATCAGGGAGGCTCTTGGGATCAAGAGGTTCGTCATTTGCTGCGACTGTGTCTGGGATGCTGTCTTCGGTTGAGCCCTTGCGAAATGGCACGCGAATCCAGTGGTCCGGGTTTCCGGGTGAGACGAAGACCTGCTCTCGTCAGTCTCGTTTGTGCTGGTGAATTTGGCGAGTGAGGGGGAGGGTGAGGACATACAACTTCCCACTTGCGCGTGGATCTTGATCATGCCTTATCAGCGGATGCTTGCTCCGCACGAATTTGATTAGAGGGGAGAGGACCTACAATAAGTTGCCAATCACCAGGTGGTGTTGGTACCGATCGAGAGAGTACCTCGCCTTGTGCACGAGGATAGTGGGATCCGTCTCCAGCTTGAACGAGACAATCATGCCCTGCGGTGACCAGCCCTCGACCAGGTTCTTCAGAAACTTGGGCACAGGGTCAAGATCGATTACTAGCCGCTTGCTCCTAGGAATTGACGGGGATGAATCGAAATTGTCGAATGTCTCCTCTTCCTCGGCAGCTCCCGGGCGGGCGCCTGCAGCGGCACCCACCTTCTTGACAGCGTCAACAGCGTTTGTACTTTGGATCTTGTGTTCCGACATGCGGTCGGGCTGTGTGATGTTAGCCAGAGAAATAGTCCACCGATACGCGGAGTGGCAAGCGAGCTCACGGGGACGAAGAAGTCGCTAACAGCAGCGGCCAGATACAGCAGGCCTCGCGGGCCCAGCGGGCGCATCAGCCGGGCAATGCTGCGCAGCTCATGCAGATAGTCAGAGATGCTGACAAAGGGTAGGACGAGAAGCATGTTGCGGTCCCGCGCATCGCGGTACTTGCGCAGCACGTGCAGCATCTTAGCCGCATCCTCGTCCCGAGCCACCACGCTGCCGTCAGGCCCCTCCCGGAGAAAATCGAGGAAGCAGTCTGTTGCATGGCTATAGTGGCGCGAGAATGGAAGCAAAGAGAATTGGCGATGTCTTTTTGGAGGGGAGTTAGCTGGCTGTTCCTTGCTTGCTGGTAGAGGTCTCCGGGGCAGAAAGGGGCCGAATATACGGCGGCATAAGGGGTGCATAGTGGAGTTCACATACAAGAAGAGGACGGCATATCCAGCTTCAAGAAAGTATTCGGCACTCGTCTAAACGGTTGACACAAGTTAGTCAAATGCCTTTCAGCCTGCCGCGTTGAAGGGAGTGTAGTAGGAAGGCGCCGCCATCCCAACCCTTTAGACCAGGAGTCTTGGCAGGCCGGAACGCACTTACAGCTCCACGAGTACCGGCTGAGAAGTTGTCGATGAACCGCACGGTCTGTTTCTCTGTCCGTCTGAGCGTGAGTGTCCGGCTGTGCTGCAAGTACAGTACATGGAATAGCGTCAGGGGTCAAAGAAGACATACCCAGCGGCACCGTTGTTCCCCCTGACGTAACCAGCACTAGTCGGCGGCCGGCAGCCGAGTGGTAGTCGATAAAGGCGCGAGCCTGAGCAACATGCTTCTCTAAGTCCTTTGGCGGTGGATTGGCGCCGAAGTAATGGTCCTCAGCCAGGGCGGCGAGGTTACCGGGCGGAGTCTCGGGCGTAATGCTAGATAGCATGATGAATATGCTACTCGATGGGATTAACTATGGGACTGGACAATGAATGAGCGAGGACCAGGACAAGGGGTTCGGGCCATGGTCCCAAGTTCGTTGCTGCCGAGAACTTCCACGTTGGAAGCTCCCCGCAACAGGTACTGAAGCTACTGCTGTAGTGTACAGTACGGGCGTGTGTCATGCAGGTGGTAGCTTTGGTGGGGTTCGGGAAGGCCTGCCTTGGAAAGCGGGGGCAGTTCCGGTGCTTTGTTTCCACTTCCAGCGCCAAGACTTTGTGCATACCGAAGCACAAGCAAGGGCAGGGCCGGGCTGCAAGGCGACTGGGATTCCTTCCGTCGACAATTCCCTTTCAAAGTTTCAAACACCAACCTGGAGCTTCCTACTCCGTACCTTGTCGACCAGCACCCAGAGCTTCCAGGGCAGCCCTCTAACGACGAACCGGCTACAGCTGTTCCACATATAATATCTGCCGAGTCTTCGACCATGCTCGTCTCTCTCACTGTCGGCAAGGTCGACGCCGGCGTCACCGTGCTGCTCACCCCCGACAAGCGCCTGGTTTGTTCCCTCCACCCGCTTTGTTCTAGTAGCCGTCTTTCTAATCCCTTCCCAATAGATTGAATTTCCATCAATACTTCTACCCCCAGATATCGCATCCGGGTCCATAGTCGACATCAATGTCTCGCGCAACAAGAGCTCCGAGATAGCGGCCGAGCGCGCCTTCCGGGAGCTCCAAGACCGGATTCTCTCCTCCTTCGGCGCAGCGGAGCCCTCACCTCCCGTCCTGCGGTGCCGAAACGCGACCCAGACGAGCGTCGTGCTCGAGTGGGACCCGATCCAGCTCGCGACGGCCGACCTGATCAGCCTGGCCCTGTACCGCAACGGCCAAAAGGCCGGCAACATTCCCAAGCCGCTGTCGATGCACACGACCAAGATCAGCGGCTTGGCCGTCGACACCGAGTACACGTTCCACCTGGTGCTGCGCACGACGGCGGGCACTTTCGCGAGCCAGCGGGTCGCCGTGCGCACGCACAAGATGACGGATCTCAGCGGCATCACCATCACGACGGGGATCCTGCCGCCCGCGGTGCGCGAAGGGCTGGTCGCCGCCGTGGAGCGCATCGGCGCCAAGATCGTCGACGGCGTGCGCATCGACACAACGCACTTCGTCACGGTCGAGGGCCGCGGCGTGCAGTGGGAAAAGGCCAACGAGCTCAACATTCCCGTCGTGCGGCCCGAGTGGGTCGAGGCTTGCGAGCGCAACGGCCGCATCCTCGGCGTCACAAAGTTCTACCTCGACGCCGTCCGCGTCGGCCCGGGCTTCGAAAACGACCAACAACAACGGCCCGGCACTGCCGGCACTACTACTACCACCACGACCGCTGCCGCCCCGCCGTCCCCGCCGCGTAAGGACTCAACAACAGGCCCTTCTAGCCGCGCTGGCATGGGCAGCAGCAGCCAGCAACCGTCAGAACCGGCCCCTGCTGAATACTCGGCGGCGTCACAAAAGGAGGAGGGAGGAGACGTCGAGTCGGAGTCCAGTGACAGCGAACAGGAGCCGGAGGAGAAGGTCAAGTCACCTGATGAGCAGAAGGTGCTGGCAGACGAGAGGAATCAGAAACGGCTGGCGGAGCGGCCCAAGCCGACAGTTGAAGATGATGACGACGACGAAATGCAGGGGGATAACGAGGCAAGCGAGGATGAGAAGGGCGGCAAGTCGCCTGGCGATGGTTCATCGTTCCAGGACGTGGCTCTATAATGCTGGGGTGGTTGGGCTTGAAAGCAGAAGTGTAGGACTACGGGCGCGAATGCGCTAGGCGTAATATTGTACCTGAGAAGTTGATGATGTTATGATACAGCGCCCTGGGCCTTTCCACCCTCATCCACCTGGTAAGGGGCGACATCCTTGGAGAACCATCTATTTTTCACCTATATCGGAAAAATCCAACACGTGCATTTCCAGCATATAGAAAACCCCCAGCGCTACGTATGCTACAGCTCTCTCTTATGATCATCCGCGCCGGCAGGAACAGGCTTTTGCCTGACCGACCCCGGCGGCGACTTTAACCCGAGCAAGACGAGCGTACACACACCCGCAATCCCGAGAGCACCCATGCCATAGGCAACCTCGCGCCCAGCCCACCAGTACACGCTCGTGAAGAGCACGGGGCCCAGCCCGCGCCCGAGCTGGCCCCAGCTCCTGAGGATGCCCAGCTTTCCTCCCCTTTCGTCCTCGCCCGCCTCGAAGCTGCTGAGAGCGTTGAGCCCCGTCACGACGGTGGCCGACGTGGTCGCGAGACACGTAGCCGCCAGGTATAGGCCAGACACGCTCTGGATGCGCGCGAGGAGCACAAAGGCGGCGAGGCAGGCCAGCACGCCGACCTTGACCGAGAGCAACGGCGGCAGCCGGCGGGTCACGCCGCCTTGCAGAATCGAGGCTACCAAGCCGACGTAGCCGAGTAAACGCCCGTTCTTGGCCGATGTGTACTCGAACAGGTCGTACGTCATGAAGGGCAGCGAGAACTCCATGCCTGAAAAGAAGAGCAGGAAGGTCATGTGCACCAGGTTGAGCAGGAAATGCGAGTTTGTCCGCTGGACTGGCTGCGGCGCCGACTTGGGCTTCCTTTTTACCCTTGCTGCCGTGTCTAGGTTCGTGAGCGAGGGAAGGGTCTCCGGCAGGCTGAAGTACAGATACACCGTCTCGGTGACGATCAGGAAGAGCGACACGCCAGCGGCGGTTGCAAACGGATTGGCGGCCACGGTGGCAATGGAGCTGAGCCAGGCGCCCAGCGCTGGCCCAAAGGTGAACGCGATGGAGAAGCACGCGCCGATGAGAGCCATGGTCGAGCCGCGGCTGTTGGCATCCGAGATGTCGGTCGCGATGGCCGTGGCAAGCTGCACGTTGCCCTCAGAGAGCCCGCCGACGATGCGCGAGGCCAGGAACGTCCGGAAATCGACAGCTACGACCCACAGCAGCACCGACAGTATGTTACCAATCATACTGGCGAGCAGGGCGGTGCGCCGGCCATATTTGTCCGAGAGGTGGCCAATTACCGGAGAGGCAACTGCTTGGAGGAGTCTGCAGGAGGCGATGTTAGTGCTGAATACTAAGATGCGGTGAAAGGCATTTGTCGGAACATACGAAAAGAGACTCCCCAACGCTCCGCCCAGCAGAACGATGTCATAGCGGGAGTCGATTGGCCGCGCAAAGGCAGCCTTGTATGCGTTGAGATAGCCGAGCACGCTTGAGAGTAATGTCGTCGACGGCTGGCCGGCGGGATCGACAGGGGCCTCTGCGTTGCGGTAGAACTCGAGCAGCTTGGGGAACAACGGGAGGATGAAGGTGAAGGATATCTGCGGCGCACGCTTTGTTAGGCGACCGTCGCGTGGGCCGAGTGCTTGAAAGGGCACATACCAAATCGAGCAGCAGGGAGAAGAAGATGACTCGTAGGACCCTTTTTCGGGTGGCTGCCTCAACCGGTGGCGCCATCTCCTTGTAATTCTAGTCTCTGATGAACGACGATCTCGAGATCCTACCGTCGATCCGGGTGATTACTTCTGGAAGAAAAGGTGAAATCTCCAATCATCTATCACGGCCAGCACAATAAGAAAATTGTGAAATCTCATAGATACAATATCTAGTGAAAAGGAGGGACGAAAAGATCAGAGCCAAAGAGACAGAAATCTAGTAGCGTTGCAGCATCATGTTGTCGACAAGTTACGGATACAACGTGGTGGGTTCTTGGAATCTGCACAAGCATCTTGAGCCGGCACGGAGCTTCGACCGAAAGGGCCACAGATCCACTGTGTAGGCGAGCATTTGTACACTGTAGATATTGGCGTGAGGTAAGGGCGCCACAGCGCCACAAATGAAACTGTTTCAATTTACCAAGGGCAAGCCACATATTCCAGCCTTTTGATCCCACGACCGGGATACACCCATGCCATGGAATGGGTACTCCTTCCCATCTCAACGCTCATCAGTCATGATCCTTTTGGGCAGGAAGATGCCAACTCCTCATTGAACCTTCCCGGTCTTTTATTGCTTATGCTCACTTGTCCTACTTCTTTCACCAACACGAGTAGTTCCTGCCTTAGTGTATGAATGAATGCCTCTGGGAAAGTTCGAGCAACTGGGATCTCTGGGGACTGGCTGTCCAGCTGTGTATGGAATTCTCCGTTATGTTAGATATTCAGCAGTCCCAGATCAGCCCTGGATTCTCCAAAACGCGACAAGTACTTGACGATTCATCATCTCGGTCAAATTCACTACTATGCAACTGTCGCTGTACACCACCTCGCTACAGTCCGGTAGCAAGAACGAAAGGTCAGTCCAGCCCGCGTCCTTCGCATTATGATCGTCCTCATCGGCGAGACTAGAACTTATAGTAATGTCTTAAACACGGACCGCTCTTAGGTCCAGCTGAGCCAGCTAATGTTGGGCTCGGCAGAGGTCGAAAATGACCAGGCAGAAGAAGAAACGCACGGCTGCCGAACGACGCCTCAACAGCTCCGCAATGCAGGGGGAAGACACCGAAGCCATTCCGCCAGTCCGCCAGCCAATGCAGGAACACATCCATCCTGCACCGCTGCAGCCTCGAGGTACTTGTGAGTGTCTTCAGAATGAAACAAACATTCTGCTGTCGCCACGTTCCCATGCAAGGGATGATCAGCTCGAAAAGCCCAGAATGCCAGAATGAGTTACACCAACTTCACCTGGTCCATCCGGAGATACGCCTTGGATGTTCCGGGTTCTGTATGTCTTACCGCCATGCGAGCCCCTTTCACATAGCGGTGCCGGACAGTCTTGGGTGTTCGTGTTGTCGTCTGTCGCCCACTCCGGATATCGACAATATGGAAAGCAATCAAACCGCACATCTCCTTTAGCCGCCAAGCCTACATATCCGGACAGTGCTTCAGGATCTCCCCAAGTACCGCCAATGTACCCTACGCCGCTGTCATCTTATACCCCCGTCTATGTTTTGTTTCCCCCCTTGTCTGTGAGGCGTCTTCTGCAGACAGGCCGTGAGATGTCACATCCACGGCGCCGAGCGCCTGTTTTGCTCTCCGGTTGCAATTTGTATAATGTCTATTAACGTTATGTATAAAGGGATCTGGCTCCCACTCTCTATTCAAGATTCTGTTCCCTTTCTCCCTCCAGTGCCCAAGGTGCCATCCACTCGTTCTTGTCATTCGCTGCTTGCGTTCTTCAACTCTGCCTCGAGTCGTCACTTCTTTTTTAAATAAAGGATACCCAACATGAAGACTGCAATTACTGCTCTCGTTGCCCTTGCGGCCCATGCCGTTGCCCTCGGCGTCGACGTCAACGCCGGAGTCGGTGTAGGTGTCGGTGTCGGCAACGGCCACGGCCACGGCCACGGCGCCGTGGATATCGATGTCGATGCCGATGTCGATATCGATATTGATGTTACCCACGGCCATGGCGGCCACGGCAGACCTTCCGTCACCGGGTCGGCTTCCCACCCGCCCAAGTGGACCACGAGCACCGTCTGGACCACCAGCGTCCAGACCATCACCAGCTGCCCTTCCACCGTCGTCGACTGCCCGTACCGCAGCAAAGCTGTCTACTCCACGGTCACCGTCGCCGTCAGCACAACCGTTTGCCCCGTAAGCGAGGTCGAAAAGACTTACACTCCCACCGCTGCGCCCCCTCCTCCGGCCTCCACCCACACGTACGCTCCTCCGCCGCCTCCGCCTGCCAGCTCCTCGGCCTACTATGCTCCCCCGCCGCCTCCGCCGGCCAGCAGCTCGGCCTATGCTCCTCACCCGGCTCCTCCGGCTGCCAGCTCGCCCGCCTACACTCCTGCGCCTGCCCCTGTGGTGACCCCGTCCCCGTCGCTCACCACCAAGTCTGTTGGCACCGTTGCTGCCCCGAGCAAGACGTCATCGTACTCAGCAGTTGTCACGGCCGGCGCCAGCCACAACGCCCAGCGTGCAGGCGGTGCTCTCGCGGCCCTTGCCGTCGCCGCTGCGCTGCTCTAATTGGGTCTCCATGGTGGAATTTAAGGGGGCTTTATGAACCACCGGGTGTCTTCAAGAACTTGAGTATCCGGGGTTGGAGCTGAAAATTTTGGGGTTGAACAGGAAGGAATTGGATGTCTGGCCATGTAACTACTGTACACTTGCGACAGCGCTTTAACTCACCTTGGCTGCGGAGGACATAGATTTTTTCCTGGACAGTCTCTAGGTACCTAGTCATAGTCTGATTTTGCTATGAGATAGGTTCCTGGGACTTGGACCCGCCTTACCAGTTTTTTTAATCACTCTTTTGCCTACGTAATACCCTTCGATTCATACTTTGGCGCTGACCTGATGTCTAATGTCTTGGCATTCGCAGGTGAGTGTAAACTTCCAGATCGATGGTGGTGATGGGTATAGCTCTTGAACAGGCCCTCAGGACCGCTCGGTCTTGGATGCACTGTCCGAACTCCCCAGTGTGGCGACATAATTGACCTGCAAGTAACGTACGAAGTAGTTTATTTTGTCTCTATCAGCCCCTATTTACCCGCGCCGCGCCGTAAGCAAGGAACAGCAACCCGCTCCATCCCGTCCCTCTGTTAAAGCTGCCTGCCCTCTCCAAGGTCAACCAGAACTCTGTCTAAGCGAAGCACATATTGTTCAGGTACCACAACAGGATGGCATAAACCCGCAGATTGCCAACAGGCGTCTTTCTGTGGGCCAGACCTGCCGTCATTGCTTTCTTGTGGCACCCAGCAGGGTGACTATAGCAGGACGCTGTATACAGCACCGAGACAAACTGGTGTATGCCTCGGACCGAAATAGGAGGACACAGCAGCAATAGTGTACCTGGTCCGCTGGGGGTTCAAATCGAGCGACATCATGGAGTGTAGCCAAATGGATTTCGCCAGGGGAGCTGGTTGGCCAGCCATGTCATTCTATACAGCAACTTGGGACATGATCATGACGAGGCCACTCGCTAATCGGTGTAGCTGTATACGCTGGTCGATACGAGGAATGGGCGGCAATTGCGTAACTTATCAACTCATCTAAGGCTGACGCCACTTGTATCAGCCCGGGCTACTGACATGTTATCTGTCTGGAATGTGACGCTGTCGGGCTGGGATGTAGGAAAACAGGGCCCTAAGCACAGTATCAAAACACATACCAAGATAGCAGGATTCCTAGCCTGTGCTGTGTATACCCGCGATGCAGACTCATCTCCGTACTACCCAGCCGTAAGAGAACCCCCACGACCCGAACTAACCACAAATCCGCCACCCCGTCGGGCACTTGCGGCCAGCCGCCTCGCCAGCTCGTCGACCCTCACCGCGCCGCCCAGAAGCTCCCGTTCGGCCTCGCGATCCCGCCCATTCCTGCCTACCACGACCAGCTTGACAATCTCCCCATCGTCGCCCATGACCAGGCGGCCGATGCGTCCGTCGGCCCACTCGATCGTGATATGCTTGGCCTCGGCATCGGAAGCCGTGATATCGAGGAGCCGGCCCGGCCCTTCCTCCTCTGGGGCAGCAGCCTCCTCCTCTGGGGCAGCGGTCTCCCCGTCCGCCTTCTTGTCCAGCCCAGCCGCCCGTCTCAAATCCCCCACCACCCCAAGCCGGTTGTGATATCTGATGACCTCCCTCCGTACCGCCCTCGCGAAGCGAGCTAAATCCTGCTTCTCTTGGATCTTCGCCCTCCCCTCATCACGGCCACCATCAACATCATCTCCTGTTTTCGGAGGCGCGGGTAGGTACCGCGCCGCCAGCCCCGCGACGGGGATGCACGCAGGGAGGGTGTGCCGATGCACACGCAGCCAGGTCTTCCCCTTCCCCTGCCGCCTCGCATTCCCATTTTCTCCAACCCCATTGCCACTACCATCAGCAGCAGCACCGGACGAATAAGGCCGGTTCAGCAAGACGTAATACGGCCTAAGGAATCTGCCGCGCGAGAGCACCTCGATGCGGATTCCCAGGATCGCCCCGCCGTCAACCGCGTGCGGGTCCGGGTCGCGCGCGCGAAAGGTCGTGACCCCGGCACACACGCGGTACAGGCACTGCTGGTTGTGGGCCTGCTGCTGGGCGGCGGCGCGGGCGAGGCGGGTTTTTTGGTCCTTGCCCAGACGGTTGGCCTTTAATAGGCTGGGAATCTCCTGCCCCTCCGATTTAGATGAGGACGATTCTGATTCAGATTCCGAGTCTGATGATTTATCCTCAAGATAACCTAGCACCCAAGCGCTTGCTGCCAGACCAGCTGCTAAGATGAATGCTCGGTTTCTGAGGTTGCGGGCTTTGATTTGAAAGGTTAGATTCTGGTCGGGATGGAATTTGGGAACGAAAAAAGGGCCTACCCTTGACTGCGGCATCACGGATCTCCTTATTGAGATGGTTTGTTGTAGTCGTAGTAGTCGAGGACATTGCTCGTGAATTAAGAATTGGCGTAGCGCGTGTAGCGCGTTTAACTGACGTTACTTCGTACAGGCGACAATATGTTGAGATAATTTGTGAGGTCGTCCACAAAGAGGGAATCTCGCGTATGAGGCGTCGACTGCAACGATTGAATACTCGTGACGAACAGTATCAACAGGTTCAAGTCAGGTAAGTAACATCTGAATATGCGGTTGAATTACACGACAGTGAGGCGACTCCTGTCAACGCGTGCCGCTCAAGATTCATTTAATTAGGTAGCGCGTTGACAGGGCGGCTAGCAGCGTGACAGCGTCGGCTCGGCAGAAAGTTGCTGTACGGTACGTGTACTATATCGTAATTGCCTTGGATATGAAGCAGCGCTTGGCCAATACAAGCGCTATTGATTCCCAACATTATTGAGTGTATCTTGTAAAACTGTAGTCATTGGCAGTAGAGCATTATATCTCCATCAAAAGACACTTCTAAAGTTCTGTCGAGTCTGTGTAAGGATCTGGCCACGCTCATGGAGTCAGGATTGGCTACGAGTGTCCATTACATTACATTACATAAACGCAGGGCACGTGCAGAAGCCACGGTTGCAGGTTACCTGCACTAACCGCAAGGCGCTAGACACCCCACAATCCACCAACCTGGAACCAATGACTCGGACGAAGCCCCCACTAGGCAGGGACGCCTCCGAGTTGCCGGGCCTAACGCGACGTGGCTCGGCCACTCCCAGGGACTGTATTTTTCCCGGTCCCCGTCGTTGACATCCGGCCGCCTTCCGAAGAGGCCACCTTCGCTGTTACAGTAGGCACACCGGCCGATCACAAGCCCTGCTTTCTCGTCTCTCGTTCACTATTGTTAGGATCCCAGGCATAATCTCTATCTCATTGTGATCCAGACCGATTGCGCCCTCGACATCTCGCAGAAAGCCATCAACCACTTCGGAAGAACCTCTCGGTCTACACATAGCCCCTAATAACCGATCCGCGTAACACACGCGCCCAATCGCCACATCGATCGCTACGCATACAAAACAATAAATACCTATGGGTGCCAAGTCTCGTCGGGCCAAATCGCCGACGACTCTTAACGGTTCGCTCGGATCCGCGCAGAGATCCGGGAAGAAGCCCCGCGCAGACGACACCGCTGCCATGACCACCAACGTCGAGCTCTTGCGACGAAACATATCGCAGGAGAACTCATCATCCGAGGGCGCCGCCATGAACCTGATGGCCCGCGAGTCCTTCTCCCTGGACGACGACCCGGCACCACCCAAGACACCGACGACAGGCAGGAGTCACGGATTCTTCGACCTGCCCAAGAAGGACCAGAGGAACTTTGGCCTGCTGGTCCTCCTCTACTTCCTCCAGGGCATCCCGCTGGGCCTGGCCACCGGGTCCGTCCCCTTTTTACTAAAGAACCACATGTCGTACGGCGAGATCGGCGTCTTCAGCCTGGCGTCGTACCCATATTCCCTCAAGCTCTTCTGGAGTCCCATCGTGGACGCCGTGTGGAGCCCCAAGCTCGGCCGGAGGAAAAGCTGGATCCTGCCAATCCAATTTCTCTCTGGAATAGGCATGCTGTGGCTGGGGTCGCGGGTCGAGGACATGATGGCACTGACGGGCAAGCCCGGCGGGCCGACCGTCTGGGGGTTCACGGGGTGGTGGTTCTTCCTAGTGCTCATGTGCGCCACGCAAGACATTGCAGTCGATGGCTGGGCCCTCACCCTCCTGTCGCCGGCCAACATCTCGTACGCGTCGACGGCACAAACCGTCGGGCTCACGGCCGGCAACTTCCTCTCCTACACCGTCTTCCTGGCCTTCAACTCCAAGGACTTTGCCAACCGCTGGTTCCGCGCCGAGCCACTCGACCACGGCCTGATGACCCTCAGCGGCTACCTCACCTTCTGGGGGTGGGCCTACATCGCCGTGACCGTCGGCCTGGCGCTGGCCAAGCGCGAGGAGAAAACCAAAAACGAAGACGGTATCTGGGACGTCTACAAGATCATGTGGGGCGTGCTGAAGCTGAAAAACATCCAAACCATCATCCTGGTCCACCTGATCGCCAAGATCGGCTTTCAGGCCAACGACGCTGTAACGAGCCTCAAACTCCTCGACAAAGGCTTCGGCACCGAGAACATGGCGCTCACCGTACTGATCGACTTCCCCTTTGAGATCGGCCTGGGCTACTACGCAGGGAAATGGTCTCAACAATTCACCCCAATGCGGCTCTGGTGCTGGGGTTTTGCCGGGCGTCTCGCCGCCGCAATAATAGCCCAACTCACCGTCTCCGCCTTCCCCTCCTCAGACGGGGTCACCCCTCTGTACTTACTCGCCGTCATCGGTCAGCACGTGCTCTCGACCTTCACCAACACGGTCATGTTCGTCGCCGTGGCCGCCTTCCACGCGCGCATCGCCGACCCGGCCATCGGCGGCACCTACATGACGCTGCTGGCCACCGTGTGCAACCTGGGCGGCACCTTCCCGCGCTTCTTTGTGCTCCGCCTCGTCGACGCCTTCACCAGCGCCACCTGCCAACCGCCAGAAAAAGCCGAGTGGGCCCCCTACAGCTGCGCCGTGCAGGCCGACAAGGAGCGCTGCCTCGCGGCCGGCGGCGCCTGCGTCATGCACCGCGACGGCTACTACATGGTCAACCTCATCTGCGTGGTCATTGGCGTTGTCACCTTCGTCACCTTCATCCGCCCCAGGGTGTTGCAGCTGCAGGCCTTGCCCCTCCGGGCCTGGCGCCTGTCGTCTTCTCCATCAAAATACTAGGAATCATGTGGTGTAGAAGAATCTATCGAAACATCTCGAGCCCTCTCTTTTGGGCCTTGGCATTAAGAGGACAGATATTTCGGGATGGGCTGGTGACGTTGTTGAGTACTTCGTGTATATATAGTTAGAGGAATGAAATGCATATTCGTCCCCTAGCTTGAATGGCGATTATGGACTTTCTTGTGTTCTGTCTGAATCCATGGAAACAACAAATCGTGGACGATGGTCCCTCCGGTCCATCCAGGCATCACAATTTCCCTTCCCAGCCAAGTCAGGCAACGCTCGAAGCTGTGAAGTTAGGCAAATCAAGCAATGTCACAGAAGGAGCCATAAGGCATTTCGTCCTCGTGGACTCGGCGCTGATTATTGCGGCTCTAAGCAAGGGTACTATCTAATCAGAAGTGCTTCAATACATCTGCAGAACCTAGACTTCCAAATGAACCTTAGAATCGTCTCCAGCTTAAAGCATTCTGTGATAACCTCGCATCTCTTCGCGGCCGCAATATCGCAATGGAATCTGGCATAGTGTCCCAGCAGTTGGAATTACCAGGCAGTGTTGGGCTGCTCCTCGGGCTCGGATGCCACAGCACCCCAGCCATCGCCGCCAGTGCCCTCCTGCTCAGCATCCGGGTTGCCAGGTACTTCAGTTTCATCAAAATCGGACTCGGTCTCGAACTTGATATTTCCCTCCGCTGCACCGGCCGGCTCATACTGCTTCAGAAAGTCGGGGACCTCCTGGTTCGTCTCCAGCAGCGTGCGAGTGAGAACCGAAGCAATCGCCTCATCACGGTCCGAGTAGAACGACGACGCGAGACCGCGATGGCCAATGCGTCCGGTGCGACCTGCAATTGTCAGAGCCTGTACCGAACAAGATTCGAAGCAGAGATGAACTAACCGATGCGATGAGTGTACTCCTCAATACCTCCATGCGACATGGAGGGGAGGTCGTAGTTGATGACGTGCATCACATTGCGGACGTCGATGCCGCGAGCCGAGACTCCAGTAGCAATCAAGATGGGGGATGTTCCAGCACGGAAGGCGCGCATGGCAGCCTCACGCTCCTTCTGGGTGCGGTCCGAGTGGATTGCGGTGCACGGCAATCCAAGATTGAACAAGAAATCATCCAGCTCGTCCGCAGTTCGCTTGTTGTTGACGAATACGATGGTACGCGTGGGCGGAAGCGAATGGATGAGGTCCCTCAATGCATCCTTCTTCCTGGATGGATCGACATAGATGATGGTCTGTTTGATGTTTCCGTGCGTGCTGCCAGCACGACCAACACGCAGTCGGACGTGGGTCTCGGCCAGATGGGTCTTGGCCAATTCGCGAGCGGCCTTGGGGAAGGTAGCAGAGAAGAGCATGTAGCTGATGTGACCGTCCTCCTGCTCTGCCGCAAGGTTAGATCAAACTTCACAAAAACCTGGGACGCTACACTTACCACCACCAGACAGAATCTTGTTGAACTCGTCCTTCCAATCATCCTGGAGCATCTCATCGGCCTCGTCAATGACCATATAACGCAGGCGACGGAGCGTCAAGGTGTTAGGAGAATCCATGAAGTCAACCAGGCGGCCAGGAGTGGCGATCAAGACATCACAGCCCTTTTGGAGCTGCGCTGCCTGGTCCTTCCGAGTTCCGCCGCCATACACCACGCAGGGGCGAAGCATGGTACGGTAACAGAACTTCCGAGCTTCGTTGAAGATCTGGACGGCCAGCTCGCGGGTCGGGCAAACAATGACCACAAGGGGCTCAGCGCGGATTGGGGGGTCAATGCCCGGACGGAATTTGGCCGGGTCCGGGCGGGGTGCTGCCAGCTTCTTGGCCTTTCCCATGAGCTTGTTGAGGATCGGGATCAGATAAGCGGCAGTCTTTCCCGAACCTGGTGGAGTGTAAGATAATGAAACTAGGCCACCGAGCGAAGATCTACTCACCGGTCTGGGCAATGGCAATCACATCGTAGCCTTGGTGGATGGCCGGGAGACAGTAGCGCTGAATGGGAGTGGGCGTCGAATACCCAGCCATCTGAACGTTCTTCAACATCGCCGGGTGAAGGCCAGCATCCTCGAATTTGGCAATGGGCTGGACACGGACAGGGCCTTCCTGGAAGAGCTCGATGGAGGCGATCCTGGCTCTCATGTTAGCAAGAAGTATCGATATCCAAAGGGGAAAATAACTCACTTGCTGAAGTCAATGCCGTGGCCTCCACGATTGCCCGGCTCACCAAAGAGCGTCTTCTCCAAATCGGGATATTCAGGACCAATTTCGCCCTCCTCACCATCCCATTCATAGACAGCCGCATTGCTGTCCCATTCATGCTGGGCCTTGGCACCAAGGGCATCGTAATCATAGGGGGTCGGCTGGACCCAGCCTTTGGCATCCAGAGCTTCGCGGAGACCGGCAGTGTCAAACGTTCCGGCGGCCTCGCCCTCGTGGAGATTGGCAGGGCCATCAGCCGGGCCCTGGCCCGAATTCTTGTCAGACATCTTGGCTGTTGGAATTGCCAGAAGGATTGGTTCTATTTTGCAAAGCAAAGGTCAGTTGTCTGCCGCCTGCATCTCAGTAGAAGACGGTGTCTGGAGCTCCAAGGACGAGGTATTGGTAGGATGGATGTAACCAGAAGAAGGTCCTGGTATGGCAGGCAGAGAATGAGGGACAAAGAATGCTTAAGGTAGGAGAGTGATTCAATCAGAAAACAGGGAATTTCAGGCATCAGTGGGCTCTGTCGTGGTTTCCGTCTTTTGCACGCCTGAAGTGGCGCGGAAGGAGCAGCCCATGGAAATACCTCGCTTCAGCAAACAGACAGTTGGATTGGGGGAAGGCCAACTGGTTTCGGAGGGCGTTGGGAATGGAGATCACCTGAACTGAGTGATGTGTTGTAGTCGAGGAAAGGGAAGATTGTGTCGTCAAGGGAGATGGATGACTGCCTTGGTATGAAGGGGCGAAATTTCGCTTCTCAGAGGAAGCTTGCAGCAAAAAAGTGCCAGTTTATGTCGCTTGACCGGTTGAAAACATAACAAAGCAGGGTGGGAGGGAGACAGAAATAGATGAGGTACTCACCAGATAAAGGAAGCTTGACAGTGAATGCTGTGATGTTTGCGGTCTGCAATCTTGCAACTTAAGCCTGGTCAGAATGGAGGGCAGACTGTAGGTTGAACTGGGAATAAGAGGAGAGGAGGAGAAAGGCAGAGGGAGGGAGACTTTATACCTGAAAAGAAAGCGATGAACCTTCCGGATCAGCCTGGAAAAATGGTCGCCTCTGCCGATTCCTAAAAAAGGCGCGAATAAGGAATCACGAGAAAGAGATTCAAGAACGGGAAAGAACTCCCGGTACTCGTGACTGATTCGTAGTGCTTGTCGTCGATATCGACGCCGGGACGAGGGGTTCCAAGGTGGGGGGGAAAGCTTGTCGACGTGAACAAGAGTCTAAGTCGTAATGTACATCCGAGACGACGAGACTCCAAACGCCGTTCCCTTGCGAGCGCCAACGCCTCCTTAGAGTGATCTATATGGCAAGCCCTAAGCGGCTTGCTCCGAGACTTCACGCTCAAGCCCAGCGGTCAACGCTCGGTCTAGCGTGGCAGCAGCTCTGCCAACCATTCCGCCTTCTTTCCTGGCTTCCTCCATGCCGGCGGAGATAGCGGCCCTCCATTTTGCGTCAAAGGCACGCTGTCTCGAAATGCGGTCGGGATACATCTCGCTATCCTCGTCTCGGGGCATGCCAAAGAGGTTCAGATAGGCAAAGGGAGTCGGCGTCCCGGGGAGGCGGTAGATGTTATCCCAGTACGCCCCTGGGCTATAAGGAGCCGGCGCCTCTGGCCGGAAGCCGGTCTGGAGGAACTTGGCAAGGACTTGAATCTGCCTTGCCTGTGCTTCAGGGCCCTTCTTCGTCCCCAGCGTTGTCTTGGACGCCGAGGTCCAGCCTTTACTCGTTATGGCTGACCCAACACTGGGATTCCAGCCTAGCATCGAGCTGAAGCTATTCAGGGTCTTCAGCCAACCCCCGGGACAGGATACAGTCTCGTCTCCCGCAACCTCAAGCAGCCACTCCAGGATGCTTAGAGTGTCGGTGCGGATGTCGTTTGACAGATGCGTCATACCGCCCCGGACGTACATGAGAATCTTCTCGGTGTGTGGCCTGACCTCAAGCGGCGGCAGAGCACGGAACAATTTGAGCAGCTGCGTGCGGACCGATGCAGATCCGTCTGATATCAGGGGCAGTAGCTTTGTCAAGATGCCTGATGTTCCAACAGGGTTGTTTGGCGGAGTAGCTGAAAGCTGGTTGGTAACATAAGCCAAGGCATCTCGCCTTTGGTTATCCGATTTTGCGGTAATGGCCAAGGAGAGATTCTGCTTGAACTGTTCTGTTGGATCAGACGCATCTGCTGAAAGGACTTGTTGGTTGACAACGATGGCTGCATTCTGTTGTCAGCATCTCACCGTTCGTCTTCGGGATTGACCAATGATAAGACAAACATTTGGATTTGAAGCTTGTGTCTGTGAAGTTGGCCGCCTTTGGCTTTGCTTTACCGACTTTCAACTTGGGTTTCTGAGATGGGCATTAGCGAGTGCTCTGTGGCTTCAGGGACAGGGGTTCACACCTGAAAGTCCTTCTTTTTCTCCTTCTTCTTCTTTGTGCTAGAACCCATTTTCAGCTATGGATAATCGGGCGTTCCCAATGCCTGTCACTTTGTTATTGTGGTCTTTCTGCAGGTCCTGTTAGGGGTTGTAGAGGAATGAAGGGCAGGGGAAATTTTAGCGGTGTATTGCGGCAGAATATGACGTTACAGGGGCTCCAGTTACTTGAACCCAGTGAGCCAGTCAGCCAATGAGTGAATGGACTCGTTCAATTGAGGTTCCCTTCACGCACGCCCCAAAGCAGATGCTTCGCGCCCGACACAAAGTATCAGGCCATAGTTTTCCTGGCTCTGAGAAGATATAAGACTACGAGAGTGCTAAGCTTATTCTATAGCTCCAGTGGTCACCATGTCAGACCCGGTTTTGGTAAGTCAACCAGTTGGTGTGCTCAAATTCCCATTCTGACCCTGCCTCGCCAGAGTGCTGGCCCCGACATGCTCGAGGAGACATTGGGTCGCCTTTCCAAGAAGCCAGGTGTCAGAGCAACCTTAATCCTGGACCGCGCCTCAGGAGCCATCTTGAAAACAAGCGGCCAGATCAGCTCCATTCGGAAGACCAAGGCTCCCGCGTCATCCCTCCCCGCCGTCGGGTCCTTCTCAAATGAAACCAGCAATAACAGTGCCAACCAGGACCAGGGCGCTGAGGAACTGGCATCGATGGTGTGGAATTTTGTCAACACCGCTGGTAGTCTCGTGCAAGAGCTGGATACTGAGGTGGGTGCCAGCCCGTTTAGCTTGCGCGACGTCCACGGCTGATATGGTGCAGGATGAAGTGAAGCTGTTACGGCTACGAACCAAGAAGGAAGAATTTGTCATCGTCCCGGACGCAAAATATCTGCTTATTGTCATTCACGACACCTCGGCATGAGAGTGCAGGAGAACCAGGGTATTTATTTCAAGGCTGAGGGGTGCGGAGATGCCGCGAACAGGTCGACGCGCTCATCACCGGGAGTTCTCACCTCAGCAGGGCGTCCGTCAATAGCTCCGCATCGCTTGATTTTAAGTCCAAGAGCTCCAGCAGGCCAGGTTCCTAAGAGCCTTTGGCAAACCCGCCTCCGCCTCAGATGAAGGTAACTTTCTGGCTCATGCAAGTTCCCCTCGGCTTGGGCAAAGTTGCGAGCTTTAGCCCTATAAGTGCCTGCCGGAGACAATCTCACTCAGCTACCCCACCTAAGGCCTGCTTTGTGGGTTCCCGAGGAATGCAATATCAGCAGCGGCTGAACGCGAGCGCGCATCGTCGACTGTATGTAGACGAAACACGTCGGATCTCGCTTGACATCTCATCGAGGCTTGGCAGCGGGCCGTCCGAGTTGGTGATGCAGCGGAATACCGCAAATACTCACTCGATAGGAGGATACGCTAGAATCGGCGCTACTGCAGTCCGGCCTCCAACCTTTTAACGACAGCCAACCAAAGTACGCCTTTACCCACTTTTTATCGTGGTTGTCGAATTGAAACTGGGAGCAGATCTGAGAGCCGGAGAGAGCTTGGCAGAGCAGTCGCGCAGAATCTAGATGTCGCTAGCTGTAATAGGCTTAGCGTATCCTCCTATCGAGTGAGTATTTGCGGTATCGCAGAGTAGCAATGAGTGTGCCGTCCCAACTAACACTGGAACCTACCTATCACCGATACGTACGTACTGCGCAGTGCTAGCTCTGCAACAGTCAGATGGGAAAAATCTCCGTATGTACCACACTCAAATCGAAAACGGCACCACGATATTCGCCGGGGTTTTACACCAGGCCATGGATTCGATTCGAAACAAGCCTGTTCGCGTCATCATTTCTTGCATCACCACTGGTCCTGGACAGTTCCGTCTCGACTTTTGGTGCGACAGTTTCCACCCCACATTCCCTCGCGCCGCCGTGTAATCTTGCAGGATATGTTGGGTCTCAAGGATGGTGGGTGTCGTTCTGGGCTCCCATAATAACCAGCCTGTCTTAAGGCTTGCGAATGAATAAAACGCATGCTATCGGCCATTGGCTTTCCACTCCTTGACTGTATGGTATAATTGGAGGAATGGGACAAACGTATGGTATAGAACATCCCAGTCAGCGGATTGATATCTCCTGCCCGGGCTCTCTGATGGCCTTTCTATCCTGCCGCCCTTTCCTCTCCATCGTTTCCCACGACAGGATTGCGAACTCAAGCTCTCATACTGTACGCATATGCAATCCGACATTCCGCTGGAGGCGCACTACCGGAGGCGGTTTTGAACACGCAGCTTCTAGAAACCTGCAGGCTGCCGCTTGCCCTTGCACCGTATTCGCAGAAGCCAGCAGGACGCCTTTGCTGAACAGCTTGCGAGCTTTATGAGACCGCGTCGACCATAGGAATCAGCGGTGCACGTCCAGTATGCCCTCGTTTTCGATGCTGAGGAGGTCTCCCCATGGCCGCCGCAGAGGCGAGCAAAAGCACGACAACAACGAGGGCGCGAGCAAACCGAATGACGCACTCCGCGGCGAGGACAGCCAACACAATGCAGGCCCTCCTGTCAACGGACCCGGAGACGCGAGTGACGGTGAAATTAAGGGACGACGAGGCCTCAACCGAGAACTGTTGCAGAATATACGGAACCGCATTGTGGGAAAGCCACCATCGACCCCTCAGCGGGGAAGCACGCAACCCCAGCAGACAGTGACGGTAAGAGCCACTCCTCCGCCTCAGCTGTACATACATACCTTCCCATCTATGCACAACCCAGACATTCGGGCGCCGCCCTGCCTTAAGAGTTGTACCTACCTCCACTTCCCACGCACGACCAATTTACCTTCCCCAGTTAGATCTACCCCTCATGCCGCCCTTCTGCAGCGGGAATTCCCCTACCTGCTTTACCACAGTACCTTAGGTTGCAACCGCAGTCGCACCTGCGCATAGGAGGATGTAACGGCTCCAGTCAAATTCCCTTATTGCAGGCTTCGGTCTGGGGAAGTGCAGGTTAAGGTGCCGGTTGTTCACTAGGGGGCGCCTCAATTACGTCTGGGGATCCCGTGTCGTCACCTTGCGAGCAAGACCGCGTGACCTCCCCCATTTGTTCCTGCGCCAATCGTACGAGGGATTGCTGGGGGTTAAGGATTGATCTTGCAGACCATCTCCTGGCTTTCCCACGAAGCCATTGTGTCTCAACATCAAGCTACTATGAATTGAATGTGGGTTGCTGACCCTTACCGACACGCATCAGGTTGCTTCTGGGTCATCGACGCCGCTCTCACCGCGAGTTCCTCCCGTCAATTCCAACAAGCCGCTGCCGTCCCCGCCGCCGCCGGGTAGCGAGCAGACCCGGGACCCTCCGAAACCCGTTCTCAAACTGGCCCGCATCATGGCCACATTGACCGATTCCGAGATAGAGAAGCTGTTTTCGGGAGCTCCGCAGTACTTTGCCCGCTCCGAGGGGCATTACACCGGTGCCCCACACCCTTCGGTAGCTTTCCCGTGGGACGAGGAACTTGAGATACGGGACCTCACGGACCACACGCAGATCGAGGACAAGGCCTGTAAGTAAAGCATGGCCCTTTCTCTCTTTATGTTGCTGTCTAGCGAGTCAATGAGGTGTATTCCCGATACTGGTGTCCTGGTTCCCTGTACTTTCCGGACAGCCTTCACAGAATTTATATGACTGATATTGCTGGTAGGGAGCTGTGTCACAGCATGGCCTCACATCACACGCGACGTCCACAGTGACCGGTCTGCTGCGCAAAGGGCTACCGAGGAGAAGCGCCGGGCTCACTTTTACCCACGATGTCGTGAACGGCCAAACATGTTGAGCATGTTCGGGCTCGAAAAGGGGAGCGTGGGCTATCAGGCTGCTCTCGAGCTGGCAGTGGCTGATGCCCTGCAAGAAGAGCAGTGGGGCTTTGAGAATATTGGTGCGAGACAGCCTGCCATTGTCGAGCAACGCCAGAAAATGCTCACATCAAAGGACGGCCTCCGACATGTGGAGGAGACGGTAATCATGGAACAGCTGATCAAGAACAGCAAGCGGTACAGTGAGAAGCACCTGAAGGAGCGGCGGGTCTCGAGCGAGCTATACAATGAGTTGTTCCTCCAGGTCCTGCATCCGCCCACAAAGGTTCTCGATCACAAAGACCCGTACAGCCTATCGGTCCAGATATTGGCTCTAGTCAAAGTCCTGGCGGCGCCAAACATGTGGATCGACTTCTCCCATGTTGAATGGCGGATCCGGCTGGGCCAGCTGCTTTGGGGAAGCCCGGTGGAAGACGAGATAGAGGATGGATCCTCTATAAAAACCGGGGACTCGGCAAGCGACATCAACGAGGAGAGATACTGGCTGCTTCTGCAAATCTTGCTGGCCTGCGAGCTAGTCATCCGGCTGGACGCAATCACGGAGGGTGAGGAGCTTGGGTTAGAGAGCATCAGGCCAGCGGAAATCCACAAATTCGAGAGAGAGGCAAACAAATCGGTCAAATGGTCGCTGATCATGGCCCGCGTGTGGCTGGAGAACATCGAAGTGGTCAAGACCGAAGCGACCGAGCGAACAAGCACCGAAGAGAAGCCTTCTGGCTGGCTAGCCACATTAACAAAGCGAATGTCTTTGACTCGTGACTCCGGTTCGCATAACCATCACAGCCGTGGCCCGCTATATGTTATCAAGGGAAAACACGTGCAACGTCAGATTAACGGCTTGGCTCATTTTGCCAGGCGGCTACGCTGGCCTGATACCGACTTCCGCGTATCGAAAATATCTGATAACTGTCGTGCCGTGGTAGAAGGAACTCCCATCAGCACACCGCTCGTCACTCCTAGCACTCACTCTTCCAGCCGTCATTCGTCATATTTCGGCACTCCAAGGGGAGAGTCTAAGCCTGAACGCAACCCGTTACGGCGAAGGAAGGTCTCAGCAGCGCTTCATACATCTGGCTGGCTGTCTAAGAGTTACGTCTCTGGGCTGATGCTCCCGGGGGAAGGGATATGCCATTTTCTAATGGCAACCTTGCTGGAGAATGACCCAGAAGCGTTGGCGAGATTGGGAACCACGGCAAACCTCTGCGGCGGTTTCGTTTACTGGGGCAAGAGCTTCTGGAGCACAGCGTGTATTGTTGGTCGCGTCCTTGCCGCTGGTAAGGGGGCCGTAGAATGCATGGGCTGGTACGTACTATTCTGGTTACCCTGCTCAGGGGCATCCCTTTCCTCTTGCTGGGTGAATGGACGAAATGAGAGAATAGGACTGACACGGCAAATTCAGGATTTCCAGTGACATTACTCCTCAGGGGCTTGGCGACGGGTGGGTGAATATTGAAGTCGAGCAGGTACCAGGTAAGGACCGGCGCAGCATTTTTTTTTTTTTTTTTTTTTTTTAAAAAAAAAATTTTGGTGTGAATACCAACCTGACATTGGTGCGCAGAGGACGCTCAGCAGGTTGATAAGAAGGCCCGACTCTGGGGCAAACTGGCGGTTGAAAGGGAGTCCCGTGTCCTTGGCGACGCAGACCCCAAGTCTGTCTTCCCAGCCGATTTCATCATTCCCTTTGAAAACGTCTACCCGGATAAAAAGCCGCCAACAATAAAGATTCAGCTCAAGGCTCTCAGTCTCTGGGCGCCCGTTGAATCCGTCCACACCACACCTACGGAGGAAGAGGGGCCCACCCCTTTCACCGACGTCAGCCGACCGCCGGAAATCCGCACCTACCCGGCAGCCGTAACTTTTGAGGTGACTGATGTTGAGGCTGGAGAGGTAAAGGAGCACACGTATTCGCTGGCGAAGGACATCAATTTTGTAACCGCCCACCCATGTGTCCCGTCACAACATGTCAGGATCTTGAAGTCCCCCACCAGCCCAACCATCCAGCATGTGGATCTTTCTGGCAACGGCGTTGCCGGTAAGACTGCCAGCGTTGTCGGTAAGCATACAACAGGCTCTCAGTTATCATCCCTTTGCTTCCAACTGACATTCCCCAGGCCATCCATTGCACAAGTATTTCACATACACGGCACTTCATCTGTCAGAACTGATCGCCAAACGAGACTTCTCACTCGAAGCGCTGCTCGGCAGCTACGCATCAGCTTCCCATCGCCCTAGTCTCACGCCAGCTTCGAATAGCGCCGCCAAAGTACTTGTAATTGATTGCATCACGGGCTTTCAACCCCAACCGCAGGAGCACGAAATCCCCCTGTCCCCGGTTATCAGCCGGACGGACAGCCAATCATCCTCCTATCTCTCGCCTGCTCCGCCTGAAAGCTCCGGTGGGGCAGAAGGAGGTGATGTGGCCGGCGCTCTCCAGAGCGCCTCCAAGAAGATGCACTCGGAGACGAGACGGCGGCAGTTCGGCTCCGACATGGAGATTCTGGTCAGGGCCATTTGCGCCGAGAAGGGCTGGAACGCCCTGATCAGCAGGAGGAGGAGAGGATGCCTGGCTTGTGCGATACGCGAGGCTGGGGCGCTCGGGTGGAAGGTCGTTATCCGAGTTGACTGAGCAAGCTCGTGCTCGATACAATTAATGAGCCTCATGATGATGATGAGGAGTCTAGGACATGACGTGTATGATTGATGCTTGGGCGCTGGAATTCGGACAGTACTTTTTCGACGGCCATCGGGGTCGGCTGAGTACACGGCGCGTTGGGTTAGCGATATGCAAGAAAATGCCATTTTGCGTTGCTGGTTGTACACCATGTATGTGCCCGTGAGTATTTATAGCCCGTATGAAACTGTCGTCCCCGCTTGCAGTGTGGTAAGTTTAATACTAGGGAAACGCGCTTCGAGGTCTGTTTAAAGATCTCCTTGGACGGACCACTCCTTCCAACCCTTCTTTTCGCCGGGCAGGCGAACCTTTTCCCATTCATCTCGTGTAACGTTATGCCTGCGGTGCTTTACTGTCAGTTCTATTCTCTTTTCCTCCAACCTTTGATCAAGAGGGCAACGGCAAAAAGGAAAGGGGATAGATGGAGAGTACGTACCACTCCTCAACAGGAATCCAGCCGATATACGCCCGGTCGCCGAACCCGCCCACCCAGTACACCTGCTCGACGACCAGACGGACAAAGTGGCTCTCGTGGATCTTGTTGCCGGGAAGCCAGTACCGCGCGTCCGGGTGCGAGCGGACATAGCACCGCGCCAGCTCGCTGGCCCCGTCTCCGCCCTGGATGGGTTCTAGGTGGCCTAGTAGTGAGAAGCGCGGGAGGTTGGCGGCTGAGTAGGGGAGGGATATGTCACGCTCGGCGTTGTCATCATCGTCATCAATTAAGTGGTTGTTGCAGAGACCGAGGTACGACAGCCAGCTGCTGCTGGTCTTGGACTTGATACGCTTCGCGGGCGGGTGAGGAGGGCGCCATTCCACCGCCAAACTGACGTTGCTGCCGGCGGCGGCGTTCTTGAAGGTCGTGCCGATGGTGATGGCCAGGATGGTCGGGTTGCCTTGGCTTTTTTGTTCGCAGTCGGATATGTACTCCATCAGCCCGTACGGCATGCCGCCCAGCCCGGCGGGGCGGTTTTCTACTGCTACTACTGTTTTCTTGGCCGAGTCGTCGTCGTCATTGTCTTTGTCTTTGTTGTCTTTGGGGAAGACGGTGGAGAGCGTGCCGATTGGGGTCAGCGCTAGGATGCGCCGGCCGAGGACGGCGGATTCGTACGACGTCGGGATGCGACGGCCTGCATTGTTCGGGTTAGTGGTCCCGGGGCTGGGCGGCACTGCAGCGGCCGAGGCGCCGGAGCTGCATGAGAGCAGTGGCAGGAGAGTGCTGGCGATGGTGCTCGGCTTCATGGCTGCGTAGGTGGTGTATGTTGCAATTGGTGCTCATAATAGAGAACAAGGAAGGGAGGGAAGGACGAGGAAGTGGCAGAAAGAGAAGAGAATCTCAGGCACGTATGTACAAGCGTGGATGGTGGTCGGTGCCACATGCTCACCGGACCCGGCCATCGGCCCATTGTGCCTGCAATGGTCGCATGATGGCGGGGTTGGCATTGGTCCTCCAATGCCGCCAAGCCGCTACGTTATCTTATCTGATCGATCTGATCATTGATGCGTCCAACCCAGAATTGGATGCTTGCTTCGCGATGTTCTGCAAAACGGTACATACATGGAAATCACCAGTGGTGGACATGGCCCGTTTGAGATTAAACACAATAGTTACATTATGTATGCTCGGCGTATTGCCTACGTATGCAACTGTTTAGCTTACAGTCGGAACGGCTGCTAGAGTCAAAGAGTGACAGATTCCAGGCCGGTATGTCACGGGTAGAAGGAGCTGGGCGATTGAAATCCGCTGACTTTTCAACAACATGAAAACAGACTTAAACCATCAACCATTATAAAGATGAGCATAGGCATCAACCTCCAGGGTGAGTCAAGTCACGTGACTCACGTGACTCGCTTACCCATCCGAATCGGTCTGAAGCCCCAAAGTGAGCCCCGCAGGACTCCCACAATTATTAGGTAACCCCGGATAATCCGCAGAAATCGTCGCCCCGGAAGACGTCGAGCTACAGACTCTTCTTCCCCCTTCCCGCCGTCGTCTAACAAATTGACAGAGAGTTTATCGCGACCAGCGCAAAACATCCAAAATGGGAAAGGTTCACGGAAGGTGAGTGATGTCTCGGCGCTGTTTCGCTGCTTTCCCTTCTATGCAAATGGAATGCTAACTCTCTCGCCAACAGTTTGGCTCGTGCCGGTATGTCCTGACCTCGCCACCGAACGCTGCAGCGACCTTCGACCGAAAATCCGACGTTTCTGAACATGTGGATGGATTCTGATGGGTGCATATAGGCAAGGTCAAGTCTCAGACCCCCAAGGTCGAGAAGCAGGAGAAGAAGAAGACTCCGTATGTGTTACCCTCGAAGAAGAACTCGAACGCTCTGAGATCAGCGACTGCGAATATCATGGGTGTCTGACAAGCGGATAGTAAGGGCCGTGCGAAGAAGAGGCTCACATACATTCGCCGGTTCGTCAACATCACATTGACCGGCGGCAAGCGCAAGGTGGGTTGATTCTGGGCATTTCCTGCGAGGCAAGACCGGTTCGGCTGACGAGACTGCATCATAGATGAACCCCAACCCCGGCTCCTAAATCAATCATGGGCGATCGACCATTTCCAGTAACAATTGATGGCACCTTCTGGTGAATCATGATCATGATGATGCGGAAGCCCTTCTGGTTCGGGGACGCTGAAGCCAGGACTTGGTAATCGGCAATTGGGTCGGGGCGGGTCGGCAAAAGGGCGAAATCCGGAATTGAACAATCACCAAGAAGTCGTCTGACTCTGGCTTGTAGCATGGGATCTCATTTCGCGCTTTCCGGAAAGGGAAACGGTTTCTAGGCATTTTTGCTCTGGTTCATCTGTACGTTCAAGGGATGCTCGATAGGGAAGACCTCGACGTTCTCTGCCAATCCGCCCCTAGCTGCGAAGGGAGATACAGTTCGGGCTACTTACCTGAGCCATAACAAGGATTTCCCTAACCCCTATCCATGAGATTGCATCTGACTATTCGTCTATAGTGTGCGGTGTATGGTGATGTTATGCGGATATGGGTCATGGGTTATTCATCAAGTCGAACAATTCTCTCAATCGTCCTGGCATCCGCCTAAGAATCCCCTTCGTCATCTGTGATGCCCAGATGCTGATAAACACTTTGGATCATAATGAGCTTAGCCAAGTGCCAGACGCCCTTCATGTCGCCATTTTGAGCCGATTCATGTGCGCCAGCCTCCTTGGCTTTCTCTCCAGCCAGGAAAGCTGGCCAGTTGTCGACTTGAAAGACCCTTAGCTCATAAAAAAGATAGAGGAGAACAAAGCCAAGGTGTTCATCCTCAAGGGACATAATGTTCTCATAGCCTCGTTTAGTTGACTGGAGAAGATGTCAGCAAGCGGAAAAAGGTGAGTTCTTCAACCGGGGTACGGCACTAACCTCCCAAGTAATATACTCCGGCAAGGCCCGCGCCCCTCCGCGGACAAACCAGAACAGCAGCTTAGCCTCGTCCCAGCCAAATGGCCCTGTGAGGAAGCGTTCCGGTATCCTCGTCAGCGGATGAATCTCTATGAACCAGTTACTCCGGCTTGTCCACTCTAAAGAGTCGAGGAACTTGCCATCGAACCGGCAGGCCATGGCGAAAGAGTTCAACCTGGCGCAGTAGTGGTTCCAGTCGGCCTCAAAACAGGCAGCGACATCTTGCATCAGGTGGCCTAGTCCTGGCTGATGGTCCGGATTTGCGACGGTACGGTACTCCACCTCCAACATGGTCGGCCAGCGCTCAATGTGCTCGAAATAGCGCTGAGTCCCATCCCGCCTGTACCATTTCTGCTGGGCCTCGAAAATCAGGTTGAGATCCACCCATGGGCAGGCAAGAACAGCGCTCTGCGGTATTGGGAGGTTAGTTTCGTTATTCACACCCTGCTGGATGGCGTTCAGGGATATAGGCACGCCTACCTGAAAGTCAGGATCTCCTCCTATGCGCTGATAATCCTCCCAATAGTCCGCGTAGGAATGCGTGCTCTCTACATAGCAGCCAAACCACAGGTCCCACGTGGGATCAAAGGCAGCTACCAGCAGCTCTGTATAGAAGGATTTGTTGGAGAGGAGAAAACCGATGCGGAGGCTGCTCCGCGGGACGTTGAGGTTCTGGGACAGGAGTACAATACGCTCTAGAATTTCAGTGGGCAGTTGCTCAATGAGGGCCGCCGGTCTCCTGGTTTTGGGTCGTCTGCTGGGACGAGGCCCGTCATGGCCGTCATGACTGGACGCGTCCTCACTCTGCCCTCGCTTTCTCATGTTGCCCTGCGGTTGCGGGGGCTTCCAAGGGGGTTTTCGGCCTCCTTTGCCCTTGACTTTGATGGGAGTCAACTTCATCTTTGGGAAGAATTTGGGTAAGAGATTTTGTATTATATTCACATATTGATAGAGTGGCAAGGACTGGCAATGAAGAAGCGACACAACGGGCTGTTGAGATTCAAGTGCTGAATATGAAAGTCGAACCGTCTGTGTGGGTGACGAGGTCAGGGTCAGAACTACCTAATGGTAAGAGCAAAAACGTCGATGGCACATTTTTTGGTGGCTTTTCACCTATAAATTTGAAAGACGGAGAGGGAAAGAGGATTGCTACAAAATATAGAGGTCAATCTAGCAGGGAATCAACTTTTCGGGACCTGATTCAGAGACTAAGCTACCTAAGTAGGTAGTCCGACAGGCAAAACAGATGAAAGTTATCCCATCTGTATCCCAAAGCAGTTGAATATCGACGTCAACAACCACCTTCGACACATAAACCCCTTGAAAGCACTGGGGCTGTTATGTTTACCCCTTTGCTTGCACTAAATGCACACCCTCTCCCCACGAAATGTCATTGCTTGGCAGCTTCAGGGGTGTGGCCGCATCCACGCCCCCGGCAATCATTCCGCAGTTTTCGATTCGACTTCTCGAAAGAGAAATCTCAAGTTGCGACGACGCAAAAATTACAGCCCCGGAGCGACCCAACCGCCGAGCGTCTGCAATGCCTCCGGCATTGAAACCCGCAGTGCCATCACAGAGGCTTCTCAGGTTCCTTCGCGCCCAATCCGAAGCCCTTTCCTTCACAGAGTGCGCCTCTGCTTGGTCTGCGCGTCATGTCTGCACCTGCAGCAGGCCGAGGTCTTCGTTGAGACCGTCGAGCACTACGGCTGCTGCACAGCGTAGACTTCCCGCGCAAACTACACTCCTCGACGTCGGCGGACTTCTCCTCCACAGAACTCCGAGGAAACAGCGCACTGCGGCGGCGACGGCAGGCATCAAGAGTCACGGCTTCTCTCCTACCGTGGGCGGCGCCCGGCGCTATGCGTCAACCGACAGCGGCGACAAGTTGACATGGCAGGAGCTGCTCTTTGGTCCGAGACCCAAGAGCCAGAGGGACCCGCTGAAGGAGGAAGACATTAGGGTGCAGCTGGAAGAGGAGTCGGGCTCCATCTTCCAGCGCAGGTCCTTGACCGCGAAAGCCGCCCTGGACCCTAGGCTCAGGTGTACCGAGGTGGACGGGAATGGCAAGGTTATCATGGTCGACGGCGAGCTCAAAAAGAGTGAGCTAATCGCCAAGGTATGCGCGCGTCGAGGGCTGTGTGCCATCCAACCGGCGTGGTAGCTAACGTCTACGCCACCATAGTATGGTCTCCTTCCGCGCGATCTCCGCAAGATCGACTCGTCCAATCTCCCGCACATCCTCGTCCGCCCTTCGGCTATTCTCATTAACCTGCTCCACCTAAAGGTCCTCATCAAACACGACCGCGTTCTGTTGTTTGATGTCTACGGCTCCACTTCGTCGTATCCCCAATCGGCCTTCATGTACGACCTACAGGGGAAGCTCCAGCAAAAGCAGACGTCTGGGGCAAACAGCCTGCCCTACGAGTTCCGCGCTCTCGAGGCGGTGCTCATGTCGGTGACGTCGGAGCTGGAGGCCGATTTCGAGTCGGTGCGAGACCCCGTCATCCGCATCCTCAGCGAGCTGGAAGATGATATCGACCGGGAGAAGCTGAGGATCCTGCTCGTGCTTTCCAAGCGGGTCAGCACGTTCGAGCAAAAGGCCAAGCTGGTGCGCGATGCGCTCGAGGAGCTCCTCGAGGCCGACGACGATCTCGCAGCCATGTACCTGACCGAGAAGACGCACGACCTCTTCCGAGGCGAGGATGACCACACCGAGGTGGAGCTTCTACTGGAGTCGTACAACAAGATCTGCGACGAAGTCGTCCAGGAGGCGAGCAACCTGGTGTCGAGCATACGAAATACCGAGGAAATGTTGGTGTTGAGCTGCCCATTCGTGGGGTTATTGTTGTTGTCTAGGGGCTAACTGATGGGATCTCTAGCATCCGGGCGATCCTCGACGCCAATCGCAACTCGCTTATGCTGCTCGACCTCAAGTTCAGCGTGGGCACGCTCGGGCTCGCCATGGGCACCTTCCTGGCCGGGCTCTACGGCATGAACCTCGAAAACTTCATCGAGGAAACCAACTGGGGTTTCGGCGCTGTCACCGCTATCTCGACCTTCTTCTCCCTGCTGGTCTGCTGGTACGGGCTGGTGAAGTTGCGCAAGGTGCAGCGGGTCAAGATGTACGGAAGCTCGATGAAGAGGGGGAATGAAGGCCACTGGTTCCGCGAAGATGGCACAGACGTCCTGCTCGATCCCAGCAACCGCGAGCGGCTGAGGAGGATCAACATGCTGAAAAACACAAAGCAGACACGGAAAAAGTGGCCCTTTTGATGCCTTTGGGGCACGCCTTCCACGCCACTTTGGAGTTTGTTTTTTTTTGGGGGACCGCCTACTCAAGAGCCTTCGGGTTACGGGATTAGACTGAGCGTTTGTGGCGAAGGTTGTTGTCTGTATAGGCCATGAGCAACCAACGCTGTGCTTGGTGTTGCAACAACGGTGCGTGCTGTTCCTGTATGATACATATAGATGATTAGCATTACTCTTCTCATCTTGGCTTACAGCACACCAAGCTTCTGTATTATTTCAAGACAAATATGAGACAAATATGCGACAAGGAAGCAGACATCATTATTTAATCGAATCAGCAGCTTTCAGTTGGATATTCCTGTACTCTTCCACCGCACACCGCTTGAGGACGCGAATATTGCCCTACCCGATACCAACCATGCGCGGGCTTCACTGCTCACTTCCCCATGAGAAGGGGAAAGATGTGCAGCAGATATCGGAATAATGCATCCCCTGGCAATCTCCAGCGCGTCCAAGCCGGCACACTCTGTACTCCGCCCCATCGACCTGAACAAAGTACATATAGCCAACGGAAGCAGCTTTCGGGACGCTCGGTGATCTGAGCCGGCATCTCCACTCCAGAACCAACCACTCATGGCACCAAGACGAACCGAAACGGTGGATGAACAACAGTTACCTCAAACCGGAACGGCCAGCAACATCTTGCACGACTACCTGGGAGACAAAAGGGCAGATCCTGGAGGTACCTTGGTGAGCCAAGCGTGAGCCTCTCACTCGCCCCTTCCACTACCTAGGCTGGTTACCTAAATGGTTGCCACTTTCCTCAAGGCAGAGACGACGCGTCAACGTTAACGGACCAGCTGCCGCTACGGTTATCCGTCTCCATTCTTACACGCTCCGTCTGGTCCTTTTGTTCGTGGCGCTTAATTTCAGGGTAGGCAGTTAAGGTTCTTAGTACGTAGGTACTCCAGTCCCACCCGGCCGGCCCTATCCGACTCATCCGGAGGAGAAACGACTCATTCCCGCCCAACACAAGTGCAGCACAGCACAAGCACAAGGACGCGCAAGATTGAGGCACAACGGGACTTTGATGACATTAGATGGATCGTGAGAGGTTCACACAGGGTTCCAGGGTAAGGTGTGTTATTAGCTGGCGCAGCGAGTGACTACACAAGTGAGCTTTCTCCACCATGCACATAGGGACGGCGCATCAACCATGATGGTGATGGGCATGGGGATGTTGTAGGCATGCCATGACGCTACCGACGGCAACGGCCAAAAACGAAGCAATTATACACTATTCGTACCAAGGTATGTTTTTCCTTTAGATAACTTACCTAGCACAAAACCACCCGATCCTAACCCAACCTACCTTCTTCATACACTAAGGATATTCTAGCGTAGGCATGGACTGGAGCGGCTCAGGCTACCAAGCTGAACCAACCAACCAGACATGAGCAGCACAATGAAAGAAAAATCAAAAGAAGAAAAAAAAAGCACGCCAACATAACGTTATGGTGTTGAGGTGAGGCGAGGAGGGGCCGGATGACTCACACGGGGGGCCTCGGGGGAAGGGGGCAAGTTTCCAAAATCTCCAACTTGCCCCCTCTCGTTTGCGTCGCTTCGGCAACACAAAGGGTAGAGTGAAAACTTACCGAGCTAGCAAAAATAACCGCCCCCCCCTTTTCCGTATTTCCCGTTGGCTGCTCGTTTCCTTGTTGATCTCGGGCTTCGGCAGCCAGTGAGAAGTCAACGTGAGATTGCCACTCCCGCGAAGGAGGTGCTTGGAGAGAAAGGTTACAGAGCAACAAAGTAAATCGACAGCTTGGCGTTGACCTGGTTAGTAGTAGAAGGCGGACGGAAAAGAAAGGGCAAAAGAAAACAAATACTGCTTGCCTAAGGCGGGGAGAGAGCCTATGATAATCGGCAAGCTTCCACTCAGAATGTTAGCACCGTTCGGTTCACTTTATTCGTAGTATAAAAGTCCGGAGGAGTCACAACACACGCCCGTCGCCCCTGACTTGCTTAACTCGAGTCACTCGACGGACCACGGCCGGTTTCGGGGGCTCACCCGTCCACTGGGAATCAGACTCGTGGCGCGGCAGAAGAAATTTCTTTTCCTCAGGGAGCGAGTAGTTAAACGACGACAACGGCGAGACGACGACAACGACTGGTTGCCTGTTTGGCAGTTCGTTCAGCTAGCTAGCACTCGGAGAGACATCTCTCGTTGTCCCACTTGCATAGGGACCCACGGTAGTTGCTTGCTTGCTCACTCGCTCGCTCGCGCGCTTGCTTGCTTGTTTGCTCTGATTTCTGTGTCAATAGCTTTGCTCGATGTTGCTATGTCCTAGTAGCACGATATCTTGAGCTACTGCTATTGCGCTAGTCGGAAAAGGATCTCACCAAGAGAGAATCCGGTTCCATTGTGGTCGAGTTTCCTTCTTCGAGGGCCCGAAGGTCTCGGGATCTGAGAGAGAAAAAAAACCCATAGGTATTTCCTGTAACTCCATGTTGATGCAATAAGTTCCAGGCAAGGAAAGCAGGGTAAGAGATGTAGAAGGGGGAAAAAGTGGCATCTGCAAAACCCGTGCCTTCAGGCCGCGGACCAATTCAGTACCGCGGTGCCTGGCCCCATCCCATTATGCTCCTAGTAGTTCGAATCCTCTCCCCTTTCGGCATCCCGTTCCTGAGACGCCGTGATTCGACCCCGTGATGACCGAGAATAAAAGGAAAAGAGTCAACAAACAACTTCTTACATCGTACACACATCGACCGCCTTCGCCAAAATTGACCAGGATTCCGCCTCCGCCCCAATGCCGTTTCCCCAGGATCCAGGAAATGCATGCAAAACAAACGAAGCGCGCTTTTCGCCCGTCTTCCCTTGGCCTTAATGTCTCCAAGGTTGTCTTGTTGAACTAGGAAACGCCACCGAGATCGCCCTTCACCATCCACTCTCGAAAGGGACGATACAAGAAACAGTAGTATCACAAGTGTAGGTATGTATGTATGTGCGGTAGGTTTTGCATGTGCAGGCGGCACCTGCATAGGATGAGCATAGGAAATATTAGGTATTCGACAGAAATGACGAGTTTTTGCGTGACAAGAATCAGTTCAAGATCCCCGCCCACATCCCCGGGCCACCCGGACCACCCACAGCGGGATGGAGCGAAGGGAACGTGAATTGACGGGCTGCCTCGTCCGCACAGCAAAGCCTCTTGTTCTGATACACCTCGCCTTGGGCACGAACCATCGACTCGGACCACGGGCTGCCACCAGCGCCATGACCCGTGAGCATCTCACGAACGTCGTCCTGCACTGTTGACAGAGACCGTGTCCGCTTGGACCCAGCCCTGACCGGCACCGCGGGCCGGCAAGCGCCGGAACGCTGCAGTTCCTGGAGAGCTCTTGCAGCATCATCGACTTCGCGCTGCCTGCGCGCCAGAGGCAGATCCAACGAGCCATCGTAGAGTTCCTTCCCCGTTGAAATCATGTGGAACTCGGGCGACGCGGTCAGGCAACTCTCTTCCTGGTCTTCGGGAACCGAGGCAATGGTGGGTCTCAGGCTCAGCCTCTCACTGCACAGCTTCGCATACCGGCATCGCGCCTGTACATCCAGTTTGGATGACGGCGCGCAAACCGAGGAAGCAGAAGAGATGGAGGATGAGCGTGAGAGCCGGGACAAATCCGAAACCATGGACTCGGGCGAGGACGCGGTTGAGACAGAATTGGCGAGAGACGAGCGACGAGTCAAATAACTCACGGGGGACGATGTTACCGAAGGCGGCCAGCGATCCACGGACTGGGCGGCTACCGAGCCTGAAACTTGGGCCATGGCGAAGCCCATCGAAGAGCATCTGCCGAGGAGATGGGAAGCAGCACCCACTGCAGGAGTGCTGAATCCACTGGTTTGTGGGGTCAACCGGGGTGTGGGCAGGAGCCCCAGCGCCGGAGCTAAGCGCCCGGTTGCAAATGCAGTCGATGGAGCTGGCTCCATAACCGCAGGAGCGGCCCGGGACTTGGGCGACAGATTGACCATCTTGTCGGACCCGAACGAGCCGGTTCGCTCGGTGGGGGGCGTAAACAGCGATCTTGGAGGAAGCTCGTGGGTCGGCGTCGAAGCCGCGGACCAAGGGGCGATTTCCTCCAAATTGTCCAGGTCTGGGCTCAAGCTGAGGACAACACGGCGGAAGTCGTCGCACTGCCGCTCGTAGAGTTGCTGTGCGGCTCCCCCAGGAGAAGGCGGTTGGGTCGGAGTGAGCTTCACCACGCAGTCCGCCCACCGCTTATAGACCTCCTCGGTGACGTGGAGCTTCCAGTTTACGGCTAGGAGGAAAGTTACTTCGTTCTGATTAATCTCAAGGGTATTAAGCCCGGAGATCTTGCTCCAAGCGCGGGCCGAGTAGTTGCGATCCTGAAGGTACTTGGATGCCAAGATCAGAGCAGCGAGAAACATACGGCGCCCGCATTGAATTGCCTGGCATGCGCGACGATCGTCGGGCTGCTCCATGGTGAAATCGTGGGTCGGCACATGAGGCTTAATCAGGATCAAGTAGTAGAGAGCCACCTGCAATGTGGAATAGCTGGTCCGGGAGCGGCGTAGCGTCTCCTGGATGAAGGTGCGCAGAGGCAGCACGGCACTGTTACCGCTCTCATTGCGAGGGACAACCGACGACGTCGGCCAGATAGCCTCGACGATGTGTGTCGATGTATCTAGAAAATAAACCGCCATTGAGTGCATGTCCATCACAGTGGATGAGAGTTCTTCTTACCGACGAGGTTATCGACAAAGTTGATCTTGCGATCGGCCTGCCGCTGCAGCGTAGGCGGACGTCCGGTGCGCGAGATGGCAGAGCTGGATGTGCGCCGCGGATTCTGCCGCAACTCGGCGGGGAGCTCGGCCGGCGCCTGCAGCTGGACGTGGTCCCTGGGCCAAGGTTCGTGGAGCTTGATCGCGCGTTCGCAAGAGCTCCCAAGCGAGCTCACCGAGGCTTGGGACAGGGTCGAGGCCTGGGAAAAGCAGTACGAGTCGCAGGAATCGGTGTCGGAGGAGCCAGCAGTTGAAACATTGTCGTCGGACTGCTGCGACGAAGAGATGTCGGACCAGACCGAAGTGGAGGAAGTGGATGCGGCAATTGCGAGTGTTAGGTTGTAAGGTGCATTGTGAAGAGGGTTGCGGAGGAGGGTGGGAGGTTCGAAGACTGAGTTGCACATCATCTTGGCTTAAGGAAGGTAGGTGTGCTTCCAATGGCCTCCAGCCGTCGTCAGGCAGTGTTTACCGGTTTAACCAGGGGATGACCAGATCGTGAACCTTTTCGATACGAGGGATCTGCTGCAAGCCACATGGACCTGTCGCGGAACCGTGAATGTCGAAGAGAGAGGGCTTCTAGAGCAGGGCGCCGGAAGCCGATGTTTCACGAAAGATCAAACCGGTAGACAGAGCAGGGACGACGGCTGGAATAGAGACAATGCTCGCCAGAGGCATTGTGTGTGTCTTTCGCCGAGATGAGCGGAAGAACGGTGTGGATTGAGGTTATATGGTAGCTAGCGCTGGACCATACGGGTGGCGTTGGCGGCGATCAGGCAAAGGCAGTGCGAAGCTTAGCAGGAGAGGGAGAGGCTCGAGGTGCGATTGGAGGCGCGTGCAGGCAACGCAGGCGATGCAGGTACCGGCAGTTTGACTAGCGGTTGCGGTGCTGCACCAAGATCAACCGACTACCTTTTTAATGTAAGTATCGGCGCTGGCGACAGCCTGAGGGCAGCAGCGGCAATGTGACTCGTAGAGTGAGGGCGCGTGTCACTTTGGGCGACTGAGATAAGTCTTGCCGGCTTCGGGTGGCCCCTGGGTCTCGATGACTCTTCCAGCAGTGAGTGGGTGCTTTTGAGGGTGGCGAGGGTCTAGCCGAAACTTGCCGCCACGGAAACAGGTGGCCCCAACTGGCGGGCTTGTGGTGTGACTAGCTCCGTTGGTGGAAGCCTGAAAACGGGTCTTTTTTCTAGGAGAATTGTGGCAACTGGTATGGTCACCAGGGAGTGGTGAGTACAGCTGGTTGCAAAGGGAACGATTGAGCTGTTTGCGATGCACGTATTTTCCTCGCCTTTCTTTGAGGGGGAGGCGGATTCCTTGTTGTTGGTCGGCTGGTCTATCGAGAAGCGCGGGCGGTCGAAGATGACGGTTGTCGGCGAGCGCGGCCGAGCGCTGGCTGCCCGAATCGGGAGGATATCGTTTTGTACGGAGCCTGGAAGGCAGTGTATGTCTGTTGGTCCTGTTTTCCTTTGTTCGCAGGGAGCAAGTGAATGCCGCGCGAAAAAGGGAAACGTCTAGACAAACAGACTGGCAATCATTGGATTAGGACACGGCACCAAGTAAATCTCGGCTGGGGAAGGCGAAAAAAAAAGAGAACAAGACTTTTATGGGAAGAAATAACAGTACGATGATTCAAATTCGGAGTGGAGAGAAGATACACAGATCTCACAAGCAGACTACGAGAGAGTCGCTTCTTCCTAGATCTTGAGGTTGGACATCGTTGCTGCTGTTAACGATGGGAGAGAAGAGAGGAGCATCTCGGCAGCGGCTGGGCGCAGGGTACCCGTAGTTTTGAAGGGGGTGCCTGCTAGACCAGGAGCACAGGCGAATCGCCAAACTTCCACTCTGCGCTGGAAAAGGAGCCCACAGCCAAGTCTGCACGACCTGACCTCCCCTTCAAATTCCCAACCTGAGCCAACCTCCACTCCTGCAGTCCCTCCACCACCTCCACAGCACCAGGCCCTGGCTGTTCACACTCAGCAGGATAGGCAACTTGTGAGGGATAGTCGAGCCCATCCTCGCCGCAGAACACATCCTAGGTCAGCAGCGGCGGCGCGATTACAGGGCTGGTAAGTTAGCTGGAGAGTCGGGAGATTGTTCCTCATTATAATGTTATCCATCACCATCTCCAGCTTGTGTAATGCGTCCCTACTATGAGTTCGAGGAGTGTCGATGGCCTCATCCAAAGAGATGTGTGTTGGCTGGCTTGTAGGCACACCATTTGGGGTCCCCTCCCTACCCAAATCCTTCCTTTCCTTCTCCTCTCTGCTATCAATTTGCCGGTCGGCACCATCTCACAGCGAGTCACCCTCGCCAGTTTCAACTCGGCCGTGGGATGGAAGAAGTGGTAAAATCACCGTTGCCCTGATTGGCCCCAGCTGCTGCACAGTGGCGGGGGACGGAATGTGGGTGAGAGTGTGTGGCCAGCTCAGCAGCTTTCCTGCACACAAAGCCAATTCGACCCCTGTCTGGCACGTCTTGGTCGCTGAAATTGGTCTAGCCTGATAGCAATGGCGCAGATGCATCATCAATTCATACACCCTTGCACTGTTGATCCACTCACAGAGTGAGCATTTCTCTCACTCACACCTCTTCTTCGCCTTCATGTCCGTTTCCATTTTCCAGGTCTAACATGGAATTACCGGTACTTTGGCTTTGGCAGGCACCGTTTTACAAGAATCATTTTTCCTTGCGCTATGCCCATCCATAACATGGAGCCCTCCTCATCTATGATGGCTTCAATCACCAAGTCTTATTGGGTTGATTCATATGAGGCCTCATAAGATTGATGAAGTTGACTCACTCACACTGCGATAATTAGGCTGGGCGTTCAGGTCTGGAAAAGTGGGGATGTTAGCTCGACTCGCCACAGCCAGAATTGCTTGTTGCACTGTGCGCCATTGAAGAGAGAGAGATTACGGATACTAGTAAGTGAAATCTCATCCAGCGGCCAGGTAACTCACCGACTTAGCCTGCCGCCCGATGCCCATACTTCATTCCTGAACTTACAATTCTGATGAAAACATCTACGCTTGAACTTACTCTAACGTTAGGCTGTGTAAGATTTGCGTTGAAGGCTTCGTCATGATGAGACATGAGGCAGTGTGTTATAGGTGGTCAATGCGCCCTCTTACACTTACACTGGCGACTCAGACTGGGCTGTACCGGGCCAAAAGTCCAAGCCTCCCATCCCCAGTGCATTGAAATGATAAACTTATCACACAACATCAGCAGCCTCCTCGTGGATTCCGATGTACAAACCTTCATCAGAACTCGTTACTGATGTCTGGCTACGAAGGCCGTCTTTGCATCGCTAACGGAAATCCCGCCAGCCGTTTCATCAGAGTTGTACGGCACCTCGACGGGCGCCGGTGAGTCCGGGTGTTGCGAGGCACTCATATCTTGCGGCCTGTACAAGGAAATGGAAATTCTTTCCATATATTCAAGTGCCACGGACATTTTTCGTATCATGATACATATTGACGTCGATCGCGTCTTGTGAAGTCAAGAGCTGCGCAACTTCCCCGCATTGCGTTTCCTGGCTGTGCTTCGCGGGGTCCTTCGCAGTGTCGTCAATGTCCGTCGCACAGCCAGTGCCAAATGCGGTTACGCCGGCGACTGGAGGTTTTCTCGAAGAACCCGGCTTCGGAATGTCCGGCTCCAACCCAGCGTTCGAGGTCCACAAACTCCACACTCAGTTGATGCGGAGGAACCGACGAAGTGAAATTGCACTTTGCATGTCATATGGCCTTGTACGGGTATGTGCAGGAACAAACATCGCAGCTTGCTACAATAATATTGCTACAATACAGAAAATCACCTCACCAACCGCATGGAGCTGGTCGAGAGGAGCATCGCAAAACCCAAGCTCATCCAATCAAAGACTTCCGGCAGCGGCTTTTCCCCGCTTCAGTCAGCGGTGTCACCGATTTAAAAGAATGTTGTTTGCAGTCGAGCGTTTCGCTGCCGGTTCAGTGACGCCCGTTTGGATGCAGAGCAACCCAACCTCGAGACCATGTAGATTTACGGGTTCTCAAAGTCAATGAAGGAGTAGGGAGCTGCCGATGCTGGCGCCGTCTCGCGAGGCGGACAGAGGGAAACGATGTCCCTTCAGCATTGTCAATCGGTATGAGTCTAGACCAATCACAACCTCGGAGGCTAGTTCAGCTCAAGGCAGGTCATAACGCGGTTGTGTTGGCGATGACTCAAACCGAGACCCGCTGATTGAGTCTTGGATCAGCCCCGCGATATCGGACGATGGGGTGTTTTCCCGAACAACGATGATGGCCGAGCAACGCGTCAGGAGACATCCTGAATCACGCGAGCGACACGATGCTAGGAGGCCACCAACATAGCTTTCAAGAGCTCGATCACGTTGTCGTTCAGACATGGGGCAACACAAGCACCTAGCTTCCCCAAACAGTTCCAAATGGCCGCCAGTTACCGCGCGGCCCAGCGGCTGCACTTCTGGGGCGCTTGAACCGCGCTTGAAGGCGGTAAAGCATCCCGTCAGCAATATCGACACGGACCTGATTACGATAATCGAATCTCATGTCTTCGCAAACGTAGCCTACACAGTAGCCTATGTCAGCCTGGAGATGGAAAGCTAGGTAATGCTGTAAGATCTTTCCGTGACTGAAAAGCCATCTTACACGACAGCCCCCTGGCCATTGTTGGTAGCAGACGCCTTACAAACAATGCGAAGCAACTCCGTAACAATTCCAAGGCCGAGACCAAGATATTTGTCATCCTCTACGGTATTCCGTGAGAGCCGGGCATACCGCTTGCCCGGGGAAGATTCAGCCTTTGTGGCTTGCCGACTGCGCTTGACGGTGCTGGGAAAGGGTTCCCATGGAGGTATTACCTACCTAGGTATGTACCTCGAGCCTACCTACCCATGGAACACCTGTATGTTAGTAAAGCCTTGAGAGGTACCGTAGGATTCCACCTCACCACATCATATGTTCACTGCACAAACCTGTGCTGGAAGCCTGCCCAGGAACGGGTGGTGATATCTTGAACACAGATGCTAACCTAGAACCAATGGTGCCGGCTTGAATCAATCCATCTTCCCCTTCCGTCGTCAGAGCCCAGCTGAGAGGGTTCCATTTCTTGTCGCAGGTGACGGAACGCCTAAACTCCGCCCCTCGAATATCCACTTCGCTTCCCCACATTCACCTTTCTTAGCAAGCGACGCACTGCAGTGGCTGCGGTAAAAGCTCAGCCTGGCATCGAGCGTCATAATCCACGATCAATCGAAATAGCGCCTAGCCAAGGAGCTAATTCAAAGAGTGCATGGTCTTTGCCATGTGTTGCGGCGACTCTGCAGAACATGGTGCTGTTGCACCGTCCGTTGTCCATCATAAAATAAACGGGGCATGGAAGGAATTGCCAGCCACTTTACGTCGTTTGAGTGCAGGCAGCAGCACCAACAGCAGGGCAGAGGAATGCTCCTCCCCTGGAACTCCTATTCTTGCGGTTTCACAGCCTGCAAATATGGACCTATCCCATGTACCAGATCGCCGTCATCGGCAGAGAATAAGGATTACAATCAGAAATGCCAAGCCTTTGCCCTTGATATTCGGCCTTACGTCTTGACTTAGCTGGGAACTCAACCACCAGCCTCTGTCTCGAGCGAGGTCTCCTCAACCTTCTGCTCACCAGACATACCGTGTAATATGGTGGTACCTCACCTTGTATCCGTATAGTAATCAGCTGATCAACGGGCCAACCATCAGCAGCATGTTCTCAACCTACTAACCACCAGCGGCCATCGTGTGCTCGGCGCGCTTACTGGTTTTTTACTCGTATCCGAGCTGGTGTCCGAAGTCAAATGCGAATTAGATACCGAAAAGGGTCATGTTTCGTCTGAGCCCGAGACGACTGAACCGACTTCACTACATGTACGGTAACGTTGAAGTATGACTTGGGACAAAGACAAAGTCTTCTTTTTCTCGTCAATGTCAAGTCACGGATGATCAGAATCGCCGGGCGCTACCTGTTCTATCGAACAGCCCCGCGATGGTAGTCTATACCAGAATTACTCATTAGGTACCGACGGATGAACTCAGGATGTGTCATCCGGACCGGAAACGCCAAGAGCCTTCTTAAGCTCGATCCCGTAAGCAGACCGAGGGGCCCGGCGTGAGATTAGGTCAGGGGGCAGGCAGTTGGCCCGCGAGCAAGATGACTGATGAGTGAGTTGACTACCTACACAACTGTCTGCGTATCTGTGATTTGTCTTCTGTTGTTCCAGTCGTTGGCAGGCCCCGGCAGAGGTGCCAGTAAGTCAAGAAGTAAGGAGGAGCTCGTCTCGATCTCCCAAAGAGGCGCGGGTGAGGCGGAAGGAACTTGACCACGACACATCCGGCAAGGTCGCCTGGTCGTGGCTGGTAGCATACCTACCACCCAGACGACCACCGCAATGGTAAGGGGCCTAGAGAGTAGAGAACGACTTAATTTTGCCGGCAAGTTCAGCTCACACAAAGGAGTCAGTCAGTCAGGTGACGAAAGACGAAAGCAGAAAGGACAAAAACCGAGCGCTAACGTTATATCGTTCCAAACCCGCGGCCCCAAGCCGTCATGATCCCGTTGGGTCGTTCGCCCTTCCCAGCCGAAGTGTGTGGCAAGACTCTAGAGTGAAAGTGTACACTAGAGTCGGTCAGCGTCACGAGAGCATTTGGGGCGAAGGCGAGGGCATGACCTGAAAATACTAAGGAAGGATGACTGACGAAGGATGATTCGACTCCAGAGGAAAGACAAGACGGGACGGCGGGTGTCACAACAAGCACTCTTCACTCACTAACTCATTCGCACGCTCACACACCTACTCACTCTCTCATCTTGTCGACATCGACATGGCTGTATATCCACCGTGTCGTAAGCCTTCTCCTGCCTGGCTCGGACTCGGCGACCCGGAACGTTCCTTGAAGAGGTGCCACTACGCTACACCTACGACCCCATCGCCGCCATCGCGAGGGATTCATTGCGGACGCGGGTGCGGATGGAATGATTCGGCTTCACGACTATGAAAAAAGCTTGCGCCTCTGCTGACACCATCGCATTCCCCCTTCCTCCCTTTGGGCATTCGTTTGTCAACCGAGATTCGCAACAGACAGACGTCTCACCTCTCACCTCGCCACACCATGGACACCATGGACGCCGAGAATACCGCGTTGCTCACGCGTCCTCCTGCTCGTCTGCCTGCTTAGTGTACAATACAATACCTCAGCCGAGGTGTCCGAACCCCTTGAGCTAGTTGGCTACCTGTGTAGACTGTAGGTGTGCACCCATCAGCAGGGACCACTCCCTTCAAGGGGATTGGTGTAAACAGAGCGGGTAACAGCGGCACGTCCATTCAGGAGGGTTAATATGACACAACTCCCACTGCTCCTAGGGTAGGTAATAGACACGAGGGACGGCAGGGCGTAAGATCAAACTCGCACAGTTGGGCACACATCTTCCTCCCATAAGGGAGACGAAAAAGGACAGGATTGCACGGCCACCGGCTAAGCACAGTGACCAGAAAACGTTCTGCAAGGAAAGACTGACCTCCCGATTCCCAGTACCAAAAACTGTCTAGTTATACATGGCCGAGTTTGGTTCCAGACACACACAGAGTGTTTGACGCTTTCTCGAGCTTTTCCCGTTTTACTTTTTGCCTGGTTACTTCAGGAAAGAGAGAGTGCCACAGAGGAACCACCGACGAGGACGACAGGAAGGATTGTAGACGCGGAAGCAATCCACCGCAACGCTCGAACCGGTTTTCCACCTTAAGCCGCCATGTAAGTGGAGGCGTCGATGCCTTCCTTGGGAAACTCGCTAAACTGGAATTAGCATACGACTTATCAAACGAGAGGCGGGCGGATCACGTACGGAAGAGCCACCTCGAAGCGCTTCTCGATTGACTGCAGAACCTCCTTGTCCTGCTCCGTGGTGACAAAGGAGATTGCGAGACCCTTAGTGCCAAAACGGCCGGCACGTCCGACGCGGTGGAGGTACGAGTCAGCATCGGCGGGCATATCGTAATTGATGGCCAGATTGATCCGCTCAATGTCAATACCACGCCCGAAGACGTCGGTAGCGACGCAGATTCTCTTATTGAACTCCTTGAACTCCTTGTAGCGACGGATACTGTTGGGCAATTAGCATCAGAATTTCGAGCGGTCCGAGTTAAGAAACTCACCGCTCCTCCTGGCTGACACCAGAGTGGACAGCGATAGAAGGGAAGTTGCATTCGCGAAGCAACTTGTCGAGTTCGGTGGCACGCAATGTACTCTTGACGAAGATGATGACCTGATTGAACTGCAGCTCATCGAGCAGTTCGTTGAGCTTTCTGTTCTTCTCTCTCTCCTCAAGAGCAAGGTAGTACTGCTGGAGACCATGGAGCGTCAACTTGGTGTCTTCGTCGACATAGTGCTCCGTCGGATTCTGCATGAACTTCCGGCAGATGGGCTTGATCTCGTCAGAGAGCGTAGCGGAAAACATCATGACCTGCTTCTGCTGGGGGGTCGCACGGAAAATTTCCTGGACGTCACGGCGCATGTCTATGGTCTATGTCAGAATAAGAGGCAATGATAAGTATGTCAAGGGTGCTCACCAATCTGATCAAGCATCTTGTCACATTCGTCCAAGACAAACATGCGGACGCTTCCGAGCCGCAGATTCTTGTCCCGAACGAGGGCATTCAGACGGCCGGGAGTGCCGACGATGATGTGCGGGTGCGTCTCCTTATTCTTGAGGATCTCGGCATCCTTCTGGATAGGAGTGCCGCCGTAGAACACACCAGTCTTGATGTCTGGCATGTACTTGCTGAAGCGGTTGTACTCGTTGCGGATCTGGAAAGCCAGCTCACGGGTGTGGCACATCACTAGCACCGAGCACTCTCCGGCAACTGGTTCAACTTGCTGCAGGGTGGTGAGAACAAAGACAGCTGTCTTGCCGAGACCCGACTTTGCCTGGCAAATAATGTCGCCACCAAGCATAGCCTGCGGAATACACGTCTGCTGAACTGTAGTCGGGGACCGCATTAGAATCGGGTACGCAAACGAGGACTGGGTCGGTGGACTAGGGTTGGTTCAAGGAACAGGCCCGTCCATCGTCGCAGCAAAAGATTTCAGCTACTCTCCCGCCTTCCCTTTCCTCCAAGTCACATCTGTGTTTCAAAACTCAAACTGAGCAAGGTGCGCAGTGTGACGGCCCACGGTAAGTGGTGCTATCACCAATCCTCGCCGATTATGACCAGTAATCGGCGGCGAATTGAGACGGGGGACAAGGTCCCAATTAGACAGTGTCCCACGAGGGGTTCGGTGCAAGGAGCTCATGATATGAGCGAGCCATTAAGCGATCTTGTCGCTTCCCCAAAATTGCCGACTCAATCCGAGCATGATGATGACCATCATCTGCAAAGATTGTTTGCTCACGCTAGAGCTCAGCGGTGTCTCAGAGAAGCTTGTGCTCCGACACTCAACAGTCAATGGATAGCTGGTGACCACAGCCTTCATTGTTTTGTGATTGCGCGCCCCCCTGCGCCCTAGACGAACTTGGCTCCCTGACAGATTTTGCATTGCGCAGCCTTCTGCTCTTTTTTTCTTTTTTTGCTTGCGAGATGGACGGACCCGTGGCAGGGGCAGGAGGGGTTAACGATAAGCTGGGGATGAAACTTGTCAGGACTAACCCTCCGAGGGATGCTCGAAACCGCAATCGGCGATGGCGCGAAGTAGCTCAGGCTTCAAGAGAAAGTCGCGGAAACCAGTCGAGTGGATGCCGACGTAAGAACCCTTCTTATCGACGTTCTGGCCGGCGGCAGTAGCATCGCCCTTTTTTCCGTTGGCAGCCGGGGCGGCTGTCTCGTTGTTAAGCTCATCGTCGGAGTAGTCAATGAGATCCTCTTCGGCAGACATGCTGGCTGATGGATGCGACGTTGGTAATCGACTTTGCGAAGTAGTGGCGAGTGGACAAACACAAAGGATTATGGATTGAGGCAGGTGCGATTCCGTGACGGTGTCGCAGGGCCCCAAAGAATTTCAGATGCTAGGGTTAAGGAAAAGGGTTGATGAAGATGGTAGAGGTATCGCGCGTTGATGAGAAAGATGGTGGTTTCTCGATGGCGGGCTTGGCGCGTTGATGATGGGAGGTTGAAAGGCAGGAAGGAGAAAGCGAAAAAGAACGGTTGGATGTTGAAAGAATGCACAGCCTCGAAAGGCCGGAAGGCAACCAACGCTAGCCAATTGTGGCTTAGCGATGCACGCTAAGCCGGGGGCAAAGGCCGATTGGGCACGGACCACCCAACGATAGGCAAAGATATGTACGGAGGTACTCCGTACTTCGATCGTTCGTTCCATTTTTGATGATTCTCAAGTCTCGTTCCCAACCTTGTTATCGAAGTCAAACAAGGGCTGTGTGTAAGAGACTTGGACGCTCAAGCACAGCAGATGCTCGAGGAAATTGAGCCCTCACACCATGGCAAAGGGGAACAAAACTGGCGGCGGAGTGCAGAACAAGGCCATCTACTCGCGCATCTCGTTCCTTCAGCAAGCCGCCACTTTCCTCTCAACGCAACGCCAAACCCATGGCTCTCATGTCACTGGTGCTAGCATTGGCGCTCCCAGTGATTCAGCACGTCTGCCAGCTCCGGATGGTCCAACCTCGGTACCCTTGCAGGGCATGAGCAGGCGGTTGGCCACTGATTTGCGCTCCGTGTCCCTCAAGACCAGAATCCGCCTTAAGCCGGCAGTGAAACAGGCCATCTGCAAGTTCTGCGATTCTGTTCTCATCGAGGGCGAGTCTTGTACATCCACGGTTGAGAACAAGAGCAAGGGCGGTAATAAGCCTTGGGCTGATGTCCTGGTACGAGCCTGCCATACATGTGGAAGGGAAAGGCGATATCCAGTCAGCGCGTCGAGGCCGAAGAGGAAAACGGAGCGAGCAGTTTCAGACGACGCTGCTTCTTTACAGCGAAAGAAACTAAAGGGTTGAGATTATCCAAGTCGGAATGTCGACCCCAATGCTTGTCCTGTGATCCTCACATTCACAATGCACGGAGCCAAACCCATGGTCGGCTAGCTCCTTGAAAGACGAGACCAGAGAAACTTGATGGTGCAGAAGACGGGAGCTCGTATTCCTTATATAACTAGCCTTGGTCTTGACTAGGCTCGTTCCTGGAGACATCTCCGGATCCTGAGCACCGACTACGGCTTCTCCTGTCGGCGCCCCAATCTTGATATGGCCAAAGGCCATGTTTTCTGAGCGCAAACACGATCCACGATCCCACCGCCCTGAAGGAGCTGTTCATATCAAACGGCCCGCCAAGCACAGCCCTTGCCGTTGCGATTAAGCAAGGCCGACATACGGTACGGACCGCTACAACGACGGCCCCGCCACTGCATCATGGACGGCTATGCCCCAAGACCTCACGACTGGCTGCCCTGTTGCTGTTGTACCGATTCTTCTCCGAGAACCTTGCTGGCGGCCATGAACCTGCCACGGCGGTATTAGGGACGGCCGGGGACGGCACAGGGGAATGCGGTTCACTTACAATCCCGCATGCCAGCTGCCCAGCCCGCGCATGGACTCGGCTTGCACGCTTGTCATACGCAAGAGGTTTTCAGTGTCGGCCAGATTAGCAGAGAGTTGCGCCAGCTGTGAGTGGAGTTGGGCCTGGCAATGGTGATTACAAGTTAGTCTACAGCGTTTGAACGAGTCTGTGTAGCCTCGCTGCTTCAGGACTGCAGGTGTATCATATAAGCCGGAGTGGGACTGCTTGGTCAAAAGGGGCACTGGGGACTATGAATAGAGATGCTGTATTTGAGACGGAAGCGAACAGGCCTAGTTGTATGCTGCAAGTATAGGAAAGACGTACCAGCTGCCGAGCCTTGACAGCGCCTCCTGATGTGGCTATTGACTGGCGGGATGTTGTGTTTGTGTTGAAGCTGCGCGTCGCCATGTGTTCGGCGGACCTGGGTGATTACGGCACAATGGTACGGTCGAGCCACGATGTTTGGACACCAGTTTACCAGCTATCTCAGGCGTGTGATGGGCTCTGCCTCGTATGCTTTGACGTATAAATAAGCAAGTTGAACTAGGTGTTTCTTTGCGATCCAAGTTTTCGATTGATGTTCTGGAAGAACAAGAGAGCGGGGCAGCCCTATCACTGCAGCACTGCCAGTGGTGGGGCTAGGTGCTGGATAGTGGATGTGTGCACCGTGCTATACTACCACTGAGTACAGCACCTCAGCACCCAGAAACACCAACATCGTTCACCGTAGTCCTGGAGGTTTCTGTCGCTCCGTCCACAAGCATGGCCTTACATTCAAGTGGAGGATATTGTCATATGGCAACTGCTAAGAAAGAGTGCGAGCTATGAATGGGTTTTGGAACACTGGCGCTCAAAGTCTGCTCACATCCGCCCTCATTCCCAAGGTTGCAAGTCAGGTACTCACCATAGAAAACTTCCAGAGTCAAGGGGGCCATCAACCCATATCACCAGAGGTAAGTCAGTAACTACACAGCTATCAAATCTGAAATGGCCCTCATACATATCATTAGCATGGCCAAAGAAAAGCGTGAACTGAGTGACGACGTAAAGCCTCCACCAGCCCATTACAGATCATCCGGACAACTCCAACGGGGTGTAATTTACATGACTGACCTCAGCGGCTAGTGGACGACAAATAGGAGCAGATATTCCCATAAACCTCGCGTGGCAAGGTACTGTACTATAGTAACTAGGACCAAGGGTGGGACACCTTGCCCTCGAGGTGCGGCCAAAGACATGATCTACAGAACTGCGAGATAGACATACACAAGGCGGTATAGGGGGAAGAGACCGAGGTATGAGTTTATACTCTACACTGCCTCCTCCTATCTACCATCTTCCCCTGCGTTTTACTTCCCTCACCGCAATCGACCTCCAGTGTCCCCCCTAAAGGACGGACGAATACTCCTCATCCACACTGTCCATCACGCACAGCCAGCAGCAGCCAGGAAACCTTCCCGGTCACCTCAACCATTAAAGTGGCGTAGATAGGTGGCCCTCGAAAGAAGGCGTGGTCTGATTCATTCATTACAAGTTAAGGTACGCTATGTCCCATCCCGTACCATCTATCATCCACCCTCCCACCCCATCCATCCAGCAATCCAGCCACCCTTGCATCCTAGAACAAGGCAACAAAGTAAAAAGCCGCTTTACACAGTACATTAGATGGAAGAAAGAAAGATAGCAAGAAACACTATGCGAAGGCTGACCAAGCATAGACAGACAGACAAATGCAGTCGATTTTACCAGTGCAGCGTTACCATAAGTCAAGAAAACATCACGCAAAGAAAACTGTCGCGGATAAATGAAGGAAGAGAGAACAATGAAAATGCCCCTATGTACTCGGTAGGTAATTCAGTAGGTAGGTAGGCTGTAGGTAGCAGCAGGTAGAGAGGTAGGATTCAGGCTTTCCCTTCCCGTCTTGTCACGCTTCCACACGAGCCAGACAAGACAGATCATCAGGAAACCCCAAATCCCCGAAACTAGATATTAAGGTCTTTTGCGTCTTGTCCCTTTTGTACGCGCCATCTCCACTCCGCCGGCCGTCGAATGTAGCTGTTCCGCAACCTTAGGCAAGGTATATAAGGCATAAAGCCTTCCCGCCCCCAATGTCGCTTCAAGAGAGCTTGCCATTCCCCATCCACTTCCACAACGCTCTTTTGCTTCTCTAGGATCTCATAATCGATGCATTTGTAAAGTCGTGTTCGTCTCCCTCCTCTCCGTCTAGACCAGACAGTTGGGAAGGTCAAATGGTAGACACCTCTTTTCCTTTCTAGACCAAACAACACGCCATCGCCCGGGTCAAAAAGGCGTAGGCTGGATCCTTTCCCAAGATTAAGACCAGACTCTTCATCTTTTCAGAGCAAACGCCGCGGCTCATCTTCGCAGCCATGCACAATGAGGCTTGTATCAAGGTGCGGGCACGCACCAAGGCAAAATAAGAAAAAAGGAAGGCAAAAGGAAAAAGAAGGACAAAACAACAAAAGGCGCAATCAGCGGACGCCAATCGGGGGGCGAGGACCTAAACTGCTCTGGCTGCTGTGGGCAGAGGGTTCCGAGTCGAGATGGGACGAATCACCACTGGCCGCGCTGCCGCTCGCACTACCGGTCAGACTTCGTACATTCTTGCCCAATGGTGGGTGGAGGGAGCTCACCCCGGCGTGCTGCTCCACCTGCTGAGGCGCAACGACATTGCCGTGACCGGGAGGGTACCGGGGCATCGGCTGCTTCACACCGTCGGGCGGAGACGGACGCCCGCCGTTCATGTGCGGGCCAGGATACCCGTTCGGAGGCGACGGCCGCCCGCTCGCCCCGCCGCGGATCGACGGGGTGTAGGGAGTTCCCGGCGATTGACTAGCCCGCCGAGGCCCGTTCCCGTTCATACCCATAGGCGGCGGTCCATGGTTGTACTGAAGCTCGTCCAGACGGGCGGCCGTGAGGGAGTTGGACCTTGACTCCCCATGCAATGCCCCTCGGTCAACGGTGCCATACCGGTTAGACGTAAATCCCAGTAGCGGGTCGTCCAAGATGTTATCATGGAGCCCGGGGATCGCGTTCGTCATGATCTGGCTCGATCGACTCCTGCTACTCCAAGGTCGAAACCTGCTTCCCCGTGAGGGACCCGTATCTTGCTCGGGATTCATGCGAAACTGTGCGGAACTACTAGGCACTTTCCGGTTCTTCCTTGACGTGACGCTCATCATGTCGAAGTTGTCTGGGTCGATCATCGGAACCCCTGGTGTACCATTGGGGTCGAAATAATCGTCGTCTTCGTCTTCGTCATCGAACGCACCGCCGTTGTTTCGCATTGGTGGTGGAGGTCCCCTTCTTGGTCCCGGGCCCGCCCCGGCAGCTGCCCGTCTTAGGTTCATTTCACGCTCTCTCAATGCAAGCTCTCTTTGCCGCAATTGCAGCTCCCTTTCCCTCAGAGCAATTTCCTGCGGGCTGGGCTGCGGGTAGCCGGCTTCACCACCCTCAGGAATGTCGTCGTAAAGCACCAAGTGGCTGAACTCCTCCAGATCGGCTCCCTCCATGGAACTTCTCCGCGATTGGACCCGTGAGCCCGGCATTCCATTGGGCGGGGGTCGTCCGTAGCCATTGGGCGGCGCCCCATTCATAGGCGGTGGAGGACGACGCATGCCCGGCCCCGGCGGTCCTGGTGGCCCCATCGACGGGCCCCTGGGCCGTGGTCGGCCCATACCATTTCCATTAGGAATCCCGTTAGGGCCCAGTCGCGGGGTACCCTGGGAAGATATCCGGGGAATAGGAGAGGGAATGGTGGACGGAGATCCCGGCCGGGTCGGTGGACCCAGCGAGGCATCGACCTTGGGCCGGTTGCGGTTGGCTATGTTGAGATGATGGAGGAGGGCATATAACGTCTCGACCCGCGGCACGCTCAGCCCAGTTTCCTGAGATAATCTGATGGGCGAGCCAAGGTAAGTCTCGACTTCCATGGGCCGCCTCGCAACATAATCCTGCCACATGATATTCTCTGCGCTGGATCGTGCGAACTCATCAATTGTGTTTTGTTTGAACTCAGGCGGGAACTTGCACCCCCGGGCTTCCGCCAATGCGAGGAGTTCATCGATTATGTCGGAAACCAGCTTGGAAACACCCACTTTCTCGAGCAGTGCAGCGTAGTTCGGCGTCTCGAATAGCACAGTCAAAGGGTGGAAGGCAATGGGGCTGAAGGGAGGAGAAAAATGAGGTCAGCTTCTATTCATTTGTGCACAAATTGGTGCAACTTACCCGATTACTCGCTCGAACTGCTGCTGTCGGATGTTATCTGACACCTTGCAGTCAACTTGGCCTGTGCTTAGCGTCATGGCTAGAGCATGCGCCATGTCCTCCTGTATTGAGGACGGAATGCCGGAAACCTTGTTTGCCGGCCCGACCCAGAGTTCAGTTGACCCCTTGTGTTCGAACTCGCTTGCCCCGAGCTGTGCGAGATCAGCGCCGCAAACGAGAGAGAGAACCACATTTGTTGGGAATCGCTCCTCAATGGCTGATTCGAGGCCGAGTGCGTGAGTGGTGTTGACGAGGATGCATGTGTGCTGGGGCGTCACGACGGAGTCGATCACCGAGGCTAAGTCGTAGACATCAGGGAGTGCCTTTATACATAGGATAACGTAGTCGAACGCGCCCTCTCCGCGAGATGCTGCCTCCTCGGGGGTCCGGACGACTGCAAATAAACTGTTCAGCAAAGGATGCGCTGTTGCGGAAGGGAAGGGAGAGGGGAGCTTTGCGGGCAAGAAATACATACCATGCCTGGGCTTGAACCGCTCGTTACCAAAGATGGGAGACCTGGGCGTAACGCAGTCAGCACATGAGATTGTGGAAACAAGGAGGTTGGGCGGAGGAAGCGGAGCGCATACTTGAAAGATATCCCGTACTGCGATACATGCTCGTAACCCGTCTTCCACACGAGAGTGACGTCGCAGGCATTAGTCGCTTGCAGCCGCCATGATAAGAAGGCAGAAACCTGATTCCCGCCCACTGTGACAACTTTCATCAGCTCATTGTCCGACATTTCTAGCTCTGCTAGCGAAGTCGCATGTGCAGCAGCTCCCAGAAAAAGGTTTTTTGGCAAACGAGTGTAGTTGCGATCGGGTGAGTTGGACGGGGGAGTGGGAGGGTTTCAAGATGATGTCCACTCTTTTCTGGTGTCCGTCCCGGAAATCGAGGCCGCACTAGGCAGGCTGGAGCGGCAAGGACTAGGTAGACAAAAAAGATACAAACGAACCGAGAGGAGGTACAGCACGAGTGCAGCGACTTACCTGATAGGATCTTGAGTCGGGGAGTCAAGGGTGCCATGGTGGAGGCCCGATCTGGGATAGTGGGCTTGTCAAGTTTCCAAGCTGCAGGACGCAAAACCAGCAAGGCCGGCTATGACGGGAAGCGCCCGACCGAAACGGGAAACCCTCGATGTCTCGCTCTCCTGTGCCTAGCCAAACCACAATTCGCAGTCAAGCTCGGTGTCGGCCTGTCAGCTGTTGCAGGTTGAGACTTTTCTCCCTCCCTTTCTTTTCCTCAGCCCTCGTTCGCTTGGCGTGCTCAGTTATGTTGCGTCGAACCCCCGCAGACTGCAGATGAGATGACGATCTCCCGGCGACCTGATTCCTCCGGGGGAGAACTATTGAGGATAAGTGCCGGTCCGTTCGCCGTCTTTGTCCGGACTCATCCAACCGGACTTGCAGATCGGAAACTTGAAAAGAGCGATTGACGAGTATCACGCAGAGGCCCCCAAGTTGTGGTTCAGCAAGTGAGCGAGCTTCGGTATGCAGCGGCAGCAGGCAACTCTGACGATCGCCGCGCGCTCTTCTGCGGTGGCGCCGGCGAGTCCAACTGCGCTACTGGCAACAGCCAGCTAGGGTGCACGCAGCGGGCGGTAGTGCAGTATCAGCGGCGGTCGGCCAACCCGCTACCGCGTGGTGCAGGAGACTAAAAAACGAGCGTGAGGCCGAGATGGGACAACTAGTGCGTGGCTGCCACAGCTATGCCTGGGGATCCTGGGATTCGAATGGCGGGTTTCAGGGCGGTTGGCGGATGCGGCGTTGGTCGTCTGGCGAAGCCCACGGATGATAGGCCGCTTGAGGTGCAAGGAAATTGACTTTGTGCTCCCTCTATCGCGTGTTTGCGGGTATCACAATCGTGCAGCGAGCGTCGGGTTTGTGTCAACGGTTCGGGCTACGCAGTCGCGTGGGCTGCTGCTGAACGAACACTTCAGATGGTCGATAAATAACGAGCGGACGATTCGTACGAGCCAGCGAGTGGGTGGGCTCCAGCTAGATCTCGAGACAGGTTCGGGCGTTGCCAAGAGTTCGTTGCCGTCAGCGCCCGGGAGTGCCAGAATGTCTAATTAATAGTATTCGCTGGACAGCAACCCGTCGGAAAAAGTGATAGAATTAGGATTACGCTTTACGCTGTTTGAAGTAGGCAAAATAACAGGGCTTCGACAGTGCAGGTGGATGCTGTCGAGGTAGAAAATGCTGGCGGTGTCGCGTGTTCCGCCTGGAGACCCTCTCTTCTCTTGCCCTTGTGTACGAGGCGGTTGTTGGCGGTCACTGCTTTAGTGCCGGCCGGATGTGCTAACGTTTGGGTGGTAGGCAGGTGGAAACGGAAAACGGAAAGCTCGGGGTGGGAAAGTGGCTCGGTACGGGAGGTGTCACAGAAAGCATCGACGCCGCTGCCCTGGAGTGGATGCAATTGGGCAGTGCTGCGCTGACAAAAGGGAGAAGGAATGCGTAGCTTGGCGGCGCTGGAACCTGTAAATGATTGCCAGTAAATCTCAAAAGGACACTCAGCCAGTGTAGTATTAAAGGTAGAGGTATTAGCTGTCCTGAGCAACGAGCCTGAATTATCCCAGGCTCTAACTTACGTACCATGATGCTCGTTGAATGCTCAGACGTTAGGTTTGGCCGGCATCAGATTCTACACAATTCTTCCCCCGGCCATTGTGGAAGAACGCTAGAAAACGTCCCAAAAACGACCCGCTGGCATCCACACTACTGTGGTAGCTGTGGATCGCTAACACGCTTTGATACGACGACACGATGAGATGAGATGGGAAAGAGTTGGCCATCCGGGTCTGGGCAATTTCCCAACCCTGATTGATCGGAAAGAGATGGCGCGCGACAGGGAACAGGGGCCTGCGTCGCCGGTGCCTGAAGTTGACGGGCTTTTCGCGTGTGGCTTAGCGGTTGCTGCCCCATCCAGTGACGTGGGTACCGAAATCTTGCAACGAGTGGCCTCTGGCCTCTGGGGCGGGAGTCCGCAGATGCTCTGCGTAGTCTCGTAGTGTAGACGCACTCAGCATGTTATCACAGAATTCAGACCAGTGTGTGCGGGCTGTATTGGCCTTACGGCCCGGTAATTGACTTGGATACGTACCACTGGCCAATTCCAGCCAATCAAACCACCCAGACCCCACTTACCGACCACCCGCACACACTGGTCTGAGGAAATAATCGGGGTCCCAGGGGGGTTACCTTTTCAAACCCACGCACCCAGAACCACCATTGTACCGTTATTGAAGCTATTCGCGATCCGACAACTGTTCTATAATCCCCTAATCAAGGGCGTTCTTCTGGATGTTTTTTCTGGTTTGATTCCCATTGCTCATATGCCAGACAGCTGCTAACAACTCACAGGTAGTTCCACGATTACTCGCGCGACCATAACTCTACCCGTTGGCTCCACTCCCAAAAAAGGGGCCAACTATAGATAGTTGGGCGCAAAATTCGTGGACGGAACGAAATCCAGAGACGCATCAGAAATTGGTGCATTCCCCATACAAAATTGTTAGCCAGCAACACCAGCAACCTGCATCTTTACAACCATTGTTTTTCCTGGAAAATGGATATGACTGTTAGATCCGCCTTGAAAAGGCGGTTCGAATGATACTTACTTTGAATGGATATATTCTATTACTCTTGGAGTGCTTGATGAAATTGTGGTGAATTTTGGTGGAAGTTGCTGAATCTGGTGACTTGGGTCTTGTAAGTCGGGTTTGGAATGTGGTGCAAGATACAACACTTTCACCTAGGACACTCCAAATATAGGATGCATCCATTCAAAGTAGGTATCATTCGAACCGCCTTGAAGAGGCGGTTCTGACTGTCATATCCATTTCCCTGAAAGTACAGTATGGCCTGATTTCCGGGCATGAGACTGCCCATCTGTTAGTGATTGTAGTGATATGCTATATATTGTACTATCGTCTCTGGATTTTGTTCCGTCTCCGAATTCTGCGCCCAACTATCTTGATAGTGGCCCCTTGACGAAAGTGGAGCCAACGGGTATGGTATACTCTTTCCTGGGCTAATTCGCGATTCCTGGCCTTGCCCTGAGGTATCCTGGCCGCAAGCGACCATAAGGTGAGGCCCAAGAACGGCATCATTCGCAGTTATCGCGCCAAAGCCTCTTTATAACCCTCTCTTTCCCGGGCCACATTGCTCTTGCGCGAATACGAATCCTGGCCATACGAATGCTCTCTGAGGAAGAGCAATGGCGAATTGACCTTGTGGTGGAAAATCGTGGTTGCGCGCCAACTGGGTGGAAAGTTGGAGGGGGTCAACCTCCGGGCAAGGTTGAAAAAGGAAGCAACAAATTACGTTTGGGCCAACCTTTCGCACTTCCACTTGTCGCATCACGATGAAAATTATACCATTCGATTCGCTTGCTTCTGGAGATCTTCAGAGTATATTTTGTTTTGCTACAACTAGTTGTGGTGGTATATGCGACGTGGTTGTATGTGGTGGTCAATCTGGATTTGTATGGGGCTTGAAAAGGTGAGCCCGTCGGGAGTCTGATTATTTCCTCAGACGTTTTTTTTGGGCGTCCAGGAAGAAATGTGGGTCGTCATGTACCGGACAGATGCCTACCCAAATTGGGTTAGGAAGTGTCCTAGCCAATACACGCATGGGCCAGAATTTCAATTGTTACGGGCAGGCGACAGGCCGCGAAGCGGCCCTCTGGTCTGGCGCGAAGCGCCCAACGCCCACAAAAAACGTCTGATTCTGAGATAACTCAGCATGTGGCTTTCATCAGTCTTTACAGAACGATAACAGACCAGAGAGACCAGTGAATTGCCCACATACAACAGCCAAACTTACGCCGGACCCTTAAACCATCTTTGGAGGTTAACTTACCTTACCCTACTGGGCGGGAAACTGTCAAATGGCACATGTCAACTGAATTCAGGTACTGTACTGAACAATACATGCATACAGTAATATTATCACATTGTATAGGTATGTAAGTCACCCTAGCCGAAAAGTACGCGACGAAGAGTTTGGAATTCGGTACTGCGCCTGGCCTCAGATCAAAGGTTGTGATCTAGTATAAGCTCAAGCACACGTGTTGGAGCGATATCAAGGAAATATGGCAGGTATGTACTCGGTGCAGTCGGAGCACCTACGAAGTACTCCAGTCATAGAATCTGGAGGTTCTCAAAGAGCGAAGCCCTTGAGCAGAGGGCTGAGAACCGGAGTGTAGCGGCACAGGAACTGGAGCAGTCCAGATCTAACCGGAAGTAGTCTATAATCTCAACGTTTATTGGCAAGCCCATGTTCAGGTATTTGAGTTTCCTTGGAACAGCGTCGTAGTGCATGTAGCGTATTTATGTCCATACATACAGTACAGTACGAGGCTAGTGTAAGAATTGGCGGACAGTTGGTACTGTATCCGTATGTGTGTATCCGTAATTACTGTGAGAGGTATTCCGTAAGGTACCTAGTTCGCGATGATAACAGATCGATGGAGGAGATTGAGAAAGTTTCGGAGTTTTGGAGACCAGTCCCCCAGCTCATGACTCGTTGGTAGTTGCAGCTGTCTAACTGCAGTTGACACGATGACAACAGAGTCCACGAAGTAAAACTGTTACTGTTAGTGTCCAAGTATCGCCCTATCTGGACGAGCTTGGACGAACCTCAGCATTTGTTCGGTGGATATAACTCATAAAAATATGTGCCCGGCCTGAATGGAACTTGCAGCTACGGACAAGCTCAGATGGATCCGTTCGACAAACCATGTTCTGTCAGGCTCGATGGAGGTACTTTCGGTGTTCCGTAAAGTGGAGGCTTGGCGACGCGCAGGTATGCGGGGCACGCGTTCTAACATCCCTGACTGATGACGCACTTGTGGGGGCCCTCAATCCACCTCTCTCAAGCAATGACAGGAAAAATATCGCGGCACAACCTCGATGCAAGATTTCCCCAATACTTGACCATTGGGTTCACCAGCAGGATTTAGTGTACATATGTACTGTACAGTGCAGGATGGTTGCATCTTGGCCCGGCGGTTAGGACTTTCCCCCACACAAACTGCCACAACGAAGAAGCGGTAAGCCTCATCCTGCCACATCAACAAGTGAATCCAGAAGAGCCTCATTGTTGACCAGTCGCTTCACGCGTTGATTTGATGCAACTCTAAGAGCCGGATGGCCAGGTCATGTCTCGATTGGCACGGAGCATTTGGAGCGGAATTACATGCAACGCTTAAAAGCTTGGTACAGCTCATGCGTGCCGTGCCAGGCTGCGGGCAGCCGCTGTGACCCGACCGTTATCGTTATCTCCAGAACGAATTCCGTCCTTCGGTACACTACACATAACAGAGCAGGTTGCGTTCTCCCATTCCGAATCAACAAGTCTGGCAATTGGACCGATTTCGCGGGCTACCGCAGTCATTGAATCTGGTCTCTCCTGCCAGCCACCCCTTGTAACCAACGGGAGCGCTAAACCGGGCAAAGACAGGGGCTTTGTCTTGAGAACTTCAAGTCACTACATATTGCTCCGTACCGGTAATAGAAGCTCCAGGTCCTATCATCCAAGATTTGCTGCAGATTACCTACACAGTAGGGTAACTCCTGAACCCCAACAGAACGTTGCAGCCGTGAACAACTCGAGATGCAAGGCACCTGTGTATTGCATGTGCCAACTTTTCCCACTTCTCCGCCCGCCTCAGGGGTGCCGTCCCCAGCTGGGGATAACAAAAGTGGTATTCCCCGTACCATATGAAGGACACTGAAATCGCCTGTGGGGGGGATTCCTGCATTTATATCAACTAAAGAAGTTGAGGAGGAATCCGCCCAGTTGGATAAAGCTCAGCAATAGACTACAGTACTGTAGTCTGTAATACCAGCATACATTTGCGGACGGTTAGACCGTCTTATGCCGCCTTCCGGCTGTCTCAACTCACCACGGCCCGGGGGAAAGGGGTTTGTCACGGTCTGCCCGTGCCTGAACCGCTGTACGTACCCATACACTAACGTTGGACCGCAGCATGGTGCCGTCCCACGTTGGGGACGGTAACCGCCCGGCCTACCGTTCGGGTCTCATCCGGCTAATTTGCTGACGGCAGGCAGAAACTTGCATTGACTGGTGCGAACCATTGCACGGCAGGTCTCTATTGCATTGTATGTACTCCGTACCTGCCTGAGAATCTTGGCCATGGGACAGGTCGGTTCATATATCAAGCTCTTCCTTTAGCCAACCTTTCCTTGGGTAGTACTGAGCCTTGCGTGCCAGGAACAAGCGTTCGGTACCAGGGGACTGGCAAGGCCACAATCCTAGGCACAGGTGTGTGATTATTCGGGTTGGGACTGTTAAGGGGGTTGCATTATGCCCCTTTTCCGGTTGCTTTTCCGGCCAAATCGCACAGTAAACTCACCGTCGTTTATGTACAGAGACATATGCCCACGGTTGACTGTTTACCAAGGGCCCTCATTGAAGCCAATGACAGAGAAAGATTGGTCTTATCATTTATGATTCAGACGCGTTGCTGCCGCTTGAGCCGGACCTCTTGAACTACTCGAGTATCACTGCAGCTACCTGACACAACCATACCCGTAGAACCGTGTCGCTCATATGTCTCGGGTGGTACTAATGTGGGAGGGCATCCCCGAGTCAGCCATGTGTGAGTGCAACCGCAATCATTGTAGTGTAAGGTGCGTACTGTCCCGCCCTTCTACGATCAAATCGACACAAAGTGAAGGCAGGATATGTGGCTACGATTCCACACGAATCTACTTCGGTTGGAGCTGTCCCAGCCTCCTTGTTCACATGCCCGAAGATTTCACCTCGTCACACCAGCAGCATTGCTTTCTCTGGGCATCTCGGAACTCGGCCAGCTAACTTGCAAGGTATGCTAGAGGTATGCAGTGCTAAGGGACGATAGGTTGTTAGAAATCATGTTACGGACAAGCAGTGTAGCTGAACGGTTGACTTTAGCCCTGCCAGAATACCTTGTGAGATATAGCACGCCATATGTCAAGTAAAATAGACTTTCAGATATCCCTCTGCCCATCTCTGGGAAAGAACCCGCACGTCTGTACTCGCCAACAGAAGTTGTAGAATTTAGGTTTCGGCAACGACGAAGCACAAGTATACAACCATTACTAAACTCTCATTTTACTGAATGGAGATACTCATGGGATAACGTTTCTTCACCCAAAACGCCTAATTTCTACAGACTAGGCTGCGTAGATGAGTTGGCCGTTGGCTGCTTTTCTATAAAGTCTTTCGGCCGATTTCAGGGACCAGAAGCATTGTTACCGATGAAGGAATCTTCAGGCCCATTGAAGAGTCAACCTATGAGGACATCTTGCCCGAACTTATGGCACATAACGTTATACATCCATGGAGCCCAAAGCCATAATTATCCACATCGCCGAACAAAAAGGAGCTGCTATGAGCTGCCCCATGAAAAGAGCGACATATTTGAGTATTTGAATCATACCTTAGCAATGCCTACCTACCCAGCTCAACCCGTGACATAAGTCTGCTTCTACTGTTCTTTCGAGAGTTCCTTGCCCGGCTAGCACCAACCTCCACTCCCCTACTTGTCCTATGAATTACAGCACGGAGGGTACCGGCGAGAGTTGGCAACACTTGCTGGTACCTTGAGGAAAACCGCACTCAAGCGATCATGGGGAAAGCCTTTAGGGGGAGCCAAGTGTCAGGTGGGTAAACGGTCTTAAGAAAGCAGTGAGATGGACGCCGAGAGCCATACCACAGACCTAGGCCAAACGCAAGCCACAAGCAGACATAATCATAGTGCACGGTGCTTTGATTGAACTGTCTTAGTCTCATGTACAAGAGGATGGACGTCGAGCCACTGCATTCCACCGGGCTTAGACATCGTACCGGAGTCCTGGAAGTTTCCGGGCACGTATTCGCTAGTGCTCAGCTCTTCCATGATCATGTCCTCCATGTAGCAGTCCTCCATGTCTGAGTCTCTATCCTCAGTGTCCAGTGGTGATATGCCAGGGGGATAAGCGTAGATTTCAAGAACTTCCCATCCCATAGCAAGGCCGCCCTCATTGTCTTGGCGCAGAGGTAGGCCGAAATGCTTGATTGCATTGAGAAAGTCCCACCACACTCTATTGTCACGAATATAAATGGGCAGCGTCGAGAACTGCTGGCTCTCGACCTCTGGAAAGATGTACCAGAGGTCCAGGTCGTGTGGGACGCCAAAACAGGTACGAACGCCGTCGAGAGGCGACCGCAAGAGAGAGTCAACGCTAAGTGCGCTGATATGATTGATCAAGTCCGGATCATCCATCGACGGGGGCCACTCATTTGGATCGATTTCCCTGGGAAATACAGTCATTTCGATATGTCGATTACTGGGTAGAATCGCCCCTGCCATGATGCGAATAAGGACATGGGGCTGCTGAGGATAGTCGCAGGCTGTATTGGAGAAGGAGAGACATCGCCTCTGGGACGCTTCTTCGTGGGCGGAGCTTCATCCGGGGCAGGGCTCGCTCTCCGCTTGAGAATCTTCATATCGAAGCCCGGGATCGATAGATCTTTGCCATCCGTGTACGGATAATTCATGGTGAGTTCGGGCACCTGTAAGACGAGGCCTTGGTAAGTGGCGGAAAGGCAAGCGATGACTCCGCAGAAATCTGCTGGGCTACTGATGCCACTCACCTCCAGGACTGTAGTCGTAGTGTAATGAAAAGCACCGGCAGTGGAAGGATGGTGGAATCCTTCGGGTTGGAGAGTGCTGGAGTGTGAAGGTTGCAAGCTCGGGATTGTAGCGTTGACATAGAGGTTCTGTTCTGGGGTTGCTCCTTCCTCCTCAGCTGAGCAATTTTTGAAAAATGAAGCTGCAGGTGCGCTCTGCTGAGCTCGATATATTCACTGGCAAGAGCGACGGAACCCTCGCGCTTCTTGCTTCAACCCGGAACATGTGGGTGTCAGAGGGACACATCCAAAGGCCCGCCAGCACTCACCATCGCCAAACCTCTGCTTCGTCCCTCCCACTATCCGCCTAGCATTCCAAGAAGTGCGTTTGGGCTTTTTTGACTCATTCGGTCCAGTATGATCATACAGCACCTGAGTCAAGAGAGTTTCCCTTCTTCCACGTTGAGGCGCGGTATAAGCGGTTTCGTAGAACTGGCTATCCTCTTAACCAGCAGCACACCCAACCCACGTCCATCACGTCATCAAGACTCACGAAGACGAGGCATAAGGAGGAGGGAACAAAGAGCCCGAGGTTAGCAGGCAAGCACGCGAACTGAGCGCCGCACTGGATGGAGCTTTCCGGCGTTGAGAACCGATGAGTCCATCTCGACCACCGGCGCTGACGTGAACTGGTGCCGCCCAACAGCTGCTAGTCGGACTCACCTGGCCGTACCTGTAGACTAGCGCCGAACGTTCTATCAAATATCGACTAGACCACTTTATGAGGGAAAATAAAGGGGTGGCTTTTGGGGAAGTTACGGCCGTCTCAGCGCTGCCATGTCTGTTGTCTCGGGCCTGGACGCCCTCGGAATGATCGCTAGGTGTAGGGATTGGATCAGGAGCATACAGTCCTTTGTTTGTTGGCACGATGATACGGGATCAGGTATCAGCATGCCCATCGCGCTGTGAGGAAATCCAAGACTGAGAGAAGCGAAATAGGGGAGGAGAAACCTGGGCCGCGGAGATGGATGACTAGACCAACGATCAACTACATCGGCACCCATGCAGATTGCACGTAGATGCATATGTTGCCCACCACATACCGGGCACAAATTTGGAAAACCTTCATGGGCCATATGCTCGCCAAAGGTCGAAAATAAACGACAAATCAGAACACATTGTTTTGTCGCCTGGCACATCCCAGCCTTGTGGCACATCCTGAAACACGGTCGGGAGACGTTCCGATCCTGCTTCTTCTCGCGTCGCCAGGTCAAGAACGTCTGTCCTTGCGAAAAGTGCCGATTGCAAATTTTGTGTGCTGCCGTAACTATTTCACCCTGCCTTTTTCCGGCCCTTGACTTAAATCTGGTTGAGGGCTGAGCGAATAACAGCAGGATTGACTCAGCTGGAACGTTAAAGCTTGGTCGGGCTAATAGAGTGTCAGCGTACGCTTACACAAAGCCATGGAAGATATTAATATGTGTGTACCTGAGAATGGCCTGCAGCACGCGCGTAGCGGCGAGAAGCTCGTGGAGAAAGTTCCATGACAATGAGGCAGATACAGCATCCTGTTCTCATTGTGATGCCGCCTAAGGTTAATCGTCCTGATCTTCGGCGTCCTCCACCGTAACTCTGCGTACGTCGGCATCTTGCTCAACTTGCATCTGCCCAGGGCGTACATTTATACTCTCCGATGTTCGCAGGTAACCCTCCTTCTCCAGCTGGTCCGCTTCCTCGGGCTCCAAAAGCCCGCCCTTCCCCTTGCCTTTCTCAATCTTCATCCGAACAGCGGTTGGCATGAAAGCGCTCACTGCTTCTTTCCGCAGATCCCTGAGTACGGGTTTCGCTTCATAGACCGTCTTTGCCTCAACGACAGGAGTGGGCGGCTTTTCTGATTCCTCGCGGCGTTCACCTAGTGGTTCCTGATTCGCGTTTCGCTTTGCCCGGCGTTTCGCATACCATTCGTCTAGAATCTCCTTGGGAATTGGCGGCGGCGTATCCCGCGGCATCGGTATGTTCTTGACATCATCAGGTACGTCGCTGTCGCTGCTGGAGGCGTCTTCGGCATCCCGCCGCCTCTTGCCCAACACACCGTCGCTTCTCTGCCCTTGATTCGAATAGGTGAAGCCGAATTTTGGCGCCTTATCACCTAGTGCTTCCCTCGCCTTTTTGACGGCCTTGAGATCTTTCTCGAGAGCCTCCAGCGCCTGCTCCTCGTGAGCCGTGAGCTTGCCGCCACCCTCCTTTATCGCCTTGAGATCGTCGATCTGCTTTTGTATCCTGTCCGGATTGCGCTTGGCAAGTTTCTCGTTCCTCCGTGCTTGCTGCTCTGCCTTGCCTGTACGTTGAAATAGTTAGTCACAGAGAGCAACAGGTTGGTGTTAACCGCATAATGATCAGACAGCAATACCTTTCTTGATGGCCTTGGCCTTCTCGGCCTTGCGCTGTGCTTGCACCGGATTGTAGTTGCGCTCCTTCGCCATCTCGGGCAATTATGAAGGGAGATATAGAATTAGCGCTCGTTATAAGTGAAGATTACTCAAGGTTACCAAAACGCAAGCGGATTTGAGTTCATTACCAGCACGGTTGTCGCGGCTCGCGAAATGACGTTGAGCGGAATGGAACCTTTAACCAGCCAAGACTCGGGCACTTCTTGGCATCTCCACCTGGTGGGTTCTTCAGCTGACAGGGCCTACGTTTCAGAAGTATGCGCTATCGCTGGGTTGCTCCTGCAACCAGCGATGTTGACGTCTGTTACCCCGCCCCCGCTGAATGCCCAATCAATTGGTAAGTTAAGAACCATGATTACCGCCGCGCCTTGAGTTCTTGGGCGCCATAGTTTATTAATCTCACGTTAAGCTCCCAAAACCGTCTCCATTCCATGCTCCAACGCGACTCTCCATCTGCAGGCGGTTTGAGACTACTTTAGAGCATCCTCACATATTTTCAGTTGATCTCAGCCTGCTGCAAGCGAAAGAGGAAGCCGAAGTTGGGCGCGACGGGAGCCGACTCGGCACTGCTCACAATTTACGTTACTAGTCACTTTTTCATTTTCTTTTCTTTTTGTTCGCAGATCGCACAGACACCATGGCGAGCTTTATGGCCAATCTATTCCCTGGAGGGAAACAGGACAAGGTCGACGCTCGCCCTTCCACACCGATCAGAAACAGCTTCGTCACCCCTGCCAGTACTCCACAAGGCAGCCCCAGCAAGAGGACGATACCCCCTGGCGCCAATGAACTGCCCGGCGTGCTTCAGAGCTTAAAGCTTGGGACACCTACTGCCCTCGACAGCCCTGTGAAGCTTGGCCGACCGCAGAGCGCGTTCATAACTCCTCTTTCTCCTGGCAAGACGAATGTGCAAAATCTCGAAGAGAGCTCCCCGGCTGTTGACGATAGTGTCCTCCACAAAGGTCCTGCTGCAACCGGCGGCGCCCTGAGAAGCCATGGGCAGGAGAACACGCCTCCAAGTTTTCCACGGGACCCGTTCACTGAGCCGACATACCAGCCCAGCCATGCCGCCATCTCACGCCAAGAGCTCTACCAGCAGCGAGATCGGCCTTCGCCGACGGTCAAGCGCTTTAACACGACGCGTGGTCTCACTGCTGAGGAGCGTGAACTTTTGCAGAAGCCAAGCGTCAAGCGCATGGTCAATGTCACTCAACTATGTAAGTCCAAGGTCCCTCCGGACCGAGTGCTCCTGTCTGATGCTGACGGCCGTTGGAAGACTTCCTTGATTACTACTTTGACCTCTTGACATACGTCGGCGCGAGGCAGAATCGTCTCAACGCCTTCAAGGCGGAATACCCGGCTCCTCCGGAGACCGATGAGGAGACATACAAACAGATGTGGTCAAAATACACGGGTCGGGAGCGGGCCAATCTTCGCAAGAGACGTGTGAGGTTGCGCCACGGCGATTTCCAGATTCTGACACAGGTTGGCCAGGGCGGCTACGGTCAGGTCTTCCTCGCACAAAAAAAGGATACCAAGGAGGTGTGCGCGCTTAAGGTCATGAGCAAGAAGCTGCTATTCAAGCTAGACGAGGTCCGGCATGTTCTGACGGAACGTGACATCCTTACAACGGCAAAGAGCGACTGGCTCGTTCGCCTGTTGTACTCATTCCAGGATGACAAGAATATCTATCTTGCCATGGAATACGTGCCGGGCGGAGACTTCCGCACACTTCTCAACAACACGGGTGTGCTGTCCAACCGGCATGCGCGCTTCTACATCGCCGAGATGTTTTGCGCCGTTGACGCCCTGCACCAGCTGGGTTACATCCACCGCGATCTGAAGCCCGAGAACTTCTTGGTCGATTCAACCGGCCACGTGAAGCTGACGGATTTCGGCCTCGCCGCTGGGTTTCTGGCGCCTGCCAAGATCGAGTCGATGAGAATCCGCCTAGAGAAGGCGTCCGAGACGTCGGTGCCATTCGGCAAGCCGATGGATCAGCGCACAATTGCCGAGCGGCGGGAAGGATATCGCACGATGCGGGAGAGGGACGTCAATTACGCCAAGTCGATCGTAGGCTCGCCGGATTACATGGCCCCCGAGGTGTTGAGAGGCGAAGAATACGATTACACGGTTGACTACTGGAGTTTGGGATGCATGCTCTTTGAGGCACTCACGGGCTTTCCTCCGTTTGCCGGGTCAACCGCCGACGAGACGTGGCGGAATCTGAACCATTGGCGAGAGGTCCTCAAGCGGCCGGTGTGGGAGGACCCCAGTTACTTCCTCAGCAACCGCACATGGAATTTCATTACAACGTAAGTTGACGTCCCCGCCCTGGCTGAGAAGGTGAAACTGACGAGCCGACGAACGCAGTTGCATCAACTCGCGATCCAGGCGATTCTCCAAGATCAAGGACATCTACAGTCACCAGTACTTTGCAGAGGTCGACTGGGCAACGTTGCGCGAGACCAAGCCCCCATTCGTACCCGAGCTGGACTCCGAGACGGACGCGGGCTACTTTGACGACTTCAGCAACGAGGCCGACATGGCCAAGTACAAGGAGGTGCACGAGAAGCAGCAGGCGCTGGAGAGCATGGCGGAGCGCGAGGACGAAATGAGCAAGAGCCTCTTTGTGGGATTCACGTTCCGCCACCGCAAGCCGGCGACTGACGAGGGCACCCCGCGCAAGCCCATCCCTTTCGAAGACGATGCCTTTGGCACTATGCTGTAGTGACAGCACCGGCGATACAGACCCGTGGATACAGACCCGTGAATCTGACATCTCGCAAGTCGCGGTGGCCTGGATGATGTCCGCTGAGCCGCATACCGGGGTCCGTCGACGATTATGGCTTTCCTCTTTCGCGTTCATGGGTTGACATTGGTCAACCGTTTCCTCTGCATTTTTTCTGAAGTGTTAACGTTATGGAGTTTTCGCGACGGATGGGAAGGGAGTTGCTAGAGGCTGGGCGGGTTAATGACTGGACGAGGCCAGATGATTGGCCGGCGTGTTCGTTGGACTGGGATTCGTTGGAGTGTAGAACAGTGTATGAGGCTATGATCAGGTGGTTGTCATTTTCCTCTTTTACCTGCAGCAGAGCAGGCTTGTCATGCAGACGATTGTTTCGACAGACGACAGAAAGCATTCTTGTGAAACATAGGGCCGCATTTGTCAGGGTGCATGGTCGCCATCGCACAAGTGTACCGAGCGTCGTCATCGGGGTCCAAGGCTGTTGCGACTCTGGGCCGAAAAGGGGGCCAGATGTTTCTGCCGATTCGACGTTGAATTTGAAAAGAAGATGCACCTGTTTGAAAAACGGCACGCAGCACCCAATGCACGAGCGGCATCTTATCTTATCACTCTACGGTACCCCAGCAGGTCCCCCAACTTTATAATTGAAGCTGCGCAGTGCCGATGTGGTGGAACATTCCGCACACCGCTCCGTCTCCCGACCTTACCTGACCTTACTCATCCGTATTGGCATGGTGACAAATGTAAAATAAGAACCGCCCGTCAGGAAGAGCAGATCAGCTGAAGAAGTTGGACTTCACCGTCTTACGACGCTCGAGCTGGATAAAAAAATCTGTCAAAGTGTTTGCACCGAGGAATGTGTGTGGTTGGCTCGCCGGACTTTCCCCCATTCCACATCCGATATCGAGACTGGGGGAGGAGAGACAGACAGGCAGACGTGGGCTCGGATTCTACACCAGGGCTGCCCTTGACTCGACGGAAACCACGGAAGGGAAGAAAATAGGTAAGCAACTGTTAACGATAACCAGAAGGATCTCACTGACAAGTCTCTTCCATGGCCCGTCCAGTTGCCTTTCTCCGTGCCAAGTTAGTTAACGTTAGCCGTTGTCCATTCCCGCCTCACCCTCGGTCCCGAGAGAGCTGGGCGCAGCCGGGCTGAGGGTCACTCACTGTCACTGGCTCATACCAATTCCTCCTGGAGTGGCAGCTTTTTCGGTGCTTCGGCATGAAGGCGACCCTAACGTTTACGCGGCTGCCCCATGGAGCTTCTTTGCTGTCACAGCTTGGCAACCAACCTCTTCCCGCATCGTCGTCGGTGCCACCACTGTTGATCTCTGTGGCGTCGGCCGTTGCTGTGCTGTTCTGTCTTAGCTGGCGCGATGCCCATCATGCCCGTGCCTCCTCCCCCTTGCGCACAACGGGCTTTGGGCTTGTTGACAACTTGACGTGACGCAAGGCCGCGCGGCAGCCAGAGGTGGCTTGTTCTGGTTACCCCAGAGCTGACGATTTCCGAATCCTATCGCCGTGTGCCCGACCCCCCGGACCGGAGGCTGATCCCCTGCTGTACTACCGGTAGTGTAGTGTGCTCCAGCCTTGGGCTGAATGCCTGACCCCATTTCCCAACGTATGCACTTTATGCAGACGCGGGAACGTGTCGTGTCATGGCCCTGTCGTCCGAGTATAAACACAGACTATAAAGCTCGGCGCAGCGGACTACTAGTACTCACTGCTTCCAACATCAGACCGGCCGAACATTGTCTCTGACACCAGATCAGCGAAGCATATCTTGCAGTCATCGAAAATTATCTTTTGAGCAACTAGCAACTAGACTCCTAAGGACAGACTAGCTACACGGCAAAAACCATGAAGGCCTCAACCACCGCCGCCGTGCTCGCGCCGGCTGCTGCTAACGCTCAATGGTGGGGCGGCGCCCCTGACTGCGCTGTTCGTCCGGCCCTCTTATCTTCTTTTCCATCTCTCAGAGTAACCAGCCCTAACATTTCAATAGCAAGAGTGCTTCTCCTCGCTGTGGGACTCGGCCACCACCTGGCCGGCGCCGACGAGCTACTGCGGGGCCACACAAGCCCCCTCCGTTTACACCTGCATTGAGTCGGCCTGCTCGGCCACTCCGACCGCCGTGACCTCGTACAGCTCCCTGTCCTCCTCTCTCTGCTCCCAGTGGTCCTCGTGCAGCTCGGCCGGCGCCACGGGCGTATATACCATCTCTGCACCAGGTCCGTACCATCTTTTTCGTTTCTTCCTCCTCAACATCCAACCTAAAACTAACCCAATTGGCATAGCTTTTACCGGCGCCTGGGGACCGGGCAGATACGGCGGGCCGGGCGGGCCGCACGGCCCCGGGGGTAGGTGGGGCGGGTACGGTGGCGGCGGCGGGCAAAACGCGCAGGACGTGGACGGCGACGGCGACATTGACTCGGACGACTGGTCCTCGTACACCCGAACATGGACCGGCGGGGTCTACACCGTTACCGGCTGCGAGTGGAACGGCAACGTGTGGGCTGGCGGTCCCGGCGGGTGGGGCCCCGGCGGCAACAACGGCGGCGGCGGCCCCTGGGCTCCCTGGGGCAGGGGCTGGGCGTGGAAGACGGAGACGGTGGACACCGTTACGGCCGTCATCACGGGCTCCGCCGGTTCCCTCTCCACCTCGGTCGGGCCGGCCACTGTTGCGTATGGCTCGAGTGGCAGTCTGACCACGACGAGTCTGGTCACTGCCGCCCAGGCTCAGCAGACAGACCCCCCCGTCCAGCAAGGCGCTGCTGCTGCCCCTGCTGATGCGGCCCTCGGTGTCAAGGCTGTGGGTGTTGCCCTTGGTGGTGTGCTGGTTGTTGTTGGCCTGCTGTGAGCAGGTCTGTGCGGTTTGGGGTTTAAGGGGCTGGTTGGGGAGGAATAAGAAGGAGAGATGATTGAGGTCTTGTTCTTTTCTTCTTCTTGTAATGCTGGCCAGGCAGCCCTCCCAGCAGCCTGGTTATCACGATCCTTTGGGACTTCTGGTTTGCCTCTCTTTAGGGATGGGGAGTTGGCATGGCGAAAGTGAGTTTGGGATTGCTTGGCCCATCTTTCTTTTCCAGCATTGGGGTTGTCGCATGGAATGGGGATGATATAATGAAGGACATGAAACTGAAAAAGGTATCATGAGCGGAATGAGGCAACATACCATGGCATTAGCACCTTGCTTGCTAGCAACATGTGGCATTCTTGAGCGTATACTGGCATACTATTCTCACGCGCGTAACTAATTACCAATAGACGTCGTCTTCGGGAACGGCCTCCCCGCCAGGAGAACCTCGGGCACGACTATGCTACCTGATGTGCACACCATCGGGACCTTTATAATCCTCACACAGACTTGTTCCACGTGGGGGATGAGAGAGGTGGCATTCGTAGCTCCCTTTAGCCATGATCATGCAAAACCCTAAGGATGTGTACTGTGAGTTCCTAATTGTCTAAGACTTCCCACTCAACATCATCGTTGTCCTGCAGAAGATTTCAGCGAGGCGACCAGTACCCCCACTTTCATAGCTTAGAACCAAGGCTCCGTCCTGTCTTATTTGAACTGAGCGTTTAACATGGCTGCGGTCAGGTTTCTCATGTATAATCACAACGCACCGAAGTCATCTAGAATGAACCACAGCTAGGACTGACCGGACGGCATGTTGAAGGCCTTACGGGTCTAAATATGGCCACCAGCATTTTGGTACGGGGTGAACTATGAATTCGAGTCCCGCGGACCGAAAGGCAGCACTCAAGTCCCTAGACTCCTGCCTGAACGCTAATGGGAGGGGTTCTTCGAGGTCGTCTGTGCCATCAATTTCGATCCTGCGGAGGTATTGAAACTGGCCGCTTTTATAGGCTTCGAGTAGAGGTCGTAGATCATCGGGGTTATAGTTGAGCCCGTAAATCCTGAGGTTTCGTATAGAAGTCGGAATACTGGATACAACGGTGTTCTCCGCCTGCTCTGACTGCCCACAGAAGTCGAGGGAGACTGCGGTGGTCCGTAAAGTTTCGATCGTGTGGAAGTCACGCAAGAGGGAGACTCTTTGGAGGGCATCGGGGGGTCAAACACAGTGTACACCTTCCTGACAAAACGATAGCTCCTTGAGACCACTACGCCAGGACTGAAGGGCGGCAACCACCTCGTCGAACATGACCACATCATCTCCATCAAATGGTCTCTCTTCTGGTCGTTGCATGCTGACTTTGGACAGTTTCGGCCCTACTGCGAGCAGAAAATTACTCAACGACTCAGCCGTCATACGGGTGTCAGTGAGAATCAATTCGGTGAGATGCCGTAGTGGAGGCGACGTGGCCGGTACATCATCAATGGGTATGTGCCCGTCCACCAGATCGGTGAACCACTCGCTGACGAGAGTGCACCCGTGGCAGTGCAGAACTTCAAGGTTAGGTGCGAGCTGTATAACGGGCACAATTCGATCAAGCACAAATCCCCGTTCGAAGACGCTGAAGGTTAGCCTTCTGAGTGAGGTCAGGGAAAACTTTGAGCCCAAGAGGTCCATTGGAGGAAGTGCTGCATCGGATACATGGAGGTGGAAGGTTTGCAGGCGTGGGACGAGCTTCAGTAGGAGTGAGACTAACGTCCCGTTGTCGGCCGACTCCCTCAGTTCAACCGGCTCCTCCAAACCGTCCCTAGGTCGTAGGGCTGGGGGCTTGCTGCCATCATAATCGACCCTCAGGTCCAATACCCTCGTCCGCAAGTCAAAACGACTCAACAGGGTCCGAATAGCGCAGTACAGGTCGCGATTCTGAGAAGTATGGATATGGTGGTATAAAAAGGGCTCCACCACCTCGTGGAGAACCCTGCAAACGCGATTGAGGTTGAGCAGGTCCGCTTGCTCCTTCTGCTTCTCACTTGTCCCGATTCTGGCACGGTGAGATTCGACCTCGGAAGGGTCTCTGTCATTCCCGGGGCTGCGCAGACAATGCGAACACAGATAACTGCATATTTCACTCAGCAGCTCCGGAGGAAGTGTGACCAGGGATGAATATGCCATCTGCGTGATACCAAGCTCAAGTACCGTATAGCGTATTTTCGGGAATCTGGGACAAAGCTGAGAGTGAGTAATCTGCTTGCAGCAGTAAGTTGAGTTGGGTGGATTGTCTGGGGCCTGGGCAAGGACTGGTGGAAGAATTGGACGTTTGCAGTTGGAACCAACCAACCCAAAAACTGCTGGCTTTGTTCGCGATTCCCAAAATTATACAGTATCTTTTTCGCACTGTTCCGAAACGGACCAACGCGGATGTCCAACCCGAGCGGATGACAGAGAAAACTTGAGAGATGCACTGCGGGAGAATTTACAACCAGGAATCTTATTAGAAAAACACCAGGTCCCGTCTCAATGGTTTTGACGAAAGGGGCTGGATCTTCAGCCCCGACCGTGTCGAGGCGCGGCAAAGGACACAAGAAGAACGACAGTGCCGAAAACGCAAAGACCACGCCCGCGACGTCCCGTGCGTAGAGTTTGACCCTCGTTTCTTCTCTCCATCATAACTGTTTTGGGCCGCCTTCGTTTCTGACAGTCGAATGTAGAATCCTCAAAGTCGAGAGTTGAGCCCCACCCGCACACCCATGTCAATGGAGACTCCAAGAACCCTCCTGCTGGAGGGACGCCTCCTCGGTCATCGAAGCGCAAGCAGCCAGACGATGGATCCGAGGCAACACATAGGTTGAAGAAGCCAAAACTCGTACCTCGCGAACAGGATGGGCAGCTACCGCGCATTAACCAAGCTCCGACTGAAGTTGTGTCGGTTCTGGTCTTCGGCAACGGCGACGCCGGTGAGCTAGGCCTGGGTCCCGCGATCCAAGAAGCTGCTCGCCCGCGCCTGAACCCCTTTCTCGATCCTGACAATCCCTCTGCCTTCCGTGTCGTCCAACTCGTTTGCGGTGGCATGCACACAGTTGCTCTTACAGAAGACAACAAGATTATCACTTGGGGTGTGAATGACAATTGCGCCCTGGGCAGAAGCACGGCCTGGGAAGGGGGTTTACGAGATGTCGATGGCGATTCCGAAGAGGAAGGGGAGCTGAACCCTCTGGAATCCACACCGACCGCCATCCCGCCTGACTCGTTCCCGCCTGGGACGAGGTTTGTCCAGGTCGCCGCCGGTGATAGCTGTAGTTTTGCGCTTACGGATGCAGGCTATGTATATGGTTGGGGGACGTTTAAGAATGCCGAAGGGAAGGAAAGATTTGGCTATGATGCCCAAGGGCGTGCCGTCGAGAAGCAAGCCACGCCAATTCGGAATCAGGGCCTCAGCAGCATTACCCAGGTTGCCTGTGGTGCCAACCACGCCTTAGCTCTCGATGCGCACGGAATGATCTGGTCCTGGGGTTGCAGCGAACAAAACCAACTGGGCCGCCACGTCTTCGGTCGACATGCCACTGGTCCACTGACCCCTAATCCCATCCACATCAGGGATATCAAATACATCGCCTGCGGAGAGTATCATTCCCTTGCAGTCGACAAAAAGGGACACGTTTGGGCTTGGGGCTTGAACAGCTTTGGCGAAGCCGGATACGCCAAGGCTGCCGGCAGCGACGATGTCGTCTTGCCGTTCCCCATGAAGATATCCGGTCTTCGCGGTAAGGAGGTGGTATGCCTCGCCGGCGGGGCCCATCATTCGGCGGCGGTCACGGCCGACGGGCAATGCCTCGTTTGGGGCCGCTTGGACGGCGGGCAGCTCGGCATAGCCTTCACAGACGAGCAGCTTCAGGATACCAGCTTGGTCCGCCGCGACGAGCGCAACGCTCCACGTATCTGCCTCCGTCCCACGCTTGTTCCCGGCCTCGGTCAAGTCAGCCATGTGGCATGTGGCACCGACCACACCATTTTCGTCACAAGAGAAGGGACGGCGTATGTCACTGGGTTCAACTCAGGGGGCCAGTTGGGCCTCGGTCATGAAGACGATGTACAGGTTGCCCAACCCATTGGAGGTAAAGCCTTGAAAGACAGGACGCTTGTTTGGGCGGGAGCTGGCGGGCAATTCTCAATACTTGCAGCTCGCTCCAGGGCATCTCTCGCCGAACGCAACTGACAGCCCGTTCACCGCCATCTCCTTCGCCTGTCTTCTACATTCAAGTGTATGACTCGCCTTGAGTAGAGAGTACAGCAGGCTGATTCTCGCCGGATTCTTTGTATAACGCATGGTTGGTCCCCATATATATTGCATTTTAGGTGTATATCGACGCATTCTCTACATATACGAACACTATCAATTCTCAATCTCGCACTCCGTGATCAAACCCGGATCCAGTCGACAATACCCCTCTGTGACCATTGGTATTACCGTTAACCTCACTGCAAACTTGTTCTACTGGGTGAACGGCGCCATGTCCAGAGGAGGTCCTCGGAATGGAATTCGGCGTTGTTGACCTCATCATCATCTCGGGACTCGATGATCTTCATCCACTGCTTGGCGTAGGTAGCAAGCCGCTCGGCAACTCTGGCACTCATCAGTTCTTAGTTGAGGAGAGGTATGTGCGAGGGCAGAACCGATGGGATGATTTTTGCGGTCTAACATGATTCGGCAGGACAGTGGGTTGCGTTGCTTCTCGCCATTGGTGTCCGACTTGGTGACAAGCTCCTCGTATCTGCGTTGACCATTCTAACACCCGGCGAGGGCCTCCCCTTCTAGTATATGTAGCCAGCACTGGCGTCTCCATCCGGCGGGCGACGCGGTCCATCGATGAATCGACCTAATCATGTTAGGGCTCCCGAGTGAACCTAGAATAGGGTACGCAAGCATCAAGCGCGACAAGTGCTGGTTGGTCATGGTGGACGCGGTGCTGCTTCTATACCCAAGCAGAAGTAAAGAACGTTTACCAATCTGCCTAGCCCTAATCCCCGGTAACTGGCTCAGTCTGCCAGTGGAGAGCGTGGGCATGGAGGTGTTGAGGAGTGCGCACTGAAAGGAGAAAGGGGGGGGGGGGGGCAATTCCATCGTCCATCAGTTTGACGCCGGTTTTGTAGCGGAAGCTCAACAGTTTGACACAGTCAGCTCGTGATGTACTAGGAGAGTGAAATCGGTCAAACTCAGAATTGACGAGCGCCCTTCGGCTTTCCGAGTCAGTATGAGACGTCGGGTCTTTCGTCCCATGGGACTTAGGAACTGAGCGCTATCTTTATCACCCCCTTGGTTGCACCTAGCTCGGATGATCAAGTGCTGCCTGTGATTGCGAGGGTGGATGGACTCGGGCCCGTCTGAAGGGAAGCCGAAGCCTGGGTTGGAATGCCCGAGTGCCGGAATTACCATGCTCACTTGGGCCTGAACAGGACGGGTCTAGGTCACGCTCCTCTCTTCAACCCCCTCTGAAGGACCGTATATGATCGATAGGAAGGAGTGTGGATCTGACGTCTTCGTAAGAAGCCATCCATCCACCATCCACTTTCGAGGCCGTCTGTTCATAGGAAGATGGCGGGTGACACCAATAATTGACCCTTGGCTCGGCGCTGAGGCATCTAGAGTCCGTCTTCGGCCGTCCTCTTGTCGGTCTTCTCGGTATATAGTGGTCAGTCTCAAGACGAACCACTTACACCCGCTGGGCAAATGATAACAATACAACCGTTGCAACCATAGTTGTATAGATCGATAGTGTGCTGGTCGTCACGCACAAAGCAAGATCAGAGATCGTCCCGTCAAGTAATAGGTAGGCTTCCTCCTTTCGATGTGGTTTGGTTTGTTGGCCGGCGCACGGTATCATCTTTGCTCTGGACCGGTTGGTCGACAATGATAACTGGGCAGTGATCCCTTATGATCGAGTTGACGCGCAGCTGTCGAAAAGCCCGCAGGGTTCCCGGAGTCCTGTGATGGGCCGCCGCGAAGACGTGATATGCGATAACGTAATCGAAGCCAATAAGACGTGAGGTGAGTTTTGCCCAAGACGAAAACAGTTTATCACTCGCAGATTCAGCTACCGGATCTGGATGAGCCATCTTTGGATACTTATCGATCTCAGTTAGCTCCCCAACCGGGCGTAGCTAGGATACTTGGAGAGTCTATTTAAACAACCACGCTTCCCCCGCAGTTACACGGGCAGATTGACGATCTGAACCCAAGGCTGTGTTGTCGAATCGCGTTCACTCCTGCGGCAGCCGACTTGAGCGATCTGGTTGAGCACGTGGACTGACGTTGAATTAAGGCACCTACACTTGTCTGGCCAGCACGCCGCCCTCCCGGTACCCCTGATGAATTCCCATCTTGGAATGCTTCACATGCAATCCCGATCAAGGCTCGGATCCTCGACGACTGTTGTTGGGAACGAATCCATGAAGACGTCATGCCGAATCAAATCATCCCCGAAACTTATATGAGGGTTAGGGTGCGACGCAGGGTTCGCCATTAACGCGGACCGTGACCGCCCCTTGTCCGGAAGGATTCTCGATCGGTCATCAGTCCACAAACCGATTGTCCTGCGCTGATGTCAACGAGTTTGATGATCCCCCCGTTCCCCGCCCCACCTCGCAAAGAACCCTCGAAAGCTCACGGCGGGCAGTCAAACCCCCACGTCCAATATGGGCCCTCATTGGCCACGCTTGCGAGCCGTCTCGCCGATAATTTGTACGACCTCCCGGAAGGATTTCCCAAGTGCTGCTGAGAAACGGGACGACGGTGGTTGGACGGGTCGGAATTCAGGGTCGCCGCCGTTCGTCTGGTCCTCGCTCGATCTTCGTAGTCTTTCCGTCACAAGTGGCAACAGAATTGCCCATCTGGTCGAGATCTCATCGCGCCAGTCACGGCACGCAAAATATCCGGAGAGCATTCGAACCCTTGCGCGACGGGAATGGCTGGATAATTATTACTGAGGTGACGTACGCTACCGCACGGTACAATACAATACACGCGGTGGCTTGGCAGTATGTATCCATACATACTCCGTACACCGCCCTGCTTCAGCAAAGCGTTTCCCTTGTTCCACGGTTCCGGTTATCGCATGTGATACAGCGGGGCCTGCTCCAATGTTCCCCTCCAGGACACAGCTCCGAGCGAAGTCGGATGGCGGTTACTCGCCAGCAATTGGTCTCCTGGCGCTGTTGGTGTCGCTCATATACAAGACTTGAGGGACTCGACTCACTCGAGAGCCGTGGTGCCGCTCTGCGGGCCGATTCCGGGCATCAATATTTGCGAATAATCCATTTGGTGGAGCAGGCAGGAGCCGCACCATCTGCGACTTTTTGAGCCATCCGACCCTACTACGTACCGCATAGTGGTAGTTTTATTAAAAAGGGAGGGCTGCAGTACTTCGAGACCGTCGTTAGCCTCCGCAGTGGCTAAATTCGTCACGGAGAGAGACCCGCAATCCACCCGAAGAATGTCTTCCACCCAATGTTAGTGGACCAGCGGTTGGGCCCAATCTTCCGTGGCCCACAAGATCCATCGGGAAAACAAGGAACAGAAGACCGATGGCTCTGTGCTAGCTAACTCCGTATGCGCTACCCGGAAGCCTTCCATAAAGAACCAGTGAGGTGTTGCGCCTTGTCTGTCACCTCGGTGAAGAGCCGGCTCTCAATCGGATGGATGATGTGGCCGGTACGGGTGTGGTTGTGCGGGGTCCGTTTGCGGCCCTCGCTAAGCAGGTTCTCGAACTCTTTCAGAGCCTGTAGTCCTCATTTTAGGCCGAGCTTTTCGATGATTGACGACGTCCTTTCCTCTCCGGGTATGCTTGGTTGCTGGACTAATAGGTGAAAACCGTGATCTCGAGACCAAGCGACCGTTGTGACGTCGTCATCATGTCGACCCCGTCCATCGTGTACTGTATGTACATACATGGCCCATTTTCAGGGACCGGCAAAGCGCTCCGAGGGTATTCGTGCTTTTGCCGAGAAAGTCGACTGCCAAGTGAAAGGGTCGAGAGATCCCGGTTCCCGTGGTAGACCCACCCGTAACTCCGGGCCTAAGTGGACCCAGGCACGTGCGTACCAGTCTATATCAAGAGCGCTAGCAAATTCGGGCTCTGGTGCGGTTCCACTCAAGTTCTTAGAATCTGCCATGCCATGATATGTGTTCGACTGAGAATTGTCGCTTTTGGCAACTTTCTAAGAGACCTGTCTCTGTCAATGGGATACAACGCCGAGTTACATAGGCCGTGTCGCCCTTGGGACTGGGTGTCCCGCCGGGCGAGTGAGAAATCTTGAAATCTGCCAATCAGCGAACGCAATAAGCAGGTTCTACACAGTAACAGGCTCTCGACGGTTTCGCATGTCGTTCGTTCCCAGGTGTGGGGGTCCATGCAAGCACCCATGCAGGTGCTCTCAACACCCTGTCGTTGTATTTTGTACCCGGTACTTGTTCGTTCATTCTGCTCGCCACCGTCGACTCTGCCAAAACCCCGTCTTGGGCGCACGTCGTCGTCCCGTGGATACGCAGTGCTTCATTGCTCCGGGTAGTTGACCTTGTTGACGACATCCATTCCTCTGCAAGGCGTCGTTCCAACTGTGAGGCTGCATAGCTGTCTCTCGCGATCTAGATCCTAGGAGGCTTTCTGCACCATGTCAGCGCCATGTCGGGCCGCGGGTTATTGACAAATTTTATACTGCAAAGCAGCGCTTCTATTTTCTGTCACCCCACACAAACTTACAAGTTGGGGCCAACCAGGGACTGATGGACTTCCCGCGTTGCCAAACCACGCGAGCGCATGGTGTACGAGCCCGCGCGCCTAGCGGACAAGGCAAAGCTTCCCGCCTTGCTTGGAAAGCGGGGTGACGGGAGCGATGTCTTGCCTAAACACGACGGAATAAGGTAAACATCCCCGAACTGTCCATGGCGATATACTTACTGCTGCGCGGTGCAACAAACCCTCCGCCCTTCTGCAAACGACCGGTCAAGCGCAACAGCACGACATACGCCTCAGTGTCGCAATCCTCAGCATGCGCAGCATCAAATTATCAACATGGGCTGACAGCTGGAGCCGGGCTGGATCGATAAATACATACAGTACCTCCCTGCTGAATCCCTCCAGCAGCCTCGCGGCACAAACGTCCCCGGACCTCCACACCGAGGTGACAGCGACATTGCTCTCACGGCGCCTGCCGCTGAATGCCCACGCGGGATGACATGCCACATTTTATATGCTCGAGGCTGGCGAGGGGAGATTGGGGGTCAGAGTGCGGCCCTGAAGCCATGGGTCGATCGCTCAAGTCGAAAACTCGCTCGGCGACACGGCTAAACTCACGTCTAGGTATCCAACCAAAGCATACCACAGTAGCTACTGTACCGCCTGTCGTTGTTGCTTGGTGTTCCTACCACAGACCAGGCCAACGAGGTCTGTGAGCGCTTCACGTCGGGCCGACACAAAGCGAGCAACAGCGTCTTTAGCCTGCCTAACCTTCTGCCGTAGGATGCGGAACATGGGCGGAATGGTTCCCGAGCTGGTTGCTGGAAGTGATGAAACCTGCCAATCGAGCTGATGGGTTACAGCCAGGTAGTGGTTATGGTCGAGACTCGAGAGCTGACGATGGAACCAAAGGCTTCCCTGGTACGATACCCGGCTTCTTGATCACCTCTGCATTTCCTTTCCTCGGCCATAGTCATACACAGTATCACTGAGGGACCAGGTCTGCAGATGCCTCGTGGGGGCCGCTCCAGTCTGGGATCGAAGTGAAATATGGGGTCGTGTCCGTCCGCTACGCAGTCCCTGCTCTCTTCAGCGTTTTATTAGTGTATGTACGGATAGTGCTAGAGACAGCGGCCCTCGCTACGCTTTCGCAGTTGAGAGCCCCACATGCTCCTGCCTGCCGCAAAGCTGCAGTGGAACTAAGTACCGAAGACTTTGGTCGATTGCGATCCACGCAGGGCACCCGACCACAGCTTCCGGTTCGCGGTGATATATTACCAGCAGTGTATTTTTTACTGAAGCTTCACCAGATCCATCCCTTTGTATTCCATTGTATTGTTTACATAGTCAATCATTGTCGTGTTGTATAGCCATAACCTCTGTCATTTAAATGCACAATTCTCCGTACCGGGTTGATGCTACACACCTAAGGTACTATCGACAGACCGTCAACCCCCTTCTCATGGGCAGCTCGAAGCAATACAGTACAGGACTGTACTTACGTATCCATTACAGCACAGTATGAAATCCGTGTAGTTGTAACTGCTCGATCAGCACAGCAACTTGAAGCGAGCTGAGGAGGTCTTGTGGCTCGAGACCTACCGCAGGTATATACTCAATTCGCAACTGCATTCAGCGAGACATAACAGGGAAAACGGCTAGTTCACTAGATGGTCTGAGTGAAAGATCACTCCGAGTCGTCCCGGGTCATAAGACGCTTTGAGATCAAGATGGGTTTCCGTTGCCTTAGTATTTCCAGCATGCAACTTGAATGTAGGTACCTTCGTAATTACCACACATAATGTGTAACTGGCGTCCTCAGAGCACTGGCCACCCCATCCACGTTGCCGCTGCAGCAACAAGCGCACCAAGTGGATGCATCCCACCATTCCTCCGTCTGCAGTGTGGGCATCGTGGATCTGCCATCCGCGAGCCGGTAACAGTAGGTTGAGCAGGACGGCTGCGGGTAGAACTAGAAACTGACATGAACCGTCTTCTACAAACATACATGCTCAGTTGCACAAGGCACGAGCGGTAGTTTCCAGCGGACAGGCTCACCAAGGGATAACTTGCACGACGTAAGGTATCTACCGCAACCTTCTCAGAATTCCAATTGCTCTCTTTGTCTCTCAGGGATCAAACTCACGCTTGGTGCAGTAACAATGGAAGCGGCGGCCCTGGTAATGAATAGTACCCGCACTATCTAGCGGGGTCGAGTCTCGCCGCTACTAGTACCTCAGCACCTACGGTTCCTTCCTTGCAGAGCAGAGTATCATCTGAAAGCAATTAAGCTGCTCCTTCCTCTCCATCCTAGCGAGTTTCTCTCAACCAACAAGTTTCTTGAGAAGCAGCAGTTGAACGGAAAGCAGCCGGTCTCGGGCCGCATTTTCGTTTTCCATCCTCTTTTTCCAGCAATCACACAAGTAATAGCGGGTGCTGACACAGGTCGGCGGCACCCACACTGCCCCCCAGCCTAGACCGGCTGCAACTGCAAGCACCACGTTAAGCGGCCTGTGCAGTCACCCGAGCGTGGGGAAAGTCTCAAAACTACCTAAAGTGCAAAGCAGCCAACGCTCGTTTCCCGTGGGAGAGTGACTCTTCCTTCCATTTGGAATCGCCTGATTGACGTCGCCGAGAGGGCTTCACCATTGTGCGACAATGGCAGCGACCACGGTGAATCCCTTCGCAGCATCGAGTCCGTTGACTCCAATGAACCCGACAACAACAGAGCACGATTACCGCTTCCCGCGAAGGCCAGCCGACGCAGCACCGGGCTATCGGAAACCCGACCGATTCGACCCATCCTCCCTCATGACCCAGACCGCCAGCACCACCAAGCAGACAATATCGTCAGCAGCAGCACCGCGTACCACGACGGCGTCGACCACGTCCGCAGCGAGGAAACCCGGTGCCGCCCAGCGCGCCGCGTTGCATCAATTTGGCCTGGATGTGCCTGCGACCCAGAGCGACGGCCAGCATGAGTTGCTTCGTGCAGCCGCCTTCCCGCCTTTCCAGCAGTGTGTTGCGAGTGAGTTCCAGAACCTGGACGAGATGCAGAGGCAGGATCCGCTGGCCACGCAGGTCTGGAGGTTTTATGCAATGACCAAGCAGCGTCTCCCTGCCCGGGAGCGCATGGAAAACCTGACGTGGCGGATGATGCACTTCAAACTGCCCAAGCCCAAAGATGTCGAATCTAAAAAGTAAGACTTTTGTCTCGACGAAATTCCAGGAGAAAAGAGCTGACTTTGTTGCCGTTGGCAAAGAACCAATCGCCTCTCGGGTGCATCACTCAATGCGCCCAGCGGAATTGCGCAATTGCGTAAGACATCTGAGGACGCTTTGATGCAACCCGAGCCTATGAATCTCGATGACTTTCTCAACAACGACAACCTAGGCACGCCGGCCGGCCCGGAAGCCATGCGGCAGACCGAAGAGAAGTCGGCTCATAGCACAGCCTCGGCAATTCCGATAAAGTCTCGCAAGGAGCCGTCCCAGCATCCGATACCTCAATCGGTGCCGGTCGCCGCCCATCAGAGGGTGCGAGACGAGTTTGGCTATCTCCCTCGCCATCAGCGGAAGACTAGCATCGACGAGACCAGCCAGCGTGTAAGTCTGCCATCCTCGTTTCGCAATGAAGGTTCCGCTTGGGGCATGTTGCCGGCGCCACGACCCCAATAAGCGCTGGCGACGTCGATTCTGATCTATTTCATCTTTCCAGACACGGAAACGGCCTGCGAACTTCTCTCCACACGTTTCCGCTGTCAGCAGTGGCTTTGCAGCAAATGGCCTTGATGCGGATTCTGATCTCCAGGAGTATTCGCTGGACCACTTACAGCAGACGGGCATGACACAGCCGCCCAATCACGCGGGAATCCCGTTCCCGCTCGACACGTTCCGCTTGCAGAACGATCCTATCATAACTTCTGCCGGTCCCTTTCAGCAAAGCTTCTCCTTCTCGCCAGCTAGCTCGCCAATGGTTGCCCATGATCCATTCTCGGCCATGTACAATGGCTCCTCGATGCAGCCCAGCTCGCTCGGCGCAGATTACTATTCTCCGCCAGGTTCCGCTTACCCATCCGCAGTTTCAACTCCTCATCCTTTAGCCGAGAGCGACGGCTTCTACTTTGGGCCCATGGATGTGCGGCATACGCGCCAGCAGGCTTACAGAGCCGGCCATCCCTCCATGGCCAACGCCATGGGCCACCAGTTTCCCTACGGCGTTAATGGCAGCCTAATGTTTCCCGCTGCTTCCGCCGGTCCCGATACTGCGTCTACCTTCACCGCACCGGGCTCTTTCGGTCATATTGACCCGACTCAAGTGTTCCAGCAGGAGCAGAATGCCCGCTCCCCTGGTGTCGGGTTGGGCCAGGATAATGTGTTCTCATTCGGTGCCGATTCGGACGAGGAGGAAGGCGCTTTTGCTGATCGTAATATTCCAATCCCCCAAGACTTCTCGCCTCAAGGGATGGATGATGGCGGGTTCGACAGTTCATCTCTGCAATGGGATCCGTCCCTTCCCGGCAATTTCAGCACGCAGGCTGCGAGGTACCCTGCGGGGCCTCCCCGAAAGCAGGTGACGATCGGTGGTACCACAACGGACTACGTCGATGCCAGTGGCGAGTGGGAAGGAGGAAATCTGAATAGGTCGCAGTCCCAGTCCTTCCGCCAGACGAATGGGCGCCTTGGCAAGGTGCCGAGGAATGCGTCGACGCCAGGCTTGGCCAGCAGGGGAAATCCGTTTGACCGACTCGTACGATCGACGCCGAACTCACCTCCGGCGGAGCAGAATCTGCCCTCTGGTCTCCAGTCCGTGACAGCCAGCCGGCCTTCGTCTCCTCCGCCAGGATCGAGGCAGGGATCCACAACTAATCTCCAGGGGGCAGGTGGCAACCAGGGGGAGAGCAACACGCCAACTACATGTACAAACTGCTTTACACAGACAACGCCGCTGTGGCGCCGTAACCCTGAGGGCCAGCCCCTTTGCAACGCCTGCGGTCTCTTTTTAAAATTGCACGGCGTCGTCAGGCCGCTGAGTCTGAAGACGGACGTTATCAAGAAGCGCAATCGCGGCTCCGGGGCGGGTCTACCCGTGGGCGGCACCAGCACCCGTTCTTCCAGGAAAAGCGCCAACGCAAGCGCCTCCAATTCGTCGACCAAGAAGGGCTCGTCGCTCTCCCTACCGCCCAACACCAACAACCCCCCACCCGCACAGGTATCAACACCGCCTTCAGCTACAACTCAGGGTCACCGAGCCGGCAGCGCCCACGAGGGCGACAGCCCCGCCAGCGCCTCCGCATCTGCTGGCAACAATACTGCCGGGAGCACGCCGACGAGCTACGCCGGCTCTGCCAGCGGCGTGGTCGGCGGCAAGGGCGTCGTGCCCATCGCCGCCGCTCCGCCCAAGAATACCCCTGGGCCCGGGGCCGGGGCGACGGCGTCGTCGCTTCCGCGCTCGACTGCCCTCGCCTCTGCATCCTCATCGTCATCGAAGCGCCAGCGCCGCCATAGCAAGAGTGTCGCGGACCACCAACATCACCAGCAGACGCAGCAACACCACCACCAGCAGCAGAGCATGTCGGCCAGCGGCATGGATATTGATTCGCCCGAGAACTCGACGGGTTCCAACGAGGCGGCGGCTGCTACTGCTGCCAGGCCCCTCGGCCCGTCGAGCACAGGCTCCCGCCTGCATAGTACCCTCACGCCCAGCCCCGCGATCGGCTTGACCCTCGGCGCGGCTGGCCAGAGAGGCGGCCCGCTTGCCGGTCCGGGCAGTCAGCGTGCGGGACCTCAAGAGTGGGAGTGGCTTACCATGAGTCTTTGAGCCGGCTGTTTTTGGTTTGGTGGTGGAGTGATTGTATATATGCTATGGCGGCGTGGGGAGGCAGAGGGGGGTTTATGGGCTGGGTTGGGCTGGGGCTGCTTACTCGCGGCATGTGTGGATGACTTGGTCTACCCATAATGTTTGGTTGTTTCTACTTTTTTTGCGGTTTCGTTGATACCAGGCGGATATTTTCTCTTCTCTTTCCCCGTCTCCCCGCTCTTGATGGGTGTTGGTTTGGTCTATAGAGGGAGAGGAAGAGAGCATACACACCCTTGAAGACGAATGAGAAAGGGAGAAAGAGGGGAAGACGGAAAGGAGAGTGAGAGTGAGAGTGGAAAAGCGATGTGGTGACGGCTCCGCTTCTTTCTTCGCTCCAAGCCTTGCGTCACACATACTATACCACCCGGGGCAAGGTATGGGGTAGGGTACAATAACCCTAACTGGCAGCATCATAGTTACTAAGTTATCTATCTCTCACTCAGCGGAGGAAGGGGATCTTTTGGCATGTCGGCCCTCCACCTCCTAACGAAGATACAAAGGGTTGCGAACGGCCTTCGTTTCTACAGTTAGATTTCTCTCTATCGCTAATTGCATTCCGGGATCCACCCTTCCTTACTTCGCCTCCCCAATCCGGATCTGGTGACGACGGAAAGTATTACCGAGGGAACTCGGGTTTGTTATCTCTTTCTGTTGTTTGCGTTACGCGCTTGGATCGGTGATCGATGATGGATTTATGGCTATGTATGTGTCGGTGGTGATGGCCTGGGATGGGCTGGGCTGGTTGGGTTGGGTTGGTGTTGACAACGGACAATGGATGACGGCCGGGATGATACCCACTTCCCGTCTTCGGGATCTCAGTCTCGGATGAGGGCCGGCGAGACCTGACGACGGCGATCAGGCTCGACTGAGGGGAGGTTAACAGCACGGGGGGGTTGGGTAGGTGGGGAGATGGTTCGCCTCAGGGCAGGGGTGGACTGCGCTGAGACGATATGAATCTCTTGCACTGGTGAGCTGGTGTCGAGGGTCACGGTTCAAGAGCATGGAGTTAAACAAGAAGATGGGGCAGCGGCCTAAGCAACGGTGACAGGCTATCGAAACCTACCTACCTCCTGTGTATATACGCGAGTTCGTCTCTTCTATATTTACACGAACGACTAGATGACGGACGGGCTGAGGCCGGGGAGTTGTGAGTTTGAATTTTGAACGGTCTGGGTTTTGCTGTTTCTTAGAAAGCTCTAGTTAGTTATGCCAGTTTTCCGGAGATCAGCTTTTGAAGGATCCGATCCAAATTCAGTCCGAGTTTGAAGATGATGCTGCTTCAGATAGCAACAGCCTGATTTTTGATCGTTCAAATGCTTTGGGTGAGAATACAGGCTCAAGCACTGCTGGGTTTGCTTTGATTAAGTATTGCATTTGTATGAGGTGACAATGCCCTTCTCGGCAGACATGACCCCTTCCCATATTACATGTTTACAGAATTCTAAGAATTAACCCGTTTCCCCTGCCGTTGACAGCCGTCAGAGTTTATTAACCATCAAACATTCTCCAAGATCCCCCGTACACCACCAGCCTTACGCCAGATACCCATCCCGTACCCAACCTCAACCACTCCCCTAGCAAACCGCCAGCTTCGCTCCTGGTCAGGGACGGGGTACTGCATGGGCTTGGGGATGGCAGTCCGGACGCCGAGCCAGGCCGCGCGGTCCTCGCAGACGGCCTTGATGTTGCACAGGCCCCTGAGCCCCTCCTCGCCGTAGAAGCGGCCGTAGCCGGAACCGGCTACACCACCAAAGGGCAGCTGCACCGCGGCGGTGGCGCCAAAGTCGTTGACGGCCACCATGCCCGCCTTGATGCCCCGGACAATTTTTGCGAGGCGCGGGTCCGACTCGGACCCAAAGACGGAGCTGCCCAAGCCGAAATGCGGCGCGTTGGCCACGGCAAGCACATCGTCGGCCTCGCCCGACGGCGCGCACATGAGGACCATGATGGGGGCGAAGCACTCCTCGTTGGCGATGGCCATGTCGGGCGTGACGTCGACAAGCAGCGTCGGGGCAAAGTAGTGGCCCGTGGGGTGATCCGGGTGGACGAAGCGCTGGCCGCCGGCTAGCAGGCGCGCGCCCTGGGCGACTGCGTCGGCGATGAGGCCCTCGAGGCGCGCAAAGGAGCTGTCGGATATCATGGCGCCCACGTCGGCGGCCGGGCCGGGCCCCAGGCGTAGAGCGCGCACCCGCGGCTCGAGAAGGGCGATGAGCTTTGGGTACAGGGCAGGGGTGGTGATGATGCGCTCGATGCCGATACAGTTCTGGCCCGCCGCCTGGAACGAGCCGCGCAGGAGGATCTCTGCTATCCGCGGCAGGTCGCGCTTGCTAACCGAGTCGAGGACAATGGAGGCGTCTTTGCCGCCTAGCTCGGCGACGACGGGCGTCAGAGCCTTGGCTGCCGAGGCAGCGACCTTGTGACAGACAGGGCGGGAGCCGATGAAGGTGATGTGGCTGATGCCTGGGTGGGACGTGAGATGGCCGGCGGCCTGCGGCCAGCAGACGACGGTTTGGACGAGAGCCGGGCTGTGACCGTGGGCGACCAGTGCTCCGCGGATAATGTTAGTGAAGTAGGGCGAGCTCCAGGCCGTCTGCTCAGAGACCTTGACCACGATGGCGTTGCCGGAGAAGAGAGCACTGATGACGGGACCGATCAGGTTGTGGAAGGGGTAGTTCCAGCTGACAAGGGCGGCCACGACGCCGAGGGGTTCGTAGTGTACCGTGTTGCGCTTGTATGCCATGAGCAGGTTGGTGGGCCGCCGCGACGGCCGCAGTGCCTTCTCGCCGTGCTTGATAGTCCATTCGAGCTTCTCGGCAGTCACGAGTATCTCGCCGAGCTGGGCGTCAACCATGGTCTTGCCGCTGTCGAGGCAGGCCACGCGGCAGATTTGCTCCTGATTGTCCAGAACGTGCTGGAGCAGGGTGCGGAGAACGGCACGGCGCTCACGGAACGAGGTGGTAGCCCATGTGGCCTGGGCGGCCCGCGCTTGCTCGATGGCTCTGTCAATGGCATTTGGTGTCGCCGGGTTCACGTGGCCGAGGAACTGTCCTGTTGCCGGGGCATAGCACTGGATTGCGGTAGAACCCGAGATCTAAGAGTAGTCCATGATCGGTCAACTAGGTACCATATGAGAGATTCAGAGTCATGAAGTGCAGCGTACCTTGATTGCCGGCTGCTCAAGGATCTCGACCGGGTCCGGCGCCTTGGGAGCCTGAACCGTATACCGGATCGGCTTGTCGTTCTCGCGCATGGCGACATAGCAGACCAAGAGAGCGCTCAAGGCTGTCCATAAGAGTGGCCAGGCAAAAGTTGGGACCCCATGAAACCTGGCAACCACCTTTCTCAGTATCGCTACGCTGGCTATCCGCGAGGTTGTGATGAACCTTACGTGATGGCCTCGAGCGCGCCGCTGGGCTGCTGATGCAGGCTTCCGACTACTACTGCTGCCATTGTCGTGGCCCTGATATCCCTAGCCAAAGCTTCACAAACCTTACCACATTACGAGGACCGATGTGGCGGCAGGGAGGTGCTGCCCAAGAAAAAGATCCAACAAACTTGACGGTACTTTTTCTGGTAGTCGGGGGCCACTGTATCGGGATGTCACGCCATTTCTTCACTTTGATGGTTTCCCATGTCTCTTGCCAGGAACGGGCTGCAAGGGGTTCGTTGGCGGGGTTGGGAAAGCTTGACCCACCCGCTGCACCCAACGTATTTCTTGGCGCCTCCTGAAGACCTTCACCCTTGAGACTAATCATTATGGTAGGCCAAACATATCAGCTGATGTCACCGTGTCTATGTTCAACATTCCAAGTAGAATCCTAACTATATCGAACTTGCTCATGATGAAGAAGGATGTTCTACGAAGTAGCTACCGGTGGTCTACAGTGTAAAACTGCACATCATAATAATCAACCTGAGACCATGTTCTACGAGCAGGCAGGACTTGCCAACACATGGTACCACAACTCCCAGAGCCCAGCAGCTATACCTTCGTACATCTGGTTGGTTATGCTCCAACAGCCAAGTAACTCATATGTTCCCCCCTCACGCTGTCAAGGGCGAGCGAATTGTAATGGACAAAAAAGAGCTCTTGTATTGTACAAGTACAATAGGTACGACACGAAAGTGCCCCTCTAACTATTCGAGTCGCTCCCGCAACCAAATACTACTAAAGCAAAGACCCCAGCTTCGCAGATGCACCATCCAAAAACGCCCGGCTTCAGTGAGGGGGAATATAGAGGAAAAAGGAATTTGCAGTAGCCAGCGCCTGTTGGGGGCTTCTCCCCGTACCAACTGGGTTTTAACCCACCGCCACCACTACCACGACGACAACAACAACCACCTTTTTGGCCTCCCCTGCTCCGTACTTCGTTCGTGGGTGTAGGATATCATGCGACTTCCTTCATGCATGCATAGCGCATCTGGGATATCAGAGAAATCTGAGCGAAAAGAAACAAAAAAACCAAACGAGGACGAGGAGGCCGGCAGAAACCCGAGAAACAAGAAACAAGAAAAGACGGCAATGCAAACGCCAGTAATGTCGTCGGTCGGATTATAATATACAGCCAAGATCACTCATGCCCCTTCGTCAGGGATCGATGCTCTTCTTGGAAAAGGCGGACATCCCCCGTTTCCTAACCGTCGTCAGGTTGAACCGCCGCTGGCCCCCCGGTCCCGTTACGCCGTGTTCCGAGTGCGTAGACTCGACCCTGCTGAGCCGCGCCGCCGACGTGAAATCGTTGCTGGCCTCGAAGCTCGGTCGCACTCGGTCTATGGACCGTCGTACCCGGTCGTACGATGGCCTACAGCGATCTATTGAAGGCCGGACGCCCCTCTCCGGCTCCGCGTCTGGCTCTATGGCGTCTCCTTGGAGGTCGAGCGACGGCCTGTTCTGCATAATGTAGGTTGTGCCGTCGCTTCCATTCTGCGTGCGCGTGTTGTGCGTAGCGATGGACGGCGGATAGATGGGTCGCCTGTCCTCGTCTACGCTTGCGTATTGAGCATGCTTCGCTTTTCTGCTCCTGCCTGACATCTTGCCCGATGATGCCGACGACCCTGACGATGTGCCATCGACAGCCACAGTCGCTGTGGTCTTGCCATCGGCAGCTGTGTTGAGATCCGCGAACTGGCCTTGCTTGTCTTGCTCGCGAATTATGTCGACATCGTAAGGAAACCGTGTCTTCTGGATGCACTTGGCCACAATGCGCGGCAGCAGGCAGATGGCTGGCGTGACGATCATGCACATCCAGAAGCTCAACTGCTGGTAGAGCTGTGGGGCGGCCTGGTAAAAGGTGGCGGAGTAGGTACTAGCCGTGAATACCCCGGTCCAAAAGAAGATAAAGAGGTCACTGATTGCAATGACAACAAGCATCAACCAGTCCCACCGGTATGTGTTGATCAGAATGTATGCGTTGATAGTGAAAACGGCAGGGTGAGCGATGTAGGCACCCAGCCGCGTCCGCTCGGCAACATCGAGCGAGTTCCCGGCCGCCGTGACCGTTAAGGCGACGAAGATGTAAGGGATGAAGAAGCTCACGGCGGATTGGTAGATGCCGTCAAGCATGTAGATCCTGCAGCGCCGCGTTAGGACCCACCCGCAATCAAACACGGAAAATAGAGAATGCTAGTAGGGTAGGAAATATACTAACCAAAACTTCGACGGTGTCCATTCTTTCCGCTCAATGCCCCGCCGGTAGAGCTGAGGCACCGCCAGCGACACCGTATCAGACACATCCTGGTCCAGAACGCCCATAAGGATAACCGGGACCGAGGTGAAGAAGAGGTTGAACATCAGGATGTACGTGTACTCGTAGATGTACGAGATGTCGAAGTTGCAGAAGATCTGGAACCAGAAGATGGCCCAGGTCCAGATCATGTTCTTATAGAAGAAGTTACTTATCGACTCCGCTAAGCGCCGATAGGACCATCTGCCGTGGACCAGCACCAGTCTCTGCAAGAAGCGGAACTGCCCGATGGCGTAGTCGGACGACATGACGGCTTGTCGGCCTTCCTCGCCCGCAATGCCGACGCCGACGTCGGCTTCTTGAATCATGGCAACGTCGTTCGCACCATCTCCGATAGAAAGGGTCATGACGTCGAGGCCATTCTTCACCATGGCCACCACGGCAGCTTTCTGGGCAGGACTGACACGACAGCAGAGCACGGACTTGCACTGCTTGCACAGTAGTAAGAACTTCTGCTTGAGCGCATCGCTGAGTACCCACCGGAGCGTGAAGCCATCAATTACGAGCCCGTGGGTGGGGGCTGGGGCCTCGTGGTCCTTCCTAGCCTTCTTGAGCTCCTCGTCGCTCCCGGTCATGTTGAACTTGGCCAGGCCGGCATCAAGCTGCTCCTGGGCGAGGGTAAGATACTCCTCTTCTGTCGAGATACCAGCTTCGTCTTCCGTGACCTGCAGACGGATGAGGTCCATGTCGTTGTTCAGAAGGTTGCACGAGAAGCCAATGTTGATGGCCGTCTCGACCTTGTCGCCCGTGAGAACCCAGAGCTTGATTCCCGCGTCACCCAGTAGCGCGATCGTGTCCGGGACCCCATCCTGGAGTCGGTCTTCGATAGCAGTACCTCCCAGCAAGGTGAGATCCCGCTCGATTTTATCGGCCACCTCTTCGAGTTTCTCCTCGCGGTTTTCCAACGCTGTAGCTGCCAAATCATGCTCCTTCCGCCATTCATTGTACTCCTCCTCCGAGAGCTCTCTCTGCGCGATACAAAGCGTCCGAAGACCCTCGATAGCAAACATCTCGAGATGTTTTGCTGTCTCCCTGCGGAGTTCGGCTTGCTCGCCTTTCTTAAGACGAGAGTAGATGATGCTATCAGCCCCTTTGCAGAAAAGCACGATCCTACCGTCGGGCATCCTGACAATTGCACTCATCCTTTTCCTGCTTGAATTGAATTCGATGGTGTTGAGGACGGGGTAATGCCTCTCGGTGCCCATCACGTTCACATCAAGCCCGTCGCCGGATGAGCCGAGCACCGTGAAGCCCATATCGCGGGCCGCAGCAACTAGGGCGGCCTCGTCAGGGGACTGGGCCTTGAAAATCATTTTCGGGGGGTCGCCCGGCTGCTTCTCGCAAATGACGGTGTGGCAAAGCGCAAGCGCTAACATGAAATGCTCGTTGGCCTGCTGCTGCTCCGGCCCGTTCTTGCCAGCGAGGTCATCGACGAAATCGGGGGCGATGAAAGTCATGTCTTCGTCATGAAGATATGGGTTGTCGTGCAGCTGACGGAGACCACGGATTGCCCGCACTTTGGCCTCGGCAATCTCGGCCCGGATCTTGTTGGCTTCCTGTTCCACATCGACGCCTTGTCTCTTGTCCATGCCAGCCTGGGCTTCCGTGTAAGCCTCCCCGTAAGGCTGGCCGTTGATGGTTGCCTTTTTGAACTCCATGACATTCTGCGTCAGCGTGCCCGTCTTATCTGAAAATATGTATTCGATCTGGCCGACGTCGTCCGAGATGTTCCAGGACTTGGGGATGCACGGCGCATCAATCCGGTCGTAATACATGCCAACATCACTGTATATGAAGAAGGCCTGCAGCGTCCTCACGATTTCGAGGGAGATGTAGAGCGAGATGGGCACTAAGTTTTGGAACACGATGACAGCCGCCCAGAACGTGATGAAGCCAGTCAGGCCGGGCGTCCCTCCGATGGATCCGTACTCGAACCAATGAAGGGAGGCATCCGTTTTGCCCCAGGCGACACCGTTTGCAATTGCTGCAATCATGCACATGACAACCAGGATGCCAAAGTTGCAGATGACGCTGAAATTCAGCTCCCGGGCAATGCGGGCCCGCTTGCTCGGCGTGACACCAGCATTCATCATGATCTTTGTGTCGTGGCCGGTGAAAACGACAACGCCGAGCGCCCATTCCGTGTTCCGCAGATTGGTCCCACGCAAAAGCATGTTGTCGATACTGACGGGCTCCGACAGCTCCCTTGGTTCGGATGTGGGGTCCCAGGGCACCTTCTGCCGCCACTTGATCGCACCATTGTACTTGTAGAGGTTTGGCTGGGGGGGCTCGCTGTCAATCATGAATTGGGCCCGCGCACAGTCGCGAGCATGCTTCAGCGTCCGACCGCACCGAAGAGCCGACCGGACTTTAAGGTTGGTCTCGCCGTCCAAATTTTTCGTTTCCACATAGCAGGCACCGTCAGGATCCGAGGTAGCCAGGATAATGATGTCGGCGGGAAGCTCGTCGTCATTGTAGACGCGTATGAAATCACCTACAACCAGATTCTTCCACGCGTCTCTATGAAACCTCGCCTTATCGGAGACGGGCACATCATAGTTGATCAAATCCCCGCGAAAATTCTGGAGGAGCGCCGCCTCGTTCTCAACAGATGATGCGGCTTCGGGTAGTTGGGGTTTCCGCGGTACGGGAGATGGGACAGGCGTCATCTGGATCTCTTCGTGGGCCGAGGCAACGGAATGTCGCCGGCTAGGCGAAGCAACGGATTCCCACGGAGTTGCCCTCGTTTCGATCGACAGGCGAGGGTCAGCAGACGCAATGTTCTGACGTGCCAATTTTGCTTCTTTGTTCCATAGGCTCTCAATTGCGTGCCAAACTGCGCCGAAAAATCGAGAATTCGCCTTCTTGAACTTGCGCCATAGCGAGACATTATCCTCCTCCACGTTTACGTTCTCCCAGCCAACCAGCCTATGGACCGGTGCATTGTTGAGCTGGTTGTCCAGGATCGTCCTCCGATAGTCCTCGATGGCATCCTTGACAGCCGTGATGCAAATAATAACAATTATAGGAACGGCACTGAGCCCGGGATTAACACCGCCGAATATGGGGAAAATCTGTGATTGGCACCACGTCAACATTCTGCGCGCGGGAGGTTGAATCTCTCAGCGGTACTTACAGCCAATATGACAACGAAGAGGAAGAAAATGTTGGCGATATTATGGAATTGGAAGAAGAGGTTCTTGGGGATGAAGGAAAGGGGCGTGTATTTTGCGGTTCGAATCTTGTTCCGAGTGAACTGCTGTATAGGACGACCATCCTCGTCCTGGAGGTCTTGCGGTAACGGGAGGTTGAAGTATAGTTGCCTCGGCGCGACTGCGTGGGCACCGAGAGCCTCGCTCTTGACGCTGTTGCTGTCCTGCTGCTCTTGCACGCCATCAGGCTGCTGCGACGTCTCAGTTCCTCCAGACGCCCTCTTCTTCTCGCTAGATCCATTCCTGTTGTGTAACCTGCCCCTGATCGAAAGGCGCTTCAAAGAGCTGCTCTTGACCGTCAGCTTGCGGGTTGCCCATCGAGACCTTTTCGTCGAGGGTTCGGGCCCCATGCCGTCCCCTGGTTCTGACTTCGGGGGCGCCATGACCATTGGGATCGCGGGCAGAGCCCGAACACCCCTAGGGAGTCCGCCAGGCTAGCCGAGCCTGGCCCGGTCACTATCTCGACGCCACGGCAATCAATTCGCTTCGTCCCAAGGAACAGATTCACGGTATACAGTCGTGCTCTGATGATTTCGCGGGCTATAGGTGCTGCGGGCGATTGACGCGAATCACGAGCAGTCTCGTCTTGGGTAACGTAACGCCTGATTAGGACCGGTTGGTACGGGAAAAGAGCGGCAAGCCCACCGACAGGAAAGCAAGCTCGGTCGGACTTAGGGCAGCACCGTGGTCGTGATGTGTTAGGGAGGGAATTTTGTGCGAGACGGCGTTAAGCGTTGCTGGCGATAGCGGGCCGGAAGAGCCGGGATTTTGCAGCCCGCGAGAACGAGGGGACCATGCTAGTGTAACTGCTTAAGGCGAAACTGGGGGTCCCAAAATACCAAGGTTCTTCCTGGGAGCACCTGACATGTACGAGAAGCAGAAGAAAAAAGAGAAAAAATGAGGCCAATTCGGCAATATGCTATCGAGAGAAACAAGAGCTCGGGCACATTGCTTCCTTCCACGGTGGACAAAATGACAGAATCAAAAAACCTGGGGGCAGCCCGCTGAGTTCCGGGTCTCAAATTGGTCAGCAAAGCCTTGCTCTAAGCTTTCATTTACGGCACGGCGAACAGAGTGGGGCTGGCCATAGGAGACTGCGGTTGACGACACGCAAGAAATACATGAATGTAACGCTGCTGTATCCGTATGTACGGAGTACATACGAGGTTCACTAGTACTTTCCTTACCAAGCATTTGGCCCGCTCTTACTGCGTACTTCGCACATACAAACTTCTTCTGTTCGAGCGGATTCGTGTCCTTTGTAAGCAGCTTTGAGTCATCTGCACGCAGCGATGGCATATATCCCCTCATGAAATTCGCCTGGGGTTTCCAGTGGTGTTTGCTTGTACTGTGTTGGAGAAGCCACTCTCTACACTAAGTTGCTGGGCCGTCCCTAGAACATGCATCGTGCTCGCTTCGGTGGGGTTCGGTAGAACAAGATGGGCGGTTGCCAATTTGGCGTTGGCGATCTTGTTACAGGTAATTACAGTAAAGTCTGCCTCATACCCTCCAACTCCGCTGCATCTTTCCGCCAATTTCAAGCGATCTGCCCTACGGCTTCGGGTTTGGGCTGAAGCCCGGTGGCCGACACGCAGGCACCCTGGCTAGGGGGAATGTCGAATACCGTAACTAACAGGTCCTCGACTACGCTATCCGTATGTATGTACGTTGCGCAGAAGCCTCAAACTTCCAATGACGCTGATAATCAGTGAGGGATATCTTCATCTCCTATCAATTGATGCTTCGGTGGCCCAGAACTATTCGTAGACTATGTATCCGTACAATACATAAATCCGAGGTTAGCATACTAGTGTTACAGTATCACAGTGCTCCCACTGCCGGATGCCGCCTGGCCGTCTCTCAATCAGCCCTAAGCCATGCTGTGCCTGGATCCAGGCATCCTCGAATCAAAGCCACAGGATAGAGGTATTAGAGTTCTGCAGCCTCATCGCTACCTAGCCAGCAGCCTGAAAGATATGTGGGACATAGAAGAGCGAGCAGGAGCGGCCTGCGCCTCTTTCAAGGGGCCAAGGCCAGGCCGCCTATACAACTATGGATGGGTGTATAGCTGACCCAGAGACTCGACATCAGCCAGTCAGGTCATCGAGTGCACGCATAAACGTTTCTTTTCCATTTGTCGCTGGATTGTGGTTAAACCTGGAACGAAGCTCGGCCAGTCGACCGAGAGCTAGACTTTCTGTGCTTCTCTCAGTGTATAAGGTAGGTATGTAATTAGTTACTGACACTTGCATAATGTAAGGTTGCCGTTGTGTTACCCCATTTCCATCTGAGAGTAAGAGTGGCCGAAATGTACGAAACTACATACGTACTGTATCCGTACTTCGCATGGAGATACCGGTATGTAAGAGACAGGAGGCGAGTATTCAGGGGTTCCTGTGCCGCAATAGAGAATGGTACAGTAAGCCAACAGATCCGACCGACCATCAATTCCGACGGGAACCTGCGAACCCCAATTCTTTGTACTCCGTATCCGTAAGCAGACTTCTGACTCGGCGAGCTCATTGGTACATACAGAAACTTGGCCCGGTTGAGGACGAGCAGCCGTGGAATAACGCTCAAACCATCCATTTCTTGCAAGACCCGATCACACACAGAGATCTTTCTTGGGCACATCTGCTTCAAGTGACATTGGATCCCTATCCAGCTGTTTGATTGTCTGGTTGGCCTTGTGGTGTGCCACTTGAGTAATAAACTACACCCTCCTTTTTGACATTACAGGTACTGTAGAGTCTACCAATGCCTCGATAGATGAATGGCTTAAGTCATAGTCCCACCTAAATTTGTAACCGACGCGTCCTCAAGTTTAATGACGACGCGTTAAGGCGCCAAGAGTAGGTAGCGGGGTTGCCTAACAACTAACAAGAGATTCGTGTGTGCTCATTGAACACAACGCAACGGTCGAGAATGGCGAAGAACGGCACCATAACCAGCTTTTTCAAGTCGGTCGTCGTAGATCAGAAAGTTGAGCCAGAAAATTCAAGACCACCGGCCTCGCCAACCCCGCCGCGATCACCCTCGCCGCTCCCGCAACTATTCTCGTCATCTCCACCAGTCCCTGTACCGGCGGTGCGAGACCGCGGCACGGTAATCAAAGGCTCTGACGATGAGGACGACGATTTCGACTCTGATGATGATGAGTTCCCCGATTTGTTTACAAAGCCTTCAGTCAGTATTCTACCGAGTCTACCCTCCAGGAAAGACGGTGCCGGCCTTTATGCCACGCCCAAGGCGAAGCGGAGGGCGCTGGCGTTTCATTCGTCACCTTTAACCATAAACACCAAACACAAATTCGATATCAAGGCTCTCCTGAAACATGCAGAAGTAGACTCGGCTATTGAAGAAAACGAGCAGCGCACGGCTGCCCTCTTGGATCCCGCATCGCCTACAGCACATCGCGATGCAGCGTCAACCGCGGAGCCTACAAGTCTACACGACGCCATGCTGGATGTCCTCTCTGATCTTGAGGATATCCAAAACGAGGGCAACCGCGGAAGACTCCTCCAGGCCGTAAAGCGGACCGAGGCAACGGCCCGGCGGAAGGAGTGGTACTTTTTTGACCCCCAAGGCCAGGTTAACAGCTCGGCCATCGAGGTCCGCCAAGGCTTTCCAAAAGCCGCCGCTACGGGAGCCTGGGCCTTTCTTGGTCCGGAGAAGTCCAGGGCTGAGTTCTTCGAAGACGGGCTAGCGTACCACGTCCAGTGCAAGACATACGACCTGCCTGACGAGATCTTTCTATGGGTGTTGAATGAGACACCCCATGCGAAACCCCGAAAACTGCAAGACGAGTACTTGAGGCTCCTCGGTGTCTGCCCGGACCAGGCAGGCCGGCTCATGGATGAGGGGGTCATCGTACAGCTGTTCCGAGATCTCGGCGCCTCGGAGCGTGCCCTCGCCGCGAGGTCCCAACCTAGCGGAAGTTCAGGACAGGGTGCCCCTTACCCGGAACACGAATGGATTCGTCTACAGGCCGTTCTGCGTATCTTAACGGAGACCGCGCATGGTCTAAAGGTCCAGCCACTCACACGAGCCATGGCCATACTGCTTCGCCTCGGTATGGACAACATTGTGCGCGGAAACCAGAGTATTGCAACCACCTATCAAGATGCCCTGTGTCAGATTGCGTTAGCCGTCCCCTGGAAAGCATGGAACAGCTTTGTAAGAATCTTCACCGTACCTGCATGTTCTCTTTTCCCGCTCTTCCTAACAGCCTCGCCCGTTGCTAGTGTGGCGATGTAACCGATTCTCTTTACTCCCACACCCCAGAAGCTTCCCTCCGTTGGAACGCAGTCTCCTCCATCCCTCTGTTACATCCGCAGTTGGTGGAGCTGCGACGGCGGTTAGCGCTGGTATTTGTCTTTGACGACCCCCAGCGCGCCTACTCCCGGCCAGAGGACACCTTCAGCTTGCGGTCCGTCATCAACCGCCTTGACCAGGCCCATGAATTCGTCCCTGACCGCAACAATACTGACTACTTCGAGCTACTGGCGCTCTCCGAGATGCTGAGCGTGGCCATTGGTGACGGCGCGCAGCCCGACAGCAGCGCCAGCCCGGACGTCGTTAAACAGTACAACGCTGACGTGGACGAGGTGGCGCATAGGATCAAGCTCATATGGTCCAACATCCATGAGCAAGGGGCCGCCTACATGTCGAGGCTGGAAGCTCGTGTGCAGCTGAGGGATTTCGAACGCAAGCTCCTGCACGTGGTCCGGACCCGGCCGCCTCCCAAAGAGGATATTTTTGGCCTTGAGCCCACCGAAGATGATATTGAGCGGCCTAGACAGCAGCAGTTTATGACGAAATTCCTGGCTAAGAATCAGCCCGCGCCGAAAACGCCTGAAAGGGGACGGGAGGGCTAGTTGGAGCCTTCTCGACATTCAAAACAACATGCAGCGGTTAGGAAGGGGACTCAAGCCAAGAAGTGATTCAAGCCGCTATCAGTGGCAAAAGCTTATAATTCATGATACCAGTCATCCCTTGGCTCTTTGCATGATGGACTCTCCATCCGTCTTCTATGTACATGCAAACCTCCAGAGATACCCTCCCGTTTCCCATATCGGCTTGGCTTGGCTCGGCATTGCGTTATATATGTACATTAAATGAGGCTTGTTGTTGGAGATGCCGGGCCCGCAATCTGGTGAACGCTCATCGTGATCATGGCCCCTAGGCATGAATAAATAAAGCATAGGTTTTCTGTGCATCGCGGCTCCCGACTTTCAGTCGTAGAACCTGCGGTTAGGGTTCTTCCCAAACAAGGCTTCGCGCAAAAGCGGTAGCGAGCTCTCCTTGAGCCGAAGCAACCTGGTCTCAAATGTGTTGTCCATGTCGATCTTGCCCTGGCCACCAACGATGACCACACCCCCAGCGCTGCACGAGAGAAGAAACGTCCGCATTAGTGCCCGCCTAACGCATTGGGAGGTCAAGTATGCAAGGAAAGAGGCCACAACTGTCACTTACCATCCTTCTGGCAGCGGATCCTCCTCGTCAATGGTCGCGTTCACCTCCATGCCCGACTCCATCCCCTTAAACTCGGCAGCGGCCGCGTCGATGGCGGCGCGGACGACGTCGTAATCGGCCTTACGAGCGCGTATCTGCAGATTGGGCTCGTTCATGATGGCGAAGCCTTCGAGAATCAAATCCTTAAGGATGGACCCGTAGCGTTTCGGGTCCTTGGTGGCCTCGGGCAAGCGCTTTTCGGCAGCCTCGAAGATGCCGTCGAGCACGTCCTGGCGGGCGCCCAGCACGCGCAGTCGCGTCTTGTTGGCGACGGTCGACCGCGTGATCTGCTGCGACATAGTAGCTTGCTTGAACTTCTTCTCGTAGGCGCTGTCGATGGCGTCCGTCTCCTGCCGCACCAGCTTGGACTTTTCGATGGCGAACTCCTCGTTGGCCTTGATCTCGATTTCGCGCGCTTTTTCTTCCGCCTCTTGCTTGATGAAGGCTGTCATCTTGCGCAACTCTTGCATCACCTGTTTTTTGTTCGTTGGGTCGCGGTGTTAGCCATGGCTGTGTCGTCGCTGTCGTCGGTCTGGATGTGGAAGGGGGAAACTTTCCACCTGCGCTGCTATAGTGCGGTGGGACAAGCTTGGTGCTAGGGAATTCCCCGTACCTGGTCATCGGACAAGGAGTGAATTTGCGACATCTTGGGCGAGTGGTTGCTGGGAGAATCAGGGTGGTTTGGGTCGTATAGGGTCCTTTTGAGGGAGGAGGGGGAGCTGCAAGTGCGGCGCTGATAGCGATAAGTCAAGATTCAGGCTTCGAAGGGGTTCAGGATGGATGTACTATGGCTATGTCGATGAGGGATGGCAAGAAAAACAGTTTCCGGGTTGAAGTTAGTACAGAATGCTCGGCGATTCGCGGAGTTGCTATGCTCAGTGTTGTGCTGAAGGTTCGAGGATGGATGTCGTCGACCAACAGTCCAGTTGACGCAGCTCCAGCTACACGGCCTTGGCCATGGCGCAGGCTGACAGCTGCGACATCCACTCAGCAAGGATCGTCCAGCAGCACCAGCCACAATGCCCCTCTGCATCCATTGATAAGATAATCCCCGCCACAACCTCCACTCCGAGTCCTTGGAAGGCAGTTGGAGCCACACATGAAGCTCAACGCGCTGCGGCGGTGAATCCCTTTAACCGTGAAATTGGCCTATTTCTTGGCAAAACGCGAATCTGGCCAATTGAGCTCTGTTCCGGCCGCCAAGACGTGAATCTGTACAAATCGCTACACCCTCAAGGTGAATTTAACTGGTTTCCTCAGCCCAGACACGTAGAAACGCGTGAGAGGAAAGTTCACCAAGTTTTTATGGGGCGCCAAGCAATAGGCCAATTCCACGGTTAAAGGGATGAGTGCTGCAATCCACTTCCAACCCCCACAGGCGCCACCAGTGACATCTGTGCTGGCGTCAGAGGTTGTGCTAGGGACCACCAGCAGCAGCTAACGCTTCAGCCGCCGAACAGCAACCCGAGCACCTGAGAAGTCCCAGAGTTACTTCTCAGGTAGCTCATCATTCTAAGGTTACCTAGGTTCTTCGTTGCGTCTCACAAGTCCTCGTATCATTATCCCCCTTTGGCAGCCAGTCTCCTACATTTGCTGTGTTAAGGCCGATGCCTTAGTCAACTGACATTGGAGACCCCTACGGCCCGCCTGTCTCACACTGCTGCCGCACCCGGCGCGACAGGCCGTCTTAAGGCCACCTTTAGGGACAACCCCCCTCCGTCCCCAGTGCGGCCCGCATCCGCGCCTCATGATCGCACCCTGCAATCCCGTGGACCGGATGAACGCTACGCAAGCCCTCACGACAGACAATCATCCTCATCAAGTGCCGAAAAGCGACTGTTGATCATTGAGTGACGTTTCCGGCCGTCGAAACAATCAGTTGGACACCGGGGCAGGTCTTCCAAAGTCCAAGCTATCCAGCATTCTCTAGTCGTGATCTCTGCTTGCGATCGTCTTCAGCCTACCACCTATCGAGTTCGAAGCAACCCCGAAATTATACCCCTCGCCCACCTCTCGACCCTGTGCTGTCGCGTTTTCAGAGGATCTGTTTCTCCATATCCATGCCACCGCGATAGGACACCGCCCATTGCCTCAGCTGCCAGATGACTGCTTGTTCACTGGCGCAATGGGGCTCATCGGCGGCATATCCCCTGGCGGGAGCATCGCCGTAAGTTGGGACACTTTGACCTCGTTACGCTTATGCAGATGCTAACAGGCGCGGTACAACGACAGCTCGGCATTGTAGTCGGTCTTCTGTCCACAAGTGTTCAGAGTCTAGGCCTCACCTTACAACGGAAATCGCACATCCTCGAAGACGAGAAAGTGCCCTATGACGTGAGGCGACCACCCTACCGCAGGAGGAGGTGGCAGCTGGGGATGGCCATGTTCATCATCTCCAACGTGCTCGGGAGCTCGGTGCAGATATCCGTACTCCCGTTACCGGTGTTATCGACGTTACAAGCCTCAGGTCTGGTGTTCAACTCGATCTGCGCCACGCTCATACTAGGAGAACCGTTTACGAGGTGGTCACTGTGGGGGACCATGCTGGTATGCAGCGGAGCCGTCTTAATCGCCGTGTTTGGGGCGATCCCTTCGCCGGCACACACGCTGAGCGAGCTGTTGGATTTGCTGGGGAGACGCCCCTTCGTGCTCTGGATGTCGTTCCAGGCGGTCATTGTCATTGGCATCGCAGTCGCGACTGAGCTTGTGAGCAACTTGACGACGCTGATGCAGGACCTACGGTTCCGCCTTGCGCGCGGCTTCGCCTACGGGTGCATAAGCGGCATATTGTCTGCTCACTCCCTGCTGGTGGCCAAATCTGCCGTCGAGCTGATTGTCAGGACTATCGCCGACGGTGATAACCAGTTCGTCCACTGGCAGTCGTGGATGCTAGTTCTCGGCCTGGTTATCCTCGCTCTCACGCAGCTCTACTACCTTCACCGGGGACTCAAGCTAGTCTCAACCTCTGTTCTTTACCCATTAATATTTTGCGTCTATAACATCATTGCGATCATGGATGGCCTTATCTATTTCCGCCAAACCGACCTCATCAGCCCGTTACATGGATGCCTGATTGCTTTGGGCACTGTTATCCTCCTTTCCGGTGTCCTTGCGCTCTCGTGGCGCCTTAGTGACGAGCAGCACACTCCTGGAGTTGGGCAGTCGACCCTGGCTCCAGGCCTAGGCCTCGTCGAAGACACAGAGGGCGAGGAAGAAGAAGAGGAGCTCCTACTGCACCCTACTCTCGGTGAAGACGAGGAGAACGCACTACCAACACAGCGCAGCTATCAAACATTCCGACCGGCCAAGCCCTCAGAAATAACCCGGTCGTCTACCACTCCCGCGCCACAAAGACAGCGGTCGATGGCGCGGTCTACGAGGACGATCTCGTCACGGTGGACCGAGCGAGCCGAGATATGGGACGAACTCGAGGATCGCAATACGCCAGATTCGGTATCTCCCTCGTTTGCCAGGAGGCGGTCAACGACATTGCCCGGTCCCAGAGATCCGTCGGCGTTCCTCGGACCGTCGTCCAGCAGCGATGCTGCCGCTGACACCGCCGCCGTTGAAGAAACGGATCCTCTCCTACTCTCAACACCTAGGAGGAACTTCAAGCGGAGGCGCAGGTCAACCGGCTTTCCGGGCTTCACCGCGCGGAAGAGCACCGGACGCAAAACCTCTGGTGGATTCCAACTACAAGACTCGGCTAGGAACTTCTGGGGCTGGCGGTGGTGGGGGAATAGACCACGCAGCAGGCCGCTAGGGAGTGCGGACCTGCCCCAGACCGGTTTCCCGGCGTATAGAGATCCTCCTGCTGAGGGCCAGGCTCACGCCGGCCCTTCTTCCATGGAGGGCTTGTTGTCTTCATCGCCGCCTCCCATGCCGCCGCCGCCACCGCTGGATTCGAGGTCCAGCTGGGGGCCTGAGTCAAGGCCAAGTAGTAAGAGGCTGGGTGACTCCCCTGTTTAGAGGGCAACAGGGTTTTGTTCCTTTCTTAGTCGGTGAAGAGGATCGTCATTGATAGCGCTGCATACGACTATATCCTCTTTCTGTTCGTCTTTGGCATCTGTTTCGGTGAGGGCCGGTATACCGGGGTGTTACGTATAATGCATCGGACGTTTTTGGGCTGTTTGAGTCTGTCCTGATCTTGATTATGATACCTGGATGTGGACACGCTGGCGGCAGGTTGGTACCTTGGTACAGGCATAATAATACCATAATACCTGTTGGATAGACCCTGTAGAAGCTGAGGGTTCAGGAACAGGAGTATTTATAATCTGTTTTACGCACAACCTACTTGGCAGTCTGGTACTGCAGAGCATGACTCCTATTGCATCGTGACAGATTTGAAAGCAGCTGGTATCTTTACAATGTGCACGTTTATGGTTTCGTGCAAACGCTCTCTACAAGCAATAGAGTGTGACAAGGATAAAAACGCTCCAGGCGAGACCCAACCGCCAGGCACTTGAAATTGAGTGATTCTCCTCCTTCTTTCATATGTCCAAGATTCTGTCCCAGAAAATCGATTACCCAAACACTTCGCCGGGATCTCTGACCTTTCCCTCGACACAAGTCCTAGTATCAGTTCGAGGTCGCGCAGTTTGAGCCGCAAGCATGGGTACTCAAACAGGACCCGGAAAGCCCTTCCTTCGTACCCTGGCGACAGGAGAAATCCTCTTTTCAACCCGCCTTTTCAGATCCGCCCAGCGCCGCTCTTTTCGTCGATATGCCGGAACCGCTCCTTCTCCTTGCGCTCCTTCAACAGGCAGGCCGTGGCCATAATGAAGATGACGTCGATGCCGACGATGCCAAACAGGGCGGTAAAAATGTTGTCGATGAAGACGTTGGCGAACGACGTGATGGGTGCGGCGCACCCGCGCATGAGGGCGGCGGCCGCCTTGCTGGGGCAGGTGGTGTCGGTGACGAAGAAGGGGAAGGTCTCGCTGTTGATGTAGCCGCAGCATTCAAACTGGGTTGTGGGCTTTAGTCCAAGGGTCGCCATTTTAAAAGGGTGGGTCAAGGCAAAACTTACTGCCGTCTGCATGAGGCTCTTGACCTCGTCGGGCTGCGAAGTGAAGAGCGGCTCGAAATCTTTGCGCGTCTTCAGCGTCAGGATCCACAGGAACAAGCCGACAACCATGCTGAATATGGCGCAGATGACGGTGAGGTAGCCGCCGAGCTTGAGCCAGCGTCGCGAGTGTGTCGCTAATCCGGGGAGGGTCGAGATGAAGGTGATGAAGACAAAGACGGAGTTTGCAATTCCCGCTGTAGCTGGTGTTAGCGAGGCTCTCTTTACCATCCAGTATAGACCCGGTCACTGACCTTCCAAGGGAAACCTCTGGTACAAGAGATTCCTCGCCGCCTGTCTCCCATCGGTAGGCACCTCATTCCGGATGTTCCCAACCACGACGGAGAAAGTCAGGATGAAGATACCCATAAGCAGGAAGAGGCCATCGATGATCATGTAGACCAGTTGCACCTTGTTCACCATCTTGTCGGGCCTGTTTGGGGAACCCCTAAATATTCAACTATTCTTTTTCCTTCCCGTTATGAGCCCCTCCACAGCGTGATGACGACCGGCGTCGTTAATAATGCACAGGTGATGTCCTGGCAAAGAATGAAACGGACGAGAATCGGCCGGCAATCCCGGATTCTTGATCAATAGTACGGCGTGAAGAGCGAATGGATGAAAAGACAGTCGACAGTATCACGGCATCGAAGGGAGAAGACTCGATGGCGAGCCCGCCGGGCAGTCGCTGATTTCGCGCCGGAGACACGAGGAAGTAGCAACGGGATAAAAGAAACGATAGAATTAAAGACAGTCAGAGAAAAGAAGACGTGTTGCTCGGGCTTCAAGCCACGGCACCGATTACCTAGATTTCTTGATCCAAATGGGGGAGAGAAACGGAAAGACAAAAGGAGTGTGAATCGGGTGTGGTTGGTGTGGTTGAGATGAGAGAGAAGCGGCCTGCCCTGGCAAGGGGGCCAATGAACTACGCAGCCTACTGTACGTACGACATTACCACCCAGCACCTGAAATGCGACAGCAAACCACGCGATTTCTGCTCCACTTGTGTGCGAGTCAAGTTTCCTTGCCTCTGTGTTAAGGAAGGGCTTCCGCAAAGGCTGTTCGCAAATCTCCATTCGATTCATGGTCCCTGACGGGAACCGTTTCAGATGGCGTCGAGAGACCAGGGTCGCCTCAAGCAGCCATGGGGGGATTGGCCCCGCAGAGACAGGGAGGCGTCACCCCGCACACAGCCAGTAGCCGCCCTGTGGCAGCCTGCCCTCACGACCTTTATTATGAAGGGAAAAGACAGAGCTATCAGGCGAGCCTAAGGTACTTCATGATGTTGGAGTTAGTAGGTAACGTAGTGTAAAGTTATCGCCTACTAACGTCAAGTCGTCGCGATAGAAAGCCATATCTTATAGGTATGAGGTTTGCACAGCATGCCTAACGTCAAGATCTGCGCACGCTTGTTAGTGACTCGCATGCCGCAACAACCACTCATCGATGTGTGTTGATACGTATAGCATTTCCTGCTTTGTGGACGAAGGTCTTGCACCTTGGGTGAGCATCTTCGAGACCCTGTATTCTCAGAGCTGTGAGATTACCTAGACGCTGGTATTCGAAGTACTGTACGGAGTAACTATCATTCTAACGTTGCTTTACACTAGCAAGCGCATGGACTCAAATGTTATGCTTAGGGAATGAGAGCTTCCCAAGCCCTTGATCCTTAGAAAGGAAATGCAGTTCATCAATACTGGTTTGTTCATGATTAAGTTATTGTAAACCTCACGGCACTCAACCACGCCAACTTGAAAAGAGTTCGCAGCATCCACTGGATCCAGACAGGTTGTTAGCTAATGATTGGTTGGGAGAGTCTGGCAACTGGAGCACGACCATGCCGCGAGGATCAGCAAAATCTACCAATAAGAAGTCTGCTGCATTCCATAAGGAGAAGCTCTCGCTCGTGGTTCTCTCCTTTTTAGCAAGCCATCTATCCACTTTTGTTGATCTGGATCTTATCTCCAGGACGAGATCTCGTCTAGAATATAGATCGTAACTTTATAGATGGTCGATTTTAGTTCAACTTTGACTATTCTCTGACAAAGCAAGGCGTACCTTAGCAAGTTGATACATAACGTTAGTCCACTAGCAACTCGGCTTACACAGTCCGTTGTGTGTTCTGCTGTAACCGCTCAACGGCCGCACCTTTCCTGTCCGAGCCCGTCCAGCCGCAGGAAGCCAATCAGCGCACACTTCCCACATAATATGTGGCCTTCAAGTTTCGTTCTTTTCTTGCCCACAGTCCCAGATGTGTGGATCGAGCAACGCCGTTTCCCGTGAAGCCATCACCATCTTTCTCTAGCTTTACACAACCTGGACTACATTAAATTTCAAGAGCCCGCTAACCTACTCTTACATTTACATGCCATTAGTCGGTCAACTGTCGAGCCCCTCCATCCACGCTTGCGAGACACGCCATGAGCCCATGCTACGACGCCCCGGTAAGCACGGGCCGGTGACCCCGATGTATGTATGTACCAGTCCCGTCAGCCATCAGCGCCGTTGTCCGATGTTAGTCAAGAGAAGGGCGATCGTTTGTTAAGACCGAGAACTCTACGGAGTAGGAATGTCTCTATTTGCCAGTATCGTTTGCACTATCCGTACACTCGGAGTGCCGAGTGCGAGTCGGCCCAGCCTGTCATCCTGAGCGTCTGGTATCAGAACGTTAATGATCTTATTATTGAACCGAGGAGCTGGACGTTCATTCATTAATCAGCCGCCATCTTCGTATCGTGGACAGTGACTTACGGAGTTATATGTCCTACGCAACTATCGCCCTCCGGAAAATGGTGCCCCGCTAGGGTCACATTCTGTCACTGTCAAGCTCTCGAAAGCCGCAAACCGCAAGCCGGCCGGACCAGACTCGCAGCACAACTTTCTCTTGGAGTGTGGTGGGGAAGGATGCTTCGAAATTCGATAGTTCTTGTTCTCCTCACCCACACCTGCATCCTCTGATGAGGATGAGATGCGCGAGACAGGGCGGAGAGCCCCTTATTGGACAATGGGAACCAAAGTGGCTCCGGCCTGTTGAACATCCCTGTGTCGTGGTCTATGTACCCTGCACACCGTGACACCAGGCTCAGGTCAGTGGACAGGGCCGTGCTGGCGACACGGGCTGCCGGTTGACTGCGGACATGAGGCCCAGCAAATGTGTGCGAGACAGCGGCGTGAGACCCCACACTCACATTTCTCGGCGAACTGGACCTCCCATGCAGACTCGCGCGGCCACTGGAATTTTGGTTCTCATGTACGAAGCATCGCTGCAAGAGCCCTGCCGGAAGCATTCCGCGCAATAAACAGGACGAGGTCTTTGTACGCGTCCTCCGGTGCGTGTCCTCCGCTTTCTGTCAAAGATGAATTTGTCTCCGTTTGCTCTCTCGAAAGAAAAACGCGAAGGCCAGTGCGGTCTCCAACGCTCTTCCCCACAAACGCGCTGTTTGCACTGGCCACAATCTGATCTCCTTCCTATCATCTCCGGGTGCCACCTGTGCTGGAGCGAGGGGGCATGCAGCTTGGCTCTTATCACAGTACGGAGGTTGGGGCCAAAAGTCTTTGGACTGGAATGTTAGTGCATTTTGGCTCCACGTACGAAATGCCAACTTCTGGTCGTGTCGCACTGTATTTCATTGAGGGCCTTGGTTGCTGAGTCAGCGCTGTAAGCTAGCGTACTGGGTACGCTGAGCCAAGGCTCTTATGCCCGAGAAGTCGCTGAAGCGGCCGAGTGCCCTGGTTAGACGTATGTACTGTGTGCACTGTGCATTGGGCGGACCCACATATGCTGGCAGTCCAAAGACTTTTGGCCCCAACCTCCGTAGCGTGCACTGTGTCTAAACTGTGCTAGCCGACATTTACTAGTAGTAACTTAACGAGTAACGACTCGACTTCGTTCGTGTAAGTTAGTGTAAAATTGGGTGGGTGAAGGACCCTGCTGACGGAACCCCTGACAATAGAATTGCAGAGCTGCAGAATACAACATCCGTCAGGTAGCTGTGTTCATACATTACGCTCCTCATTGTAGGCTTTATCTTCAGCGGTGCCGAGTCCCTCGACACCACCGGCGATAGAGACCGAAGCCGACCTTTGATCTTGGTCTCGGTCAATCGGCCGCTCACACCAACAGAAGTTACAAAACTGGGTTGCTCCAACTACTAATCATCCGCGCAGAAAGAGATGGCAGGAGCTTTAGATGTATGTTGGAGGCCATGTCCGTTGTGGTGTCCCGAGATCGTCATGTAATTCCAGTCTCGAGAATGGTTCATCAACCAGCCCTCACCTCAGCTGCAGTACGGCGCAGACTTAGCCCGCTCCCGAGTCCCGCCATTGCTTAGCGCCTTTTCCTGCCTTCCAGGTTCCCCACTTGACCAGCCTGTAAGAACCGCCCTTCCATTCGCACCGTGCAATGTTGAGGACCCGCCACTCCCCGCCTTCCTTTCTTAACTGCCTGGTCGCGGCCCGCAGCCTGCGTGCCACCGGCCACCTCGCTATTCTCTTTTCAACCATTCCGCATTCACCAAACCCGTTCAGTCAAGGTGCGTCTAACAATTGACATCTGAAGCTTGTCCCTGACAGGGAACCAGCTACCCAAAAAACGTACTCTGTCCTCTTGACGCCTCCATCTGGGCCTGCACAGTTTCTCGAGAGGAGACGTGCAAGGAAAGAGGAAAGAGGGAACGGACTCTGTGTTTCATTGCCAGAAACCTGCACCCCCTTTCTTATCTTTTTTCCTCGTCAGTAAGACAGCCGTTCGCAAAATACCTGGGTGGTCCAGGACACCCTGACAAGGCAAATAAAAATAAAGCGTGTGATTCCTCGCTTCCCTCGGCCGGCACACCAAACTCGATACAGTGCAGCACCCAACCAGGTTCTGCGACAAAAGGCGTCCTCTCCGCTCAACGCCAGATCAAGTCTAGGCCGTCGGCACAACGCTCAAAACAGCATCTCCACCATCTTGCCTTTTTCGTATCTCGTGATACCTCAAGGGAATAAAAATGGCCGACATCACTGACCAACACGACCAAACTTCGCCAACCGAGCTCGACGAGCCACATTCGGTCGGCAACGGCAACACTGGTGTCGGAGAAAATCGCGGCATCAAGCGCGCCCGTCCCAGCACGGCCGATGATGACGATGACGATGACGAGAAGGGTGGCCGCGAGCGCCGCAAGATTGAAATCAAGTTCATTAGCGACAAGTCGCGCCGCCACATCACGTTTTCCAAGCGCAAGGCTGGAATCATGAAGAAGGTTTGTCGCCGTCATCCGAACTCCTGCCGCCTGCCAAAATAGTCCCATCAACAAAACAATGCGGGCTTTGGTGCACTTGCACTTGTCTACAACGCGCTTCTTTCCCCATTTGCCTCCACGTGGACTAGTCGCTGACTCGAAGCCGCGTGCACCAGGCCTACGAGTTGTCAGTCTTGACTGGCACTCAAGTTCTGCTTCTGGTCGTGTCAGAGACCGGTCTTGTCTACACCTTCACGACGCCAAAGCTGCAGCCTCTCGTCACAAAGGCGGAGGGCAAGAACCTAATCCAGGTAGGATATTCTCGATCCATTGTCACACAAGCACCATGCATCCACATTTCGCGACTAACACGGGGTTTAGGCATGCCTGAACGCGCCCGAGCCCCCCGCCGGGAACGACAATGGTGTAGACGACTCCAACGCGGTTGACTCTCCCGAAGAGCCGACGAGCGCCCACCTGCCTCCCCAGCCCAACCGGCCGACGATGCCGCAGGGACCCATGCATCCCGGCTACATGCCCGGCGTCGGTATGGACCCCCAGCAAGCGCTCGCCTACTCCAATTATGTGCAACAACAGCGGGGAGGGCAGTACATGCCGCCATCTGGCCTGCAGCAGCACGCCGGTCACCAGTCATAACCGTTCCCGTCGGCTTCTACCATGACTTTAGCTCGTGCGCCAAATACCCAGCATTAATGCATTTGTGAAATGTCATTTACTCGGCCCGACATCGTTAGGATGGTCTTACCATTTATCGAGGCTCGTCTGGCCTGGCGTTTGATTGGGGGTCTCTCTGCTGCTCGTTCCATCTCTTTTTGCCATTTTCTCCTTCTCGACGGTCCTTTTCCCGTCTTTTCACTTCGGTCGACATCACCCTAGTCCCCGATAACATATCTCCACCGAACAAAAGGAGAAGCCAAACGGGTTTAGCCAGCGCCGACGCAAAATTTTGCGCGACGCGCCCGGAATCTCGCCTGGGCAGGCTCTCTGCTCGTACATACTTGGGGACGCTGAAGGAATCAAGGGTGGTCAGCGATGAGGGCCAAAACAAAGTCTCATTGGCACTCGGATCAATGAGGATTGGTCGCACATTGGTCCGCACATTCTTTGCCATCGGAGGCAGCGCCTATTCAACGGCTCGCATTTCCCGAATGGGTACCTGGTGATTTATCGGACGGTTTTGGAAGTTGTGACGGCACGAAGTCAACGACCCATGATCACTATTGAAACATCAGCTTGAAGGGAGTTGAGGGGCGATACCGGCAATTTGTCCGGTGACAGGGGAACGAATTTGATGGCTCGGTGGCGCATTTTCACGCTTATCACTCTGTGGTTTCGGGCTGTTCATCCCCGTCCTGGCTCATCAGTTAAATAACGTCCTATCCGGCCATCCGTGTGCTGGCGAACGCTGACCACCTTACTTTTACTCGTCTAGAAGTGGAAAACGGCTGAGGGTATGCCTGCGGAGCTTCGTAAAACTGCTTTGAGTGACGGCGCAGCGAGACAGCCCACAGCCGGCATAAGGATGCCGTTGCCTTTGCCACCTGTATGATAGTGCGCTTTTTCGTACACTTTGCAATACCACGCTCTTATATGACCACAACGCCCGGGTTACGCGACCCTCGCCTATGAACTACAGTGCAGCCAGATGCCCGGGATTGAATCCAGAACGTTGGGATAGACAAGCGGTTATAGCCGCCCTGGCTAACCTTAAAAAGCCGAATGCCGCTCTCCTGCCATTATTGGGAGTCTGGGCACGTGCGTTGGGACCTCTTGGTTGGGAAGGACGTTAGCAGTGGTCTACTATCCTGTCATCTGTCAGTCATGTCGGCAGATCCCGCTGTGCGTCATCCAACAAACCTTTTTCCAATCCAGGCATAGGAATTTTGTGCTCTGATGGAGATATTTCCTGTTTGGACTATAATAGCGTTTACCTCTTGAATCAGAGAACTGCCAGTTTGGGTAGGGATCCCCTATATTGATGGCTATACCTATGGGATTCCATTCCCAGACTATCACGAGAAGTGGGTGTACTTGCGGTGGTTTGTCTAGGACCGTGTCCACAGGCCAGGGCTAAAAGCCTGGTACGCTTTTATGAAATTAAGCGGTAAAAAACTTCAAATACTTGTTACAGATCTTAGCTGTCAGATACCTACCTACTCTAACCTGATCACCACGACGAGCTGGGCTGACGAATTGCATCTGAGCGGCTGGACAACAATTGGGTTGCTCTAACTCTGACTTGGACTGCGGTGGGAGAGAAACATGTGCAGGTTTAAGTTACTACTACGCACGTACTAGTACTATGTGGTGAGAACACACACATTTGTGCTCCTATCACTTTTGAAGTCGTAAGTCTAAGATTCCGTGGATTGAATGGAAGCCACTATCAAGCTCTGGCCTTGACTGATTAACAGGCCGGGTCTCATGCCGACAAGGGAAAAGTGACGGGAGCGATTGGGCAGGGGCCAGCAGGCCAACCGGTCACACCCATAAAGTGGCTCCCAATAAGATCGATATCGGGTTGGCAGCCTCCCAAGTGCTTTATGATAAGGAAGGCTAGCATGCTGGAGAGACACGCAGCGGGATCGTGGAAGGAGTAACACGAGCGTGTGCGCGGAGATCGAATGGGGCTGGTTGAAAATGTAAGTTGTATGCAACCATGCTGGTTATAAACCGAGAAGTTGACCGGGGGGTTCCTAGTGAAAGTGTGAAAGTGCCCAACGTCCAATGTCTGTTTCGGGGTTGCTCCGAGTCTTTGTCTAATATTCCGCTAGGTCTAACGTAGCGTGTGTAGAAGGGAAGATGGTAGGTAATAAGTGATATACTTGTTGAACGTGGAGAATCACGAAGACTTCAGGTCAGGAATTGCAAGCTTCAGTCATATGTATGTGAGGCACCATGCCATACTATGTCGCTCGGCTGGATGGTTACTTGTTACAGCAAGCTGATTGAGCATAAATGGCGTTTCTTGTCTTCTCACCCCAAATGAAGGTCTGGTTGTTTGCAAATACTCTTCCACTCTGGGCGTTACCGATCGAATTATAGGCCAAGGGAATTTGACGTTCAAATGCTTAGGATCATGCCTTTCCGTCAACCGATCCGCCGGCATCCACCCACAGCAAGGGCGTTCCGGCATCCGGACACTGGCCGATCCGGGTCGTTTTGGAGAGACGGGGCTTCCGGGCGGATCCGAAGGCGGCCGATGGTTCGTCTTGGCACCGGTGTGGGGAAGCCGGTTCAGGCGTGCGCGGATTTGAGCAAGTTTCCCCACCCCCTTCTCTATTGTAGCATTTTTGAAGTAACGGTACTCCCGGTCCTGGAGGCCATCCCCAGCACAGCAACGAGCCATGGCAACAAGAGGTGAGCGATGTTGAGACAGCGACAAGAAAAGAAAAAGGGGAAAAAAGGGGTTCCGTAACGCACGTAGAATCCTCGGAACAGCTTTGCTGACATTCACACACTGCGCCCGCCCGCTAGAAATATCCTACCGGTATAAGCAAAAATGCCAGTCCACGCCATGACTCCAGAACCTGTGAAATCGACCCATAACGCCCAGTCTAATGATCTGTCGAGTTGATGAATCTCCCCACGAGGAGACTCCCAAGAAAAGTGCCACCGAGCACGGACAAGAAATAACCAACATTCATAGACATGACCGCCAGCATACTGCAATACAAATTAGCTTTCCGTATCGCTCGCGTCGCACTAGGGAGCACAAGGAGAGAAAAGGAACTCACAGCAGATATCCCACGCCGGCGATAACGGTATCGATCAGCGCGCGCAGGGGGTCGACGGTCAGCCGCCAGGGCCTGGCGAAGGCGGCGGCGGGGCGGTTGCGGACGACGAGGACATTCTCCTCGACGCCGTTCTCACTCAGGACGAGGTGGGCCTGCTTGGCGAGCGAGTCGCGACTGAGCGCCTCGGCCAGGGGTGCCTTGCCGTTGACGACGACGTAGCGGCGCTGGAGCTCGGCGTCGAGCCATCGATGCTCCTGCCACGCCTTGAGGGCCAGCAAGCCGCGGAAAACGGTGGCCAGCGAGATCAAAAAGATGCAAGTTCCTGCGTACGTGCCCACCGTCGTAGGTGTCCAGCTGCTCGAGTACAGCGCCGTGCTCATGGACGTTTGGAAGACCGACATCATGGTCGACGAGTGTGCGGAGGAGCCGCTGTCCATGCCCGCCATGGAATCATGCGAGTGTGCCGACGCTGCTGCTGCCGTGGTTGCCGCCGCCGCCTCGGCGACATGGTCGCCGTGTCTGGGGTATATCCCGTAGGCGTCCATTTTCTCTCGGGGGATTGGGCGTTCCTCTTGGAGGGGGTAGTGGTTGTGTATGTCCAACGAGGCTTGGAATGTAAGCCGTCCGGCAACAGACGAGGCACCTGTCCTCGCTGCTTTTCCTCGTCGACCGTACTTCTCTGCTCAACTGCCGTTTAGCCGTCGACGTGGGGGAGGTCGGGTCCTTAGGTATGTTTTAAAATCGGGGGCTGAGGGAAAGATGCATGCATCGACTAATCTCGCCGAAACTGTCCACTATCCACCAGATAGCAAAGTTGACTTGCTTGAAGCCAAATCGGCATGCAGAGCGAAGTCTCTGTGCTGGGATGAAACATGTCTGGGAGAGCAGATCACGCATGAGGCGCTGGAGTGAAGTACTTGTACGGCAATGCTATTGTGCGCCTCCCGTTGCAAAGTGCTGTCGTGTTAAACCCAGACCCCGGAAACTTGCTCACTCGATCTGGGGGTGGGTCCTGTCTGTGGCGCACCCTGCGGGTATGCTGAGTACTGTACGGAGTACTGTACAGTAGTAATTACGGAGTAGCCTCAAAGAAAGGGCGAAGCGCTTACACTAAAAATCACAGAGGGCTCTTTGCAAAATCGCAAGGAAACTGGAGCCGGTCGGCTGATTCCTGATTCTTAGAAGCCGCAAGCTTTCTCGAGAGAAACTTGCTCCAGGTACCTAGATGGTTTGGCAAATGCATCAGGTTGGTTCAAGGTGTACAGGTACATACATACAGTACATACCGATCACCGATAATGCACAAATAGCCCCACTAGAGCGTTGCTCTTGAGGCGTCGGTTGGTCGACCTCGTCGACGTACTGTACTGTACCTGTAGATAATTGATTGTGTTCAAAAGCGGCGCAACTCCTTCTCGACAGAGATGGCCTGTAGTTAATTGTACATTCCCTTTGCATGCTCGGCTGTTTCGATGAACCGGAAAAAATGTATGGCACCTACTAGTAACCTGCATTAGCATCATGAAGACTGCATGCTACTTAAATGATTCAGGAACTTGGAGACATCGCGTATAAAACAAAGTGGAGGGTGCAGACCGTCAGTCCTTTCCCAGCAGAAGCGGATGGCTTGTGCAAGGCAGGCGAATAGAGCAACCTTGAAGATGGCGACTACCGATTCAGCTCGGCACTCTTATTAAGTCTTGATAAGCGATTCGGCTGAGACGCACAGGAAGGTTGAAACTGGATTGCCAGCTCCATCTCATTCTACTTCGTGACTGGATCCTACATACTATTCTAGCAGCTGCGTTTCTCAGAAGAGGGCAAGACCTACCTACATAACAAGTTGTCCCAGACATGGCATTGCCAGCTTTGTTGGAATTCTGAGGTTGTTCACCACGTCCATAGTGCAGAGCGTCGTCAGTCCTCCAAGGAGAAGGTAAATTTTACTCGGACGACTTCTGCACCCCTGAGCGGGAAGCGCCTAGCCAGGGTATCTCGCGATGCAGCTTTCGTCTTGGAAGCAACAGCAACCTGCTGTGTAAGGACGTTTGTTTTTAGCCTTTGACGGTGAGCTCGCAGGCTACAGTAACACCTTGCAATGTCACCTTCCTTCAACTGCACCCGGGCCTTTTTATCTTGCGACAGGTGCCCCGCAACCTAATGCAACGGCATCCGGCATCCCGCCGAGCGCGACGTAACCGAACCGCCGGTGCCCCATACGAGCCTATTTCGACGACAAGCCCCGATTGACCCGGCCGGCGACGGGATCCGTAATACGAATGAGATCCTGTACCGTCGCTTGGTTAGCGCTGTGGCACGCGACGAAGATCTGCTTTCGAACCTCTGAGCTGTGCTTCTACCTGACTGCATTTGCCGGCAACGATAAAACTGAAATGGGGGATCTCCGTCCATCTCCTGGGCTAGAAACCCACGCCACTTAACAAATGCTTGGGACCTGAGGTCGTTTCACATCTAGCTCTTCCCTTCGATCGTGAGTTCCGATTCAAGACATGTCAAGAACAGGAGCACCTTGGGTATGCTCCATTGTTTATGGGCGGCCGAAGGCGAGAGGGCTGGGCATCTTGGCGGAGTTGGAGGTTTGGCCTGACGAGAGGAAACGACCGCTCCGGGGGTTTCCCGATGGTGTACGGGACGCAAAGACCAACAGCCGGCCCGGGTGAACGCCAAGTCGGCATCCGAGCACCGATAAGGTTGTGTCTCGCCTGCCCGGGAGTTGTTAAACCAAGGGGCAGAACGAACCATGGCCCCTAAAAGAGAGACATCTGCGGAGACCCCTGGCCGTTCCTCCCCAACCCCGGTCCCGACCAGGCATCACGGTCAGCAAACAGTCTATTCCTCCGCCTGGCTGCCTTAGAGAGGCTTGCAGGCGCCGCCAGTATGCATATCAACCAGGTTGGGCCTTTTGTTAATACTTTTGTCTCCCGGCCTAAGGAGGTAGTCACGGTTCAGGGGACACCACTCATAGGTTATCCCGGCCGCCCAAGTCCTCCATATTCGAGTGGCCACGAAAACTGCTGAGCTTGCCGCAAGATAACTGCTCGGGGGTGCATTTCTGGAAAGCAACTCATGGTTGGCTGCAAATTCCGACTGCCCCGGCATCGCTCCCTTCAAAGGACGCCCCCTAGTTACACCTACACCTCCTCCATCAAACTGTCACAGGGAAGAGAGTCCCGCGGTTGACCAATGGCACTCGCCGAATTTGGATACCGCGTCATCCGAGTTACTTCCCAAGGTCTCGTGGTCTCGTTGGTCCTCGTCCTTGTTTCGTTGCTCACGGCCGTGGCCAGGAAAGTAAACACTGGACCCGAACTTGATTCGCACTCTCTCGGGTCGTCCAAGGATGCTTCCAGACAGACGACCAAAGTTAACGAGCATCTGGATTTGCCTTGATGCCACCCAGGGACGGGCTGAATCGGGCGACCTGAGACGGGGAAGGCTTGTAGCAAAGCGCGAGGAGTGGGCGGCGGGCAACGACATGCACGTTACCCATCAATCCTGCTTTCCCTTGAAAACACTTACAGTACTCCAGTCTTCGTTTCACGCTTCTATGCAGTAGCGTACGCATGTTTCCGTCACCGAACCACCCATGCCCGTTTCCTGGATATTGGCTTGACGGCAGCAGCCGCCATTTCCTGATCCGGCCAGGCTGAACTGCGAAGGTGCAAAAAGTGGCGGGACAGGCCCATGCTCACGTCCGCGAGAAGACCCTGCATTGGGGGTTGTCTTCAGCACATGCATCCAATTCACCGCGATTCCTAATAGAAACTGCCCAGGTCATGGATCTGACCCGTTGGCCTGCTTGTCTTCACATACTTTGCGGTGTGTGCACAGCTCATCTCTCCTACTTCTGGGATCGACTCGTTTGCTTATCGACTAATTACAGTAATTAGCTTCGAGGCCTGTCGAGGAGCGCTCTTGTGATACCCAGGACAAATCTTGGCAGAGAAGGGCACCCCTTTGATCCGTTCGAGGTAGCCACCCTCCTCAGTGTCGACGACAGCCATCGCGAAGCATCCTCTGCAGCCAGTCAGCCGCATACAGCAGATGCAGCAGTCCGTCATCCCCGAGTACATCTCGAACCAACCTCCGTTCAGAAGAGACACGTCGAGGGGAGGGAAAGCAACAATGCGTCAAGGACACCAACTGGAAGACATGGCAGAGCGTAACGCTAGAATGGAAGCCGAAACCAACGTGACACCGACTGCTGCTACTGCAGTTTTGTTTACCGCCCCCCCACCGATCCTGGACTTGGTGTGAAAGAGACGCTCTAATGTTATGTATTGTATATACAATACCTACCTACGGCATACGCTTTGCGACTCTCCTGAGAGTTTGTTACTGCGTGTGCCTGACGTGCATGAGGAACACGCATGGCGCGTCAAGACAGGGTAGATAGGACCCGTGTGACGGCAGCGCCGAAAGTAGGTAACTAACCTTCTTAGTGAGATTAGCAAGAACCCCGATGCAGGAAAAACCGAAAGGAGCGAATGGCTGCGGTCTTTTCTTGACCCTCTGGAGAACGGGTCTGGATAGGTTCTTGTTGGCTTCCTTTCCCCAGGCCCCCGCTCCCCTCCCCATCATCTCAATACCAGTACGGAGTAAATGGTAAAGGATTCCGATTCTTGTGCAGGGGTGGATGGATGGCTGGTGCTCCGGGTGAGAAACGAGGACAGGAAGCGGGAAGAGGAGAGGGCTTGTCCCCGTACCCAGTGTCAGCCAGGGGACCCCTTGTACGTACATACCACGGAAGGCCACGGCTGAGGGCTTCGTGGTTCCAGTTGGATCCGATCTGGTGGTTATTGGGTGGTATGGTGGCGGCGGCAACCCAATGTGTATACAGTACAGTACGGATGGACCAATTCGGCATGCTCAGTGCGTGTATCTCCAGTCCGTCGGCCATGTTACTGGTATGGTTAAGTTGCAAAGTCTATGGCTATTCAGGGCTGTGACCAGTCGTCGATCACCCATCTAGTAATCCGTATGTAGAACGAAGAAGGGGATAGCCGCCGGAAAGGCAGTTTGTCAAGTAGCCAACGAAAGGCTAGAATCTGTAACGCGCCGGAGGTCTCTGGTGTTGTCCGACGAGAAGCATAAGCACAGTAAGCATGCACGCACCTTCGGCCTGGTTGAACTCGGTGTGAGGGCTTTCGAAGACCGGAGCCAGGTTCGAGCTGGGACAGGGTCCGCACGGTCTGACTTAAGAAGCAGCGGGGGACGAGACATGACAGTAGCATTAGGACCGGTAGGAGTACCAGGGAACAACACCTTTACACCAAGTTCGACTACGGGAAACACGACGATATGTGGCGTGCGTATACTCATTCGAATAACGTATGTATGTACATACAGTAGAACATTCAGCACCGCGCAGCAAAGGGTAGGTCCACAATCAACCGCCCACCGCACCAAATCGTGACGTTAGTAGCTGGCTAAACGGCCAAACTACCTAGGTAGGCTGTATACCTCTCCTACAGTGATCGAGATAACCCCCCTACTCCTATCTTTTGACGCACAGCACATTACATGCACAAGCATAGTGTAGCAAGAGTAAATGAATAACTAGTTGCTTAACCATGTTCTCCCAGCTTATCACAGAGGGTATCTCGAAGTGAGTATTGTACTGTACTGCAGGCCGCTAGCCAGTTAGGTTGCTAGTGTAAATAGATATAAACGTCCGATTCAAAGGAAGACCTCGCGGACATATAGGTAAGTGCGTGTGTATACTCAAACACAGCAACTCGTCCGGATCTTGAAGACAACAGGAAATAAGGGGGCCAGACGAAGACCCGGACCCAAACCCAAACCGGAACCCAAACCCCAAGGCGAAGAAACTGGAATCAAACGAAACAAAATGGTATCAAAGATGCCAACACCACCTTCTTCCCCTCCGCTCAGCAATGAAAGGGGGAAAATAGGGAAAACTAAAAAAGGAGGTGGAGAGGAGAAGCAAACAAATTTTCCTTCTGACAACATGCCGGCCTGAACGAGGCAGGAGGCTAACGAAGTGATGAAGAAGAGAACAACCAAATCAAGCACCAAACCCAATTTCTCCCTTTTAGTGCTCCCCGGATACCCTGTACACCCGTAACCGTCCATGACACCTCACCTCACCCAGCTCCTCCGTCGTAAAAAGATGATTCCCGGTTTAGATGTTTTGGGCTTGCTCAAAACAAAGTAACGCCATCGTCCCATTGCATTCCTTACACCCTACTGTTATTCCTCAGAGCCAAAGCTACCGTGCTACCTCCAAAGAACCATTCCAAACCCTCTTCCTTTCTCCTGACGGGCTGGTTGATTGGCACTGGACTGAAAGCATGTCTGCAAGGCGCCGCCAGCTGGCACGTCCACGTTCTTTGCCGAGATTCGGGAGAGGTACGGATCGTTAAGGATACCTGTTCAGCAGATGACGGCGATGGGTGGAGTGATGCGTCTCCCATGGCGCCATTGCCGTCGTAGCAAGGGTACTTTTAATGTCGGACCCTGAGATATCACTCCTTTTTTATCCTGGGACTGCCTTCTCTGTCGTCACTCATCCCATCGCCATGGTTTCGAGGCGATCCCCGGGTATCCGTGGTCTTGTTCTCGGCCCCTTCCGGGGGCGACACCCTGCCGCAACCCTTAACCAGTTTGTGGCGCTATAAACCGAGTTAGCAAATCGCGATCTAGGCTGGTGACACGTGGGAATGCGGCTTCAAAGACAGACGAAAAGGCGAGTCCTTTGGCGACGTGTGCAACTCACCTTCAGAGCATCTTTCCGCGAAAAGGCCTTCTCGCAGTGGCCGCAGGGGAAAGGCTTGATCTCCATGTGTATCCGCTTGTGCCGCTTCAAATCGTGGTTCCGATTGAAGCTATGCTTGCACTCGTCACATTTGAAGGGCCGGTCTTGTGGCGGCCCGGGCGGGCTGGGTTGGTGGACGTAAAGATGGTGTGCGGGTAAGCCGGGATGGTGATGCCCGTAGCCCCCCATGCCCACCCCGCCCACCATAGAGAGAGGAGCTCCGGGGTGGTGCACATTGGTCAGCACCGGTCCGGGGACCTGGCTATACGACGCGTACGATACCATGGGTGGTGATATCCCGGGACCTCGACCCCCCGAGAAGTGCAGAGGCGGGGCCATTGCGGAAATGGACCCGAGGCCACGGTGAATCTGCCCAGAGGTGGTCGCGGGCGATGTTGTCGTCGGAGGCGGCTGCGTCAACGACGAAGTAAACGAAGGGAACGAGCTCTGATGGGATGTCGAGCTTGGGGGGTAAAGGTTAGTTGGTGTGGGCGGTTGGCGATAGGGGTTGCCGTCCTGCATGGAACCTGAGCCCCCCGGCGTGTTTTGCCCCGATGTCCCTGGGCGGTTTGCATTCGATGACGGCGTGCTGAGGGCGGGTTGGGCGAGCCCCGACGACTGATGCCCACCATGGGCTTGGGACAGTGGCGACCCTAAAGCCCCTCCGCCTCCCCCAGCGCCTCCTCCCCCGGCTGCCATGGTGCCAGCAAAGTGTGGCTGGTCCTGGTATGATTGCGGCGGCGGCAGGCTCTCCCCGTTTGAGGCCGAAGTTGAGGTGCGACCACCATAGTGCTGGAGCGGAGTCGAGGATGCTGGCCCGTACAGTGACCCCCGAGCGTAGGGCTGGTGTGAAAGGGAGCCTGAGTTGGAAGTCGTGGGGGACGAATTGGCGTACGTATATGCCGACAATTGTGTGCCGCCCGGCGTAGGCCATGAGCCCGACATCTGGTTTGAGTAATAGAGGGGCGGCCCTCCTGGTTGTGAGGACTGTGAACCGCTGCTATGAGCGGCTGACGTTGAAAATCCGTCGTGCGCTGCTCCTGAGGGAGTCAGAACTCTGGTGCTTGGGGCGTTTGTGGTGACGGTGGTAATAGAAGTGGTACTGGTGCTAGTGGTGCTAGTGGCAGAGGATAGTAGGGGAGCAGGAGCATTGGAGGACGGGGTCAAAGCAGGCGCCCGAGGAGCAGTGCTGGTCAACGGTGAAGTCCTCCGGGCAACAAGACTTATGTCACTCGGGCTATTCATGGCTGTAGGTGCATAGCGGGGGTATCGCGTACTTGGTATCTCTGGGAGTGGGAGTGGAAAAGTGGGCAGGCCCGTTGCCGCCGGTCTTCGAGGCGCGAGGCTTGAGGCTCCCATAATACGCCTGCGGACGAAGCTGTCCTTCAGACACGAGGGCCGCGGATAGAAGGCCGCAGCGACTCGCAGCGCCGTCTGAGTGCCTTTGAAATACGGAACAGTCGAGGGTTGGTTGCTTCTCGTGGCTCAAGAATACACCAAGACCACGAGCTTTACGAGGGTTGCGGCGTCGTTACCCGGCCCCAAGGCTCTGGGTCTTGTGTATTCGCTGACGGTCCGGTTGGGCGCCTGAAGTCTGGGAAAGGCAGCGGTGGATGGCGGTGCTGGGCGATGCTCGAACGGCGGAGAGGGCTGAAGCCACGACGCCAGATGGAGAGGCATTCAAAGGGCAATGGGGCATTTAATATGGGATTTCTTCAAGCCCTCATCGTCAGGATGCTTGGGTTGTCGATCCTCACCGGATGATACAGGGTTAGCTTTCTGCTGGTCCCGATTATTGGACGGTTGAGGTCTCGGAATCGGGACCCCGTTGGTCCAGGCCCGCAAGGGTGTGTGAGATTGTGTGCTTGTGCGAGGAACAAGCCGTCGTCGGTAACTGACTGGAGACTTGTTGACTCTGCGTGCTGCCTGTGGAGCGAACGTTTGCGGCGGCAGCGTATGCAGTGGCGTGTTTGTACTTGAACGGTCTGGGATGGCGCCTCCTCGTGCCTCGTGCCTCGTGCTTTGTAGTTCCAAGTTACTCAGCAGGGGGTTGGGTGATGAGGGAGGGGGCATCAAGCCCCGCGAGGGCTAGCGCGGGAGGGCTGAAAGGGAGCAAGAAGCAGAACAAGCCGGACGGCTTTCTTCTGCTGCTCTGCCTGGAAATTGGCGTCTCAGGGACTGACGCCTCGGACCAGCGAACAGGGAGCAGGGAGCAGTCTGCGCTTCTCCTTTTGGAATAACAGCGCCAATGGAGCGAGCTGCTGCGGGTGTTGCCGGCGTTGGTGGATGCAGTGACGAAAACTGGATTGGGAACTGCACTGGTGAAGGCAGCACCAGCAGCACCAGCAGCAACAGCAGAAAACGGCAGCAGCAGGTGCGAGGAATGGACACAGCACACCTCACCCAAGGGCGCGTGTGCAGCAACGAGCGGCCACCCGTTGAGAATCTAGTGTAGTGCTGGAGGCAAGTGCGAACCAGATGCGTCCCCTAGGTAGGTCCCCACCGCTTCGAGATTCTCTCGCAAAGGACAACCTAAGAAATGAGCGGCAAGGCTCGGCGAAGTCCGCTTCAGGTTCTAATGGAGGCAAGTTAGTTACTTTCTGGATGGGTCGAGTCACCGCCTTGCTGTTGAATTTTCGGAGAAATCGCGGACCTGCTGCTGGAGTTGCGCCGTTAGCAGATGAGTGCCCGTCGATTATACCGTCGTCGTCTGACTGCCCGAGTTTTTAGGCAAGTTGACCAGCAGGACAGCGGTACTTGGTTGGAGCGAAGCAGAGGTCGATAGTGAGAAGCTAGATGAAGTGAGATAAAGGAAAGCCTCTTTACGCCCAGGTGCCCTCCACGATCTCACTCCAGAGATCTGTGGGAGTGCCGCGCACGAGTTACCACGGTTATTGCACATTCAACAATGCGAGGATCTTCCCTGCGGCACGTAGTTCATGTACTCAGCTACTTGGGTAGTTATGGGCTGAATGTGGGCGCTGGGGGATGTGGATTTGGTACGGATGCCGCAGAGTATGTACCTAGGTAAGTAATTGTACAGTACAAGTACCTTGGCGTGCCGTGTAGGAGAAGCTGTTCATCTTAGCCAAAGTGAACAGGATCGGGGGAGGGGTGTGCCTAGGTAAGACCATGAAGGGCCAAGGGTCCAGCCTACCTAGTGTAGTCCTAGGTAGTGTAGACTAGCAAGACGGCCAGATCCGGCATAGCTTGTCTGTCTGAGACGACTTTCTCAGCTTTCGACTGGACTGCGGCTTTGGAGATGGTTGGTGACCTCTAGTGCAGAACTGCGGGTTCCGCTTTCTGTCGGGGACAGACAGCTTTCGAACGAGTGAGCGATATGTTAGCTCGAACCAAGGGGGAAATGCTCTACAGTACGAAGAATCAAGTGTGAGAGTGTGACCGGCGTGTTGGGAACAGCACGACGCTGCTTGGCATCAAAGCATGCCGGCACGCATCCCCGTGTCCTGAACATGGGTATCCCCCCAAGTATCGTCTGTAGTTGTAATATTTCTCGACGCTAGTTATCAAGCAAGTGACAGGGCGGCATTTCTCTGCTCCCGTGTTGTAGTGTAGGTATTGTACGATACAATAGCTCTTCATTGGTCATAGTTAACACAGAGAGAGCAGCTTGCGCCCTGGAAGCCGAGAGGACGAGGAGTGAGTGCGAGTCCGGAGTCGGGTATAGCCCAGGGTGCGGTTGACCTGGATTTGTTGACCAATCAAGCTGTTGTTGTCCGTCAACTTTTCTGGACAATATCATTCCTATGATGCGCGGCAGGGATCGACGCTTCCCTCTGATGGTACTAACTCAATCTTACTAGTGTAAGCCATGTCTTGATGCCGACGGAAGGCTGATGAGCTGCCGCCTAACGGTTCAAAGGTCCTGGACCGCTGTGGGTTTCGGACGGAAACCCAGAACAGCGCAAGAAGTGGAACGGGCTGACAGCCTCTGGAGACCCAGGATCAAGGATCTAGTACCCCGGTAATATCGTAAAGCCCCGGCCCCAAGCGAATCCCGGTCACCGGTGCCGTCCTCTCCCCGCAAGCTCTTGGATGAATGCTGCATTGGGACTAACTAACCTCTAGTACACATAGCCCTGCGTGTTGAGGCTTTCCGTTCTCATGCCCGATGCTCACGATCGAAGCCTGAATGAGGTGAGATAACCTTGTAGTGTTATGTAGGTAATTACAAGTACTGTACAGTACATACCAAGCGGCGTCGCTGTGTCTTTCTGGGGAAGACCAAAGGCCGTGTGGTAACGCCTTGATGGAAGTGGGCAATATATACCTGGCATCTGTGTGTCAGGTGCTGGAGATGCATTGATAATACTAGGAGCCTTCCCGCTCTGCTGGCACGGGCAACCGAATTGGCGTTGTTGTTTCTTAGCGTAGTGTACTGGCATGATCCCGTGCATGGACTCTCGCGCCTCCCGTCCGCTTGGTTTGCGTTTTATAGTGTGGCACTCAATCTCCGGGTACGCTACTACACTAACATGTAATAAGCTTGGGATGATCCGCAAATGGCGCTCAACCCCCACAAGGGAACCGATAACTCGGACTTTGCATCCATTCGTACCTCATTAGTATACTTTCCCCATCGGTTGGCCGGTGTTGGTATGGTACAATACATACCTTATACATGTATGTGCATTTCCCCTTCCCCAATTGCAGCTGTGACAGCTGTAAGGTACATACATGCCATGATTACTCCGTACATTTGTTCTACTGTGGTATTGCCTATCTGGTTTTAGTTCCCGCAAAATCCTCAGAGCTTCCAGAAGCGCATAACAAACTCTAGTGTACATACATGCAACGGTAGCATTCGCGGGATATTTAGTGTATGTGTAACGTGCTGTACTGTGTCTTGAAAATGCGCCGCCGGGACTGCAAGAATCAGAGGCCCCGCAGACTTGCATTCAGCTGAGGCCGGGATTTGTATGTGCATTGGTCGTTTGGGTGATGGACGTGACAAGGATGGAAATCGATGGGTGGGTCACTCAGGCGGCCAGCGGGCTGGGCGCCACTAGTTCATCTGCAGACTGCAGCCCCCAAGTGTCGTCAACACTGGCAGCAGGAACCTCCATGGAACGGGGCCAGGGCTTTACATTAGGCGTACAGTGTAATTGAGTATCAATCATGCTTCGCGCATACAATACTTGACAGGTAGTATACATGCAAATATGGCCGTTTAAGAGGAAATTCAAGTATCGAGGTACGGAATATCTGTACCGTGTACAGTACGAGAGACAGTATCTGCCAGGGCTTCATTGCGTTTTTTTTTTCACCGCGATGGTATGCCAAGAACTGATCTCGCGCTCCCAGCCAAAATTGTCCCTTCTCGTGATTGACGTTAGGAAGCCAACATGGGCACGTTATACGGAGGTAATAGTGTAAGTGTTAGTAGTCATTGTATCAAAAGGACGGATAGAGAACCTAGCACCGTGGGGGTTGCTGGCTTCTCCGGTCCCGTCGGCGAGGCCAAATTATTCTCGGCTTGCCGAGTCACCGGGTGCTAGTGTAATTGTCCATACATACGGATACTCCGTACACAGACGTAGAATAAAGCCCAGTAGGGAGTACACTTACTTATTACATACATGGCAAATTGGCCAAAGAGATCACCATGGCTGCATTTGTGCGCCCCGTCTTGCCTTGAAAGCAGTTTCTGTCCCAATCCCAAGTACCTGACTGTGTAGCATACCGCGATGCTGGAAGAGAATGGTCTTTTCGTTGTGCTGCAAATCGAGATCCTGAGACGGAAAACCGAAAACTAGCCTTGTCTCCATTAGGAAATATTTGACGAGGTAACACCACGTTGTAACATAGTTTGGGAACAACCAACCATGGGTTCTAGTGTATGTGGGCAATCGACATACAGGAGAGCTCGAATGGCATTTATTGTTGGGATTCTCTCTCGCTCCGAGTCCCTTAATTATTCTTCTCTTCATTTGGATCTTTCTCCAAAACCGCAACTGGCCAGAGTTTCGCAATGTTTGCTACTGTAGTGTGATCGACCAGTCCCATCGCTCCATCTACATATAATACATCCATGGAACCCCTGGGATATCTCACACCGCAGTGGATTCGTACAGCACACACAGACATGGATGGTTCTGTTGCCAACTGGTGCGGACCGCGTTAGCTGATCTGCCGCTGCTGAGCCTCGACCACGCAGTCAGTCCTATCCAAGTTCGAACAGCCCCATGGAACATAACTTACCCAAGGGCCAGGGTGTTGTCAACTTGTCGTGAAGTTTTCAGTTACTGTGTAGGTAGACGATTCTGTGTTTGCGCGAGGTTGTATCCAGAGCGGAGTGCAGCCCGCCCGGAAAACGACCTAAGAAAGCCCGCCTGCATGGCGTCAAACAAGGTTAACGTTAATCGTCGACATTGACGCCACCTCGGGCCTTGTTAATAACAGATCTTTTGTTGGAGGATGTATACTACACAAATAACAAGAACCAGTATCCATATACGTTAGTCAACACACAGGAGCAATATTTTCTCCGCTGACACTCAGGGGGGTCCAACAAAAATAGTACATACATACCACAGTACAGTACAGCTCATACGTGATTCCCATCACTTTCACTCTGACCTACCGGCATTGCCTTCTTGAACTGGGTATGCAAAATTCAAGTAGTGTATGTAGTAGCGGATAGATCAGCAGCCTGTCACAAAACGGCAGAAGCCGGCTGTGGCGTTTCCCTTGCTGCTCACGTCTGTGACTCCTCACTGGAAAGGAGATACTGTGTACGAAGTATTGATGTATGTACGGAATACATACATACATACTTCTACTGCACGAAGATTGTACAGTACTGTATGTACATAGTTTCATAAACAGTACCTCGATGCCAGCCAGACCCGAAGACGTGCTCAAAAGAAACATCTGCATCGCAGCCCATCATCTATGTAGTTAGCGTTATTCGTTAGCCTCTTTCGGGACATGGCCGGCAGTGGCTCACCGGTTGTCGAAGCCCGCACAACTGCGGGGCAGAGGGAGAGAAGCACGTCGCAGCAAGCCACGACGCCATTGCTCCGCGGGCTGCGGGACGGCTGGCATCATTCCAGAGGGGGGCCATGGACACGGGTCGCTGATCGACGCACTACACTACGTTACGCGGTGAGTGGGAAGCTGATTAGCTGATTCAAGATTTACCCCCATGTGTTGGAAGAAGAAACCATCTTGTCGATCCCCGCGACCACTCTCTTGCAGTCTGCAGAGCAGCATAGAATGACGGCGATGTGTCACTGGACCAACACTATAGGCTGGCAAATACCGAGATTTTCGAGGCCGAAAACGGCCAGAGCGCGCCAATATTTCTCCTGCAGGTCGTCGGGAATTGGGCACTCCCTGAATCGGCTGCGACAAGGGTCGGGACGAGAGCGTCTCTCGGGATCTCTGCGTGTTTGAGGTGTGTGATGGCATCTTCCGTGTCACCGGGGGGAAGAAGGGCTTGAAAAGGGGCAAGATATGAGAGAGAAAAACAAGCATCTCCGAGTTTGAGCCACAGGGCGCTTGGTTCTCTGGCGCTCACGTATCCATATTCGCGGATTACTCCAGTCGGGAGGCAGCCTCGTGTCGCGAAGTGGGAAACAGGGCTCTCTCGTGCAGGGGCGTCTAGATCAGTAGTGTACATACAGTAATGTTAACGTTGGCGACAACTCTACTGTTTTTCTGGTGAAACACATCAAAGACGTGGCAGCGAGTCGAGGCTGTTCAGGCTACGTTCGTGCGTCTCGAGGCTGAATTAAGGCGTTCGCCGTGTCGTGGTGCCATGCGTGCTGGAACCATGGAGATGGGAAGCCATTCCCGGCGCCCGGGAATGCGAAAAGAGCCACCTCCCACCTTACTGTTTAGCACCTGCCAAAACAGGACAGCTCTCCACAGATTCGCACCTGGAAAGAAACGTTGTTTTTGCGATTTCTGGGGTCTGTATCGAAACTGGTTGATCTAAAAAGATCGGCTGCTGGAAGCCGCTTGAAACAATGAAAAAGGAGTGTGGAAGGCAAGACCGGCAACACCCAAAACTTTATCTGCGCTGGGAGCCTAAACACTACTCCAACACATCCCAAGTACCATCGTACAAAGGTGATCTTAAAAGCATCTCGAAACGTCTCCAGTCTCCGTATTCCGACCTATTACCTATTATTACCCTCGCCTATCCATCCTAATTCTGCTTCAGAAGATGCAAAGAAATGCATCCACGCAATCAATCTCTCCTCGCACAGCATGAACAGAAACCCGCCTCACCCAATCCGGGCTCTAATCCGAACCTGATGGCGACAAGCCCTGAGGGTGACAGCCGGCTACCGACATTGTGCAATTCCAGCCTGCCGCAACAACCGTGCTATGTTGCTACGCCGTGATATATTGCCCGCCCGGCCGCCAGAAACTGCTGCTGCTATCTTTGGCTCTAATGCCGCTGGTTACGGGATATGCTGTGTTCCCTACATATCATGTCAAGGAACATGCGTTCCAGGTTCTTGGCTGCGTGCTAGGAACCTCGCTCACTCCATGAAGTCTGCCGTCTTTGCCCGAGGCTGTTCCGGCGCAAGTCGAGAATGGGTCGTACATACCAAGTACGGCCACTGCGTCCACTGCGTCGCTTACCATTTGCTCCAGAGAAACGGAAGGGACTCCGGACTCTCCGTACGATCCAATGCCTGCATAATGGAGTTGTTTTAAATACAGTAGGGTGAAAGGGAAGTATCAGGGCAATCGAGAAGACACTAAAAAGGTAGTGCGACTTCGCCTTGCCAACGTTGTAACACCTACAACGTCGGAACTATCATAGTAAACAAAGATTCAGGGGGTACTAAGGGAAGTGGGGTCCAGACTACCTTTACCGGCAGACCGAGTAAATGGGAACTCGCGAAGAGAGAAAAAAGAATCAGAGAAGGGAGACAGGCAATGCGGGAAGAGTTTGATCTACCTGGCAGCTAGGTATTGTATTGTACAATACAACCCTTCCCAGTTCTTCCATCCCGTCGGGCCACGGCGATCATTGCTATTCACCCCCTTTCCATGTTTGCCAGTCAATGGGCCACACCGATAAAACCGCCACCTCCATCACCTTTCATAAGTCCACAGTACATGCATACATGAAAGGAAACGGAAAGGAAAGAGGAAGAGCAGGGATATATTTGAATTGTAAGGCTTGAATCGAATTATTACACCCATACAATGGGCCAACAAGGGATAATATAGAGAACAACAAGGAGGAGCACTGTAAGCTGACTTCCTCCCCCATGCCAAGCAATAGCGACAGAAGTGGTTTATATAAAGCGGGGTATCATTCTACAGTAGTTCCAGTCTTAACTTAGGGTTGCTGCTTGCTTCGGTTGGAAATGTCAGAAGAGTAGTAAGGGTAGCAAAGAAGGAAAGAAAACAAAATATCAAAACATGTGAAGTGCTAAAAATCATAGCTGCCGTCTCTTAACTTGATCAACTGCAAAAGAAAAAAAAAACAAAGGAAAGTAATGGTTCAGTTAGTCTTGCACCATGTATCCTCTCTTCCCTTCGCTTAGCAGTCCTCGGTCCAGATTTAGTCGTCTTCAAAAAAGCCGGCGTCATCAAAATCCTCGGCATGGGCGTCCGAATCGTATGCGCTCGGCCGCATCATGGGTGGCGTTACCGGCCCGGAGAGCGCGCGCCGGGGAGGAGTGCTCTGAGCGGGCGCCTTCCCTTCCTGCTTGCTCAAGCCCGAGGCGGCTGGGGGTTGGGGTCTAGGCCTATTGGCAAGGTCTTGGGCCGTGAACCGGCGGCCCGTGCTGGAGAAGGCAGTGGGCTGTTTGGCTTGCGTGGTGGGAGGAGTCTGGCGCATTCCCGATGCTGGTGGTGTCAACAGCCCGCCGAGTAAGCTGTTCGACACAGTATTGCTCCGAGAAGGCGTCGAACTGCCTCCGCTGGCCGGCGCCGGGGACGACAACACGCTACCTAGATCTCGCCCTTTCCTCCAGTTGCCCCACGCCGCAGCCAGCGGGCCGACCGCCTGGGCAACGCGAGGCGTAGCCGCATCCCGAATTGTGGCTGCAATATTGGGCAAGTTGATCGCCGAACCACCGTTCATGGCTCTCTCACGCTCCTGCTCCTCCATCTGCAGGTTTGCCTTGAGACGAATCGCCGCGTCCTTTACTGCGTTCCTGTCGTAATCGTCCCGGCTAAGAGCGCCAATGATGTCTTGAAGGTCTGAGTGTCTCACGGCTAGGAGCTCGCGCAGCCAGGTGATTTCATCATCACGCTTGGAGATCTTGATCTCGGCGTCTGGATCCGTCTTGGAGAGCTTCACCTCGAGTTCCTCGATGCGTTGCTCACGCTCCTGCAGCTGTTCTTGCAGTACCATAATAGACTCGCGCAGGGCTTGCGGCGATATCTTCTCTGGGGGTTCGAGCTGGCGCGAGGCGGCAGGGGCCCGGGGCTGAGGAACAGGATCGGAGTTGGCGGCAGACTTGGCTGCCTGAGCTGCTGCCCTGGCAGCCTCCTTGGCAATTTCCAGTTTCTCCTCCAAATGGGCCACCTTGTCTTGCAGATGTTCCCACTTGGAGGTGGAAATGCTCAGACGCTCCAGGAGATTCTGCTCCGTCCTTTGGGCCTCCTCCGACGTGTTGCTGAGCTGACGTTCGTAGCGTGCCTGCAGGTCCTCGATCTCGTTCTGATGCTTGCGCACAAGCTCCTCCAGCTCGGCCTGCTTTGAGGTCTGTGCCTCCTCCAGAAGCATTTCGTGGCGTGCCTTGGCTGTATCCGCATCCATCTTGACATTATCCAGTTGGGCACGAAGTCTTACCACCTGGTCCTCGAGTTCTTCGCGGACAACGTTGACCTGGTGATTCGCGTTGTCCACTTCAGTTTGCATGGCATCGCGTGTGCGCTTGACTTCGCGGGCAGCAGATTCCCTGGCTTCCTGGAACTCGGCTTGGTAGCGAAGAGCGCTCTGGTGCAGCTTGTGGTTTTCAGTGCGCATCTCGGCGAGGGCGGCCTCAAGTCTCTTGCACTCGGCGACGGCCCTCATGCCCTGGCGCTCGCCCATTTCCAGTCTCTCAAGCTCGGTTTCGATACGTTCGCGGGTTCTTGCCTCGGCCTGCAGCCTAGCCTCCAGAACCTCTTGGCGGCCCAACAATGATTGCTCCTTTTTCGTGCGCCGCGCGATCTCTTCAGCCATTTCCTTCGCCGCGCGCGCCATCTCTTCTTGCAGTGTCATGAATTTGGAGCGCCAGTTGTCGCGGACGTGCTCATTCTCTTGGAGTTGAACACCCAGAGTGTCGATGAGCTTGTGCAGAGCTTTGTTTTCATCAAGAGCCTGAGCCAGTTCTTTATCACGTCGCTGAGCAATCCCGACGATACGATCCGTTTCGGATCGCCAGTGATGCGCTTCTTTTCGAGCCTCCCGGGCCTCCGCCTCGAGTGTATTGATGCGGTTCTGCGTCTCACCCTGAGCCTGATGAGCATTCGCCTGATTAGCCTCTAGAAGGGTCAGGCGCATCAGATTCTTGCTTTGCGTAGACTCAAGGGACTTGATCTTTTGTTCCTTCTCCTCAACGAGCTCTCGGAGGCGCACTTCCTCCTCGGATGATATCCGAAGAAGGCGCTGAACTTCCGAGAGCCGATCTTCAGCCGCTCTTCTTCCCTTGACCTCTACCTCCGCTTGCTGTTCCGCGTGGTGCACCCGGTCCTCTAGGTCGGCAATACGTTGATTCAACGCGCTCTTGTTCATCATCTCAACCTCTATCCTGGTAGCAGCGGACTGAAGCTCGCGGTCAATCTCTGCGGCACGGTTTTCTGCGGCTCTCTTGGCAGAGATCTCTGCCTCCAATTTCGCCTCCTCCGCACCAAGCCGCTGCTCCAGCTCGGCAATACGGGCTTGGAGCTCATTCAGCCTTTCGTGGTCGCCCATGGTGGCGACAGGGATGCGGCTCCCCACCGCTTCTTCTATGATGTGCTTGAGATCCTCGCTACGGAAGGCCGGTTGGATAGACTCGCTCAAGTGCTCTTTCATCTCCATGAGGGCATTTAAGATGGGAGCGTCGTCCCTGGGCAGAGGGACAGGAGCTGGAGTTGGCTCCTTGGGTTGATTCCGTTGATGTGTAACCATCGCATCCAAGACGGCGGCTCGGATTTGCTCTAGCTTGCGGTCTCGGCGCGGGCTCATGGGTCGCAGAGGGCCAGGTGCCTCATCGTCTTCGTCATCAGCGTCGCTTTCACGAATCTCTGCAGATATACTGCGTCGTGCTCGTTGGCTTGGAGGCCTCTGCCTCGAGATTCCTGCCAAAGCATTGCTAATGCTCTCCAAGGTCTGTTCCAGTGGCCCGAGGCGGGCTGCAAGTATCCCACCCACAAGTTCATGAACGCGCCCATCAAAGAAATTGACACGGGACTCGAGCTTGTCTTGCTCTTCGTCGGTGAAATCACCTTCCCAGTCGCTGGCAGGGAGGCTTTCACTACCATTGAGATGGTGTATAGCACCCTGGGTGGAAAGGGCACTGTGAGGGGGGTCGACGAAAGGATCGTCTAGAACGTGCTGATGGCCCTCAACCTCAACAACATCGCGGTACCGGTTCAAGCCTGGGTCGGGACTGGAAGCTTCGCTGCGGAGCTGAGGTTCGGAATGCACGTGTAGAGACGGCTGTATCGGTGTTGGTTGACGCCATTGCGGCTGTTTGCTATATGTCTTGTTGACACCCATATCTGGGTTTTCATTCAAACGGCGCATGACCTCGTCAATATGGTCCATGGTCGGCTCGGGAGACACACTTTCCTCGCCACGCCTGCCATTGTCAACAAGGGGAAGACCCTCGTCGGGGAGGGGCCACGACTCTGGGGTATTGTCAGCCTCCAGGGGCGAAACGATTGGCGGTGCCTCGGCGGGCTCCTCATCACGGACGGGCGAGGGAGTAGCAGCGAAACGCGATGCTGAGAGCCCAGTTCGCTTCGGCGGCGGCGGAGGACTTCGGGCATATCGAGATGCGGACAGCCCCTTCGGAGCAGTACTGGGAACGGGCGCCTCCGACTTCTCCACGGATGTCAGAATAGACTCTGATGCTTCCTCGCTTGACTGAGCCTGACTCAGAGATGTCTCTGGGATCGCATCCACCGACTCGTTCTTGGTTGATGCGCTTGATTCCAGGGCGGCTCCAGATTGAACCGTAGGGTTGTCAGTGAGCTCGCCGGTAACATCAGCGACCGGCTCGGGGGTCCCTGCCCAGATTGTCGCGCCGGGGACGAATGCTTTAGCAGTCGCAGAAAGCGACTTTTTATGTCCTGGATGGAATTTATCAAATCCAAACGGCCTGGCGTCGTTGAACGCTTGCATATCGAGGGTGCTCTTGAATTCGAAAGGCGCCCAGCTCACCGTGGCCTGATCGGGGGATGTCGCGGATGGGCTCGCTGTAGCCTTGGTATCTGTCGTTTCGGAAACTATGGTCGATGACAGAGTCGTGTCCGCGAGGCCCATATTGGACTCATCAAACGACTTCTCCTCCGGTGCTGTTTCCCCTTGGGTAGACGCTTCCTCTCTAGGCTCGGGCACAGGTGTGTTCTCTTTGGTGGACTCTGCAAGGCGCGGCACGGCATCGTCAGCACCAACGCTGGCCCGAGCCCTTTTGAAGCGCGGCTCGTCAACCGGATGGTCGTCTGAGCCGTGATGTTTTCCACCGGGAGCCTCCAATCCGAGGCTATCAGGCCGCACAATGGGAATAGCCTTGGATTGTTTGGTGGGCTTGATGATGTCCGAAGCGGATAGGTCAATATTGCCGAAGATGGAACTAGTCCTGTTGCTACCGCTCTCAGCTCCCGACATTGGGCTTGTTATAGAGGTTGAGAGTGAATTTGGCATGAACGTAGGAGCATCAGGGCGGAATTTGGGTCCTGCACTCGAAAAACTGAAATCGCTCCGACCAGGTGCAAAGGCGGGAGCATTGACATTGATATTGGTTGCTGGCACGCTAGGCTGGCTGGAGTTGGCTGGGTTCACTCCGATGTTGAACGCCAAGGGCTGGAAAGCATTGGCCGAAAACCTGAACGCGCCGGGATTGAAGCTGCTCGTCGGATCAAACTTGAATTCGGGCGCTTCTACATTGAGTTTCGAGAAAGACGATTTGCTTCCATGGCCTGGGCGGGGTTGTTGGGCGATATCCGCAGACTTGCTGGACTTATCAGTCCAAGGGTTGCTGGCGGTGGAGAATGACCGCTGATGGAGTAGCTTGGCAAAATCCAGGGTTTGAATAGGTGTGCCCAAGTTGCTCGGGTTCGTCTCAATCTCGGAATCCTCAGTTGGGTGCGCGTAAATTCGCTGCAGTGTAGGCTTGAAGCCTCCTTCGTTGGTAGCGTCGTCCTCCGTGAAGTATTTCTGGGATAAGGAATGTCCACGGCTATGGGGGCGAGGATGATGCAGGACAAGGCCATCCGCGCTGCTACCGAATCGAGGGGCCTGAGGAGCGAATTGAGTAGATGGCTCACTCGACAGGGGAAGCATCGATGCGGCTGGAGCCGCCTCCACCATGTCGGTCTCGTTATGTGGGCTGTAGTCTTCGTCATTTTCCAATTGTGACCGCATTTGCTCTTCCAGGTGGTATTCGGCCTCGTCAATCTCCTTCTGAAGACTCTCGCTGGGATTGTGACGAACAAAACCCGGCTCATGGTGCTCTGCAATACCTAGGCTTGGGGCTTCCTCATCGACCTCGCGAAGATCTTGCAAGCGCGGTGAGGCCCTGGTAGGTGGCTGGAATTGGTGAGGTAATGTAGGGTATTGGAGAGACTGATGACGCTGATGGTTCATAGGTACCGGCATGCCATCAGCAGAGAACGAGGTAGTTGGCGACATCATCGCGCCCAGATTAGCAAGCGATGGGGAGCCCATATGGTGTCCCTGTTGCACCAGCAATTGGGGAGACCAGGTACGCGGTGATGGGATCGAAACGGAAGCCCGAGGATTGAACTTGACGCCAAAGGGGCTTGGCGACGCCCCGGTTGGGATGCCAGGACTCTGGGCGGCTGATGTTGCGAACGGGGCAGTAAAAGGAAATCCTGAGATTGCTTGATTGCTCGATGCGGAGGAGGTTGGGATAGGCGGCGAAAACGGTAATGGAGGATACTGTGCCACAGATGCTTGCCTGCTTGTAGACGCCGGGGAGATCGATGGCTGAGCTGGATCCTCATCTCCAAATGAGACTCCCAACGCGCGAAGTTTTGCCTCGTTCAACTCGTCGACGTACTTCTTCCATGCTGCCGACACTGTCAGCACGCAACCGGAGTCAGTCAAACCCGGAATGCTTACCATTTAGGTCCGGAAGGAGAACTCTCCAACCTCGCTGCTCCCTTTCCCTCACCATCTCATCGAAATCAGGCCAGGGACCCCTGCTTTGCGAGTATTCCCTGGGATCAAGCTCCTCGGTTGGCTCGTACAGGTCGAATCCGTCAATGTTGTATCCTAACTGTTGCCAACTGCGGAGCATGCCGGAGATGTCGGCCGCCGTAAGAGGAAAAGGTTGCTTGCCTGGGAGACCACGCTCATCATCTTTGGGGAGAGATACCATGACAGTCTTGCCCTTCCACGGTATTTTCTTTTTGAGACGCGGTGTAGCCGCGCTTGCAGCCTGCTTGACAACAGCCTTTGAAGGCGTGAGGGGAGTGTTTTGTTCGCCATTAAGAGCTCCTGGGGCGCCATTCACCTCTGCCTTGTGGCTTGTGGTTGGCGTGCGGGGCCTGTCAACCGCAGATGCGGGCTCTCCAACAAAGTCAGTCGATTTGCCAACCGGGCTTTGGTCTCCGACGCTGGCAGGCGTTGCCAGGTCGTCGGAGGAAGGCATTCTTGCGATTGTGTTTCCCGTTTTGCGATCGAGATCTGACTGCTTCAGGGTTTCACTACTAGACTGCTTTGCAAGATAAGACCGAGACGCGTCTTGAGGTCTACCGCTGGTCTCAAAGCTGCGGGCCTTTGGCGTGCGTAGGTCGTCGTAACCCAGCCAGTCAGCCTCTTCACCGGAGAATGAGCCGCTCAACGAAGAGTTCTCACTATCGCCGGTGCCGTCGCTAAACCAATGACGCTTTTCCTGGTCGCTGCCGCCGGCAGTGTGCTGGCGTATCCACCCTTCGGTAATGCCGTGCCTGAGGCGTCTTGCCCGGTTTGCAAGGACAGTAGCAGCGGCGCTAAGCCCGGACAGTCGTACCTCTGGCTGCGAGTCTTGCACGGGGGGTGCCACCCGCAGAAACGGGGTCTGAAGCTCCAGTCGATGGATCGGCAAGTCCCCGGACGCGTCGCTACTCAAGCTATGCTCGCTGCTGGAGCTCTCGGCACGGAGATGGGGCGGGTACGGCGAGCCCCACTGGTTGACTCCGGAATGCGCAGCTTCGCCCTCGGAGCCCGCAGAACTGGCCGGCGGGGTCCTCAACAGCCCGAGCACTCGTTCGGGCAGCCTAGGCGCTGGCAGAGGCGGGAGCTCGGGTGACGACCCCTCGCCGTCGGCGGTCGAAGCACTCGAGAAGGCGGGTGACGCAGCCGTTGGTAGATGCAGAGTCTGCGAAGCCGTGGAACGGTCCTGTGCTGACGCACGGGGAGGAGTTGTCGGCGACAGCTTTGCGGGAGACGTCTTTGGAGACTTTCTAGAGGAGCCCAGAGTCAGCCGGGTCGTTGTTCGGATTGGCCCGTCGATGGTTCAGCATCATCCTGGAAGTGTGCTGTAACCTCACCCTAGGGAGATCAGCGCAGACGATTCAAAGGTCGTCTGCAGCTGATTCTCGGACTTGACGCGTCACAAATGTCGCTCCTTCGGCCCCCAGATAACAGCACCGTTGTCGCGATGAAGCAGCAAAGCATGGAGTGTTGTCGGGCAAATCTTGACGCGACGCGTTTCCGGCAACTTGCGGCGGGTCTAGGTCGCTCAGGTGTTTGGTCGAATCGAAAGGAGAAAAAAAGGGGGGGGGGGGTTGATAATTAAAAGGGATCTTAATTCACGGTTGTAATTATTAAAGGAGCGACAAGAAGGTGAGAAAGCGACGTCTTGGAACTCTTGGACACATCGAGAGCGCGCGGCGGTTGCTGCAAGAAAGGGGGCTTGAGCAGACAGCAGTGGACAAGTCAGATACTCGAAGCAGACAGCAACATGCAACAAGCAAGACGCGAGGATGGCCGTGGTTTGGCTGGAAAGGGACGACCTGGCAGGCGGAGTGTCGAGGGCCGGCTGGCAATTATTTTTCTGTTCTGGCCGCGAACACCCCGTTTTTTAATGAACTGGTCGTTCCTCACTGTCTTCTCCACCCGTTTGGCCCGATAATTTCGCTCTTGTTATTTGGCAGATGGGTCGGTACTTTTGCAAGGCAACTACGAGGTACCTGTTGCATGTTAATTCTATAGGTAACGGCTTCGAACCTATCTTTCTAAGAAGTCACTGGCAAACAAAGTGTGCTGACGACGGCCATCGCACGAAAACTTGATCCGAGTGTCCAACTGGATTTGCATTTCCCAAAGTTTGACTGCGTGTGCGCTTTGAGGATGCCACGACAGACGCGCATCAGCGCCATTGCACCAGAGAAGGGTAGGTATCCACCGGAATCCTTGGGCCCAATAGCACGTGCACACACGATGGAAGCAGGGAACCCCACCCCAGACTCCCAGAGTGTTGCTGTCCTGGAGACCCAAGAGAGAGCGGCTGGAGTTCGACGACAATCATCGATTTGGTCAAAGACACAAATGGTGTTCCTGGTTTGTCGGGACTCCCGAAGCCACTTTCGATACCTTTATCCAAGCATTCAAGTACTCAATTTCTCTGAATTACCACCAGACATTACAAACCTCCGGCCAAACACATACTCACATCATGTTGTATTACAAGATGATGCAGAAGAAATAGGTACACCGCAGACCGTTTCGCCCAAGGCCATGCAGTCGTCAAGCCGAACCTCAACTTTTGCATCACGCACCTAGCCGCACCTATCCTGCAGATGAGACTCGGATGCTACTTGGGCGCTACTCGGGCTGTCCCAGTGCCGAAGGAGATTCGCCCGGTAGCCAAGGAATCAGTTGGTTGAACTCTAAAAGCCACTTGGTCTGATGTTTCCAAGCTCCAACGAGCATTGCCGGTAACGTTACAGAAAACAAGGCCAGCAAACACACAACAACGACGGTGACCCGTTGAATGACGGGATTCCCCACATCGAGGAACTCCAACAAAGCCCAAGAGCCTGAACCTGCAAAGAACTTGCCCACGCCGATTACACGTCGCAGAAGAAATCGAATTGGTCGTTTGAACTCACCAGCACCGGTGGTGAGAAAGACGTGACGGTTGCCGCTGTCGCCGCGCTCTTGCACCGTTCTGTTGGTACGCAGAGATGCCATTCAGCCTGCATCCACAACCTCATGTCTGTTCCATCCCATCCCAGGGCAGGACGGAGACTCACCAGTCTGCTGGTCACATTCGCCGACGGAGAATGCACCAGTCCCGTTGTTCGCCAGGTCGGCACATGCATTCTTCTGGTTATCGCATGCCCGGTTCGCGGCCGTCTGGTAATCACGCTGGACCGAAAGGTTAGCAACTGCCAACTTTCTGCGCCCGGAAGCTGCGTGTTCGCCCTTGGAGGAAAAAACATACAAAGGTGTCGCCATCGACCTCAAACGGCCTCTCCGGATTGCCCGAGTTAACAATGGGGGAGGCCCTCACGCCTCCCAAGGCGCCCGTAAAGACCTGCAGGTTCGTGCCGGCTTGCCGGGGGGCAAGCATTGCCATGCGGAACTCGCTCAGAAGGGATGCTTCCAGATCGGCCGATGCCACGACAACAGCAGCAGACCACCACACAACCGCCGCTGCCGCTGTAACAAGGTAGGAGAGCCCGTACCGCATCATGAGCTTTCTTCGCTCCCTAGGAAAAACGTAGCCGACCAGCCAAGCAGTGAGTATATTGATAGCAAGAACTTTTATTGAATCAGAATCGTCGACGTTAAATGACGACCAGCGCTCAGAACATAGCTAACTCCTGGATGAAAACGAGGGGAGAATGTCAACGTTCGGAAGAGACAACACATCATAGTAAATTTAGCCCTGTGACCGGATCTGCGCACCGCCCAACTAATTAGCGAATGAAGCACCGAGAGTCCAGCAAGCCCTCTTGATATCGTAAGCTATGCAATGTGGATGCTGAAACCATCCCGAGACAGATGCGATCAAGGCTCGAGCGGGAATGGAAAGGGGGAAGCAGTGGACCGGGCGGAAACCTAGTCACGTGACCCGTTCTCAGGTACATATCTATGGTTCTCTGTACCTGCATCACTAGTTGTGCAGGTCCTGGGATCAACCCTCTCATATCTTCGGATGGCAGACGTACGCCGCAGGAAATTGTGGCGACGCTTAGGGGGGAAAAGTGTAAGTGCGGAGCCTCATTCACCACTGCATGCTGACGTCAAACGCGACTCCCGCCCATGGCGAGTAGATGAGAGAATGAGTGATATATTAAAGGTCCTACACAGCGCTCAAAAGCTATCCTGTGTGAACTCGCGGATGGCCGACTGAACATCCCACCCAGATCCAGTTCAGCCAGGCATCGAAACATAAGGAGAGAGGGCGAGAGAGAAGATAGTAAAGACGAGAAAACGATGAAATCTTGATTGTTGATGGTGTCCTGCGAATGCTCCTCGACCGGCCTCCTGCTCACAGCGTATCACCCACCAGGAAAAAAAGACCTCCGCTAGTTTTTGTCGCGGTTTCTCCTTCCTGTAATCTCAAGCATCAACGTGCCGTTTCCCATGCCCCACGTATGCTGTAAACCAGACGTTGTTGCTGATGGCAAAGAATTAGGAGAGGAAGACTCTCTAGCGCATTCCCCTTCACCCAAAGTGCTCTTGTCGAGTAACAGGTGAGGGTGGCTTGGGGTCAATGTCCGTCTACTCAACCAGAGACGACGGGGAGAGAGGAGATTTTTTGGGAGACGAAGCAAACGAGCTCGCCGAGCGGCAAACTGTCAAGAAAGGCCGCAGCGTGGGTTTTCAGGCTTGAGGTCAACTAGAAGTTTGCTGCTGTATTGACCTGCGTCGGCGCATGATAGCTCTCTAGGGTACTTTGGAAAGGTGAGCGCCCAGTCATGGAGGCTCCAGACTCGGGCTTTTCGACGGTGCTGTTGTAATCCATGAGGCCGTCAGCTTCCTCCTGAGGCTTCTTGCGTCCCCAGATTCTCCAGGCAACCACTGCCAATCCGCCGAGGATGATGGCGCCACCGACACCAACAACCACGCCAATAACCGTGTTGCGAGTCTGCTCTGACATGCCTTGTTCCGATCCGCTTCCACCGCTAGCAAGACCAGCAGTTGCAGTTGTCACGAATGAACTGGTCAGCGTCATCTGCGAGCCGTCCGAGTTAGTGGTCGTAATAGTCGTGAAGGTCGTCATGACCGTCTGAGATTGTGTCGAATCCGAGTTCGGAGGCTCAGAAGTCGATGACGTCGCATCTGAGGTGGACGAAAGGGAGTCTGATGTTGTGGTCTGTGGTGGCTGGCTGGAAGATGTAGTCGGACTTGTTGGTCCCCTTGTTGTGGAAGTTATGGTCGGACTAGCTGATGTGCTCGAAGTGGTGGCGGTTGTGGTAATCCGGGTTGAGGTTGTCGACGATGAAGCTGCCGATGATGAAGATTGAGTAGTCGTCGTAGCAGCATTTGATTCACCATCGTCATCGGTCTGTCTCTTCTGGAGTGCCCTTATGTTGCGACCAATGGCGTTGACGTCCAGCAAAGTAGCCTCAGCGACAGAGATCGCCGAGAGCCCCAAGACGAGGAACTTGACTGCTCCGCTAAGCCGCATCTTGTGAGTTGGGAAATGCGACGTGTCCAAATCGCGCAGGTTATCGCTCGGGAGCGCGTTTAGAAAAGAAAACAGAACGGCAGGATCGCAAAAGTACTGCCGCTAGCAGCCTCACTCCTTCGGTGCTGGGTATGATGGTGAAAGTGGACGAAGTTGTGGTCCTCGCCTGGGAACGGTCGCGTTCAGCCTGTTCGTTTCGAAGAAAAGTATCGGTATTTCAAGCGTGAGCTAATCGCGGTTGCCGATGGAATGAAGTGAAATGAGGTAACCGTTAACTAGAAACGACAGCGGGGAAGAAGCGGGAAATGGGAAACGAGTGGACTTTTTTGAGAACGTTTTCAGGATGGCTTAAGGTTGCGAAAGTGGAGTGTCGAGAGGAAGTGACTGGTGGCGCAAGAAACGTTCCTGTTTGCAGGTTGCGTGGGCGCCTTGGAAATGTGCAGAGGAAGGGTTTGCAGGGATTGAGTTGCAGGGGCTGTCAGGAACTCAGGGGGAGGGAGCCAGTACGGGGTCGATGGGTCAATTCAGGGCTTCGTATTCCGGCTTCACGCGCCAGCTACCAAGAATCGGGCACCGGGATCGGAACGGGAAGCCAACAACGGTCGTGTGGCCCGAGAAGCAGCCGTACCGTAATGCTTGCCTTACCTTATAACCAATGCTGATTTCTCTCATGCACACTTTAAGAAAGCTGCTTTCCAAGCGCATCTTTCAAGAAGATCTGGTCATCCACAAAAGCCGCTCGTTTTTCATCCATGACGGCACTCTGCGAACCATCCAATGTCATTGCCCATGAAATGATTGGGCCAGAGCCAACGCTATAAGCAAAGGCATCATGTGCAAGAAAAGCGGGTCGAAAACCCAGCGCCACTGCGATGGTTTGCGCAAATCGATCTGCAAACTGCCCTGGGTTCGACCTGCCATCCCGATGATACTGGACATTACTGGTGTATGGCGCACATTGGTCTTCAGAATGGCCGACACATTTCAGACATCGCGAGAAATAAGAGAAAGGCCCGACCAGCGTCTACAGATGTGTCTGAAATCGCACAGTGTCCTCTGTTTCTTGACAGCCGACAAATGATCCCAGATTCCCAGGCCCAACTGGACCCTGCTGGCCCGAGTTATGCACGACAAAATTTTTAAAGGAACAAAGGGTCGCGATCTGGCTGAGGATCGTCGGTCCAGTCAACCAGACAGAATGCCAGAAAATGCTTCCAGCTGGCAGTGTCTACTCCGTACACTTGGAAATCTATGAGCAGTTGGGACGAAAACCAGTTTGACATCACCAAGGGGCCTCTAGTAAGTAGCCAACTGCCACACAGTGGTACGGCAGTCAAGACAACGTTGCACTCATACGTACGCACAGCACATACCACGTGAGATTTTATCTCAGGGGCTCAGACCAGTGTGTAGGTGGTACGTAGATACGTAGCGGTCTTAGTGGGTTTTTTAGCGCTATATTGGCTCTTATAGGGCCCATAACTACTTGGATATATACTACTAGGCGATTCCAGCCAATCAAACTACCTACAACCCCCCCTACTATACACCCACCTACACTAGTCTAAGTTGGAACCGCAGACCCTTTGTAGGGTAGGGTACTAAACCTTCAACGTTCAACGCACTAACTCCTAGAACTCTACCATTTCTAAAGCTATTTGCGTGCTAAGAACTATTTTATTATTGCCTAATTAAGCGCTTTCTTCTGGTTATTTTTCCGCTGTTAGATTCCATTAGAAAATGGGTGATCTAAGTAGTGGGCTGTTGGTGCCTCCAACCGATATT